CATGCATCCAAAGACTCGCGCATCGAGCGGTAATCAATGCTGCAGACGCGGAGAGGAGCGTCCGAGCTGAGAGGAGGGGCGTGGACAAGGTCAGAATAATGTTCGACGGTTACTTTATTCTGAACAATGTCCGAAGAACAAACAACAGGAGGAGGTACATCAAGGAGGGAAAGAGAACTGACAACAGAAGAAGGGGTTTGGGAAGAGCGAAGGGGTTCGGGAGGAACAAGACAAGAAGGGGAAGACGAAGGTGGGAGCGTAGGAGAGGAGCTTAGATCAATCAAAGGAGTGGAATCATCAAGAAGGGGAGTGACATTGGAGGAAGTGGAGCAAGACGAAAGAGAAGTAGTGCATGGAGAGGGGTCGGAATCAACAGAAGGAGGGAGACAAAGAAGACCGCGAGACCAGACAATCTTGGGCTCGGCGGTGCGCAACCAAGGAAAGCCAAGGATAAGTGGTTGATGTGGAGACCTGATCACATCGAACCGAAGGCGTTGCGAGACGTCCCCGAGAATCACCTCGAGTGGAGCAGTCTCGCGGAGGATGGGGCCAGACGACAGCGGCTTACCATCCACGCCTTCCACTGCCAAGGGCGAAGCCTTGGAGCAGGTGGGGACAGAGTGTCGAGCAACAAAGTCCTCGTCGATAAAGTTGCCAGAGGCACCAGAATCGACAAGTCCTTCGCACGACAGAGAATCACCAGAAGGAAGACGAACAGCGACGGGAACAACCAACGAGCAACGACGAACAGACGAAACACAAGACTTTGGTTCGGTACCAGCTTCGGCACCAGGGTTGCGGCTAGCACAGACAGTTAACTTTGCCGAGGGTTGGCAGGACAGCTCAGGTATTTGCACCTGTGGATGAGGTGCAGTTCCCAGTGACACCAGAGGTGCCACGGGTACTATGCCAGAGCTGAGAGTGTCCGCCGGTCCAGAGGCAAGGCGAAGCTGTCCGCACATCACTGCTTCCCCAGTACTTACCAAAGGCACCTTACCAATGTCTTCACTTTCGGAAGGCGGTGGGCACGGCTCCGGTTCAAGGCCTTCACTTAGAACCGGGCCTGGTCGTTTCCCGAACTGAAGTCTTGCACTTCTCCATCTTCGTAAACGATGGTGCGGATGATCCTCGGGCCGGGAGGTCCAGGGGGCGGTCCGGTAGCTCTGGTAGATCCAAACTTGACGGGGCAGTTTCGTACCAAGTGGCCCTTCTTGCCACAGTACAGGCAGAGTCCAAAGCGGCGGCGGCGTTGTTTCTCCTCGGCGGTCAGGGGTCCAGAGACGGCAGAGTCCACTTGCATGGGCTCGGAAACAATGTAGGAGGGGTGCGGCGGAGCGAGGACGGGCGCGGGAGCGATGGCGGGAACGGCAGCGGAGGCGGAACCAAAGGCGAACTGGGAAGACCGGTAGCGGGCAGGCGTGCTTCGGCGCTCTTGACGGCGCTCGCGGATTCGTGCATCGAGCTCGTTACAAAGCTCGATGTACTCCTCCAGATCTCGTGGCAGAGGGCGAACTCGCGAAAGTTCGTCTCTGACATCATCCGACAAGCCAAGTCGGAAGAACGAGATCTTTGCACCGTCGTTCCAAGTCGTATCGGCGGCAATACGAAGGAACTCGGATGCATAGACTGCGCACGGGCGGTTGCCCTGAGACAGTGTGGTGATCACTGACTCGGCAGTCCTGGCCCGATCAGGGTCGTCAAACACTTTGGAAAAGCGTTCTAGGAAATCGCCAAAAGAGTTGAGTCGGGGATCACCCATCTCAAGCATCGGAGTCGCCCACTGGAGAGCCGGTCCAGTGAGCAGACTAATGACGAATCCGACCTTAATCGGGTCAGCAGGGAACCGGTGGGGCTGCATTCGTATATACAGTTTGCACTGATTTACGAATGCCCGGAACCCTTGCCGGTTACCGTCGTAACGGTCCGGCATCTGCACGCTGTACCCAGCGGCAGGAGCATCGCGAGCTGTCCGGAGCTCGGCGAGCTCGGCCTCCAAGGCACGGAGGCGGTCCACGAGGGCAGGATCCATGGCGGGACTGGGACTGGGACTGGGAAAAAAAAAAAAAGCGAGGAGGTTCAAGAACAGGAGAGCGAAGAGGGCTCAGACACAAGTGTGCTTGAGGTTCGGACAGGACTAGGAAAGGGGCGGGGCTAGGAGCGGAAGATACCAAGCAGGTGGTATCAGTAGAAGAGAGTTCGAACAAAGTGTAAGGAGTGAACAAGCGCAAGGACGAAGACCAAGTGCTTGGTATGAGCTTTATTAGCTTTTAGCCCCGAACACCAAAGAACAAGTTTTGTTCGAACTGGTGTTCAACATAGGCTCAGACATGCAGGGCTATTTATAGACCGGGAGAAGGTCGAGGGGCAAAAGTGGGCGAGAAGGGTGGAGCATCACAGAGAAGCGAGAAGGGGGTGCGAGAGTGGCTGGTGTGCAAGCGAGAGAGGCTTGGCACAGCCCGGGGACATGTGCCGAGCGGTGGGGGAGGCAGGAAACCAGTAGACGCGGGTGGCAACGGCGCGTGCTCATGCATGGGGGCAAACAAACACGTGGGGACTCATGATTGGTGCGGAGGGCGAGAGCATGCGGGACAATCTCATTGGTCCGTTGTGATGCTGGTCATCACAAACTACGAGGTTGTATACCAGAAAGGCAAACTCAATGTGGTGCCTGACGCACTGTCCCGACGCCCCGACTACCAATTGGCGTCACTGTACGAGTCGACTGTCAGTGTCGACAACACGATGCTGGATGTTGTCCGAGACAACATCGCCAACGACAAACAGTTCGGAGAACTGTTCCGAAAGGTGTCTAAGCTCCCCAAGGACGACGAATCATCCGAGTACACAGTGCGTGATGGCCTGCTCCTCCTGAAGAAGGACAGCCGTGTCTGTGTGCCGGACATTCCGTCGTTGAAGACCAAGTTGCTCCAAGAGGTCCACGACTCGCCCCTCGCTGGACACTTTGGAGTCGAGAAGACATACGACCGACTGGCCAAAGTCGCATACTGGCCTGGAATGAAGCGCACCGTCGAGAAGTACATCGAGTCCTGCCATACCTGCAAGATGGTCAAGTCACGCACGACCCGAGAGCAAGGATTGCTGCAACCCCTGCCTGTTCCCGACCGCCCCTGGACCAGCATGTCCATGGATCTCATCACGCATCTACCGACGACCAAGTTGGACCACGATGCAATCGCTGTCTTTGTCGACAGGTTCAGCAAGATGGCACACTTTGTGCCGTGCCAGACGACATGCTCCGCGCCTGACCTTGCACTGCTGTTCTTCAAGCATGTGTTCAAGCACCACGGCCTCCCAAAGTCCATCGTCAGTGATCGAGACCCCCGATTCACCTCCTTGTTTTGGACAAGTCTGTTCGACCATCTCGGCACCAAGCTGAACATGTCAACCTCGCACCACCAACAAACGGATGGACAGTCCGAGCGGACGATCCGCACCCTCGAGCAATACCTGAGGACATACGCCTCGACCAGCCAAGACGACTGGGACATACAGCTGAGTCATGCAGAGTTTGCATACAACACCGCCAAGTCGAGCACAACTGGCTTGAGCCCCTTTGAGGCGCTCTACGGATTCCAGCCTGATGTTCCCACCTCCTTGACACTGACCGAGTCCACGGCTGGATTGCCTCCCAAACCAAGTGCCTTTGTCAAAGATCATCAAGTCCGACACAAGATGATCGCCGACGCGCTCACGGATGCGCAACAAGTGATGGCGAAGTACTACGACCGCCGACACCAGGATGTCTCCTTTGAAGTTGGAGACCTTGTCTACCTGGACGCCGACAACATCAAGGTCCCCGAAGCCCAGTCAAAGAAGTTGTTGCCCAAGTACCGAGGACCGTTCAAGATAGCGGCCCGACCCAGTCCCCTCAACTACCTGTTGGACTTGCCACCTGGAAGCAAGCTCCATCCTGTCTTCCATGTGTCCAAGCTGCGTCGCCACACGACCCGCAGTCCAGCACAGTTCCCCGACGCCGACGAAGGTGTCCCGGACGACGCACCACTGGAAGACGACCTCGGACAATACTATACTCAAGAATATGAAGTCGAAAGGATCGTGAGGCACAAGAAAGTGGCTGATGGGTCACTTCGGTTTTATGTCAAGTGGGTTGGTTACCCACACTCGGGCAACACATGGCAAACACTGGAGGACTTGTCCCATGCACCCGAGGAGCTGAGTAAATACGGTAAACACCTCGAGGAGCCCCAAATAAAGAGCACACGCAGGGCTCCTCGCAGGAAGCCTTCTTAAGTGTGGGAGTGTAGGAGATGGTATCTCCGACGCTGTGCTGCGCGTACTGCGCGTACTGCGCGGCGCAGTGGGTCGTGACCTGTGCTGTGCTTTGCGTTTTCACGCACCGCAGGCAGGCCACCGCAGGGTATACCTGCGGGTTGCCCCCGTTCCCCCCGTTTGTCTGGAGTTCGGTTTTATCGTGAATAAACGTAAGTGCTCCCCGAGCTCACCCGTCCGCTAGAGTAGCCTAGCACCGCCCTGTTCTGCCCCGTCCTGTCTTGTCTTGTACCCCCTCCCTCCCCGTCTTGCCCCAACGTCCCAGTAGTGGACGTTACAGGGCGACACTTGGTCTTGGTTGGCTTCATCACGGCCACTCGGACATTTTGGATAGGGTTCGGCCATTGCGGGGGCCTGCGGCGTCAGCACGCCATTGCACACGACGTCCACGGCTTGCGGACACATGTCGGAAGCATCCGACACACACGACTTGACAGGGGTGAGGGCACAGGCGGTCCTGTCCCTCAAGGGTTCTTGATTTTCTTTTTTGTTTTGGTTTTCAATTTTGGTTTTCTCTTCACGTTCGTGGAGAGGCAGGCGGCTTGCGCCACCATGCACCTCTCGCACGACGCACAACACTTGGTTTGTTTCTCCTTCGGGGGAGGGGGCGAGGTGAACTTCCTCTGGAGACGCGTGGACTGCATTGAGCAATCCACGGCGTTGGTCTCCTACTAGGGCTCCAGAGCCACCTAGTAGGGTCGGCCGTTTCCCGACTTCATGGGGCACTCCTTGGCCTGGTGTCCCGGTCGGTGACAGAAGAAGCAGGAACCATGGCGGAGGTCCTCCTGCTTCTGTCTGTCCTTGGGGGAGACAGTGGCAGCTTGCTGGAACCGGGAGCGGGGAGGGCCACGAGCCTCCATGGCGTTGACGTCAACGTCCATGGGCTCAGGCATGGGTCTTGCGGGCGGGGCCGGGCGAGGCGGACGGGCTGGGACGTGATGAGACCGATGGCCGCCTGCCAGCTGCGGGTAGAACTGGCGGCCATGGTACTGGACGTTGTCGAGGTTCTCGGCAACGTCCATCATCACGTCCAGGGACTTGCGGGCATCAGGGTTGCTGGCGATGTACTCTCTGATCTTGGGCTTGAGGCCCTTCTGGAAGAGGTACATCGCATCAGCAGAGCCCAGCTCCTCAATCTGGGAGGAGAGGTCTTCAAACTCCTCGATGTAGCGGGTCACAGAACCACGCTGCACGAGAGAGTATAGCTTGTCACGGGCAATGAGTTCAGCATTGGGGCTGCCGAAGCGGCGACGGAGGCGGTCCTTGAAGTCGTCAAACACACCTTCGCTCTGCTCGTCGAACCCTTGGCGGCGGTACCAACGGTACGCCTGGTCCTTTAAGCAGAGCTTGGCGGCGACGATGTGGTGGGTGGGGGCGACTTGGGCAGCATCGAGGTAGTCCTCGAGTTGCTGCAGCCAGTCCTCCACCGAGGAGGAGCGGCTCTTCCCAGTAAACACTGGGGCACGGAAGGTCTTGAGGAAGGCTTCCGGAAGTGGGCGGGGGTTGCTCATGGCAGGGGCAGGCTCCAGGGACAGAGAGGAGAGTCGGTCGGCAAGAGAGGCGGGATCCAGCTTGAGGATCTAGAAAGAGGACAAACAGGACGAAAACAAGACGAGGATTTCCGATGCTACCATGTAACGTCCACTACTGGGACGTTGGGGCAAGACGGGGAGGGAGGGGGTACAAGACAAGACAGGACGGGGCAGAACAGGGCGGTGCTAGGCTACTCTAGCGGACGGGTGAGCTCGGGGAGCACTTACGTTTATTCACGATAAAACCGAACTCCAGACAAACGGGGGGAACGGGGGCAACCCGCAGGTATACCTTGCGGTGGCCTGCCTGCGGTGCGTGAAAACGCAAAGCGCAGCACAGGTCACGACCCACTGCGCCGCGCAGTACGCGCAGTACGCGCAGCACAGCGTCGGAGATACCATCTCCTACAGATACCATCTCCTACAGGCTCACTGGCATGCTTACCAGTGGTTCCAAATGGCTCACGACTGTACATTAGAGCCACCTGATTGTGAGTTGCCGGATGAGCAGATCAGTCGGCCGACACGAGAGATTCGCCCCCGAGGCGAGACCACTCGGACCAGTTGGATCGCTGGACCAGTCGGATCACTCAGACAGTCGGATCACTCGGACAGTTGGATCACTCGGCTCGCTCACGGCTCCCCAGATCTGCTCGGCAACACGGCGCATACCGATCGCCATCCCATGGCTCTGGCAAAGGCGAATAGTGCTTGGAGATACACAATATTGGGCTGGATGAGGGAGAGATAGGTCTGCAAGCACAACTCGGGTGAGATGGCTATTGCGTTAGACGGCCCCTGTGGGATCACTCCTGTGAGGCAACCACCGAGCCATCGGGACATCGGGCCATCAAGCAGTCAGGCTGCGTGCGGCTGGAACCGTACCGGGTATGCTGTCCTGTTGGTGAGTATGGTTGCGGAGGTGAACAGACCGATGTGGAGGATCTGTTGATGGGCAGCGAGGTCAGTAAGCAACAGGCAGATCAGTCGCCGGGTCTCTGAAGAGCGAGACTCACATCATAGAAGCTGGATATGGTTGCTTCGTATTCGCTTTGCTGAAGACATGGCAGAGGCGTGAGTCGATGATCCAACGAGATTTGCACAGAGCGTCGCGGGCGGACGCACCCCACCTCGCTGGTTGTGTCTCCGATCACAGCATTGATGCCGTCATTTTGTATCATATCGAGGAGACTGACGCTGGAACGAACGCCGGCAAGGAGCCGCACGTGTGAGTGGCGAGTTCGGTGCAGCAAGTGCAAGTGCAGCAAGTGCAGCAAGTGCAGCAAGTGCAGCAAGTGCAGCAAGTGCAGCAAGTGCATGTGAGGCCGAGAGAGCGAGCTTCGAACCATTACATTCCGTCGCTGAATGAGCCGCGGCTGCTGCCGACGACAGGCAGTAGCGTGACATCTGCTCGTCGAGCACAATGAAGGTCATATTGGGTCCTGGGTGAGCATGGCGTCGATCACGGACGGAGGTTTGCATGAGAACGAGCGACGCGAAAGGGTCTGCATGCACCAGCGTCAATGGCGCATGAACGCACTCGGCAGGATCGTCGAGCTGTTGTTGATTTCGTTGAAAGCCATCTGCATTGCCGTCAGGAGATACGGGTTCTCGGGAAAGTCGATCGGATCGTCAATGTCGTAAATGAGGCCGACCTTGACCGCGACGGATCCATGATGCACGGCATCGACCATGTCGGCCAAGATGGAGAGCAGCCACAGAACCAAGAGAGACCCAAAGATACGCAGCATTGCTCAGAGAAGGCAATTGCCTGATGGATGCATGTGGTTGGGAAATGGTGGTGGCCGAGACGATGGTCGTCGGGTTGATGGTCGCCGGGTTGATGGTCGCCGGGTTGATGGTCGCCGAGGCAAGCCACAAGGCAAATCGCCGAGAGGGAAGTGTCCCGTCGGTCCGGCAGCGAATGTGGTCAAAGTCCATGGGCCACAGTTGTCCCATAGCAGGATGCAGAGCCGAGTGGTATCGTCACTGCCAATCAGGCAGCTGTATCATCCCTCTGCGCTGCGCTTGGTGATCGAGGACGGGGCCACTCGCTGCACTCCATTCCACTCCACTCCCGTTCACAGCAGCAGCGAATCATGGCATTCAGCAGACAAAGGGCAAGCGGGCCACCCGGACAGAAGCTTCCAGGGTCGGTGCATTGTTGCCGGCCATTGTTCGCATGTGCCTCAGCCCGACAGAGCACCATTGATGCCAGGGTATATAAGCCGACCGAGCAAGGATCGCCGCCCACGAGGGTGCAGAAACGCACAAATACAGGTGGGTTGTTTGGTGCACTGGTGGATGCTGATGGGATGCTGGTGGATGCTGGTGGATGCTGGTGGATGCTGATGGATGCTGGTGGATGCTGGTGGATGCTGGTGGATGCTGGTGGATGCTGGTGGATGCTGGTGGATGCTGGTTGAAACTCGGGGTGTGGGACATGCCATCGAGCGAGCCGATTGATGAACCGAGAGCGGTGGAGCACGGACTGATGGACTGACGAACGGTGAATGGGTGTGTTGGCAGCAATGTCAAAGCGACTAGAGTTGACCGCACATCCAAGCCTCCAGAGCTCGTTCGGCGTGACCGTCGAGGAACTCTCGGCCTTGACGACGCCGACGAAAGATCCAAGCGCATTGTCAAAGTTGCGCGGGGTCGATCAAGTCGCCAGGTCACTTGAGGTTGATGTTCAAAAGGGCCTCAGCTGCACCATTAGTCAAACCGAGCCGGATACATATGAGCGAAGAGTGGAATCGTTTGGCCGCAACGTGCTTCCACAGATGGCACAGAGAAGCCTCTGGAGTCTCATGCTCGAGGCGCTCCAAGATAAGATCCTGGTATGATCGCCCAACTGTCCCGATATCCTCTGCCAATACGCAAGACGAGCCGTTGAGATCCCCTCATTGCACTCGCCTGCCATCCATTCGGTGCTGTTCTGCTCTGCCCGCGTTGGTCCTGAGAATCAACTCGACTGAATCGGACGTGCTGGTTGATCCTCTGGCTGGCATCCTGGCTGATCCTCTGGCTGGCATCCTGGCTGATCCTCTGGCTGGCCTCTGGCTGATCAACTGGCTGGCCTCTGACTGACGGCCGGTGTCTCGTTTGATCATGCGCACAGGTTCTTCTCTGTGTCGCTGCGGTGGTGTCGCTTGCCATTGGTCTGTATCAGGACTTTCGCCCGAAATCACCCGCCGATGCCGACTACAACGACCCAAAGACCCACTGGATCGAGGGCTTCGCCATCATCGTCGCCATCGTCATCGTTGTGCTGGCTGGCAGCATCAACGACTACCAGAAGGAGAAGCAGTTCCGCAAGCTCAATGCCCAGAAGGAAGACCGGTCTGTCAAGGTGCTTCGGAACAGCCAGCCCACCCTGGTGTCGATATTCTGGTACGAACAGCCACAAGCTGCATGGTGTGCCGACGACTCTGATGCGGGCACATCTCGGAGGGCACATCTCGGAGGGCACATCTCAGTGCCGCTCACCAAGACCGGCGGTTGCCGGATAGTTCTGCTTGGGTGTGGTTGTTGGACAGTCCTGCGGACTGACGGTATGCACATCCTGTTCCCAGTGTCGTCGTCGGTGACATTCTGCTCCTCGAGTCGGGCGACATCCTCCCTGCCGACGGTCTGGTTCTCAGTGCAAGCAGCCTCAAGGCCGATGAGTCGTCGGCCACCGGCGAGACCGACTCGATCAAAAAGTCGCCCACAACAGACCCGTTCCTGCTCAGCGGAAGCAAGATTGTCGAGGGAACAGGCCGATGCGTCATCACGGCTGTCGGCGAACACTCGTTCCATGGCAAGACCATGATGGCTATGCGCACCGAGAACGAAGAGACTCCCCTCCAAGTCAAGCTCGACAAGCTGACCGAGCTCATTGCCAAGCTCGGCACCGCCGTCGCCATCCTGATGTTCCTGGCGATTCTTGCAAAGTACCTGATCACCGTCGGGGTCACCGTTGGGTTCGGATCGGATCCCGAGCAAGAGAGTGCGGCCGAGGTCTTGTCGAGACTGACAAACATCTTCATTGCCGCCGTGACCATCATTGTGGTTGCTGTTCCCGAAGGCTTGCCGCTGGCTGTGACGCTTGCACTCGCATATGCCACCACCCGCATGCTCAAGGACCAGAACCTCGTTCGAGTCATCAGCGCCTGCGAGACCATGGGCGGCGCCACCACCATCTGCTCCGACAAGACTGGGACGCTGACGCAGAACGTCATGACCGTCGTCAAGGGTGCCATTGCCCAGTCCATCGACTTTGACGATCGTCAAGGAACCGCCGATGCCTCGCTGGCGGTGCTGCGGTCGTGCCTGCTTCCGGCCGAGAAGAACCACATGCATCAGACCCTGCACGACCTGGTGCTCGAGGCTGTGGCCGTCAACTCTTCTGTCTTTGAGCGGGTCAACCCCGAGTCTGGCAAGAAGGAGTACATTGGGTCCAAGACCGAGACCGCCCTCGTCAACTGGATCCAGAAGATGGGGGGCAACCCGGCCGACCTGCGGACGCAGCCGCACATGGAGACCGTCCAGATCTATCCGTTTTCGTCCGAGCGCAAGTCCATGGCCACGCTGGTCAAGCTGAGGAACAGCCAGGGTGCCGCCATCTATCGACTGCATGTCAAGGGAGCCTCGGAGGTGGTGCTTGGATACTGCCAGAACATCCTTGTGGCTCACGGCAGCCAAGTCGAGTTCAGCGGAGCCAGTCCGCCTGAGCGCCGAAACATGGGCCGGATCATCCAGTCGTTTGCCAAAGAGTCGCTGCGAACGCTCTGCATTGCATATCGCGATCTCACCGAGGCCGAGTTCAATGCCTGGATCCAGGGACCGGTGCGGACCGCTGTTGCCAAGGCCGTGCTCAAGGACACGATTCAGTCGGCCCGAGACAGCAACGACGGACTGAACGTCCAGATGGATGTCGTCGAGGACGACGTCGACAGCAGTGTTGCCGCAGTCGAAGCCAGGCTGGCCGACAGCGATGTGCTCGGACATGGGGCGGCTCTGGACGACCTTGGAGGCCAGGGACTCACCTGCCTGGCGATTGTCGGAATCGAGGATCCGCTGCGACCAGGCGTCAAGGAGGCCGTCGAGGACTGCCGACGGGCCGGAGTCGTTGTGCGAATGGTCACGGGCGACAACATTGTCACGGCAGTGTCGATTGCCAAGCAGTGCGGCATCTACCAGCCGGGAGGCATTGTGATGGAGGGTCCTCGGTTCCGCAGCCTGGCTCCGGCCGAGATGGACCTGGTGATTCCCCGACTGCAGGTCTTGGCCCGATCGAGTCCCACCGACAAGCAGATCCTGGTCTCACGGCTCAAGCATCTCAAGGAAACCGTGGCAGTCACCGGCGACGGCACCAACGACGGACCGGCCCTCAAGATGGCCGACATTGGGTTCTCGATGGGGATCGCCGGCACAGAGGTGGCCAAGGAGGCGTCGTCGATCATCCTGATGGACGACAACTTTGCATCGATTGTCAAGGCCATGATGTGGGGACGGTGCGTCAACGACGGCGTCAAGAAGTTTCTGCAGTTCCAGCTGACGGTCAATGTGACGGCCGTTGTTGTTGCGTTTGTGAGTGCGCTGCTGGACGCAGACCAAGGCTCGGCCCTGAGCGCCGTGCAACTCCTCTGGGTGAGTTGACAGCGACGGAGCGAGGCGGGTGGTGTGGTGGGGTGGTGTGTGAGTGGTGATGTGTGGGAGCGGTGATGTGTGGGAGTGGTGATGTGGGAGTGGTGATGTTGTGTGGATGCATGCCTCCTCGACTTGCCTGACCTGCAATCCTGCTCAACTTGCCTGGCCTGCATTCCTGTTCGACTTGCCTGACCCCTCTGACACTGGCTCCGCCTGCCGGCCATCGGTGCCTCCAGGTCAACTTGATCATGGACTCGCTCGCGGCTCTTGTCTATGCCACCGATCTGCCGACGCGCGAGCTTCTGGACCGGCCTCCCGAGTCCAAGAGCCACCCGCTCATCACCATCGAGATGTGGAAGATGATCCTGGGCCAGTCTGCCTTCCAGGTCGTTGTCAATCTCGTCATTCTCCTCAAGGGCCCGGACCTGTTTGCGCTGCAGCACCTCTCTGCTGCCGGCGGAATCATGGTCCACACCACCGACCCGGTTGTGTTGTATGAGAAGGACGTCTTGACGACCATGCTCTTCAACGCCTTTGTGTGGCTCCAGGTCTTCAACATGATCAAGTAGGTGTCTGTCCGTTGCGCTGGGTCATCGGTGTTCTCATCCGGCGTCTGTTGCGCTGGGCCATCGGTGTTCTCATCCGGCGTCTGCGCTTCAGGCCTCGCCCACCCGCTGACTTGCTTCTCCTGCTCTGTCAGCTGCCACTCGGTCGACGGCAAGCTCAATGTGCTCCGCACGTGTTTCAAAAACATGTACTTCACGATCGTGATTGTGGTTGTGTCGATTCTGCAAGCAATCATTGTCGAGTTTGGGAATGTCGCATTCCACACGACTCCCCTCAATGGCTTTCAGTGGCTCACCTGCCTGCTCATCGGGGTCTTCTCGCTTCCGTTGGGACTGGCCATCCGATTGATTCCCAACGAGCTCCTCGCATTCTGTCTCAGTAGTCGTTTGCGAGACAAACTCGATTCCCACACCAAGAAAGAAGCTGATGAACTCGCCCATCACACTTCATCCGCCCACCTTCTCGATGACCATATCATCGCAATCGTTGGACCCCAAGTCGCTGGATCTGGCCAGCCTGCTGATGAGGATAAGCCTGATGCCAAGGAGCTTTGGAAGAGTGCCATAACTTCGGTCAGGACCGAGCTGTCTGTCTTCAAATCCCTCCGTGGTGGCCAGCGACTTGATCGCATGTCCGTCCACTCGGTCCACTCAGTCCGTTCTTCTAACTCGAGTTCGGCATGGTCTGGAGGCTCCCTTGGCCGCGGACAGACCAGGCATGTCAATAACCCCATCCAGGTCATCCATGAGTCCGATAAGAGCTGGTCGGCGATTGACTAACCACAGCCCGTGTCGACTGTCACCGCGCATTCCACTTTCCTCGTCGCCTCGTCAATAAAGTTACATGAACCACCATGGCAATTTGGGTCCACCCGACATGCCGCTCCGGCCACCTGGCGCTCACTCGGCCCTGTCGTGCCCCCCCTCCACAACGGTACTTCGTCTCCTCGACGCCAGCACTTCCTCCCCTTGATAACTGTGGCTCGGACCCACGGTCCCGTTCTTGTCCCACCCCATCCGCCCCAAATCGGGCCACAGCACCGCCTCCATCCGGCTCGAGCCACCCAAGCCGGACACCGTTTGGCCTTTCGTCTCAGGCCTTTTCGCCCTGGCTCTTCTCCTTCTCGTCCACCAAGTCCATCTGAGCACGCCCTTCGCCTGCGGCTTGTGCTGTGGCCTGCTCGCTGTGGTTTGCTCCCTCCGTCCGCCAATACTCCTTTCTATTTGTTTATATCCCGACCTCCAGACCTCTCGACCTTTTCTCTCCTTGAAGCCACAGAGAACCTTTCCTCTCCTTCAGCCACCCTCGTCCTCAATGGTATACTCGGGCACATAGGCCTGCTATCGTCTGCGTCTTCTTTGTCCTTGGTGCATTTGATGGCGCCAAGTCAACCTCGCGAACCTCTTCGATGCTCCTCGGATCTCTGCGATTCGGTTCTCTAAACGACACTATGTTCTATTTATCGGTGTGGCCCTTCTGCAGAGTTCTCTCGAGGAATTCGCCCAGAAGCGCTCGACGCTGACGGCCCGCTTGCAGCAGCAGCTGGCTGTCTTAGAGGGCACTCGCAATATGAAAAGAGCCAACCCAAAGAATGCCCAGCAGTGCGATATGATCATCAGCAAGACCGAAGAGCTCATCACCTTCATCCAGACCGAGCTCGACCGTCTCGATGCTGATGAGGCCGCATTCAAGTTCAACCCTCAGCTGGTGCGACCCTCCACCGTATCGGCCGGCCAGTCTGAGAGCGAGCTGTTTGGTATGTCGCCTTCCCAGCCGAATCCCTTGAGTGCTCCTGGCAATGGACAGAATGGCTGCTCCTTCGTGTCTGCACCAACGTCGGCGGTCCGCCGTAGCTCCGTCCTTTGCTCTCCTTTCATTAATCCGTTCATCCATTCATCCATCCATTCTCTTTCCCCTCCCTTCTATCAATCCAGATTTCCTGATTGCCGGAACCCAGCTAAGCTCCACCAAGGTCATGCGTCGTCTCATCGAGACCCGCCGCAAGCTCGACTTTGAGAATCAGGTCAAGAGCTCCATGCAAATCTTGGGAAGCAAGCGCAACTCACCAAATGCCGCCGCCTTTAGCGACCAAGTTGTCGAAGTGGAGGAAAACACCATCAAGCTGCGAAACATTGAGTCTAAAATCGGTATCCTGAACAAGTCCATGAGACTCTATCGAGATCTCTGCACCGACTCCATCCCCGAAGAAACTTTTACCGCGCCTGCAGGTAAACGAGTTTGTGGACCGCCGTTCTGAAAGCTGCCGCCTGTCCCGATTTGTTGTGGAGTGCGTGCGTGTCCTTTCGCATGGCGATTTGGAAATTTCTTCCGGCGCGGCTGTTGCCAACTCACCCCCCCCCGTCTTTGTCGCTTGCGCCATTAGATCTCTCTGAAGCCCTGACGGGAAGAATATCCATCCAACTCAACGCCGTCACCAATATCCCTAATCGCCGAAGAGAGACCGATCCACTGATCGCCGTCATCTACATTGATGGCCGAGAGAAGGCTCTGACCCCTCCTTCTCCCAACGGTGTCTGGAGCATCCAGCTTGACATCGAGGTCGAGCGAGCCCTTGAGCTGGAAATTTGCATTTACGATGTCAGCGGTCGGGACCGTGTTCTCCTGTCCTTTGTCTGGTTCAAGCTCAAGAAGCTCCAGGAAGCTGTCTTTGCCCGCAACAACAACATCCTTGGAGGCACCGGCGATGTCACGCTTACAATGGAGCCTGGAAGTGAAGGCAAAATCACCCTGAACATGGCGCTCGGTAAGATTGGCGATGCGAATGGCTTATTTTACTCTGCACATTTCCCATCGATTTAATCGGTGCCCCCCCCCCACCCACGCGATGAGTACGCTGTCCACGAGTATGATTATCTGTTCTTCCTTGGCTGCTCCCAGGCTGCTTGGGATGCTACTCTGTCCTAACATCCCCTCGGCTTTCCTGGCCTCTAGTTCACGTTCGCGGCGGCAAGCCCATGGGCCAACCGCAGGGCCAGCGACCCGCCGCCCAGCTCGGCCGTGCCAAAGAAATGTCCAAAGCCTACGCGCACAACGGCCATCGCCTGGCTGTGCGCCAGTTCTACGAAGTCATCCAATGTGCTGTCTGCCAGGAACTCTTCACTGGACAGGGTCTCCAGTGCGAAGGGTGCATGTACGCCTGCCACATCAAGTGCTACAAGGATAATCTCACTGTCTGTCAGCAGGCCCACCGCGACCCCACCCGCGGCAGCGATGAGATCAAATCCATCGCCTACAACAAGCCACACCAGTTTGTCAGAACCGCCATCGTGGGCTCGGCCTGGTGCGCCCACTGCGGCTATTTGATTGCCGCGGGTGTACCGGCCCTGAGATGCAATGTGTGCCACAAGCACTGCCATACCGACCACAGTCAGTTTGTAGCCAACCACTGCCAGCTTTCGGTGGAACAAGCCCACAATTTCGCCCAGGCAGCCGATCAGAAAGATGTCCGAAGACATGTGACCATGGCCCAGCCCACCACTAACCTCGCGGCCCCGCCTCGGGAGAAGTACCAGCTGCCGTCGGCGCCAGCACCGGGTCCTGCAGGTCCCCACACACACGGCACCCATCTTACTCTCCAATACGCTCCCTCAAGCTCCCAGCAAAGCTATCAGCCCGGGCTCCGCCCGGGTCCTGCTCCTGGTCCTGGTGTTGCTCCTGCTCCGGGTTCTCGGCCCGCTCCCCCGCCTCGTGGGGCTAACTACAGCCAGCCATACGCTCCCCCGCCCATGAACAAGGCTCCGTCTTATAGCTCTTCGGTTCCTCATGGCCCGTACAACCCTCCACAACCGCGCACAGACTCACAGCGCCCGCATACACCAAGCACGAGTCACATTGGTCCGAACTCACCAAGAACATCCATCTATGCTCCTCCTGTTCGCAACGAATCCCGCGAGAGCCTTATCTCGATGACGGCGTCTGTAAGCGGCGGCGGCGGCGGCGGCGTCGGCCGGCCCTATAACCTCACTGGCAGCGGATACGGCTATCTCCGCATGCCCCACCCACAAGACTATCTGCCGCAGCGGGTTCTCCAAATTCCTCCTCGTGGAGGCTCCTTGGATTTGTCGGCCTCCGATTCCGGCCCTCCTCGACTCACTTCGGCTGAGACAGCAAGCTCTCGACCATCATCTGCCGCCTTGTCCCCGGCGATGGAGACCGCAGAGCAACTGACGAAACTGAATCTCGGTAGTGGAGCTTTGGAGCAGCCCCAACTAGCGACGCCCAATCAGGGTGCCCAACCCGAAGCACCTGCCACAGCAAATATTGGTGAGGAGCCCAAGGCCAACCCCAGCGCCGAAGCTGAGGCTGCTTCGTTGCTTGAACGACAGGCGGAAGAGGAGCTGAAGCGTAAGGAGCTGGAGGCCGAACAAGCCCGAGCTGAGGCTGCAAAGCTGGCAGAACAGAAGCGTCTCGAGGAAGAGCAGCGTCGTCGCGAAGAGGAAGAGCAGCGCCGCAAAGAAGAGGAGCGTCGTCAAGAGGAGGAGCGTCGTCAGGAGGAACAGCGCCGCCAAGAAGAACAGCGCCGCCAAGAAGAGCAGCGGCGTCAGGAAGAACAGCGGCGTCAAGAAGAGCTGCGACTCCAGGAAGAGCAGCGACGCAAAGCCATGGCAAGACAAAAGAAGATGAGCATGGACGACTTCAAGATCGTCAGTGTTCTCGGTCGCGGCGCCTATGGAAAGGTCATGCTGGTTGAAGACAAACAGAATCGCGAAATCTATGCGATGAAGGCTCTGAAGAAGGAGTCAGTCTTGACAGGCGACTCTCTCGAGTCGCTCCGAATGGAGCTGGATGTCTTCATCTTGGGTCGCAGTATGGACTGTCCGTTCTTGGTTCAGCTGTACGGTGCCTTCCAGACCCCCGAGCGCCTGTTCTTTGTGATGGAATATGCATCCGGTGGCGATCTCTTGACCCACTTGTTGAATGCACGCAAGTTCAGTCGAGCCGACACTCTCTTTTATGCGTCGGAAGTACTCATGGGCCTGGAATTCCTTCATGATCACAACATTGTGTACCGGTATGCCGTCGCTGCTAGTGTCTGAGTGCGCGAATATGAGGATGCATGTGGGTCCTTTTTGAGCGCGCGACGAACTGGGCAATGACTTCAGTGTATTCGCGAATACTCTTCAGAGGCGAGCCACTCATGACACACCTGAATGTTTTACTCTTGCTCATGAACCGGCAGCGATTTGAAGTTTGAAAACATCCTGATGATGCCCAATGGCCACATCAAGATTGCCGATTACGGTATCTGCAAAACGGGAATGAATCAGGCAAACACCACGGCCACCCATGTGGGCACCCCCGTCTACATGGCCCCCGAAATCCTCGAGAACAAGCGCTACACCAAGGTCGTCGATTTCTGGTCCTACGGTGTCCTTATCTACATCATGCTCTCTGGCGCTGTAAGTGATCCCGCTGCGTCTTGGAGCCTGTGTCGTTACTTTCAGGAGCATCACGAGGCATTATGCGCTGCATCTACGTTCGCTATAAGTTCGGTGGTGACTAGCAGCAGCTTTTGACCGTGATTCTACCCGTCGACATCGTGCTCGGCAGTTCCCTTTCAACGGCGACGAAAGCAACGAAATCCTTGACTCGATCTACGAAAAGCGCCGATCGCCACTTGACTTCAAAAATGGCGACTGGGATCCTGCTGCCGTTCAGATTGTGACTGAGGTCCGTATTAGCTCAGACGTCACAGCGGCGGTTGTGGGATGCGCCGACAATTCCTCACCTCAGCTGTGTGCAAAGTGGCATTGCCTATTTTACCCTCGCCGCCGAGCGAGAGCCGCCCTACTAATTCTGCGAACCCTGCTTTCGACAACGCGCAGCTGCTGAGCTATGATCCCAGACGACGACTCGGCATCCAGGGCCCCGAGCAGGTCAAGGGCCATGCCTATTTCAACGGAATCGAATGGAACCGTGTCTACTACCGACAGTACCAGCCGCCGATCATCCCCCGGATCGTAAGTTATTGTCACGGCCCTTGTTTCCTTGGGATTGCAAGCTCACCGACCCACACTCATGCTGCTCCAAGCTGGGTCTATCGGGCGAGCGAGGCTTGCGACGACGGAGAGCTGACATTCTTGACCACGACGATTCACAGGCCGACAAATTCGACACCGCCAACTTTGATCCCGAGTACGTCAGCGAGCCGCCCCAGCTGACTCTGATCACCACCCGCCTGAACCCCCGATCGCAGGCCCAGTTCGAAGGCTTTGAGTACAACCACGGCTTCAACTAGTCCAGAGACCGGCGCGCCTGGTGTGCAGGATAAATCGCAGCTCTTCCTGGAACCTGGCAGTCCGTTGTTTGGGCTGCCGGCGATCGATAAAATATAGCACCAGGACTGCTTTCTGTTGGCACTGCTTTCTGTGGCTGCGAATGCACGCCCATTCATTGCCCACGACGATCGCCCATGGGCGGCCGTGGCAGGTGCATCGCAATCCCGGCCGAATATGCCAGGGAGCCAATGGCACGATCGGCGGCGTGTTGGTTACTAAAAGTGCGCTGTTGAAACAAATAAAAAGAAACTCGATCGGTTGCCTCATGCGATGGACCGTTGTCGCCATTCCACTGCTGCACTCTCAGCAAGCTGCACCGGTGGTGGTGGAAGAGCTGGGCGGCCTCCATTCTTCCGCCCGTTCCCGCTCCCGTTCCCGGCTTCCGTTCTTCCTCGCCAGCAACATCGGCGCTTCCTCGCGCCATCCTTGCTGTCGATGACAAATCTCGTCTGGAGATATATCCCCCCTCGATCTGCCCTTGATCTACCTTCGATCTGCCATCGATCTACCTTCGATCTGCCATCGATCTACCTTCGCCCTTCGCCCGTCATCCTCAACCATGTCTCTCCAGCGCACCTTCAAGCTTGCCAACGGACACGCCATTCCCGCCATCGGCCTCGGCACATGTGGGTCGTCGTCTTGTGCGCATGGCACCATCGCGGTTGCTTTGTGGCCGGGTTCCCAATGCCCAGGCACAATCTCCGAACGCATCCATCCGCTGACACTCCCGATCTGCTGCTCTGTCGCCCACAGGGCAATCCAAGCCCAATGAGGTATTCGAGGCCGTCAAGACCGCGATCCAAGTCGGCTACCGCCACATCGATGGTGCCGCCATCTACGGCAACGAGAAGGAGGTTGGCGATGCCATCGCCCAGGCTGGCGCTGCTCGAGAGTCCCTCTTTGTGACTTCCAAGCTATGGAACGACAGCCATCATCCCCAAAAAGTCCACCAGGCGCTCGACAAGACCCTCTCGGACCTCAAGCTCTCCTACCTCGATCTCTATCTCGTTCACTGGCCCCTCCCCTTCCTCGTCGACGAGAGCGGAAAGCCCGTGCGCAACAAGGAGTCCGGTGCCATCGAGCTCGACACCTCGTTTACTTTCCAGGACACTTGGCGAGAGCTCGAGCGCGCCGTTGAAGAAGGAAAGGTCCGTTCCATTGGCGTCTCCAACTTCAACGTCCGCCGGCTGAAGGAGCTCCTGGCCTTTGCTCGCATCAAGCCCGTTGTCAACCAGGTGGGTGGATTGGACGCGATCGAACAACCGCCGCCATCTCAGCCCCTTTGGCGCCGTTGGATCTTGCGTACTGTTGCATTTCTTGTGTAGATTCCGCAGTACTCTTGGCCGTGGTGCTCGCGGGCCCGCAGGCGAATGGTTCTGCTCACACCGCCCTCGTTTTGGCTTCCATGCGTACACCTTTCTGCAGGTCGAGCTCCACCCATACCTTCCCCAGAACGAGCTCTTTGAGTTCGCCAAGGCCAACGACATCCTGCTGACTGCCTACTCCCCCCTCGGAAGCGGCGGCTCGCCCAACATCCTGGAGGACGAAGTCATCGCCCAGGTCGCCAAGAAGCACGGCAAAACCTCGGCGCAGACCCTCATCAGCTGGGCTGCCCAGCGCGGCACCTCAGTCATTCCCAAGAGCGTCAACCCTGAGAGAATCAAGGCCAACTTTGAAGACTTTATCCTGGACGAAGCCGACATCGAGGCCATCAACAAACTGCATCTGACCAAGGCTAAGCGCTATGTCGACCCCAAGCCCTTCTTCGGCGTCGATGTGTTCGAGAACTAGATTCCCCTGCCAAGCACTTCATCCGCGATATTGCTTCTCAGAGACCCCGGCATCATACAGCTTGTTCGGAATGAAACAGGGCAGTGTCCCTGAGTGTCGTTTACATCAACGTTGTTGGTTTAGGGGAGCATTGGCTCGAATACACCCACTTGATCTCCTCTGGCGATGATTGACTGTTTTACCGAGATCGTGTTCCGCGAGGCACCGATGTTGCGATGCGGGAGTATGGTGCATTCGACCCTTCTCCAAACAGCCCATGGTTTCTCGACGTCAAGGCAATCGGGTTCAAAAGGTTGGCGTTTGCTCTGGGTCGTCGGGCCTCTGGCGGTGGTGGAGCTGTCCAAAGGACTGAGCAAACCCAAGTCTCCGTGGGTTCGATGAGTATCGCTTCTCTGTTCAGGACCCAGCAACAATCCTGACTCCAACACGGCGTCTCGTTTCAGTTTGAATGCGCTGTGAGACCGCCCCCCCACAAGTAGAGTGGCCGACGTGGGTTCCTCCGGGCAGATGCCTGATCTATTCTACTTTTCAGGCCGGACCACAAATGCGCCTGCACGCTCCCGCTGCAAGCTCCAGCCCTGTTGCTTCAGATATTCGAATATCAGCTTGTCAAGACGGCCAACTGAGCCCTTGGAGTGGTTTCCCTGGCCGCAAATGATGGTCAGTGGCTTGCGCGACGAGGCTTTGTTGCGTCTCCATCGATCAAGCTCTCTATCGATATACTCCTTAGCTTCCGCAACAGTCAGACCGTGCAAGTCAACGATATTGTCGTCATTGTGCTTGAGTCTGCAGCAAAAGCATGTCCAGTCCAGCCGGCCACCGCCAATCGAGCCAGCCATGGAGAGTGGATTTCAGATCAGCCCGATTGCCAACATGTCTCGGGCGTACGCGAAAGCCAACTAATCATCTCCTTTTCCAAGCTACGGCGGGCCATGCACCCTGATAACACCCTGCGGATCAATGTCACCAGCGGATGCCACGGCTATCTCGGTCTGTCCAAATTCAATTGCAATCGGAAGAACTCACTTGTTTTCCCGGATGATGGCATGAGCAGCCTGCCTGTTGAGTTCTTGCATTTTCAGAGTTGCCTTTTGGCCCTCATCGGCATAATAACGAGCGGTGCCGGCTTGGGTCGACTTGCCGCGTTGGTAAGCATCGACAGCCCGTCGATACAACTCGGAGCGGCGCTCGTGGTATAGTTGCGCGAGGCCCCGCAATTCCTTGGAGTCGGGCATGCCAGTTTGGCTGGTCTCGCCCGCGAGTTTCAGCTGGTAGCATGATGAATCGTCTTCGTAAGCAACGGTCAAAGCTATCGAGCGGTTCACCAACGAATCTGCCATCGCTCACTGCACAGGCAAGCTTCCAGACAGCGCTGTACCCCAGTGGCATTGCCTGCCCCCCCCCCGAAACCAATGCCAGGCCACTTACAATTCTAGCTTGGTCAATGTCATCTCCATCGTACTTGACACGACCAGACACAGACGATCCCTTGCCCGCGACCCTCATGACGACGCCATCAGCATCTTCGCTTCTACCGAGCTCTGTGTCAACGCCAAGGTTGCGCGAGCAGGTCCAAGCCGGGTCTCTTCTGATCCGATCGAGCTGCTCAAAGTACTCAAAGACGCCCTCAACCGAGCCGGTGTCAATGAGGGCCCGACGTAGCTCTTCGACGCTGCGGCCAGGAAACAATTCAACGAGTCTGTCTAGCTTGTCGATTCCGGTCCCGCTTCGCTGGCGCGCAAAGCCGCCAGCCATGATCACGTCCGTGATCATGTCGACGTTGTTTCCACACTCGACGACAGCGTCGAGGATCTGCTGGTCTGGCACATCCGGGAAAATCTCCTGGACGGTTCTGACGAGATTCTCAAAGGACAGGCTTCCTTGCGGTGCCTGGCCCTTCAATGGCTGGTCTGGCTTGCGCGCCGACTTGATCTTGGTGACTGTTTTCGAAGCGTCGTTGCGAACGGTCCGCACCTGTGCCGGTGTCTCTTCCTGGCTTGCCCGAGGTTGTCGGGACGGTCGAGAGCCTGTTTTTGTGGAGCCCGCAGTTTGGGAGCTTGGGGACCTCGAGTGGTCGTCAGAATCACCCTGTTCGAGCAGATACTCTGCAGTCGCATCGACGGTTCTGTAGACGGCCAGTGCCGCCTCGATATTCGCTACGCTTTGATCTGGGAACATTTCTTGAAGCTGCTGGGCACGAGCGTCGACGAGGAGCTCAAGAGGCTCTGTATCGAGCACATATTCCAGTGCGGCATCGTCAAGGCCTGTGGGTCTGGACGCCGACGACTTCTCGAGTGAAGGGCCCCTGGCTTGGACATCTTGCTTGACAGCGGGCCCTTCGATGCACGGCGGATCGCCCTCGACAGAACCGCTGGCCTCGTCGTCAGGCGCAGATGAGGCAAGATCAAAGTCATTGATCCGCAAGAGCTCTTCGACCGTTGAAACAATATCGAGCTTGTGTCGCTGGTATGTCTCGCTAATTTGGCTGAGAGTGAACATTGGGAAGATAGCCAGCAGGAACTCGAGTGTCTCGTGGTGCTCGGACGTCAGCGGATCAGTGCTTGTTGAGGTTTGCTTGGGTGACCAAAGTTCGTCCGAGTCTCCAGGGCATGGCTTGATGAGGTCGCTTCGTCCACCGCCGACTCCCGAGAATGTGCTCGCTTGGAAAGGGCTCGAGAGGAATAGGTCTTTTGATCGAGAGGGGCTCGACGGAGCTTGTTGCGAGCCCTCGTTCTGCAGACCCCACAGAGCACTTGCGGTGCTGTCGTCGGCGAATAGGGATTGCTTGAAGTCGACAGGAGAGGAAACACAGTCACCCTGGGGCTCAGCACCCGGCCGCTCCTGCAGCTGCAGCTGCAGCTCCTTTGACCGGGCAGATCGGACTCGGTACGAGCTGTGCTGGGGAATAGGCGGACTCGGCAGATCTTCAGGCGACTGTGATGCTGGCTGCGACCGAGTCTTGGACTTTGGCTGCAATTGCGCCTGCGACTGCTTTCGAGTCACCGGCTGGCGGAAATGATTGTCCTGTAGCCTCGGTGTTTGCTTGCGGGAATTGCCAGAGTTGTTGCTCGGCGATGCCGACCCAGAGCCGCTGCGAGGCGGCATATTACAACCGATGGGTGCGGTTCTGGAAATGGGGGACAAGGTCGAACTGCCGGAAAGAGCGGCGACGGAGGCAGAGTCACTGTCGGAAATCGCAGAGCGGATGGAGACGGAGAGGCACGATGCTGTCGCAGCCAAGCAAGTCCGGGATCAAGTCAAAGACGGTCGGCGGAGCCACAAGAACGCACTCAGCACTGCAGGCTCTGTGGATTGGCAGGCCAGCCCCCCAGCAGGTGCTTTTCTACAGGCCGCACACCGAACAGACAAGCAATCGCAACGGCCCGGAATGTATTCGCCATCGCAGTATACAGCGAACTCTGTGTTTGATCAGGGATCAAATGGTTCGCCGCCTCGACCATTGCGCCCCGGCCATGGCCTTCGCTCGGAGGTTGCTGACGGGTCGATTGCGAACTACAGGTTCGACTGAAACTGGGAGGTCTCTGAATATATTGACATTGCATGTGCCGACTAGCAGGCCCGGCGCCGTTGGACTCAGGCCTGGTGATCCTCGGAGGGACGGTACTCGGCTTCGCGGTCGAAGATGGCATCGAAGGTCTTGACAACAGGGACACTCGTATCCTCGAGCTGGACCGAGACAATGCGGGCCGATCGGGGGTGCTTCGATGGAGCAGGCTCGATCGGCGCATTGCCGGGGCGGTCGGTGATGGCGGTCTTGAAACCAGCCAGCAGGGCCGCACGGATCTCTAACGGACAGCAGACGAAAGCGGGGCAGGCGGAACAGGAGGTCAAGCATCCATCAGTATCAATCTCAATCTCACCTTCAATACCAGAATCAGCATCCCTGCCAATGTCAGCAGCAATATGGTTCCGAGCCGCTGCGACCAACGATTGCCCTCGCCAGGCCGTCGTCTGCTCGCTTACCCTTGACATTGTCGCTGACGAACAAAATGCTTTGTGGATCCTCGCCAATCTCGGCCGCGATCTTGGAGTAGCTTTCCTTCTCGACTTTGAGGCCAATGGCGGTGTCGAAGTGGCCTTTGAAGTACTGCGAACGGCAAGACCGCCATCAGGATGTCGCAGCTGCACACACTGCCAACGTCTCTGCAATGCAGCCCACAAACCTTGAGCATGTCGCCCTTCTCGGAGTAACCAAAGAGCAACTTCTGAGCCTCGACACTGCCAGAAGAGTAGATGTAGACGCTGCATCCGCGGCGGATCCATCTCTCCAGGGCCGGCTCGACATCGTTGTAGACACTTGGAGCCGGGTGAAGCCAAAAGGTTGGTCTCGTCACAAAACATAACGGCAGGCCAGGACCGAGCGGCGAACTCGTATCTGACCGATGTTCGTGCCGCAGACTTCACGACAAGAGCCGAGTCCCCACAATGTGCCTTTGCCGAGGGCTCAAACGCAGTACTCACTGGCCCTGGACCTTGCCACCTTGATAAGCCTCACGCCAGACAAAGCCCTGGAAGGACTTGAGCGGGCCGATCTTGCGGTCGATACTCATCTGCCATCGGATGCAGTGGGCAACCGACTTGATGATGTCAAGGGCAGGCGCAGTGGTTGGCAGAATCTCTTCGGCACCCTCAACCTTGGCCTCGACATCGATCTTTGCCTGAGGACAGGCGAGCGAGAACCACAGATCGGGTGCGAATGAGTGGAAAGCGAGCGTCGAGAGATTGAAAGCGGGATCGGCAGCCCGCCAAGACACCCGAGTCGTTTCAGATCGCATGCGAGCGGTCTGAATTCCACTGCATCTGCAGAAGCCATCCAGGGCTGCTGGCCTCACCTGGGCGCGCAGAGCCTCGATCTTCTGCTCCAGCTCGGGACTTCCCCAGTGCTCGACGAGAAACTCGTAAACCGAGTTCTTGACGTACGGAAAAAGCACATCGTGAACAAACGAGATGGATGTTGTCGTGCCCTCGATGTCGAGCACAACAACCTTGTATGGACAGGGCCCTGTCAGCCGGGTGCAGGCGGTCAGATCCGGAGTCCACCGAGCTTGCGATACAGCAAACGCACTGGCCAGCACCGGCCAGCACCAACAGAAACACCGGCGGCCACATCAGCGGCCACACCAACCCTCGGACTCCTCGGTCTTGGCCTTCTTGGGCGAGGTGTCTGCGCTCATGCTGGATCGCTTGCTTCTGGTCATGGCTGGGTGTTGGCAGCGCCGAGAGGGAGCAGCCCCGGGTTTTGATCGCCCATCGTCGCCAAAAGCAGATGTGTTCGGTCATGTGACTGCGTCCAATCAGCACCCGCCTGCATGGCTCAACAGCACCACGCCCCAAACCAGAAAGGAGCATGTCTGGGCTGCAGTGGACCAGCGCAATGTCCGAGCTGCGATGCCGACGATGAAGACGCACTCGACGGGGACACTTGTTTTCGCACACCAACGCAGGTTTGCGTCGCGATCCACAGGTATATACATATTTCTGGCCCACACATTTCGCAAAATACAAGGCCCTCGGCCTCGACCCACCAAGGGGCAAGCTGGGCACATCCTGGCCAGAGCTAGCGCTGTTTTCCGAGAGCGTCATCTGCGGCGACATCGACATCCATTTCGCCCGCGTTGCGCTCTCCTTCAACTCGGACGGACACGGCTGAGCGGCTTGCCCGTCGGACGGCGCCTTGCGGGTTCTTGGCAGCACTCGACCGCGATCCGGAAGGCATGCTTGTTCCAAGGGGCGAGGACAGCACCGTCGGCAGAGGTCCGGGCTCACTTCGCAAACTTCGGCGGAGCGGCGCAGACGCTGCGGCTGCAGTTACAGAGACATCCGCTTCATCCTTGATCTTGGCAGGAACTTGGCGTCGCAGCCGTCGCCCCAGTGTCTCGCTAACGGAATCTGGACCAGCCGGGGCCGGATGAGCGCCTCCGCCCGCTTCGGTCTTGGTGTTGGAGGTCTCAGACGGATCGGGATGCGGCTGCCCCCGGCCTCCGGCTTGATTCACGGCCGACTCCGCTGGCCCCGACAGTCCCATGTCTCGGGATGTACTTGAGCCGGGGGCAGGGAAAGTTGGCTGCCGAGCTTGCGCCTGGAGCTGGCTGAGAACCTTGGAAATGTTGGAACTAAGCTGGCCAGACGACTGCATCAGCAGCGGCAAACCGAGGCCAAGCAGGTTTGCACCAAAGCCCGGAGTTTTGGCAGCAAGGGCCGTAAGCTGAGTGAGTGAATTGATGTCTATGCCTCCGCCGGGGACTGGCGTTGGAGCTGGTGTTGGAGCTGGTATTGGAGCTGGTGTTGGAGCCACGATCGACGGCCCTGTATCGGAAACCTGAGGATGCACGGCCGCGACATCTCCGGTTGGCGGCGTTACGCCATTATGGGGCTTGGACTGGGCTGGCACAATCTCATGGCCGCTGGCATGGCCACTGGGAGTCTTTCCTGTGCCGAGCAACGGACCCGATCGGGAATCGAGCTGCACGGGCCCATTCACCTGGGCAGCAACAACGGCATCCGCCGAAGGCTGGGCAGCGAGCTGAGGCCTTGGTGCAAGATCGTGGCTCGTCATTCCGGGCTTGCCCTTTTCCTCGGAGTGCGACGCCGACACGCCTGACATTTGCGTGGACAGGTTCTGGAGGACCTTCTCGGAATCTCGGCGTTTCTGCTCGGCCTGGACAAGGGCTTGGAGTTCAACGCTGGCTTGGAGCTGTTGCAGCTGTGCCTGGGCCATCAGCATTTGGAAGGCATTGGCCTGCGCCTGAGCCGAGGCGCGCGCCACCGCCGCTGCAAGAGTCGCCGAGAACTGCCCCGAGTATGGGCTGACCGAGGCAGCGGCTGCAAGAATAGAGCGATTGATGTCCTCAGTCGAGATGGATGGTCCCATCGGCTTCCAGTTGTTGGCCGCATTCTTGGTCATTGCCGCCAGGGCTGCTAGAATTGTCGCCGCGTTGGGCGTTCCGACGGGCAGCCCGAGCGGTGGCATCGACGCCGTTGTCCCCATAGCGATTCCCTGGGGGGTGGATTGAGATCCGGAAGAAGTAGCTCCTGGTCGAGTAACGGCAGGGGTGATCACCACATTCGCAGCAGACTGCGTATTAGGCACGCTGCTCGTTCCCATCGCCGTCGCTCCACTTGAGAACTGAGTGGATACGCCAGGTGTGTTCGCCGGAGCGACCGAAGCTGGATTTCGCATGGCGGTATTTTGGCTGATGGGGCGAGCCGGGGGTGGGGTCGAGAGCGCAGCGTGCTGAGCCATATTGGCAGATGACATACTTGTCACAGACAGCGCCGATCCAAAGAGCGTGTTGATCACAGTCTTGGTGGCTTCGGATGCAATCGCAGACGAAAGCATTGGTGCTGAAGACATCGGAAGTGTCGAAATCGGGCTTGGATGCAGTGCAAGCGATGTAGCGGGGACAGAAGATGCTGCCGAGGATGTCGTCACGGTCGGTAACATGGCTGCCAACTGCACAGCAGATGATGAGGCAGCAGTTGAAGATATCGTTGCGCTCGCCACAGGCTTGCTAGCGCCTGCGCTCGCGTTCATAGCTTCTGCAGCAGACCGAGAAGCGCCTGAGGCTGCCGGCGCCGCATGTGCCAATGGACCGGGAGCTGCGGACAATGGTGCGTGGGAGCGCACAGGCATCGACGCGGATGCCGTGGCAGAAATCGCCGGTGGTCTTGCGATGGACATCGGAGCGGAGGCTGGTGCGGATGCTGGTACCGAAATAGGAACAGACGTCACAATAGGGGCTGCTGTTGAGGGCGTTGCTGCGGTGGCAGCAGCTGCAGCTACAGACCGATGCACGCTTCCGGTCGGTGCTGTGGAGCAGCCAGCTGAAGCGGGAGTTGGCGGCATGGAAGACACCCTGGAGGCTATCGTGGAAGGAGTTGGCTGGTTGTCTGCTAACAAGGCCGTTTGTTGCTGACTGGCTGAGGACACGAGAGGCAAGGGCGGCTGGGTTTGCTTGCCCACTGTGGTCATCTTGCCGTTGATCGAGCCGTGGACTGGAGTAGTCGGGGTGCCGGCAACTTGGGACTGGACCAAGGTTGATTTGCTGACTGCCATCGGCGCAGTATTGGCGGGAGGAAGCTGGGGTCGCAGTGTGTCTGGGCAGCTGGAGGACCCGACCGAGCCAGCCGACGAACTTGAAGAAACTCCCGGTCCCTTGACGTTGCCCAGGATGCCAGACTGCCCGCCAACAGAGCCAGCCACGTTGGGGCTGCTTGCTTGGGCTGCAGTCAAGCTGACTCCTTGACCGCCTTGGCCGGTTTGCGACAGGACCGAAAGCCCGGGAGACTTGGCGAGCCCACTGTTCGTTGTCAGTGTCGCGAGGGCGTTTGTGATCGATGCTGTTGTCCATGTCGATGGGGGCCCGATCATAGCCGTCAGCTTCGAGGCCAGCGCATTAATGGCTGCGTTCGTCGCATTGGCCTGCATTTGTGCTGCCGCTGCTGGCGGCGGTGGTGGAGGGGAAGGCGTTGCTTGAGGCGGCTCGGAGACCCTACTTGCAGAACCCAACACCATGTTGGAAAAGCCAGAGACATTGAGTCAGAAAGCGCAGCACGCATACACACCAAGACGGCCTCTCGAACACCATCGTGAGTTTAGACAGCAACTGGCCCAACCAAGTCGTGCTGCTCTCATACCTGTTGCGGACCAGTCCGGGAAGCGGCTCGCCGGTGGTCTTGGCAACGGATCCGGGTTTGGGACCGTCTTTCTTTGCAGCGGTGTATCGGCTTTTGGGCTTCCTTGTCCCGGCAGCAGCTGTGGCTGGTGCAGACTGAGACGCTGGCGCAGCCCCTGCAGCCGCCAGAGTGTGGGTATTTGATGGCTGGCTCGTCGAAGGAGTTCCTTTTGCAGCAGTTAAGGATGAGATCGCTGGCGATGCTGGAGGCAAGGCCGCACCGCCTGTTATCGTTGGTGTCGATGGAGTGGACGCGGCGGCTCCCGACGGCGCCGGGGTTGGCAGCGTGGGTCGAGAAGGAGCTCGAGGCGATATCGTCAACAAGGGGGGACGGAGACCCGCTGCTGTCGCTGTAGTCAAAGCTGCGGTTGAAGGTGTGGTTGAAAGCGTGGTTGAAGGCGGGACTGCGGTTGTAGCGGACAGTGAGAGCGCTTTGGAGGCGCTGCTTGGTATCGATACGACCTCTGCGGTCCGGGGCTCATCCACAGCAGAAGCCAGTGCATCCCTGCCATCATTCCCAGGACGCCGCTGTGGTTCATTCGCATTGGACTGCGGCAAAGCTGCAGGCACAACGGCGGCTGCTGTCGACTTGATGGCTGGGGAAGGCCCAGTGCCATCCAAGGACATCGGTGGGGCCAGAGCCTTCGCTGGGGAGGTCCGAGCAAGTGAGGGCGGCTTATTGCCGACAAGGGATGCCGACGCAGATACGGATATCGATCGAGAAGGGACAGTCGCGACAGAAGGAGCGGCCGTGGCAACAGCAGGTAGAGCCTTGTCAGCCGTAACAGCTGGCGGGACAGACTGAGCAGTATTCGGAACAGGGGTAGTGGATATGTGTGGCAGTGTTACTTCAGCGCCAGGGGAGACACCGCTTGAACTTGCCGTCGAGATCACTGAAGCCCCAGCAGCGGAGCCCACGCCAGAGCTGGTCCGAAGCTCTGGTTGGATGAGACCCGCTTCTTGAGCGACCGGGGATCCTTCGGCACCAGTCGTGCTCTCTAGCATGGGGCAATCCGCGGAGCAATCCTGGCCAAGGGTATTGACGCCGGGTGGATCCAGATCGGTGACACTTGGAGGCAGTAGGATCGAGTCCGGAGAGAGCGCTCGACGAAAAGCAATCTTGCCAATTTCGTCGCCGAGAATTGTGCTGAGCTTGGCTTCCAAGCAGCAGCTCCGAGCGAGTTCGCGTGCACGGCCGAGCGGGATCCATGTCCCATAGAGCTGTGAGTCGGCTTTGCGACACCGCACCTTGGACTGCTCCAAAGAGAGAGCAATACTTCGCTCTTCTTCGGTCCTCATGCCACCGGCATAGAGCAAAAGCGTGGCATTGACCATTCCATTGTCGACTCTGCGGAGGATCGGGATGCCAGTTTCGCCCTCGCCTCGGAGCCTGGGGGACTGCAGAGTGCTCGCGCCGGCCAGAGCAGCATCAGTGATATTCTGGGATTGGGCTTGCATGCGCGGGGATCTTGTTGGAGGCTCTCGACCGTCGCCTTCTCTCAGCATCGATTCGCTGCCCAAGCGGCCGGCACCGGACAGGAGTCTGTGAGTTTCGGGTATCCATGTGACATAGCATAACAGTCCTTCGATCTCGACCATCCACACATTCGTGGGCGGATGTAGAGGATTCTCGACGGCAGGGAAGAGGTCCAGCGTGCTGGGGGAAAGATGCACTGGGCAATGTTGGCGTGTCCTGCTGTGTAAAACGGATGTCTCAGACAGGAGCTCATCTCGTCCACTTGTAAACGGGCTGGCTAGCAGCTCAGTCCGCACACGACCGAGAGTCGTCGTCTCCGAGGCCGGGCCGAGAGCAGCAGGACCCGATTCATGTTGAAGCGACGGTTCTGTGGCTGACAATCGAGTTGCCACCGATCCAGCAGCAGACGACGGCCCGGAAGTCGATTCTGCCGTCGATCCAGACGAGGGGTCCGATGCCGGCCTTGCTGTCGAAGTGGCCTCCAACAGCGACGATGAAGCCTGCGCCGGCAGCATTGGTGTGTCGGGGGTGTCGTCGCTGGCTTCGCTTTCTCCCTCGCTGAAGACAAAAAAGGCGTTTCCTTCGTCCTCAGCCATTGCATCGATACCGCCAGTGACAGGCGCGGACGCTGCTCTGACGTCGCCTGATAACGAGCTTGACTGTGCAGCCTGGGGCGTCTGAAACCCCTCACATATCAGCGATATGGCTTCGCTGGTGACCGGGAGCAGGTCAAACTCCTCAGTGAGTCGCTGGGCGCATTCGCTTGAAACCCTGGATTGCGCAAAGGCGAGCACGGCCATAATCGCATGTACAGAAGTTAGCGAGACCCTTGCACCAGCACCTTGAAAACGTCTATGCCACAGATGGTGCGGGGCAGCAAAGAGAGCAACATCAAGGACGGAAAATCCTACCAGATGCCTTCCAGCGACATATCCTTAAAGCTCGTGTATCCTGGGAGCCCATGTAGCCACACAATCAGGTGGTTGTGAAGGCCGTCGACTTCGGCACCCAGAGCCGGCCCCAAGCCCTCGAACGCGAGCATTCCAAAGGGATCGAATGCAAAGCTCTGGTCCAAGCTCACAAGCGAGCCGCTGATCTGGAGGGTCTTTGTGGTCGAGGCCGACTCGCGCACCAGCCAAATCAGGAGTTCGAGGTACCGGCTCCAGCAAACGCGATCGCGCAGGTCGATGGCGGTCAGCGGCGGCACCAATGCCGGATTTGCTGCATCTAGGATGGCCAAAGTCGAGAGTGAGTCCATGTGTGCCGGTGACCGCATTTCTAGCAGCTTCTCTTCGCCAGTCGTCCGGATGCGTCTGAGGAGGATATCGCGGAGCTTGACCATGCCGGTGAGTTGGACAAGACATTGGACGATTTGCACCGGACTGGAGTCGTGGTTCCAAAAGATCTCAAAGTGCGGCGCGCTTGCTGGCAGGATGGGTGGACGGGGCGACCATGGAAGCGTGAAGATCGGCAGCTCCGTCAACGGCGAGGCAACAACCATTTCCACCAAGCCATTGGGTGCCTCAAGGAACGACCGCCTCAGAATAAAGTCGCCCAGCTTGATCGTGTGCTGCTGCGGATTGACCTTGAAGCGCTTCGCCGCCTTGTGTGAAGACTCGAACAGCTCGAGCGACGCTGTGCTAGTATGGCGCTGGAACATCTGCAGGCCCGACTCATAGGAATCCTTGCGTTTGCGCTGGATTCCTGAAGCTGTTCGGACAGAGCCATACGACGCATCAATTGGCGCGACGAAGGGCACGAACTTGGATGAAAGGGAGTGCGGCCCGCCGGAGTGGCGGCTGGAGGAGCCGAGATCCAGCCTCAGTCCCTCGTCCAGTCCAAAGATACTGGCGTCGTCCCCGATTGGAGATGGCAGATAAAGATCCGGGTCACCCATATGCCATCCCTTGTTGATATTGGATTGGGACCTTGACCCGTGATGTGGCAGTTGCGCGAGATTCGGCGATCGGTCCGAGAATGTTGGGGGGCGATGAGTCTCGGGAGACATCATGTTGGGCATAAAGATGGCCTCATGGCTTGAAGCATATCGAAGGGTAGCCCGATTGATGGAGGGCGCTGTTCGGTCACTGGTAGATGTGGCAGGATCAGGGATGTAGCCGTTGAAGTTGGGTGCTTCAAACGGGAAGGGCATACGACCTATGTTAGTTACCCGTCCGACCAGAAGAAAGAGAAAAGCGTGGACCGTGGTAGAACGACAGTATGGCATGGAACAACAAACGCCCGGAATAAGAGCATGTGACAATAGGCGGCTTCAGTCAGAGAGCGACACCATCCAAAAGTCGAGACCAAAGTGAGCCATTGGATGGTATACCCCAACAGTGATACGCAGTCGCGGAGCCATTCGCCGAATTCGTACCTTGCGGGAACAGCACTGATGACAAAGTAGCAGAAGCACTGGGCACGGTGATTCCAGCGGTCGAGGGCTGTGGTGTTGCGGCGGAGATGCAACCAGGATCCACATTGCTGGCTTCCGATTTGGATCCCAGATCGGCGCTGGATAGCGATGAGACCAGCACCGCATGTTTCGGACTTGATGCATTCGGGGGACATTGCTGATCGTTCTTGCGTAGCTGCAAATCCATCTCGGACTGAGTCGAATTTGATCCGGATGCCGCAGCTTCCCCAGAGACACTGTCCGACAGCGATATGCCAAGGATAGGAGGCTGGTCCGATGGTGCTGCGTCGTCAAAAGGGTTCGGTTGGGAAGTTGGCACTCTAGGCGCGATTTGGCGTGAGCCCGTCGGAGTCGCCTGTGCATCGCCCGCGTTGGACGACGGAATCGCCGATGTTGTAGACAAGACGTCGTCATCCACGGACATGATGTCGATTTCTTCGTCCGACTCGGCGCCGCAGTCCGGTGGTTTGTGTGGTTCGTCAACAACTGGCGCCACACTGGCTCGCTTCCTGGCAGAGGCTGGCTTTGAGCTCCTAACCGGCTCCAACGGGTCCTCCTGCATCCCAGTTGCGATTCGCTTCCGTTTCGTCGCCGCGCGAGCAGCGTCCTTGAGAGCGCCGTTGACTCTGAATGGACGTGTGACACCATTCTTTGCCGGAAGCTTGCCCGAGCTGTCGGGCGAGTCGGTGGATGGGCTGAAGGCGAGAGCACCGGCCAGATTCGGACGTCGTTCGATACTAGGGGTGCTGATCGTGTGGACTGCAGAAATAGCGGACGACGCCGGTGCCAAGGCCGATGGTGCTGTGTGCACCCGCGCAGAGTCCGCCATCACAGGGTTCGCAATTGCTGGGGGCTGCTCGGTCGGCTGCAGCTCATCAACCGGGACGTCGCTGGAGTCGTCCGACTCAGAAGTATGAGGCTTGGACGTCGCTATTTGAAAGTCAACGCTGACGCCCTTCTGGTTGACAAAGTAGCCCAATTTGCGCAGGGAGCTCACGTTTTGTTTTCCAAGAAGCGCTGGGCGGGGATGTGGTCGGCTCTCGGCGACTCGCTTGAAGTGTTGCGATATCCTCGAGGATACCGTCGCGTATGGAGTATTGCCGCTGTATAGTCAAGGATACGAATCATGTCAGTCAGTCAAACCAGCGAGATCGTCGGCAATGCTTGAGCGTATGGCTTTGGCGTGGACAAGGGTCTGAGAAGCAACCCAAGGTCCACAAAAGAGTGCGACGGTGCATTGCAAGAAGCACAAGCGGTGCATCAGGCGAACTTGTCTGTATCCATGGCCATAATTGTGCACAGGACCGCAGACAACGATGAACCAACGACTCGGGCGCCCAATGCGAATCCGTGAGTCCTGGGTATCAAACGCATGTCCAGGAGCAGATCGGGTATGTCGAACGCACGGTGTAGACGAACCAGCAGTCCAGAGCCGGCAACGACAACACTCCGCGCGAGTTGATCGGACGATCGTGCCATTGACTCTGGAGCGGCCAAGTGACTCGCCACAGCAACGCAGCCAGCATGGCCCTGTGACAGCCAGCCCCCCCCCAAAATGCCACAGCAACACAAACACCAGGTCAGCGCGGATGATCAGCCTACAAAAATTACCCGAGCGCCGCAAACTTGTGCTTTTGAATACATTCGCTGAGTTCCTTTGGGGTGCATGGCCGGTTGCCCATCTTGAGCAGAGCCTTGACGATGGCGAGAAACACTTTGTCTTTGACGTCCTCCGGGTTCATGCGAACCTGGAACGACCGGTAGGAGAGTACATGGTCGTCTGACAGCACAAAACACGACGAAGGATCGTCGTCGATCTCGAGAGAGGGACTTAAACTGGCTTCGTCGTCCATCGACTCGGTGTCTTCGACCGAGGTTGGATTGATAATCATGAGCGAGCGTGCTGGATCGATCGACACCGGAACTGGCAGTATGGTAAGCAAATGGAGTGAATGGAGTGAGTAGAGTGAGTGGAGCGAGTGGGGTGAAGCAGCCACACCCATCCCAAAGTTGTGAGCGGCAAAGTCGCGGATCAAGAAGCGGTGTATCCAGCCGCAAGCTGAGCGCCGCCGCTGCTCGGCTGCTGGGCATGAATGATGCCGATGGCACTTGCCACCAGGAGACGGGATGGGAGCCAGACGCAAGGCCACTGCACCGCTATCCTGCCGTGACCAGCGGTCTCGGCTCGGCTGTCTGTGAAACAGACAGGACCAGTCCCACTGTGCCAAGGACAGACAGGATCGGTCTGGACGGCGGGGACGGCGGGGACGGCGAGCTTACAAGCGAGATATCCAGAGCCAGAGATCCACGAGACACTCGGCTTGGGGCTTCAGGTGTCGATGGGGCGAGCGACTGACGGGATGGTGCGGTTGAATGCCTTGCAGTATCCGAGGCGGCGGTTGGGCTCTCGATGAGCTGTTGCAGTCGATGGAGGTTCGAGTAGAATAGCAGATCGGGGAAGTGGAATGGGATTGGAGGAGAAGGATATGTCGACAGAGGCTCTGTCAGTCCCGGTCGGCAAGCAGGGCGCATCCGTCAGCCAGCCAGTCAGCCATCAGCAGCCCACTGGGAGATGGATCGTCGGCGTCGTCGATCAGTCCCATCAGTCTGTGAGCGCCAATCCCAGATCTGGCAGCGAATATGCCGACATAGCCGCAGGTCTAACAGTCCATGCAGGTAGCCACGAATGATTTGCAAACGACAGGCAACAGGGCGGCAGCAAGCATTGACGCTGGATGGAGTCGCAGCCATGAGAATGACCCGGGTGCAGGGACATACCCGATGCGGGAGCAGATTGCCGGGGGATGGCAAATCGGCGGGACAGCAAACAGATAAACGGCGGCCGCAACGCAAATGGGGGTATGCAGGCAAACGGCAGGCCTACTGGGCGACAGGCAGCAAGCAGCCAGTGCGACGGCTGCGACGACTGCGATGTGTGCGATGGATGTCAGCAGCAGGCCGAATGGGGATTGGGACGGAGATGGTGCGAATGCCAGAGAGCCCCGCAGCCAAAGCCTTCTCGCCGGCCGTCTCGTCCGCTCTCGCTGCCCGCCGCGCACTGTCTGGCCAGCTCCTCGTCTCGCTCGCGCTCTCGATGTGTCTCTGGCCCGGAAAAAAAAATGACGCGGACAACAAAGGAATGCAAGGAGCTCGCACGACCGGCCGTGCATGATCTTGCTCATGCCGCCGCTGCATCGATAGCAGCCAGGGGGAGAGGGCGTGGTCGAGACCTGGGGGGGGGCTGGTCGGTGCGCCCCGCATGTATTGAGGCGAGTGAGCCCCGGTGAAGAGCGCCAAAGCTGAGCAGGGCTCGCCATCGCACCGGTGTCGCTGCTGGATCGCGGCAGTCGCTCACTCCGCAGTCGGGTTGGAGAACAGAGGCATCGCGCGGCTGATGTGATCGCGGCGAACTGGCAGACTAATCTGCGGTCGAGGGTAAGGCTCCTGTGGCTGCCGGAATCTACGAAGACTGCTGGGCGCTTAGTGTGTTCTTGTCGTCGAGGTATCGCTCCACAAGTTCCTACAGTCGAGGATGAGAAACAAAGATAAGCTACAGGAAACAGCCGCTGGAGCCGAATCGCGCGGATGTCGGCGACCACAGTTGCCTGTATCGCTAGTGGGTCGGGCCTGAACCAGTCGAGGTGGTTGCATATCGACACTGCGAAGCAAGTCTGCCAATACAATGGGCTCGGCCCGACAACCGGCCATACCTGACGCTTGCGGCGCACAAGCCACTCTTCGACTTCCTTCTGACTCGGAATCGCAAGCCCGCCGAACTGGAGGAATGCACCGGGCCCCTCGGTTGATACTGGCACTTGAGATGCCGTGTTCACGTCGATTTCTTGTTCGCTTTGATCTATGGACGGCGGGAGCGCAACGGTGGTCCACGAGCTCGTCAGTTGGACGGTCATAAAATGCCACTACTTGGCCAGCACCATGATACAGGCCACTCACCGATATTTTTCTGGGCATGCTTCTCATACGCCAGCAGCTTGCCGTCATCTTCATCTCGGTATCCGTAATAATCGGCATCAACGCATTTGTACATCTCGAAACGACTACGGGCAGACTGCCGACCGGCTGTATAGCAGACGCAGATGGTGTGAGGAAGAAGCAAGACATGCTGCAGCATAGATGGCTGGGCTAAAACACTCGATCTCGCAAAGCGACAGCCGATCGGACGAGATAGCCGCGTCCTCAGGGATTCCAGAACGGGGTCGCAGGAGGAATCGTTTCGGAGATATGATCCAAGCCCAACTGACTGGATGAAGAGATACTCATAACGGTGCCAGCTGACATCCCCAAAGCCCCGAAATGCAGATATCAACCCAGTATACCTGGAGCTTCAAACAACTCCTTGACGCCGGGAAGGTCTTTAGCTCGCCCAAAATACCTGGCGAGGCAGCAGAGTGTCAGCCACGGTTTGCAAGGAGGCCGAGCAGAGAATCGTCCGCGGGTCCATCAGGGCGATCGATCGGGGGCTACGAACAGAGTGTTGGAGATTTGGTTGTTGATGCAAGACATACTCACCGATATCCTCGACTGCCTGGGACCTCACGGCCCTCGTCGTCGGTGATTTTGGGTGCGCTTTTCTAGCAGGACCAAGGATGTCATTTCGTCAGCCATCGCATCAAAACGTGACGTATTCTGGGTCGCCATAGGTGTTTCGCCTTGACTCGCTGGACCTGAAGTGGGCGTAATCCTGCAGCTTCACACATGGATTCCAGGACCAAATAGCCCTGCTCCAGGCTGGACGGCGAGTCACGGCAAGTCACGGCATCCCGAGAGCCAGCTCGCAGCCTAGACTTGATTACAAAAGGTTGTTTGGAACATCCGCACATACCCGGTAGTCCGGTCCTCCCAGTTCCACGATGCGGTTTTCCCAGTGCCGCTTTTCACGAAACAGCTTGTTGATCTCGTCGTTCAGATCCCGAATCTGGAACTCGGTCAGGCCCGCTGCAGAGGCGGGGGTGTCAATAGATTGCTTTAGCTCCGAGATATCTGCAGGTAGCAACCATGCCGCCATAGAGCGTGTGCATTGCGTGTGCATTGCGGGGCTGATCGAGCTGTCGCATGCACGACGCAAGCGAGTCGATGCCTGGGTCATCGTCGTCACTTGGAGTTGAGAGGGCCTGTCACGAACGAGACGGGCTGCCCGATCCGAAGAGCCACAGGAACAACAAATTTCGAAACTGATCCATGGCGAGGATATTCAGGCTCACTTACTGTCTTGAATCTTCGAGACCTTCTTGGAGATCTCGCCGATGATCTGGTATCGCCACTTCTGAGCCTCGCTGGCATCGTCGCATTCGGAGGCCAAATAGGGCCGGCGTTGCTTCTGTTTTTTGATTCCGAGCTCTGCCTCCTGGGCCTCTCGGAACCGATACAGCATTGACTGGGCCTTTTCCTCGTTTCTCGCCATGTTGGATCAGCGGCTTGGTGCGGATGGGGGGCGAGGGACTTGGACTCGGACAGCGACAGATCAAGAGAGGGAGGGAGGATCGAGCGGGCTGGCCGAAGGAGGCCGTTTCATTGGTGGGTGGCCTGTGCGACCGAGACGAGACGACAAGCCAGCGAGCCTTGGTGGGCGTGGGAACCGCCGATGCTTCGAATACCAACGTGCATGTGGATGCAAATGCACGATACTGACAAGTGGCCAACATCAGATGTCATCCTAGCGCTGATGCCCAACGATGCCGTCGCGACTTTGGGACTGGCAAACTGCCATGAGAGCTGCCGTGTGATGCATCTCGTATCGATGAGCGCTGCACTCGACACATGCTGTGCTGATCAACGTCACTCGGTCGGATCGATCAACGTCACTCAGTCAGGTCGATCAACGTCATTCAATCCAGCCCATCTCCGTGCTGAGGTGTCGTTTCAAAACAGGCACGCTATAATAAGCAGGACTACATCGTCCAAGGCAGCTTCTGCCCTCCAAGCCTGTCGCTCGACACCCCAAATCTTCCAAGCCTTCGAAACGACCTCCGCGGATCCATTGGACACAACCTGCGCTTCCACTCCTGACAACCGACATGACCACACCTGCTGAAAAGGCCTGCCTGATCGTCATCGACGGCTGGGGCGTCTCCGAGAGCGCCGATGCCACGGGCGATGCCATCCGCAACGCCAGCACGCCCGTGATGACCGACCTGGCTGCCCGCTACCCATCCACCACCCTGGCTGCCCACGGCCTCGCCGTCGGCCTGCCCGACGGCCTCATGGGCAACTCCGAGGTCGGCCACCTTAACGTCGGCGCCGGCCGCATCGTCTACCAGGACATTGTCCGCATCGACCTGTCGATCCAGACAAAGACCCTCGGCGATCAGCCGGCCCTCGTCGCCGCCTTTGATCGGGCCAAGAAGGGAAACGGCCGTCTCCACCTGCTCGGGCTGGTCTCGGACGGCGGCGTGCACTCGCACATTGTCCACCTGTTCAACATCCTCGATGCCGCCAAGAAGCACAAGGTGCCGTCGACCTATATCCACTTCTTTGGCGACGGCCGCGACACGGCGCCCCGGTCCTCGGCCACGTATATGGAGCAGCTCCTGGCCCACACCAAGTCGATTGGCTATGGCTCGGTGGCCACGGCGACGGGCCGCTACTATGCCATGGACCGCGACAAGCGCTGGGAGCGCATCAAGATTGCCTTTGACGGCCTGGTCCAGGGCAAGGGCGAGGAGACCAGCGACATTGTCGCCACCATCCACGAGCGCTACGCCAAGGACGAGACGGACGAGTTCCTCAAGCCCATCATTGCCAACAAGGACGGCCTCGTCGGCGACAACGACACGCTGGTGTTCTTCAACTACCGCTCGGACCGCATGCGCGAGATCACGCAGGCCTTTGGCATTGCGCCGATCCCGTTCGAGACCGAGAAGGCGCCCTTGAACATTGTAAGTAGGGCTGCAGTTGTGTGCGGTGTGCGGTGTGTGCGGTGTGTGCGGTGTGTGCGGTGTGTGCGGTGTGCGGTGTGCGGTGGTGATGTCTAGGTAGATCCAAATGCGGAAGTCGATGCAAATGTGGATGTGGATGCATCGGTGATTGCGATGGAGCGGCATGGTCGCTGGTGTGTGGCATGCTGGCCGAGTGTGCCAGTGATCATTGTCGTCATCGTTGCAACCATCATCATCACCACGGCCGCCATCACCACGGCCGCCGCTAACCCTCCCGATCTCTTCTTGCCGATCCCGCCGCCAGTCCATCACCACCATGACCCAGTACAAGGGTGACTATCCCTTCCCTGTCATCTTTGCTCCCCAGACCATGGACAACGTCCTCGCCGAGTGGATCAGCAAGAAGGGAATCCGCCAGAACCACATTGCAGAGACCGAAAAGTACGCCCACGTCACCTTCTTCTTCAACGGCGGCTCCGAGAAGCAGAACGTCCACGAGGACCGCGAGCTGATTGCCTCGCCCAAGGTCGCGACATACGATCTGCAGCCCGAAATGAGCGCCAGCGGGGTCGCCGAGAAGGTTGGTACTCTGCTGCTGCTGATGGAGAGTGGCTGCGGGTGCTCTACTGGTGCTCTGCTGGTGCTCTGCTGGTGCTCTGCTGGTGCTCTGCTGGTGCTCTGCTGGGTTTGATGAACTTCGGAGCAGCTGCACTCTCGCTGGCCACCAGCATGCTGCATCCTGACTGGCAATTGCATCCCACTCACTCGCTCACTCACTCACTCACTCACTCACTCACTCACTCACTCACTCACTCACTCACTCACTCACTCACTCACTCACTCACTCACTCACTCACTCACTCACGCACTCACTAACTTGTCGCTGCGCTTGCTCAGGTCGCCGAAGTCATCGCCACCAACAACTATCCGTTTGTGATGTGCAACTTTGCTCCTCCGGACATGGTGCGTCAGTCCCGACCAAGGAGGCAGGGATGCGGCTGGGCTTGCGAGAGTGTGCTTCGCAATCTTGTCGCCGACCCCGTCGAATCGTCGATCCGCTGGTCGCAACATCCTTCTCACGCATTCGCCATTCACACCCACTCACTCGCCCGCTCACCCACTCGTTTGCAATCTGCCTTGCTCACCTGCCGATCAGGTCGGCCACACCGGCAAGTACGAGCCAGCCATCAAGGGTGTCGAGGCCACCGACAAGGGAATCGGCGTCATCTACGAGGCCTGCAAGAAGCACGGCTACGTCCTGTTCATCACTGCCGACCACGGCAATGCCGAGAAGATGCTTGCCGAGAACGGTCAGCCCCACACGGCCCACACTTGCAACCCGGGTAAGGCTGAGGCTGGGGAGATGCAGATGGCACCCATGTCGCCGGTCGTTGGGACCAGAGACAGGGCCGACGAAGGGCTTGGCGATAGCAAGACTATGGCGGCGAGGCGTGGTGGTCGCCAGATGGCAGACTTGGTGGCTCGGTCTGATGGCGGGTCTAATGACCGAGTTGGGTCCTTTGGATCGTGGTGCTTGACACAAAATCGACTCATCCGCCTGTTGGACACTGCCGCGTTGGACACTGCCGCCCGGTGCTGTGCACAATCATTGACATCCACATCGCATCCACATCGCATCCACATCGCATCCGCATCGCATCCACATCCGCCACGCAGTTCCCTTCATCATGACCTCCACTCGACACAACTTTGCTCTGCGAAGCGATGCGGCTCTGTGCGATGTTGCCCCCACCATCCTCGAGGTCATGGGTCTTGACATCCCCGCCGAGATGAGTGGCAAGTCCCTTATCGACAGGTAACTCCTCCATCCCTATACGGCTTATGAACCTACGATTCACCCTTATGAATCCGCTTCCGTGTTCGTCGAGAGTCAGAGCTGAGTGCCTGCGTTCTTACAATCCATCACTCTCTGCGATCTTTTGGAATCCCATCAGACCTGTTGCTGCGGCCCGGAGCAGCAAAACATGCTCCATTATTTAGTTTCAGTAGCTTCGCCCGATGAATCCTCCTGGGCAACATACGCCGCGCTGCTTCAACTGCGATTGCGCCATTGTCGTGATGGTTTGGCTGTATGCTACTCAAGCCGCAAACTCCCTGTTAAGCAACACTCTGTCTGTGCTGGCAAGTATTCTATGGAGTGTACTTCGACTTTGCTGCGTTTCATAAATTGGCAGCAGACACTGCTTCTAATAAATGGATAAGGACACAGTCCACCCCCATAAATCGAACTATTTGGTCCCTCTATACGACTGCCATATGAAACTCTCTCCTTCAAGGACTCCTATGAGCACGCTTGCCCCTGGGAGATGTCGTGTCGTGTCAGCGTCTCTTGGTGCTGAACTGAGGGCTGAGGGCAACATAACGGCGAGTCCAAATCGCCAGGACATGGTGCCCCACTTTATTGTACAGCAATCACAAAACGCAACACTCTGTGGTCAAAGCATTGGGCTCGCTGAAGCATGAACATACGCTCGCCATGTCTATGTCCTGGATTGATTTCCTCGCAATCACGAACAGGGCTCCAACACAGCCAAAGTACACTGCCGCTCTAGGAGATCGACCTCGTATATTCAAGATCGTGCACTCTACGACATACTTGTTGTCAGCAATCGGCAGAAAAAACAGCGGCCCTGATGAACCAAGGAGCTCCAACTGATGAATGTCGCCCGATAATGTGCGAGTGTTCTAAGCAACCAGAGAATCTCACTATCGTTTGGCTGATGGCGAGAGAATCAGATAGCATGGTTGTTGCCAAGTGTGGGTTGGCCGGAAGCTACGGAACCAGGGAGCTCGTCCCTTTGGACGGCTTATGGTCGGTTTCCGCCAAAGCTCCCAAATGTAAAGTGATTCATGTTATCTGAAAGGGTACTGGGCTCATCTACTATCATTCGGTTCGAGGCAGCCTCGGGATTGTCGCCAACAATGGATCCGGCATTAGGGCCAAGTGTGTTTCTGGTCTCGACACCGACAAAGTTGGCGAGGGCGGTCTTGATTCTGTCCTTGACCTCAGCGTCGCTGTCATCCACGAGCTTTGTGAGCCTCTCCTCATATCCGTATCGCCGAAGCAGTTTGATGCGCTCCTGTGCGCCTGGATCCTCGGGCCAAGTTGAGTTGATGACGCACCAAGCTGCAGCCAGTCGAATCTGAGGGGAAGGGTGTTCCTGAGCGGATGCAGAGGTACACGCGCACGGCCGGACGAAAACATAATCAGCATCATAATCTCCAGTGATAGGTCAAAACAACGAGGAGGCAGAAGATATGGCCCCACCATCCGCCACACTGTGATGCTCCTTCGTATTGTGCAGCATTGCTTGCCGCGTATTCGACAACCCACCAGATGCCGGAGTATGCTGCCCCGAATCGCCTCCGAGTTTACAATAGAGTTTTGGTGCTGCTCTCGGCCTGTCAGGATATTGACGACAACAAAGAGTGCCTGCACCATGACGTCGATAGATTCGTTTGGGTTCGTGAGGCGTTGCTCGAGGTAACGAATCAGCTCATGCTCTCCCAAACCGACAAAGACACGATTGACATCCTTGATTGAGAAAGATCATGAGTCAGCTGCTCGGGCACTGGTGGACGCAAAGAAGCATTGCGGCAGACCGGTGACGCTCTGGGCAGTCTCGGCTCCAAACCAAGCGACAGTGCGCACGGATCGAGAGAGAAAGAGCTGCCCAGCACGAGGACTCTCACACCAAGCATCAGACCCACTCGCACATGGCCGGATTCGAGCGGTGCGGTCTGTACGTCTTTACCGTTTCGCCTCCGCAAACCAGATTTCTCAAGAAGCTCAGTGCCTGTTCTTGAATTCCTGGTGCGGGATCATCCATGAGCCTAAGGATTGCAGTGTTGGTATAAACCCCGGTAGCGCAATGGACGGCGAGGACAGGCCGTAGTCATAAAGAAATAAATGGAAGAAGAGAAAGAAACACGGGTGAGGCGGGTGGTGGTAGCCAGCACGGAGAACCAGCGTTGCGCTATCGGGTATATATTAGGTGCGCAGGAGCGAGAAGCAGCCGAGAAGAAGCAGTAGACAAGCATGCACAGCGAGGGATACGACGATGATCAGCACGACGAAGAGCATATCATACGTTCTCAGAGTGGCCCAGCCCATTTTGGACATGACGCTGTCTTTCAGGGCCGAATCCGCATGGAAGATCAGGTTTTTAAGACTCCACACGCTATTCAGCCTCAGACTGAGATCGGTCGAGCACACGAGGGAGACCAGCCTCTGGACACCGCCACTTTCGACAAGCGTCTTCTTCATGGGGCTGAAGTCGAGCACGATGTTGCAGAGAGTCGCAAGGGCTGTGTTTTGGACTTGCGCAGAGGCATCGTCGAGCAACGGGATAAGCGCCTGCGAGATCCCGGCATCCATCAAGCAGGTTCGGAGATTTTTGACGCTTCGTGAGAGACTCCGGACGCAGCTGCATGCCGCTGCTCGGATCGGGCTGCTCCGATGGTTGAGGCACGCAATGATGCCAGGCAGTAGCTTTGCGTCGATGACCTGAATTGCTCGGAGCGCACGGTGGAGTTGCAATGCGCAGGATAGGACCAAATATGTCAGATTCCAGGCTCGGCCAAGCTATGTCGCCGGGGGGGGGATACGCAGCACGGTTGAGCGATTTGCGACTGACCTGCTTCCGACACTCTTCGCGGAGCGAACAAACTGCTGCAATGGCGACGAGGGTGCTCTGGAGAAGCAAGGCACTCAGTCGATTAGTGATAGTCGCATGCTGCGTTGCGTCAGTATTGCTTGCGTCGATAAGACATGGCACGTCGAGAGAGCAGTGAGGGCCGCCAATTGCACCGGACGAGGGCCCTTTGACAGAGCGCAAGCAGAACCGAGCAGAACCGGACACCTGCACAACCTACCTCGACAAGCTTCTCGCTATGGGCCGCAGATATCTCCATCTTGGGAATGACGGGCTCGTCTTTGGTGCCGGGCTTTGGCTTGGCGTTAGGGCCAAGGAGGGGCGAAGGACTGGCAGCTGCCAAAGGGGACCGGTTCAAATCCTTATCAAAGCCGGCGGCGAACGCAGTGTGGATGAGGCCCGCCAACTTGAGCACCGCCTCGTTTTCCATGGCTACCCGCTGGTACTCTTCGCTTTCGCCAACCAGGCTGGCAAAGACGAGAGGAGCTTGTTCCTGCACGGTGCATGTTGGGCCATGCGTGGGCACAGGTGATGTGTCCGAGAACAGGCTGATGACGGTCGGTAGCACCATGAGCGGCATTTCAGATTTCTGTCGATATGGCAGCTCGACAACGCCAGCGATGCTGGTTAGGCTATGGATTGGGACCGTGTGAGTTGCAGTTACAGCGCGACAGTCAGTTGATTTCATTGATGAAGGACGTGGCGTGGGGCAGCAACTGGAGAAACTGGAGCAGCAGGAGCAGCTGGAGAAACACGGTTGATATACCCACCATTTGGCGGCGAGTAGCCGCAGCGATGACCGTTTCATGCTCAAGAGCGCAAAAATCAAGTCCAGCGACGCAGAGCCTTCCGAGCCTGCATTGATTGAGAAACATCAGCACGTTCATGTCGATCGCCAGCATCCTTATAGAGCAACGGCAGCTGGTGCGCTCTATGAGCACGGATGAACACCCTCCTCGATCCCAAACGCCTTACTTTTGCACGACAAAATAGCATCGGCGATGCCTTTGTTGCCATGCGACAGATTTGCCAGCGCCTCGAGGGCAGCCTCCTGGACCTTGGCATAGGACGCCCATTTGGGCTCAAGCAGATCGACAAAGCGCGGAATGGCACCGGCGTTGAGGATGGCGAGCTGCTCCTGGTGTGTCGAGGGCAGTTTCGAGAGGATGGTCGCGGCAATCTCGGTGATCTTGACAGGCACCTTGACAGCTCCCTTCTGTGTGAAGGCCGAGGTGGTTGGAACGGGGGGGCCAGTTCGGAGGTGGTTGTCGCTCGGAACCAAAAGACGGACGAGATCGGCGAGGAAGGTCGACTGGTGGGGAGTTGGCCGATCAGATCAGAAACAGACGGGGCAATGATCAATGGCTTCATCAACAAGTTCAGAGCGGAGGGAAGAGCGGGGAATCGCTGGATCGAGCAAGCATCCACAGCCAAATCGTGGCACTTGCCTGGAAAACCTCGGCACGGGGGGCATCCTGGTGAAAGAATATGGACTTCAGAGCGCGCGTCGACGACTCGACAAGACGCAGGTTGGGCGAGGCAATGCAGCCAAGCAGGGATTTCGCAGCGGTCGAGTCCACGGCGGAGACGGGCTCGGTCTCCCCGGCTGCAGACCGTCGATGTGGATAATGAAAGTCGTGGCGGAAAAGTGGGTGCCCAACACATGGCGAGCCACCGATCGATGCGACACGATCGGACACCAGCCGAGACATGGGAGAGCACCGGTGAGTCGTGTGGAGAGGGGCAAGGATGCACCCGGCAGGAGCCCTGAGGATGCAGGCAAACCGGCGAGTAGAACCGCATACGCAGCGAGTAATCGGCGAAGACAGCGGAAAGGAATTGGCATCATTAGCGGCTCTCACCGATATATATGCTACCGAGGATCACCGACGCCTCGATTTTAATGTCGACGGATGTTTCGGGCGCGGAGAGCAACTCGATTAACCTGGACAGCGCGGGTGAGGGGTGAGCTTGCTACGTAGGGAACCCAACTTTCATTGATACCGACACCGATGGCCGATGGCCGATGGCGAGATCGATATCGATATCCGACCACTCAGTTGGTGCATGCGCCCAAGGCGGCCAGTGCCGGTGATCCCGATGCAGGATATTCAGTTTCGCATGGGCGATCGCTTGGAATGGCCGTGACCGCAAGAGCAAAAGCAAGAGCAAAAGCAAGAGCAAGCGAGAGGCGATGGCCAAGCGGTGTCTGCCGCGAAGATGGCCCGAGCGACGAAACTTTGACGCCTACCTCGGCACAACGCCCAGACCAGTATAGAGACCCTTCTTGGTGGGGTTTCCAATGACCGAGTTTTTGATCAATCGCAGGGCACGCAGGCATGCCGCCGGATCTTGGTCCAGCGAGACTGACGCCAGGGTGTCTTCAAAGGTCGAGTGAACCATGGGAGGTGCGGGGCCACGAGCCAGGCAGATAGGGGAGGAGATTGACTGGGATCTGCGTCGTGACGAGCAGCCGCACGAACAACAAGCCGAGCCGTCCGGAAAGATGCGTTAGTCTCGCGAGTACCGAGCCCGCTGCAGAACAGTGGTCGCAACGATTGTCAGGGAGCAAGCAGAAGCGCTGGGACAAGACCAGGGCCGAGCGGTGACGGGCGCGGTCGACCCCGCTGGCTCCAATACCGCTGGTTGTTGGGCTCGAGCCATTCGGCCAAGCGGAAGAAGCGCTTTCCCGCTCAGGCGCCCCAGCCGGACCTCTCTGGGGGATGGAAGGACGTCCACGGCAGAGTGCAGCGGCGACAGCAACCAGGACGCCATGCCGACCAGAGTCGACGCCGGAGGAAGCAGCGAAGGACAGCACGGGCATTGCGCTCTTGGCCGAGTTCATGAGCGCCAACCAAACGAGGACGAGCCCAGCCAGGTTCCTCGCAGTCAAGCCAAGCACCAAGCGAGCAGGCAGCGAAGGCGACAAAAAACGGCCGGCAGAGAATACGGCGGGCAGCAACGAACCAGCAGCGGAAAGCGGCAAACGAGCCGGAGAAGCGTCCAGGATGACTGGGCATGCGACGAGCACGCAACGGGATGGGATGGGATGGGATGGTAGCGCCAGGGTCTGGATACGGGAGCCAGCAGCAGCCGAACGAAACCGACCAGGGCAAACAGAGCAGAATAAAGCCGAGCAAGGACGGGGGGCGATTGTTTGAGGCGAATCTCGTTTTGCGGGAGCCAGCACACGAAGCCGGCTGGCCCTCACGAGCGTCGTTTCTTGACTGTGATTGATCGGAAAGAGACCGGACGGGGGTGGAGCAGAGGGCCAGCAGCGAGAAAGCGCAATGCTGGGGGCAAGGACTCGGTGCTCCCGACTGAACCGAACCGAACCGAGCAATCAGCACCATGCAGTTCGCAGCGATCGCCGGGGAGGAAGAAGGGATATTCGAGAGCCATTGCTGGCATCCCCAGAATCGCCCAAGCAACAGTATTTCCTCTCTTTCCCGCTCACTCTCCAAGAGGGAACGTCGCTTGGTGTATGGAGGAGGATGGCCCCTGCGTCCGGCCCGAGAGGGCGGTGGATGGTGGGCTGGGAGTGAGTGCCTTCCTGATCGAGGTGCGCTATATTGATGGCGGGTGTGGAATAGCCGCACCAAGTCGGCTGCGATCCGCCACGATGGCCGGCAGGCGGCGAGCATTAGGCCATTTCGTCGTCCTGGATGTTCATGCCCTCCATCTCCTCGAGCAGCTCGTCCATGTTGATCTCGGGGAAGTCCTCCTCTGGCTCGTCGTCTTCGTCCATCATTTCGTCGTCGTCCTGGTTCTCCGATTCGATGATGGGGACAACCTTGTTGCTCTGGGCGGCGTCTGCAAACCAGGACATGAATTGGATTGGTAAATCGGGCCAGACTGCATCGCCGAGAATGAAAGGGAGCAGTGGGTGTTGCACCGGAACGCTGAGTCCCCCCCCCGACTTGACAGTAAAATCGTGACTTTACCTTTGTAGAGGTTCACCATGCTGCGGAGCTCGGGGTCTTCTTCCAGATCCCGCAAGAACATCTCGTAGTCCAGCTCAGCTTTGGCCTTCTCGCTCTTGGCTTTGACGACACCCTCTTCCTCTTCCTTAGCGAGCTGCTGCAGCTTCCAGTTGCGAGTGCGTCTCTTTCTGCGGGCGTTGGGATAGGCCTTGCGAACCAGTACCACATCGGGCAGTCCGCCGCGGCTTTGGGCAGCCTGGGAGAAGATGTCGTACTCGGTGTTGTTGAAGTTGGCGTTGACAAGATTGTAACCCATTACATGGTCGCCCGGACGCAAGATATGGCCCAGATGTGTTCGCACGAGCCAAGTGGTGTTGAGGTCGTTGGACAAGGCAACTTCGGCAGTCGCAAGCATGTACTGAAACCAAACAGCACACAGCCCAGCGTCAACGGTTGTCTCTCTCGACGACTTTGCCTCAGCGAGCTACAGGACACTTTGGCAATGCAACTCGACAGGAAAGTGCTGCCGAGGGAGATTCGTATCTACCTTTCCATTGTGGACTCCTTCGGGCTGAATATCGATGACGTAGAACTCGACCAGCTCCTTGGCATCGCAAAGTGACGTGAAGGGCGACTCCCAGAAAACAGCGCCTCTCAATTCACCGACTGACCGACGTTGCGATGGCGGGGCGATGGCGGGGCGAATTGCAAATGAAGCAAGGGTATCGGTGAGCAGGCGTTACCGCACAACAGAGGGAGTAAACGACAGAAAGGTGGTCAATGGTGATGGCAGTGATTGTCCGGTTGGCGAGAAACGGGTCCGCCCGTTGACACAGGTCGACACATGCAATCTTGATCGGAGCCACTCACCCCGGAGCGAGTTGAAGTCGAGCAGCTGGAGTGAGTTTCCGACGCGAGTGCAAAGAGCGAGGGGGCTGATGTTTGACAGCGACCGGGCCACCTTCATGGGCAGACACACCAGATCGTCCTACACGACCGAGCGGGCGAAAGTATCGAGATTGTGATTGCCATTAGTTTGAGCCAGCCAGCCGAGGAGCACAGATGAATATCATCGTCCAGGTGGCAGCCGAGGAGCCAGTGCTACTGTGGTGTTTGTGCCGTCTTTCTTGCCGTGGAAGTGAAACGCAGTCAAGGGAGGATACTTGCCTTGCAGATCGGCACCAGCTCGACTGAGTAGGTGAATTTGTAGTTGGCCGTTCCGGCGTGAATGTCGGTCGAGATGAGCTGCTCGGAAGTCTTGAGTCTGAGAAAGGGACCCAGCGAGTGTTAGAGCCCAACGATCTGGACCCATCTACTATCTTCCATCTTCCATCTTCCATCTCAGTGATGGCTGTGCGCTGCCAGGAATATGAACAAGCCCCCCCCCTGATGCGCCGACACATGAACTGACCGCAGCGGGGTGATGGCCTGGAGGAACTCGACCATGCGGATGGCGTGGGATCGGTTGGCGTAGTAGAAATCAATGCCGTCCCGAGCCTCCTTGATATTTGTGGTATCTTTGTGGGCGTTGTGCTTGAGAATGAGCTGTTCGAGCCACAGGAAGGTGCGCTTGTGGGGGACCTGAAAAATGCAGATGGTGCGCGAGTGAGAGAGATATCCTCAGACACCCTGAATCTGAAAGCGCACCAAGGGAACGGATGGGATCGCAGGCGGAGAAGAACCACGGTGCCAGAAGGACGGAAGGAGGGGAATATGCGAGAGAACGGGCACCTTTTGGCGGACTTGGACTGCGGCTTTCCAGGTCAGCTGGGCAGCGACTCGAGTGCACTCCTCGCATTGCTGGCCGCTGACGATGAACTCGACGACAAAGACTTGCTGGAGAATGGTCGAGGCAAACACCTGGCCAAGCAGAGACGTGAATGAGCTCACAGGCGCAGTCGATCCGAGGTCAACAGGGCGGGTGCCTCTGATATCGCCACAGCTGACTCCAAGGACAAGCTGGCTGCTCTCTTGCTAGCAGGAGATTCGCCGCTCCTGCACAGCCACGACTGCCTCCTAAAAATTTTGGCTCGCTGCGTTCGGATGGCCCACCTCCTTCTGGATCGTGAGCTTGACCTTGATTCTGCGAGAGTGAGGCTCTGTCCAAACAAAACCAGCGTCGATCAGGCGGACCTTGGAGAGGCCCTTGAGCTTCTTGAGACACAGGGCGAGAAGCTCGCGGGACTCGAGGGCGCAGTTGACCCAGATGTTGGGCGGCTGCAGGTATCGCTCGCAGCCTTTGCAGAAATGCAGGGTGCCCTGCTTGGGGATGCCCTCGGTGATGTCGACCTCATTTCGGATGCAGTTGACGCAGAGGTTGGCGGGGTTGGGCGCAATCGTGGTGCCGCAGGAGGCACAGAGGCTGGCAAAGGGACAGAGGCCATTGTGAGTCTGTGGCAATGGGCCAGAGCTGGACAGAGGCGAGGCAAGCCGGGTGCGGCCTCCATCTCGAATGGAAGTCGATGGCTCGGACCGAAACCGGCCAGAGACGGCACAACCGAGCGACGGCGACTCGGACACAGCGCATTATGGACCCACATTCTCTGCTCCGTATAGGTTGGGATGTGCTCCATAGGTGCGGGGTAATCACAGATGTGTTGGGCGGCAGCCGAGAGGAGTCTGGGTTCAGATGGAGCTCAGACCAGCCAGAGGGAAGCGACACTCGCTTTCATTCAGGCAGAGGCGCAGAAAAAAAAAGAGAGTTGGTCACGCCGATTTCAAACTCCGAGCGTGACACAGGGTTGCTGGGCTGGACGACGAGCGAAGGTCTGGGTGCTGGGCCACCGGCGAGGGCCTGGGACAGCGGGCGATTTCGAAGCTGGTGCGGCAGCAGCGACCGGCAATAGCGGCTCTGGGAAGGTGTGCGCCGTTTGATGGGGGGGGGCACTATCAACACGGGTATCCAGTTGTGGTATTCATAGTGTATATATTGGAAGGAAAGGCACGCAAAACTTGAGGGGACATCCCGATTAGCCAGCACAAGGCAGGTCAATGGCAGAGGGAAGGTAGACGAGCGAGGCAGAGACAGCCGCGGGAACGGATCCAAAAAGCTCGCATTGGATAGTAGCCTGTAGTTTACGGCAAGCGGAGCAATACGAGCAGAGGCGCCGCCGACAACGAAATCGGCCTCGGAGGACGCACGGTGGGCTCAAATGGCCTCTCGGATTGAGGAGCTGAAGCTGCTTCGCGAGTGTGTCGAGATGCGATCCAGGCGCCGGGCGCTTCGGAGGACACGGAAGACCTTGAGCTCGGTTTGGACGGAGCTGATGGCGTTCCGCCACATCTCACGGGGGTCGCGCTTTCCGTCGTTGGCGTGGAGAGTGACCTGCGGTCCAATGATGGCCTCAAAGTCAATGTCGTCATGGGCGACAGCGTGGTGGTCCGTATGAGTGGGAGCAGCAAGCTTTCGGCGGAGGGTCGGGCCAAGGCATTGATGCACAATCTCATCCGGGACGAGCCGAATAACAGCGCCGAGCGGGAGGGACACGAGACCGATGGCGATGCATATGGCCCACTGACCACCCGAGAGCGGCAGGGTCTTGAAGGCAACGCCACCGAACTGGACGATGATGGCCTGACAGACAATGACGGCGACGAACACGATGACAAAGTAGACGTTGCGGAAAATGGTCTTGAAGACATTCAGGTGGCTGTCAACTCGATGACAGCTGGAGAGGCACGGGGAAGTACGGTTAGCAATCGAGCGTGGAACGACCCGAGTCAAGGTACAGCTGATATGGCTGTGGGTCGAACGACTTACTTGATCATGTTGAAGATTTGGAGCCACACAAAGGTGTTGAAGAGGATGGTGGTGAGGATCTCCTTCTGGTTCAGCACAACCGGGTCGGTTGATGAGGTAAGGATGCCGCCGACAGCGGCAAGTTCGCGGAAGCCAAACAGGTCCGGGCCCTTGAGGAGAATCAAAAGGTTGACGATGATCTGGAACACCGATTGGCCCAGGATCATCTTCCACATCTCGATGGTGATGAGCGGGTGGCTCTTGGACTCGGGAGGCCGGTCCAGAAGCTCGCGCGTCGGCAGATCGGTGGCATAGACAAGAGCCGCGAGCGAGTCCATGATCAAGTTGACCTGGAGGCACCGATGGCCGGCAGGCGGAGCCAGTGTCAGAGGGGTCAGGCAAGTCGAACAGGAATGCAGGCCAGGCAAGTTGAGCAGGATTGCAGGTCAGGCAAGTCGAGGAGGCATGCATCCACACAACATCACCACTCCCACATCACCACTCCCACACATCACCGCTCCCACACATCACCACTCACACACCACCCCACCACACCACCCGCCTCGCTCCGTCGCTGTCAACTCACCCAGAGGAGTTGCACGGCGCTCAGGGCCGAGCCTTGGTCTGCGTCCAGCAGCGCACTCACAAACGCAACAACAACGGCCGTCACATTGACCGTCAGCTGGAACTGCAGAAACTTCTTGACGCCGTCGTTGACGCACCGTCCCCACATCATGGCCTTGACAATCGATGCAAAGTTGTCGTCCATCAGGATGATCGACGACGCCTCCTTGGCCACCTCTGTGCCGGCGATCCCCATCGAGAACCCAATGTCGGCCATCTTGAGGGCCGGTCCGTCGTTGGTGCCGTCGCCGGTGACTGCCACGGTTTCCTTGAGATGCTTGAGCCGTGAGACCAGGATCTGCTTGTCGGTGGGACTCGATCGGGCCAAGACCTGCAGTCGGGGAATCACCAGGTCCATCTCGGCCGGAGCCAGGCTGCGGAACCGAGGACCCTCCATCACAATGCCTCCCGGCTGGTAGATGCCGCACTGCTTGGCAATCGACACTGCCGTGACAATGTTGTCGCCCGTGACCATTCGCACAACGACTCCGGCCCGTCGGCAGTCCTCGACGGCCTCCTTGACGCCTGGTCGCAGCGGATCCTCGATTCCGACAATCGCCAGGCAGGTGAGTCCCTCAATACCAAGTCCGGTGAGGGATTTGGGATGAGCTAGGATATCGGCGTCGGAGATTTTGATACGATCGAAAAATTCAGCCTCGGTTTCAACCTCCACACCAGGGGAGTGATCGTGGTGGGCTTTAACTTCTTCATACATAGCCTTGACAACAGCTAATCGCCCCTTTCCTTGAATCAAGCCATTCAACTCGGCCTCGGTGAGATCGCGATATGCAATGCAGAGCGTTCGCAGCGACTCTTTGGCAAACGACTGGATGATCCGGCCCATGTTTCGGCGCTCAGGCGGACTGGCTCCGCTGAACTCGACTTGGCTGCCGTGAGCCACAAGGATGTTCTGGCAGTATCCAAGCACCACCTCCGAGGCTCCCTTGACATGCAGTCGATAGATGGCGGCACCCTGGCTGTTCCTCAGCTTGACCAGCGTGGCCATGGACTTGCGCTCGGACGAAAACGGATAGATCTGGACGGTCTCCATGTGCGGCTGCGTCCGCAGGTCGGCCGGGTTGCCCCCCATCTTCTGGATCCAGTTGACGAGGGCAGTCTCGGTCTTGGACCCAATGTACTCCTTCTTGCCAGACTCGGGGTTGACCCGCTCAAAGACAGAAGAGTTGACGGCCACAGCCTCGAGCACCAGGTCGTGCAGGGTCTGATGCATGTGGTTCTTCTCGGCCGGAAGCAGGCACGACCGCAGCACCGCCAGCGAGGCATCGGCGGTTCCTTGACGATCGTCAAAGTCGATGGACTGGGCAATGGCACCCTTGACGACGGTCATGACGTTCTGCGTCAGCGTCCCAGTCTTGTCGGAGCAGATGGTGGTGGCGCCGCCCATGGTCTCGCAGGCGCTGATGACTCGAACGAGGTTCTGGTCCTTGAGCATGCGGGTGGTGGCATATGCGAGTGCAAGCGTCACAGCCAGCGGCAAGCCTTCGGGAACAGCAACCACAATGATGGTCACGGCGGCAATGAAGATGTTGATGACGCGGGAAAGGACTTCTGTGACGCTTTCTTGGTTAGGCAGAGATCCAAAGCCGACGGTCGTGGCTGTCGCGATGATATACTTGGCAATCAGCACCAGGAACATGAGGATCGAGATGGCGGTGCCGAGCTTGGCAATGAGCTCGGTCAGCTTGTCGAGCTTGACTTGGAGGGGAGTCTCTTCGTTCTCGGTGCGCATAGCCATCATGGTCTTGCCATGGAACGAGTGTTCGCCGACAGCCGTGATGACGCATCGGCCTGTTCCCTCGACAATCTTGCTTCCGCTGAGCAGGAACGGGTCTGTTGTGGGCGACTTTTTGATCGAGTCGGTCTCGCCGGTGGCCGACGACTCATCGGCCTTGAGGCTGCTTGCACTGAGAACCAGACCGTCGGCAGGGAGGATGTCGCCCGACTCGAGGAGCAGAATGTCACCGACGACGATGCTGAGAGAGAGTGAGAGAGAGTGAGTGAGAGAGAGAGGAGCGTCAGCCAAGGACGAGTACCCAATCGGTTCCTCGGGGTGGTCGTGTTCATTATCCGGTGGAGTGTGCGAGTCACTTACTTATAAACCGAGATCAGCGAGATGTTGCCATCGCGCAGCGTTCGCACAGTCCTGTCTTCCTTCTGGGCATTGAGTTTGCGGAACTGCTTCTCCTTCTGGTAGTCGTTGATGCTGCCAGCCAGCACAACGATGACGATGGCGACGATGATGGCGAAACCCTCGATCCAGTGGGTCTTTTGCAGGGCGTCGCCGGTGTCATCCGAGGTTTTTGGTCGAAAGTCCTGGTACAGGCCGATACTGAGGGAAACGACAGCGGCGACGGAGAGCAGCACCTATCGACCGCGAATGTGAGTGGTGCGGCACAATGTGAGGGGTGAGGCAGCGTCAGTCATCGCGCATTGACAACGGGGTGCACACCCGAGTGGCGGTGCTTTGGCGATCGTGACACGGCGGGACGAGCGGTTCTGGCCGACTTACCAGGATTTTATCTTCGAAGGCTTGGATCATCAGACGAAGCAGCGACTTTTGCGGGATCGCCGGCAGGGTGTTTTTGCCGAAGGCTTCTGATCGATGTGCCATGGTGGGTCCGAGCGAATCGCCCTTCCGGTCGGCCGAAACGACAGGCATGGCGATGACGGTCGAGTCAGGGGACATGCTCGTCAGATGCGACGACAGGCCGACAGAGCGGTCGACATCGAGGCCGTCGCACACGGCATCAACGCCGCCGAGCTTGGCGAGATGCTCTGGGCACTTTGCAGGTGTGGTGAGCAGCGAGAGCTCGTCTGCAGTGAAGCGGAAGCCGTGCATCGGGCCAGCGGGCTGAGCCTCGGCAGGCGGTGTATTTGTCGTGGGCTTTGATCGCATGGATTCCAGTTGGCCGGGTGGCAATGCGCGAGAGATGGATGCTCAAGCAACGGCGAATGCCAAGGGAATGTAATGTGATGGCAGAAGGTGGCGAGGTATAGGTGTTTGAGCGCGGCGGGGCACGCAGGGACGGCGACTCGCTTGGGTTCGGCGATGGACGGAGGATGCAGAGGCAGTTGGGGGTCAGGGCTCAGGACAGGGCCAGAGGGACTGGACTCGGCTGGACCGGACGGAAGTGAATAGGATCGGACAGGGGGGGGATTGGGCTGGATTGGGTTGATTCGAACAGAGACTCAGATGCCGTGACCACGACGGAAAGGCGAGCCGGTGATTTATAGGATGCCGGCTGCGACTGACGACAAGGGCGGTATCTGTCTGCAGGTGAATTGGGTTTTTCGAACGGGCCAGGCGGGCCAGACGGCAGGATGGGCAGCAAGCGCAAGCGCAAGTGCAAGTGCAAGTGCAAGTGCAAGTGCAAATGCAGGTCGCAGAAGCCAAGGGCAGCAAGCGAAGGGTGTGGACCAGGGATGCAAGCTCCAAAGCAAGAGCGGCCGACAAAGGCTGTTGTTTGGGTTGCCGCAAAACCTTCGCCAACGGATGGGTACTTGCGCGCGCGGGCCCCACAGGAGTCGCTGTCCAGAGATGTGCCACCGGGACAGACACTGTCGCTGTGGGGTGCTGCGCGCTCAGCACAAGCCACGCCAGCAACAGTAACAGTCGGCCCTCAGCCGCTCTGGTCGGACCCGCGCCTAAACCTTATCCCAGAGCCAGCCAACCAGCGCCGCCGGAGCCAACCTTCCGTTAGCATACCACGCTCGCCACAGCCCTGTACGACCCGTCGCCCCGCCACCCGCGCTGGCGGGGCTGTGTTTCCTTCCGGCCACGTTGGCTGCCACGGCCGGCTCTCCGTGGTTCGAACGGCGCCATGTCCCATTGTCCCGCCCATGCGGCTCCAAGGCTCCGTCACCAACCACCCGCGACTCCTTTGCTCGACACATCGTCCTTCCCTCGGCTGCCCCGATGGGCACCATCCGCACAGCCGGTGTCTCCTCCGCCTCTTTGGTCAGCGCAATGCCAGAGCCCGCTGGATCCCAGTGCCATCTCCCTCGTCGTCCGTGTCCCCCCACATGCGACATCTGAATCGAGCCTCCTCGACAAGCGGACCGATCCAGGCACAGCCCCGCTCCGTGTTGCGATGGAACGCTAACCCTCGCCGATAAGGTTGGGTCGAGACTCGGCTGTATGACGCGCCGCCTTGATCTCGTCCGGCATGGTTGGCGAGAATGAATTGGCTTCTGGGCGGCTGTGTCGTTGGCTCGGTCAGAATCATCATGGTCCCCAACGATTCTGCTCGGTCAGCGCTGCTTGGGCGAGACCACCGCATTCCTTGAGAGTTGTGAGCCCCCGGGTCCAGGTCGACCAAGCAACTCAGCCCGCGCCTACACTAGCCGCATCGAGCGATTGCAAGTCGAACAGGGCGGCGACATGGATTCGCTCAAATCAGTGAGGAGCGATATCCACCACATCATTGCTCGATGGGCAACCTAACCCGCCGGCGGATGCCTGGCCATCAATCGCCGCTGCCTGGGCCAACTCTGAATCGCAAAACCAAGTAAGCACGCCCGCCATATCCGAAAACCAAGACAGGGCGGACCAACGAGGATCCTTCGCTGTATCCCAGACAGCATCGCCAGGAACGCATGCGCTCTCGGCCGCGGACCTGAGGCGCATCCAACTTACAGCCAATCCAATAAAAAAGGGGGCACCCGTGATTTTGACGATTGATCAAATATTTTGTTATCGCGCGCTGGCCATGACCGTTCAGTGATGCGATTCTGGGTCTGAATCGAGGACGCCATTGTGAACAACATCGCTGCCTGCCCAAAAATGCGCTGGATTTGAGGAGATGTTGCCAGGGAAGATCAACAGTGGCACGGAGACATTGGCTGGGATTCTGGAGCACGTCCTCAGTATCGATCGGAACACCATCATAACATACCTGGAGCAATCCATGTATTTCCGATGCATAACTGAGGTAGTAGTAATCGGCAACGATGGACACACGAAGCAAGGAAGCGAACAAACCGAAAAGACACTAGACTGAGAACAAGCCGCGCTCTTGACGATATGGAGCATGAATATAACGCACTGGATCGAGAAAAACAACGGTATTGAAGAAAGCAAACAAGCCTGAAGACGATCGCCAAGATGACAACGATCAAATGAATAACAACAATCAAATGGATAGCAATAATCAAATGGATAACAACAATCAAACAGAATTCCCCAGTGAAAGCTCGCTGACCCATCTATCCCTCTATTTCAAACCTGCCGGACACGGCACCGCCAAGCGCATCGGATAAACCAGCGAGTGTCTCCCAACGCTCAGCTGCGGTTGTTGCGGGTAAAGATGCCGATTTCGGGATACTCATCCTCCTTCAAGGGAGCAGGGAACTTCTTGGGAGCTGGTAGGAACCCGACCCGGGTGAGATACGTCAAGCATCGAGCGACAACTTCGGCGGCCGGTGGTCCCGGCGTCGAGTAGATCGACCGGGTGTTGGTGTTGTCGACCTTGAAGGACATGTCCATCATCATGTAGAGCAGCGGGAACATGGCATTGGATTCTGGCGACGGGTTGGCTTCGAGACGGCCCTTGAACAGCTCGCGGGTGTCGAACAGAACCTCCCAGCCGTTGGCGTTGACGATATCAAACATCTTGTTCTCGGTGATGAGACTGCGCAGAGTCGATCGACATGGCGTGTGATGCCGGCGGCGTGGTGGGTGCAGCGCCGTCGGACGCAAATGCAATCGTCCCAACGGCATTGGATGCAGAGGCCATCATGGTCAGTGTGGGTCCCGACTGGGATTCTACTTGGACTCGACTCCACAGACTCGACTCCACGGACGTGATCAATGTCCCTCTCTGCTCAGCTTCCCATCCGTCGCATCGAACCCACCTGTGCTCCGAGTCGCTGATGTGGAACACAAACTTGGAGAGCGATTCCTCCGAGGCTACAATCTCTGTGACGACTCTGGCCACATGGTCGACGGGATCCATCGTCATCGTCACGGGGGTGGCGTATGCCGGTGCGATGTGGAACTGGATGCATCCCTTGACGTATCGCCAGATGTAGTCGTCCGTGTTGGACACTGGGGCGAGGGAGGATGCGGCAATCAGTGTCAGTCGGTGTCAGTTGGTGGGTGAGTGGCACTTGACAATCGAGACCATCGATTCATGACCAGTCCATGGGAGCGAATGAGACATCCACCACATCTCCACCACATCTCCACCACATCTCCACCACATCTCCACCACATCTCCACCACATCTCCACCACATCTCCACCACATCTCCACCACATCTCCACCACATCTCCACCACACGACACTCGACTTACCTCCGTACTGGCTGTCTCCAACGATGCCAGCTGGACGAATGATCGTCACCGGCACTCCCCTCGATCGTGCCTTGTTGATCAACTGCTCGGAGACCCACTTGGTCTGCGCATAGCCGCCAGAGATGTTCCACGATGGATACATCTTCTCCTTGAGCGGCTCGCTGGCATTCTTGGCCATTGGAATCGTGCCGATAGTCGAGATGTAGTGCAGCGGCTTCAGGTGATGGGTTGTGGCCAGTCTCAGGGCCGTCGCCGTGCCGAGGACGTTGGGTCCCTTGAGCTTGTCATAGTTGTAGAGCCAGTGGACCTGTGCACCGCAGTGCACAATCATGTCGGTCTCCTCGCACACTCGCTTCCACAGCCCTGGCGAGAGCCCCCAGTTCTCCTTGGTCAGGTCGCCAGGGAGCCCCTCGAGTCGGGCACTGATGTTGTACTTGGGATTGCTCTGCTGTCTGGCCGCCAGGATGAGGCGATGGGCGCTCTCGAGAACTCGACCGGCAGCATCGAACGGATGTGTCTCTCGCGCCAGGCAGTAGATCCTGGCATCGGGGAACTTGGCGGCGAGCTCGTAGACCAGGAACACCCCAAGGAATCCTGTGGCGCCGGTGACGACGATGCCTCGAGGGTTCTTGGGATACACGAACGGGGGAAAGCCCTCGGCCGTCACACTTGCATCGTCGAGACTGGCAGCCTCGACGTCGAGATCGATGGTTGGAGGAATCAAGGGCTTGTCGTCGAGGAGATCGACAACCAGCTGGGCGACATCGAGGGGCGTCATTCCGTTTGACAGCAGGATCACGGGCGAGATCTCGACGCCAAACTCCTCCTTGATGGCCAGCGCAAAGCGGGCGACGCTGAGCGAGTCAAAGGTGGCACCCGCAATGTAGTAGTTGCGGCCCACGAGCAGATCGGTCTCCAGGAGACTGCTTCCGATGTTGGCAATCTGGAGGGCGGTGCGGGAGACGAGCGTGTCGTCGACAGCGATCATGGGGTAGACGATGCATTTGCCATACAGATCCGAGTTCTCAGCCATGCGCTTGATGACCTTGAGATTGCGCTTGCCAGAGTCGTTGAGTGGAACATGGTCCATGTAGAAGCAGTTGTGGATCGGGAACTTTGCAACGTTCTTGACGATGAAGAGCTCCTCGACCATGAGGAGGGCGTCGCTCGGGGACGGCTGGATGGGGTCCTTTTTCACGGGGAGGTAGAGCATGACGATCCGCTTCTCGTATGTCTGGACAAACAGGCACTCGACGAATACATCCGGGAAACGCTCGATGACGATTCGCTCGAGGTAGTTCAGATCGACATAGACGCCGTTGACCTTGACCTTCTGGTCAAACCTGGTGGGTGCAGCACGGAGTGGAGTTTGGTGCATGGGATGAGCAATCGAGCAAGTCGATCAGGGGTGAATCCCGCACACTAATCGGCGGAGGCCACCCACCTTCCGACGACGACAAACTCCTTGTCGCTCTTCATCTCGACCCAGTCCATGGTACAGACGCGGGGCGAGCCATCGGGCAGGAAGCCAAACGTGGTCAGCTTGTCGTTTGGATCGGCATTGACAAAGCTCGGGTGGTCCTTGATGGGATGGTCTTTGTCAACAGCAAAGACAAGGATGCCTTCGTCGGTCTTGCGTCGATCAAGAATGTTGCCCTCCTCGTCAAAGAGGAGACAGCGAATACCGGGCTTCTCCAGCTTGTAGGTCAACTTGGCTGGGGTGACAGGGTCGCTGGCCGGGAGCTTGAAGAAGGACAATGCTCCGATAAGGGCAGTCTGGAGAGCGAACCTTATCAGCTGCCGATCAAACGAGCCAGCACATTCAAACGAGCCAGCACATTCAGACAACGCCTCGCCGGGAATCTTACCTCGCTGGACCCATAAACACACTGGAACTCGGCATTTACGCAAATCTTCCGGGCCCGGAAGACCACGGTCGGAGAAACCATTTCGGAACCCAGGACAACCCGCTTGGCTGCATCCCACTTTGCATTTGGATTCAGGGAGACTGCTATGTCGACCACCATCTTCATCAGCGATGGGGTCTTGCAGATACGATGAATGGTTGAGGTTAGGGCCGCATCGTTTTTCACACCGAATGTGGGAGGACTGCTTGCCATCAGCACAGACTGCTGCTTACCATCACCACGAACTGCAATCCATCCTCAAACAGCTTGATGATGCTCTTGGTTCGCTCGACAGTGTTTGGGGTTGCTCTTGGGAGCCAGATCGACCCTCTGGCGTTGAAAGTGCCGATGAAATATACCAACGATCCCGAAAAGGACGGCGCCTGGAGTCGGACGGACAGCCATCAGCGCGAGGTGGTGTTGTGGGCTCAGCAACATTTTGGGCGTAAGATGACCTACCAGTATGAGACCGATGCTTCGATACGGCTCGCCGATTGTTCCACGAATCACAGGCAGGCCAGTGTGAGAGAATTTGAACCTGCAGCAGATACGATATGGCGATAGAAGGCCGAAGAGTATGATGTCAGGATGCTCGAATCGGCTGGGTTGCCAAAGCACTGAGAGTAGGCCTCACTTACGATTTGGGCACACCTGGTCGATGGGATGGGAGCGACAGCCAAGGGATACAGCGTCAGTTGCCGAATGATGAGGGACGAGTGTGTTATGGCACCATCTTGCTGACAGCCGTACCTGTGGTGCCCGAGGTGCACTGATAGCCTATAAAGTCGTCGAGAGGCTCACAGACATCGAGAGATGGAGCAGGGACCTCGTCGAGTGTCGGGAAGGCGGAGTCGTCGATAAAAACAACACCATCCGTCCGGCCGGGCTTGACAAGATGAAAGAAGATGTACTTGACCGAGTGCCTGTTTGCCAGCGCGATCGGGGGACCGGTGGCCGATGGTGGGTTAGTCACTCAGTCCCTGACTCTGTCGACTCCATCCACAATCGGACTGCCTCCTTGAATCATGGATGCTACTGGCGCACCTCGCACACAGAGCCTTGCGAGTGGACGACGGCCAGTTGAGGCCAAAGTTGAGGGTTTTCCTGTCGGTGGATGCATGGGTGAGTCAACCGTGGCCATCGCTTCCGCCCTTGGACTGGGCTGGACTGGTGGCAGTGCAATCCACAGCCAGGGCCGCGCATCTGACAGATCAGGTCACAGCATCTGGTCCGATACTCACTTGCCCAGCATCCACACGGCGAGCGAGAAGATCACCCAGTGCGCCTCGCCTTCACAGAAGGTGCCGATGGCATCGTGGCCATCGTCGTTCCAGCCAGGAAGCGCCTTGAGAGCCTGTGCGATCGAAAACGCTCGTTTCCACACATCGCGGTATGAGTAGCGCACGGACTCGCCGCTCTCGTAGGTGTTGATGCAGAGGGCGTCGGGCTCGTCGCGGGCCATCCGGATGAAGGCTTCGACCGGATGAGCCCAAGGATCGAAGGGATCGACAGGCGCAGCAGACTTGGGCTCGATTCTGGGCATGACCGCCTGTCTGCGCTCCTCGGCGATGCGAGCCTTGAAGGCCACGACATCAGGAGCATCCTCGTCCTGGGACGAGAAACAGCACAGGAGAGACCGGAGGGCCATCTCGGAATGGTCTCGACAGGAGCGACGGGAGCGGGACTGCTGACGACGGGGGATGGGGACGGGGAGGGCGTTTTATGGCTGGTCGTCTTCTCTGCCGCCGGGCTTGGGTTGGATTGCCAGGGCATCCTCCCAGCACGAGGCTGGACAGACAGCATTACAGGCAATCCAATAAAAAACGGGACACCCGGGTTTTTGACCATTCATCGAATATTTTGTTACCCAATGTTATCGCGCGCTGGCCATGACCATTCGCCACACATCCGACTTTCGCACCGCCGCATTGCGATGCTACGCCCTCATCCATAGCCTGCGTAAGGTCGCCTCCATATTCAGTGTGTCCAAGAGCACTATCCATCGATGGCACCGAGGATGCAAGCTGGATGACCCATCCCGGGTCCCAGCTCGCAGATCCACTTTCTTCGAGCAGGCATGTCCAGTCATTCGCACCCTGATTGAACAGGACCCGTTCCAGACTGGTCCTGTGCTGCGGTGCAAGCTCGAGTCCATCCTCCAGAGGAAAGTATCACTCTCACTCTGCCACACTGCCATCCACCGAGCAGGTCTCTCTCACAAGAGGGCAACACACCTCTACAAGTCCAAGCGACTGGATGAGCGAGTGGCACAGTTCAGGGACGAGACCCGTTCCATCGACCCACGACGATTCGTTTTTGTCGACGAGACAGGGATCAGGAGATCCATTTTCCCTCTCTACGGGTACTCACCGAAGGGTGCTCCGCTTCGCCAGCGCAATCACATGAAACACAAGTCTGTCTCGGTGGCATTTGCCATCAACCACTCTGGTGTGCTGCATCGCATGTACATCCCCACATCATTCAAGACACACTCGATGGTCGAGTTCTTTGAGCGAGCGACCTTCCCAGACGACTCTGTGATTGTGATGGGACAATGTCAGCATGCACAAGACAATGCCTGTCCTGGACTGCATCGATCGCCGTGGATGGTCACTGATCTACACCCCACCTGCCTCGCCCGACTTCAATCCCATCGAGAACTTCTTTGGGGTTGAGTCCCTCCAATCCTGGGTCGAGCCACCCCGATCACACCGCCATTTTCACGCTCACATCCCTGTCTTGAGCCTCTCGGCGATTTTTGAACAGGGTCGCTTCCCCAACCAGCCCGCACAGACGGGCTCCTGCTCTCGGGTATAAATGCCGCACCTTCGTCCTGCTGCTTTCTTCCCTCATCTCGCCTTGATCTGATCATCGCGCCATTGTACGATAAAAAAAGTCTCTGCTCTGACCAGTACCACTGGCAGGCATCCAGCATCCTCTGTCCCCATGCCTCCGAAGCGCAAGGGTACCGGTGATGGCCAGCCTCGGCCACCCAGGCCCAAGAAAGCCAAGTCACAGTCGGAGCCTGTCTCTGGTTCGTATTCTGACCCCACGCATGCTTGGTCGTCTGTTGCTCCGTTGCTCACCACCACTGCTTCTGCAGATCCAATGGATGTCGATCCCACCGAGCCTGGTCCATCTACTTCCTCGAGTACCGGCAAGCGATGTCGCCAGTGCGATGGCACCGATCACGAACGTTGCAACACCAGCAAGTGTCCCAAATACCGGCCCCTCAAGAGTTCTGTCGTCCCACTCGTGGATGGAAGGTCATCCGCCCCTCAGTTCAGCTGCTTCAAGCAGACGATGGATGGCTGTTGTCTCAATCCCGCTCTCCGCGACAAGATCCAGACCACCGTCGAGGCCATGACCCAGATCCAGTTCGAGGCATCCAGGCTGCTCAACCTGCACATCCTCCGGTGCATCGAGCAGGATCTTCCCGTCCCCGTCATCTCCAGGGCCACCCCTGCATTCATCCGCCAGTGCTTTAGGATCGTCCAGGACGGTGCCCTCTCCCCGACCGGGGACATCGAGCAGTACAACGAGCATCTGGTCGCTTCCTTTCGCGACTACCAGACCACTCGGCACGCAGACCTGCCTCCGGCCCCTCGTCTGCCTGATGGTGCTCACAGTCAGCTTCTCACTCTCGCTGTCAATGCCTATGCCACCAACTGCACCACCCATCTCGACCTGGCCTACTGGCGACTCCTTCGCCGCTTCTGCGCTGCCGTCTTCCCAGCCAACAAGCACAAGCACGAAGCCATCGAGGCCTGTCTCGAGCTCTTCGAGAAACCAGGGCAGACTCCACCCAAGGCCGATCTCGAGTTCCTATATCCCGAGTTTGGCCACATCCTGGACGAGTTTCGGTACAGCAACGACCAGGACCACTTCCGGGCCCTCCATCGCCTCTCACACCATGTGAGAATCCTCGCCCGAGACAAGATGGTCGACAATGTCCACAAGTGGATCGACTGTGACATGCCCGCCCTCCGAGTCACCGAGCTGCAGCGCCAGGCTAAGCTGGACAAGCTCACTGCCCGAGGCATTTCCTCCGACGACAAGAGGTTCACCACGGCCAAGTCTGAGCTCGGCACCACCAAGTCCAAGATCAACAAGCTGGCCGCCAGGATCAAGTGGGCACTCAAGCAGCTCGCTCTTGACACTCCTCCGGCCGTGTGCACGATGGTTCCTCTGTGCACAGCCAAGGCCAAGTATGTCAAGATTGACACCGTCACTCTCTGGGAGCTCCTGGGTCCAAAGAAGCGCCTTGGACTCACCAGGGACAAGCTCAAGGATGAAGGTGAGGACGGTGTCAACAACCAGGATCGTCTCTGGCGCAGTTGCTTCAAGCTGCGTAGTTCCCTCTTCCAAGAGCGAGTCAGGGACAAGAAGCTCTTCAACTACGAGATCAGCACCGATGGCATTGGATGCACCATCGGTCTCGTCAAGTTTCTGCCTCGAACCGATCACACCGAGACCATCGAGCCTCCTCCGACCGCCGAGCAGCGCATCCAGACCCACATCGGCGACCCAGACCCCAACCGCACCACTTGGATTGGCATCGATCCTGGAGTCGGCTCCATCTTCACGGCGGTCATCCAAGCACCGGGCCACCAAGACGAGATGGTCTCATTCTCCAATGCCCACTATCAGCAAATGTGTGGCCATACGTCCAACACCAAGTGGCACAATATCATGAAGTATCGACTCAGCATCGAGACCTGGATGTCGACCACCCCCTCGCCCAAGGTGTCGTCCTCGGAGGCCTTCAAGGTCCATCTCACCCATGTCCTGCGACCGGAGCTGCGAGTGCAGCTCGACTTCCACCTTGGCAAGAAGGCCCGTCACCGTCGCTTCACGGGCCACAAGAGACGCCAAGTGGCCGTCGACAGGATGTGCAAGGCCGTCCTGAAGCACGCCCCGATACGGACCGATGTGGTGATCGCCTTTGGCAATGCGTCATGGCGACAAGGCAAGGGCTATGCATCCAGCCCTCGGAGGCAGCGGTTTGCTCGGTACTTTGAGCAATTCGAGCACCACCGACGCCGTCCCAATCACCATCATGGAAGCGTCAAGGTGGCCTCGACGAACGAGTTCAACACCTCGCAGGTGTGCTCCAAGTGCCTGGAGCCAGTTCGGTTGGAAGGACTCGATGCGCCCAGCGTTGCGAATTCCCACTTTGTCAGGAGCTGCAAGAATCCCAGCTGCCGGACAGTGTGGAATCGCGACGTCAATGCGGCGCGCAACATGATCACAGTATGCAGGTCGATTGTGGAGATCGGAGAGCGACCGGCGGTCTTCACTCGGAGGCTGCCAAAGTGATCTGTTTTATTTCTTGTGGCTTTGCTTGACGCAAGCACAGCACATACTACATGTTCATGGAAACGGCTATATTGTCCCGTTTTTTTCTGAATACAGTGTACTGGATCCATTGATCCACCGTGTCTGCTTGCACAGCCAAGCAGCCCTTGTTGGCCAGGCGGAAAGGCGTTGGTGGCCACCCGCGCCGTACCACCCGATCCGGTTGCTGGGTCGCCTTCTCCTGCCCTTTCGGACGACCTGGTGACACTTGCTGATGCAAGTCCCTTGTCGGCGCAGCGAGGGGAATACAACTGTCAACCCGTGTGCTGGCAATGCGATTGAGCGGATCGGCTTGTCGGGTGATGGGAATGCCTCTCGCCAACATGGCACTCCCGATGCTGGACGTTGACAGGCATCGCGGATAGTGGCTGCAGAAGGGACTGATCCAAGGATCGGTCCTGAGCCCGCTGATGTTCAGCGTGTTCATCGACGACCTCCCTGGGAAACTCCGGGCAGACGGTGGAACGACCCTAACCACCACCCGAGGACGGGCTGTTCAGGTCAACTCCCTGTGGTTTGCCGACGATGGGGTGCTCATCTGCCGCCCCAACCAGACCCAGCGCCTCCTCGACATCTGCGAGGCCCACAGCATCGAGAATCGATACCAGTTCTCGCCCCCGAAGTGCGAGGTGATGTTCACCGAACAGCACCCAGAGAAGGATGCCAAGGTGCACCTATACGGCAAGGAGCTGCCAGTCGCCAAGGAGTTCCGGTATCTCGGAGCCATCGTCGACATCAACGGCTTCAGGATGGACCGCCAGATCCAGAACCTCACCCACAAGGCTAGAGGTGCCGCCGACAAGCTGGTGAAGCACGGAATGAGCCTGGGCTGATACTCGCCAAGACGGTGACGAGGGTGTTCAAGACCTTCGTTCGGCCCATGCTCGAGTATGGACTGACCCTCGAAGTGCTCACGAAGCAGCAAGCCGTGATACTCAGACGAGCACAGATGCACTGTCTGACCCGACTCTTCAGAGTGGTGCGGAACACGTCCTACGGAGCGATGCATCTCGGATGCGGACTCATCACCCTGCCCAACCGCCTCAAGCAACTGGCCCTCCAGAACCGAGCCGTCTGGGAAGACCGTCTGGACCACAACGACAAGATGGTCTCGCTGGTGTTGAGATACTTCCGCACCCAGCCCAGCCTGATGGATGCATCCCTCGGCTCCCAGTTCTACCTCGATGAGTACTGGCGACAGCTGATCGTGCTGAAGGAGCAGTGCCAGCCGGACTACCCGATGAAGGAGCTGTTCAGGAACGGCTACTACCAGCTCCCAGGACCACCAGTCAAGCTGCAGATTCACATCGAGGACGCGCAAGGCTTCGACAGGTCAAAGGAACTGACCTCGGCCCGCACCGTGACGACGACCATGTCGGGACTGTGGGCCGAGCGAGGGCCCAAGAGAGATCGATACTATCACAACATGATGGTAAGATGGACCCTCGGTGCCTTCCCCAGACATTCGCATGGAATGTACAGACTCTGGGAGCAGTTCATGGGAGTCGCAGGCATCTTCGTCTCGATGAACTGTGGCCATCTGCTTGGGCTTGTAGAGGCTCAGTGCCCTCTGGTGAGGGAGCCCTGCTCGCCGGAAGGCGGCGTGGCTGAGTGACAGAGACATCTTCCTCTGAAGAGTGGACTCGATCAGACACTGGATCATCCAACCAGACTCGACCAGGCTAAATCAGCTCTAGGATTGTTGGAGGAGAGTCTGGGCCGATGGTGAGCGACCCGTTTGTAGGTCGCTGCTCTGATCTCTGAAAGCAAGCGATGGATGGTGCTCTTGGACACACTGAAGCTGGGGGCAACCTTGCACGGGCTTCGAATCAGTGAGTTGGATTCCAGCAAAGCGGTTCGGAATTCAAAGGTGCTGTATTGGGTCGTGACGGCAATTGATGCGATGTATGCAAGATCCAAAATGGACGACAGCCCTGGCGCAAAATAGGGTGTTCCATTTGATTTTGGGAACGCCACAGTGCTGTCAGACATGAACCAGGATGAAAAACCGCCCACACATAGCAGCTACATTAGCACACAAATGCTCGACCGATCATGAGATGCAATGTCTCTTTCGATATCGAGTGCCAATGAGGCCATTTCTTGGAGCTCCGGGTGATTTGGGAAGATCCCATTGAGAATGTCGATCGCCTCACGGATAAGCTCGAGTGCTGCATCATCTTGCTTGAGCTTTCTTTCAATGCGAGCGATTCCATGGAGAGCCTTGGAAACGTTAATGGTATCGCGCGTTTTCTCTATCGAGACCTCGATATCGATGGCTTCGAAGTAGATCTTCAGGGCTTGGTCGAGTTGATCTTGAACTTGATAGAGATTTCCGAGTGCTATTAGGACAAATGGGATGGTAGAGTGTTGGCGCGAGCCATTCAGTTTGGTAAAAGTTGTGAGTGACTCCTGGAGCAGAGATAGAGCCTCGTCGTATCTTCCCTGCTTTGTAGCGACTTCACCCAGACCACGGATAGTTTTGGCAACTTCAATATGCTCTCTTGTTTTGAACAGCTTGGTACGAATCTCGAGCGCCTCTTGGTAATATTTGGCTGCATCATCCGTGCAATCATTCTCAAGTGAGGTGTTTCCAAGATTGTGAACAGCTGTGGCAACATCTGCACGTTCATTAGTGCCATGGATTATGGTATATATATCGATCGATTCGCTATAGTATTTGACGGCATCCTCATAGTGGCTTTGGTAGTTTGCTACAACACCAAGTTCGAAGAGTGTCGAAGCAATGTGAGAATGCTGACGAGTGCGATAGACTCTGGTGTAGATGTCAAGGGCGTGCTGGTAGTGGTTCAATGCTTCCTTGTGGTTGCCTTGGAACGAGACTACAGTGCCTAATTCATGTAATATGGTGGCAACTTCGGGGTGTTCTCGTGTGCCATAGACCTTGGTCTTGATGTCGAGTGCCTCCTGGTAGTGGTTGATAGCGATCTCGTAGTTGCCTTGGGAGTTGGCGACATTTCCCATACAGTGGATCGTGTTGGCGACTGAGGGGTGTTCTCGTGTACCGTAAAACTCGATGCACTTGGAAAAATGCTGCTCATATAGCTCCATCGCCTGGGTGTAGGACCCGCGTTTGTCCGCTATCTGAGCAATGCGATATTCGACTACTTGATGAATGTCCGCGGTATACCCATCTGCTGCCACCACCGCCGAAAATTCCTCAAGATGCTCCAAGTATGGATATGCATCCACCAGCAGAGATTCGGTTAGCTCGATCAGAGCTTCACCCGCTGCATCTTCAATCGCCTCGGCATTCAGTTCACTGTGTGCTTGGACATACTCTCGAGCCACTTGCTGGGTGAGCGAGTGGGTCGAGTACTGTCCCTCGGCTCCACTTCGGAGGAGACCACTCTGGACCATCATCTTGATCAGATCAGTCACTGTGGACAGGAAACTGGTCAGTTCCATACACCGACATCAATTGCGCTTCGACCCACTCACAACTCACCTTCGGTCTTGAGCTCCATCTTCTGTGCGATCTCCTTGATCAACTCAAACTGGATGTTGGTCGGCGCCACCAGACTGAGGGCACCGAACAGCCTGGCTGCCTCGATACCTTCATTCCCTCGCTTCATCAGCGAGTCCAGCGATAGATCCACAATCACCTTGAGCGACGACCGCGTGTCGTCCTCGCCATCCTGTTCCTCGAGGACCTTGGAGAACAGCCGATCGATCTCGGACAACGGCACCTCATTGTTCTCGTAGAACGTCATGAATGTCTGGATGACGAGTGGATATCCACTGATCTTGGCCACGATACTGTCGAGGGACTTCTTGGCTTCGTCGGACACAAGTCGCTGGACAATCATTGGCGACGACGACAGGATATATTCGAGTGTGGTGGTGTCGTTCCAGTTGACGAGACGGAGTGGATCGTGCTGGAAGCTCGGTGACTTGGTCTCAAGAGCACTGGTGAATGCACCAGGAGGCAGCGAGGCCAGCCGGGTCGTCGCCACCACATCGCCGCCGAACCCGACCGACTTGGAGTGTTCAAACACAGAGTCGACCACACCGATGTCATCGACATTGTCGAGCACCAGGAGATAGCTGTGAGTGTTGGCGAGAAACTTGGCGGCATGCTTCTTGACTTTCTCTGGCTCGACACCATCAAACATCTCGCACAACCCATCGATGGCAGTCGACTCGGTCGAGCAATTGAGCCAGAAGACCTGGCGGTACTGCGGCTTGATGCCGATGGTCTCGTCTCTGATGATCTCGAGCTCGTCCTTGTTGCTCGCATTCAAATGCCCATCATGAAATGGAGGAGCTGGATGGCCAGGACGGACTTGCCCATGCCACCCATGCCAGAGATGACGGCGCGGCCAGTCAGGGTGAGTTGCTTGAGCAGGGTGTCGAGGTGGATGGGATCGAATCGGAATTTGGAGTCGCAGAAGAGCGAGTCGAGGACCTGGCGAGTGCCATCATTCACTTGCAACGGGTGGAGCAGATTGAGTAGACGATAGACTCGCCTGTAAATCTGGTCAGGACGAATGCCAAACATCTGGATGTCGGACAATCCCTTCAGGACGGCTCGAGGGGTGTCGAACTTGGAGTCGTCGGGGATGGTGGCTCGGTATGGCTGAAAATCGATCCACACGTCCTTATCAGCATCCTTCACGAGGCTGGACACACAAAGGGGCATCACCGAGATATCGACTCCTGACTCGACGAGGTCGAGGGCAGTCTTTATCTCAAGCAGAACATTGTCCTCCTCGTCAGACTCGGCTTTCTGTACCATGGACTCGAGCGATGCTTGGCTGATCACAGCGACAAAGACTTTGCTTCGGGGAAGAGCGCCGAGGAAACCGTCCTTCCATTTCTTTGCGTCTCGCAGACAGTCGATGTCGTGGAAGACGGCGAGGGGTTGGCCATAACGGCGCTTGGCAACAGCCACCAGCACCTCCTTGAGGGATTGGACGGTGGCAGCATCGATGGCGACTCGATACGAGAGGAACAGGTCGTGGTCAGGGCGACCATGCACATGGCAGTGATAAAGCTGATTGCGAGTGGTCTTGAGCATCCTTGGAGATGAATGCCAGCAGAGGTGCAAGTATTGAGGGACTCAAGAGGGGCAAGAGAGGAAAAGGGAAGGGAGAGGGAAAGGACAGGGATAAAGAGCCACCCTTGTGTGTGTGTGTTCGATGGCCAGTGCTTGGCTTGCCAGGGTCTGGCTTGCTTCGCCACACCTTCCCTCTGTCTCCTGTCCATCGCCATCATCCACTTGCCTCCCTCCTGTCTCCATCAACATGGCCAGCATGAACGAGCCTGCTTCAAACACAGCATCATCTCACACTCAGCAATCCCAAGCTGAAGCCAGAGCAACCTCGTCGATGCCCGATATCAACCAGCTCTCACTCGGACACAACCCAGATATCTTCACCATCATCTGCTGCAACGACATCTTCCAACTGGCACTCGACCACAGCACCATCAAGGTCCTCCTCCGAGTGTGCAAACGAGTCCGTTTTCTCCTGAGCTCCAAGCTGCCTCGCTTCCATAGCTGGTGTCAGAGCATCGAGCTACTCAATCCAGATGGACAGCTGCGAATTGGCCTCTCACCGAGCGACAAGATTGCCATCTCGCTGCACTGCGATGATCAAGATACAGCCGACCGATCCTGGCTTGAAGCTCAAGCCGACCAGGGCAATGCTGCTGCATCGTATCTCTTGGCGCGGATTCTCCGAGCCGATCTCGATAAGCAGCTGTCTGTGAGGACAGAGCATCAAGCCATCAAGCAGCAAATCTTCCAACACCTGAAGAAGGCGGCCGCAGACAACAACCACGCAATGGCACAGTTCCACCTGACCGAATGTTATCGCAACGGAACTGGCGTCAGCCAAGACCACACCAAGGTTGTCCAGTTGTACCGCAGTCTTGCTGAACGTGAGATGCCCCAGGCCCAAGTTGCCCTCGGCGGTTGCTACGAGAGTGGAAAAGGTGTCCATCAAGACTTTGACACAGCCATCGAGTGGTATACCAAGGCTGCAAATCAAGGCAGTGAAGATGGTCGACTCCATATCGTGTTCCTCCGAGGATGGCTCTCATTCATCGGTCATGATGTCGAACAGAGCGATGTCGATGCCTTCAACCACTGGCAGGAGGTCAGCAATCAATCCACCAACCCGGTCCTCAAGCCCATCGCCGCCCACATGGTCGGTTGGATGCACTATCTCGGCCGGGGTACCATGCGCGACGAACAGAGGGGAATCACGATCATCCGAGAGAACAGATCGGCTGAGTTCAAACTCGGAGAGGACGAGTCCCTGGCAGCGTTATTGATCGACATCAAGTCTAAATCACCCATAGCCTGCAAGTTCTTCAATCTCTGCCATCTGGGATCGGAACATGACTGGCTGTGCAGGCATCTCATGGCTGTGTGTCTGTTCTATGGATTCGGAACCACAAAGGACTGGAAGAATGCAGCAAGTAACTTTGAGCAACTCGCCATCGAAGGTCGCAGCGACAGCCAGTTGTGGATTGGAGTGTGCTACTACTGGGGCCGAGAAATATCGGATTATCGAAAGAATTCATTCGAGTGGTTCAGCAAGTCGGCTGACCAAGGCAACTCGTATGGACAGTGGAGAGTTGGTTGGTGCTACTATGATGGAAGAGGAGTCGCCGAGGACCTCGCCAAGGCAGTCAAGTGGTATCATAAGTCGGCCAAACAGGGCAATCGTTACGGACAATATGATCTCGGTGACTGCTATCAAAATGGTTATGGTGTCCCTAAGAACATCGACAAGGCAGTCTTCTGGTATCGCAAGTCAGCCGAGCAGGGTTTCGATTTGGCCATCAACAACCTCAAGAAACTCGGCAAGCGGGGAGGTCCTGATCCCCAAGGGCCTTCCAAATGCCAAATCCAATAGCTATATTGCACTACCGAACACGGAACCAGCCAAGCAAACCGCACTGCCAACACCCATCCCAACCACCACGATGCCAAAGAGTGGACTTGCAAAGTGGTTCCGATGAAGCGGCAATGGCCGAGTGATGTTGTATTTGATATTCGATACATCCAATAAATCCAATATACAAACAATGCTGTCCCTCATAATCGCTGATGTTGATCGACTGAGAGAACATCGAATCACTCGACAACGAACACTCGACATTCACTATCGATACCCGTTCTGCAACCATAAATGGCGAGCACGATCCAGACCATCCCTCGCCACATGGCACTGAAGAAAGCAGGCAGAAAGCCACCGGCCTTCCCCGGCACCAACACCATCCTCCCTCGATCCGACCCAGGGACGCCGGGGCACGCCAGCGTATGTGGTAAGACCATGCGAGGATGAAACCAGTCCACTGCAGTGCAGCCTGGCGACTGAGAGAGGACTCTTTGGACCAAGAGTGACAAGTATCACTCCCTCTCGATCCACATTGCCAGGCCACAAGTGTCATCAAGAGCGTCATCAAGAGCGATCTATGCCCATCTCAATGCCAGTATCAATGACTTGACCAGTTCACCGACTAGGACGATGCCACCATGGTTGATCCCAGCACCAACTCGCACTTCCGTGTGATCCTGTTGGCCAAGTCACTCAAACGATGGCCATCAGGCAACCCACTTGATCCCGACAATGTCCACACCATCCTGGAGCCGTTCATCCACTCCGATTTGTGATGCGCAGCTCGTTACTCGGTATTGGGATCGCCTATCCGCACCACGAAAACAGAGCGAGGATTTCCATTCCTGAAAGAGGATTATTCTGTTCGGGAACGCTGCAAAACATCGGCAGAGTAGGAAGGTTCAAACGAGAAGGAATCACAAACAATCAAACAAAATAAAAAAAAAACTGAGCGATTTGGGGAGGGGGGACAAACTAGGCATGATGACACTGGATTATCGCTCGGCTTGGGCCACAGCCATTTTGCTCTGCTTGGCCCACTCCGAAATAAAGGTAAACTCGTGGAAATACGCTTGGTGCTCGGCACTGATGTTGGACTTCACGGGTGTCAGGATCGGCCGCTCGTTGGTGAACTCCGTCTCAAAGTTGGAAACGTCGGTCGCCGAGGCCTGTGGAAGGAAGCATGCAAGCGCCACGGTAATGAGTCGCAATGCCAATGCCAGAGTGTCACAGCCACGAGCGCGTCGTCCGTATCATCGAAACCCCAGTCCAACAGCGACATGGACAGCGGGAAGGGGTGGGGATATCGCCTCCGCCGCCAGACTCGATCGTCAACATTCCCTCCGCAAGTCCGCTGGATCCACCCATGCACCCTTCGCTCCCCTCCACCAATACGTACGATCTGGGGCTTGATCGGAGGCGCAATCTTCTTGGCCAGGAGCGCATCCCAGTCCATTTTGTTGAAGAAGGCGTGTCGCTTGATGTCCGCTGCGCCTTCGCGGCTGCCACCCAAGCGCTTCTTTGGATCGACGGTCAAAAGCTGTCGACATTCGATTGGAAATCGCATAAGGGTCGGAAGTGTCAAGGGCGAGATGAGTAATGGAAGATACACACGTGTGGTTCGACCCAGACTCACGCAGCCAGAGTCAGCATGCGCACATGGCCAGCTGCCTGTCGGACGGAGGGGGGGCAGGTGCGTTATCCTTACCGCTTTAATCAGGCTCGCAGAGTCGCTGCCGAGCCGCGAGTTGATGTCCAAGTTGCCCGCTGTAATGTTGCGCAGGATATCGTGTGCATCGCGTCCGTGGAAGGGATACTGCAGTTGTGGTGTGGCAGGCGAGCAGGACGGAAATGGGTCAGACAAGGATCAGAGAGCTGTCGTGGGCAGAGGTTTGAGCGAGCAATGGGAACAAGAGTATGGCCATCGGCACTCCGACGATGAAACAGCGATACAAGTAGTCAGATGATGTAGAGAGTCCGATCAGACAAGCCCTGCTCTGCACTTACACGACCCACGAGCATAACATAGACCAGGACACCAAAGCTCCACCAGTCCACGGAGCGGCTGTAGCCGCGCTTCTTCATCAGGATCTCGGGGGCCATGTAGTCAGGCGTGCCGGCGTAGGTGTTGGTGGTGTTGCCGTAGTTCATGCCGTCCTTGCAGACACCATAGTCGGCCAGCTTGATGTGGCCATCGGAGCCCATAAGGATGTTTTCGAGCTTGAGGTCGCGATGGATGATGCCCTGCGAGTGGAAGTACTCAAGCGCCAGAAGGGTTTCGGAGGCGTAGAAGCGCGTCTGGTCGGCGTTGAAGCGCTTGTCCTTTTGCATCTGGAGTTGCGACATCATGTCGGCACCGGGCATGTACTCCATGACGAAATACAGGCGGTTTGTGGTCTGGAAGCACGAGTGCAGGTTGACCAGGAAGGGGTGATGTTTCATCGAGGAAATTTGGAAGATCTTGCGCTCGAGTTTGACACTGGACGGCAGTTGTATCGTGGTGGTGGTGGTGGTGGCGGTGTTGTTGTTAGCCAAGCCTGTCTCCGTACGGAGCGAATCGGATCCATCGAAGCGATTGCACGTAGATGCAAATGCTGATGCCTAAAACCAAGAACGAGAGCAGCTGGTGGGACTCTCAGCATACGCACCTATCAACATCATCGTGTCGAATGATGGCGTCCTTCTTGAGCGCCTTGATGGCATAGAGGGCGCGAGTTTGCTTCTCTTGCGCAAGCATGACCTGGCAGCGGCCCACGATAAGAGACACGGCGTAGCGGAATGAGCAAGTCAGTCAACCGAAACGAGTGCAGCAGCCATCCTCCACTCAGCGAGCTATCGGCCTAAGGAGAGGGAGAGGGGGGGGTAAAAGACACCAACCTTTCCGCTGGCACCGCGACCAAGCACGGCAATCATATGGAAGTCATCCAGGTTGACACGGATCTTGCCCGGCTTGGAGACACGAGGCTGGGGGTCGACAGCGATTTTGGGCTGGTGAGAGATCTGAGTTCCGTTGGCGTTGAGGGGATAAGATGCCGCCGAAGACAATCGCTGGTCTTCCTGTGGCATGTTGGACAGTGGCCACGGCGAGGATCGGCCAGTAGCAGGGGCGACTACTTGGGCATGGTGACCAACGGGCTGGGGCAGCGTGGCATACGGAGGCTGGATGTTTTGGGCGGGCTGGGCGGGCTGCGAGGCGAACGGAAGCGTTGAATATGACATGGGCTGCGCGTAGTGGCCGCCCTGGGGGTACGGCTGCTGCTGGACAGGGTAGGGCGTTTGATAGAACACGGCCGGTGCAATGTCCTGGTTTGGCACGGTCGCCGACATCGGAAGCGGGGGCAGCGGAGCTGTTGGGTAGCCGGTAGGCGGGCGAGAATACAGCGGGTCCGTGGCTGGGAAGGGAACGACATAGGGATTGGGCGGCGGGGCAACCTGCTGGAGTGACTGGTACTGGATCGCAGGCACTTGCTGGGGCGGGATTACGGCCTGCTGGGGCGACGAGACAATGTGATGTTGAGGGGGAGGCAGCGAGGCGGTTTGGATGGGCGGAGGACGGGGTGATGCCGGATGGGTCGCTGGCAGCGGGGAGGGCTGCTTGGCTTCGGCCGCGAGTCGGAGCTTCTGGTCGAGGGCATTCTGGTCAAAGGCCAGCGAATCGCGGCGCGGCTGGTGGGGCGCAACCAGATGCATCGACAGGCCAGCCGAACCACCGTCAAGAGCGGGTTCTGCATTCATGGTGGCCTGCGAGCTGTCCTTGTGGGCCTGAGCTTGACGGTTCAGACTCTGGAACTTTTCAATGGCTTCGTTCACGATCTGATGGGTACGAGCACGCTGCACATCGAGAGCCGACTTGGACGAAACATCAGACTCGACGAGGGTCGTCTGAGAGACCGACGGCTTGGTGCTGGGGACAGGAGAGCTGCCGTCCATCGGTGAAACGCCGGGGTAAGCCACTGGCGGGATGTGGATGATGCTGCTGTCGGGCGGAGGCAGAAGGGATGCGATCCGAGGAGGGCGGTTCGCGGTGCGGGAGGAGCCGGAAAGCTGGCTGGGTTGGTAAGCGGTCGTAACCGAAGACACATCCGTGGAGGACGAGAGCGGCAGATGGGTCGTGGAGATACCGCCAGGCCGGGTCGAATAAGGGGTTTGCATGACGGCACGGCCATCGTCGTCGTCGTCGCCCTCTCCGTCGGTGTCGTCTTCGGGACTCTGACGCACGATCGGATCGTACGCCACAGCGTTTTCGTTCTGGTACTCCTTATCGTCAAAGTCGGGCTCTGGAGTGGTGGACGAGTACACCTGGATGGGCGGCGCCAGGCCGTCGATGCCAACGCTACCTTGACGCTGCTCCAGTTCCTGGTCGACCAGCCATTGGGGCTTCTTGCCCTTGCCCTCAACCAAGTCGTCCGAGGCTTCCTCCTCGGACGGAGACGACATCCACTCGGGGATCTTGGACGAACTCGGCATCTGGACGCTTGGCTGAGCCTTGACCAAGGTATCAGTCTGGCCCAAAGTGCTCTGTCCGAACGTGAGGGTGCCGTCAAAGGGCCGCTCGATGGTGGGATAGAACGGCTGCGGTAGAGGCAGGGTGCCGCCAAAAGGCAGAGTACCCGGGGGAGTCAGCGTTGATCCAAAGGAAGACGATTTGACCATCGCATACTCGCCCGGGGGAGGCGAGGCTGCGCCAGTTGCAAATGGCGGGAGCGGCGTTGTCGAGCGGAGGTGCTCCTGGCTGTCGATCTCGTTTTTGAAACCCTCTGCGGTCTTGGAGTCCAAGCCACAAAAGTTGGGGACATGCTGGCAGCAAGCCTCGTGCACTTTCTCGTCACAGGCAGTGCAGCAAAAATCTGTGTCGCGGACGCCAGTGCCGCAGTGGCAGCACCAGCCACCACCGTCTACATTGGCAGCAAAGTTGTGGGGTGTGTTGAAGGGCACGAGCTGACCAGAGTTGGTGGCCTAGAGCATGGATGCATGGGTGGGCGAAGACGAGTTAGCGATAAGGCGAGCTGCTGGACTTGAGCCCCAATGGCCTTGAGCACGAAAAGATAGGAGAGTGGGGCCGCGCTCGCTCGAGCCGTTACCTGCATGCCAGTAGAGCCCTTGCCGCTCAAGCAAACGGTGATGACCTTGTGGATGCATTCGCCATGCACCAGATAGTTGCAGCCATCGCAGCGGTATCCAATCGAGTTGATGAATGCGCGGCAGACGGCACAGCGGATGATCTGGGGGTACTGGTGAGCCTCGAAGTAGTGCCCGTTGCGGGGGCGCAGCTTGCGGACACCGTTGCGACGGAAGAGTTGGGTTTCGGCCTGCGTGTTGGGTTCTGGAAGGACGATGACGAGAGGGGTGATTAGAAAGGACAATTGTGAGAAGGTTGATTGGAAGGACGAGGGTGCGACAGCGAGATCGAGATCGACTTGAACATGACCGACACGGAAAGGGCACGGTCACATCGGATCAGGGGAAACACGGGCACTGCAACCCATGCGCTACTGCCACAGCCTCTGGACTGCTTCTGTGGCACTTTGGATTCATCCGGCATCGCACGGTATGGGTTCTGCTCCTGCTGTTACCGACAGTCGGAGCCGGCTGACGCTATCTGGGATACCCACCAAAGCCAAGGGCCAGGGCAACCTTGCCGGCAGGCTCCAGGGTCAAGACAATGGCCTGCTCCTGGTCCGTGCGGTCCGGAAACCTGGCCTTGAGATCGTCCTCAAGCTCCCAGACCTTGAACCAGGCCAGACCCAGCATGGCAGGCTTGGGGTCCAGGTCTTCGTAGATCAGGATCTCGACTTCAAGGGCATTGGTGATTTCAATGTCCCAGCTGTCGTTCCAGGGCTTGGTGCTGGTGCGAGAGACGGCGCGGCCTTCTCCGTCGACTCGGATGATGGCAAAGAGGGGATTCTTTGAGGATCGCCGGTTATAAAAGTCGGCGGCAGAATGAATCCGGAGTCTCAAACGGCCAGTGCGGCGGAGACGGGAGTCTGGTCGAGTTGGCACATGAGCGGGGGGGGGTAAGCAACAGCCTTGGTCTCGTCAAAGGCGAACGTGCAGATGAGAGGAGCAGGGCCAGCAGAGCCTGCGCATGTCAACGCGACAAACGGGTCCACGAGACAGTGCATGCCAATGCAGTCGGCCAGCGAGCAAATGGAGTCCCGGTGTATGCGATGGGGTGCAAGACAAGATGCACGAAGCAGGGCACGGCAGCATATCAGCGAATGCAGGGTGTGGGTAGGGTTCGCGAATTACCGTTGACGAAGGCCTGGTCAAAGTCCTCCTCTCGGTCAGTGAGCAGGTTTTGGTACAGTTTGAGGGCGCGGCGCAGGAGCGTGAGCTTGACCTCGCTCTCGGCAATCTTGGTCTCGAGATCGTCGTGGACGGTGGTTCGGGTCTGGTTGCCGAGGGCAACCAAAAAGTTCTTGGTGCCTTGCAGAATCTTGGACTCGTACTCGACTTTTTTGCGGAGTTCGCGGAGGTTGTTTTGAACGCGGCCGATGGTGAGAGTTGGGGTGTATTTTCGAAAGTCTGCAGGACAATGATGGCCAGGCATGTTAGTTGAATTCAGGGCGAGCGCGACAGAGCCGTTGGCGGGTGACAATCCCAAAGCGAGCCCGGAATGACACAGGGAGGCTGTCATCTATCTGGAGGCCCCCATTGACTGAGCGGCTCCTCTGAGTTGACATGACTGATCCCCGTTCGAGTTGCAGATGTCAATCGCAACGACCTTCTGATTGGCCACGACACACGATGCCTCAGGCGTTGCGAGTCGATGTGGCCGGGCGGTTGGCTGTCAGGGCCTCTCTCAGGTCAAGCACAGGCGCCGTATTCCACGGTTCGGACAGCAGGCCCGTTCAGCAGATGGCCGGGCCGGTAGAACATTGCCACCGCCAACCCAGTCCAGAGTGACAGCCACTCACCAAACATGCGGACGGCGTACTCGGGCCCGTTCTCGTAGCCCGGAAAGACGGTCTTGCGACGGGTCAGGGTGCCGGTCGACTTTGATGCAGCTGAATCAGGAGACAAGGTGGCAGGGGAATCGGGAGAGGTTGGGGCAGGTGTGCTGTGCTTCTTCATGCCACCAAACAGCCATTTCGACTTTTTCGGCTGGAATAGAGGACCGCCGCGAGGCATCGATGGTGCTGGGCCAGAGCCAGTCGGGGTCAGTGGCGCCGATCGAAATTCGTCCGAGACGGATTTGCGGGACGGAACAGGCGGTGCAAGGGCGATCGCGGGGGTGGTCGGGGTCGAATCGGGCGAGGGTTGGATGCCCAGGATCTTTTGGAGCTTGGACCGCTCGAGCTCCATGAAGGACATGCGCTGGATACTCTCGTGAATACGGGCCTGACACTGCTGGGCATTGTGCTGGTCGCCAGAGTTCCGGAAGTTGAGGAGCATGCGCTGGGCGCCGTCGAGGACATCCTTTTCGATCTCGAGCTTCCGGTCAAGCTCAGAGAGCTTGTCAGCGTTGGAGAGCATGGCGCAGGATGAGCCGAAGGAAGGCGATGCCGGCGGAGGGACAGGCGGCAGTCAGGGAAGCACTCCTGGAGCAGCGAGCAGATGGTGACCGACAGCGGCGATGGCGATGGTGGGAGGGGGCGGTGGACGAAGGACAGACAGGCAGACAGCGATGCCGAGGGCCAAGTTGGCTGGGAGGATTGGCTGGGCCCAGAGGGTGGGGCGGTGTATGGACGAGGGGCAGGCGAGAACGAGAGGAACAAGGGCGGGCAAGGAGGGCGAGCGAGCGAGACGGGGCGAGACGGGGCGAGAGCGCGGCGAGAGCGCGGCGAGGCGACACGAGGCAAGAGCGCAGGAGGAGGCTGGCGGCCAACACAAGGCGAGGAGATGCAATCGCCGTTGGTAACGACAGCGATGCTGGTAGTGATTGTGTCATTAGCGGGGAGTGTCAGTACTATTAGCGGGGATGTCATTGCTATTAGCGGGGAGTGTCATTGCTATTAGCGGGGAGTGTCAGTGCCATCGGAAACGACAGCAACGTCGTTGGCGCTGCTCGTTCGCTGTCGCTATTCTCGTCTGGTGTTGTTTTTGGCGCAGCGTCCGTTTGTGCCGCCGTGCTGTGGCGAGACGCACCGGCGCTGTCGCACAGAACCCGCGCGGTCCCTGCGCCGCCACCGCCACCACCTCGGCGGCACAGGCGGCTCGATCCAGCAGCCGGATCGACCCGGCGCGCTGGTGGATCGAGCCGGCGACTGCGCCACGGCATCCAACGTGCGCGGCGGCGGCACCGTCGCACAGCATCCCCGAAACCGCGTCTGCGGCGCGTGCTTGCGCTGTCCGACGCCGCCCGGCACACTCACTGTGCCTGAGAGAGACAGCCGGCGGGGAGGCCGTGCGACATCGCGGGTGCACCAGGCGTGCCCCGTCGCGCGTGCGCCGCAACTCTATCTGTGGCACAAAGCTGACTGCAACAACGGCCGGCCTGGCACAGCGCCGCGGGCCACACAGACAACGGCGCCGCACCCACGTGCGCAGCCACACGTTCCCCTTCCCCTCGCCCCTTGTCCGCTGCCCGCACGCGACGCACATGCCAGCGACGACCTGGCGAGGATTGCTCCTGGTCCCCAAAAAAAAAAACGCTGTCGGAGCTCATAAGGACCCGCTTGGATCGCTTCCCTCTTGATCGTCTGCCTGCCGCTCTCCAGCCTCTCCAGCCTCTCCAGCCTCTCCAGCCTCTCCAGCCTCTCCAGCCTCTCCAGCCTCTCCAGCCCGGCATCCTCAACCACCACCGCTGCCGCCAAGTCAAATCGGCTGCTTTCTGTGAGGTCGATATCTCGCCACCCCTCCGCCGTGTTCATGCCAGATCGCGTCGTTGTCGGCCATGCTTCCACATGCCTCGATTCGCTTCCATCTGCATCGCTTCCATCTGCATCGCTTCCATCTGCATCGCTGACATTGGGTTTCATCCGGCATTTCCAGATCCCGCACTCGCCTTTTCTCCATCATGCATCTGTCCAAATCGTGTTTGCTCGGCCTCGTCGTCGTCGCTCTTGGATCGACCGCCGCTCTTGCTGACCCGAGCGCCGCCAGCCAAGCCTCCTCGGCCGTCTCCGCCGCGACGAGCTCGGTCTCACACAGCGCTGCAGGCGTCCAGAAAACCCCCCTCGTCAACTCGCAGGCTGTTGTCGGTGACAGCGACGACGACGATGACGACCAGGAGATCGAGATCGTCGAGCCTGTCTACGACCCCGACGCCAAGCCCCCCAGCTTGCTCGTCTCGTACGCTACCCAGGCCGCCTCGTGGTCCCGCGCCAATATCTGGTGGACACTTCCGATGATCCTGGCCATGCTCAGCTTCAACGTCGCCTATCTGTTCTATGCTCTTGGCTCAATGCACTCGGAAGAGTCCGTCACTGTTCGCGCCTTTGTTGTCCGCAAGCCCGCCGCCGAGGTTTATGAGAGCCTGGTTGACTTTGCGGCCTATCCTTCCTGGAAGCCCGGCTGCGCCTCCGTCAGCGTCATCGAGGCCACCAAGGAGGGCGAGAACGCCCGCCTCGTTGAAAAGGATCTGGTTGGTCGCCAAGCCATCTTTGAAATCACCGAAAAGGTACACAGCTCCGCCCGCTGCACCGCGCTGGACTTGTCCAGGGCGATGGCTCTTGGTGCATGCGCCTGTGGCTCGAACTGCTGCGTTGTGTCTGTCGTCTTCCGTGCTTACCCCCACAACCTGCTTCTCCCTGTCTAACCGCTGCTCAATTCTCGTGCCAATCCAGGTCGACAATGAACTGCTGGTCTACAAGACCTTCCACAAGAACCCCGAAAAGCTCTGGGCCTCGACCGAGTGGACCTTTGAGATTGAGCCCCGCGAAGGCAATCCCGATCATACTGTCGTCTACATCGTCACCAAGGACCGCGTCTGGCTTTCGATCCACAGATATGCCGTGGCTCTCTACGGATTCGACGCCAAGGTCCACAAGCTCATCGAGGCGTTCTCTCTCCACCACGGCATCAAGAAGCCCAAAGTCTTCCGCCCCGTCGAGGGCCAGCTCGTTATCCCCACTGAAGCTGACGAAGCCCGCGAGGCTGTCCGCTACAGCGACAACGATGACGATGACGAGGATGATGATGATGCTGCTGAGGCCGATACCAAAGAAGCCGAGGTCCGCAAGCGCGGCAAGTCCAACAAGTCCTCGCTCCGCAACCGCAAGCCCCAGCGAAAGTAACAGCCCCACTCAGCAGGGCATGTCCTTGCGTCTGCTTGGCCAGCCACAGCCGGCAGCCACGACTCGGAGCCGCACTTCGGTACATGCGGAAGTTTTGCCGATATCCAACCCACCGTCTTCCGCAACAATTCATCTCATCTGGGCCTATCTCGACTTTCCATCCCCTCTCTTTTCATCATCACTCTGTCTCTAACCCTGCAGGATTGCCGCCTGGGCTGGCTGGCTGGCTGGCTGTCCTGCCTGACTTTCACTCCGACTCCCCCACTTGCTGTTGGATGGATCGCTATTTCATTATCCTCGAGCCTGTCGCACATTTTTCTACACAATATGCTTGAACGATGAACAGGGAAGACCTGGCCGAAGAGCCATAGAAGGTCCTGGAGACTCTGTGATGTCGATTGGCATTGCCGTCGGGATCAGAGCTTGCTTGGTTGCTTGCTTGCTGTCGCTTGCTCCTCTGCGTGTGCGATCGCCCAATATAGCCCGCGCAGAATATCCAACACCACGCCCCAACCCAACCCAACCCAACCCGATGCCCTCTGACTTTGGGGACCGGTGCGACGCTGCGATAAGGGTGCTGTGAGAGATGGACATAACGTGTATTGATGTGATGCGATCAGGGCGTCAGTACGGGGTGTGGGTGGCCCTGTCTTGAGTGCTCAGCAAGTCTCGCTTGATGGATGGGATGGATAGATTCTCTGGGGTGTGCATCGCAAATGAGGCGCACATTCGCCCTCTTGAGAATCCGCTCGCTCATCTGCTTTGCGGTGCCCTGGAGAGTCGTTTGTTTTGGCGTTGCGGCATCGGCAGCCATTCCAACTCCCTCTCCCTCTCGAGTGGCGATATCGATAGCTGTGTGGTGCAGCTGGGTCGTTGGAAAGACTTGAACTAGCAGCAGGGCACGGCGTCCGGTGAGGTCGCGCTGGATCCAATCCAAATGGCGACGACGTCGTGCATTCAGGCAAGCGCCAGCCATGCCATCCAGGCCGTCCAGGCCTCACGAGATCTTGGAGAATATCGGCAGATTCAGATAAACCTCGACTTGCTTCCTGGATGAGGACAGACGCGATGGGGTTGAGAGGTGCGCATGGCTCGTCAGTTGTCAGTGCTCTCTGCATTGGTGCACACGAGCTCGGCCCTGCATCACAAGACGGATGTCGATATGACATACAGCCCGATATGCAGTCCGTCGTGCAATCCGCCGCTCAAACCGACGTGCTGTCCGACAAGCTCAGGCAATACATGCTTCACTCGAGTCAAGCCCGACAGACGCCTCATAACGCTCCGTGTCTGCTGCTTCTCCGCCCCTCAGTCCAGTTCCCCGTTCCCAACGTACTCTCGTTTCGCGAGGACCCGTTCGAGTCGCTCGATCTGGTCAGCTTGCTGCGAGAGGTTCAGATCGATGCCGTCGAGCTCGAGGATCCGATGGTGTGTCTTGAGTAGCTTGTCGTTCAGGGCGGCAATCTGTTCGAGCCGCCGAGTCAGCGAACCCTGTTGAAGGAGCCTCATCCCAGCGGCAAACGCCAGCATCGCTCAAGAGTCGCATACTATCTTTTGCTGGTGGGGCGGGGCGGGGCTGATCCACCCATTCATCCAGACAGGACGAGCGAGAGCGCAAGCTGGCCTCTTCACTCGTCGCAGCGACCCACCTTGCGACCAACGTCTCTTGCATCGGACTCGGATCCGGGTCGAGTGAGTTGATCCAGGCTCTCGGTCAATAGATTGATAAAGTCAAAATCCAGCAGGGAAGAATCGGCCGCGGCTGTGCTGGCGAGCGTGGCCAAGCCCGAAGCATCGGCATCGGCAGAGGATGGCGCGAGTGGCTGCGAGGCCCCTCCAAAGATATTGCGGGATCGGATCGCCGCCGACGAAGCGGTCGGCTGAGCAGCCGCAGAGCCGTCTCCGGTCGGCAAGACGACCAGTCCTCCAGAGCCGGGTGTTGGATGGCCGGCGCTCGGATGGGCAAACGGCGTGTTGGGATTGTTGGACACCAAATAGCTGGACGACGGTGTCGTTGGATTGAAATAGGGCGTCGTTGGGTTGTAGTATGGCGTTGCGGGGTTGATTGAGGTTGGCGGGGCCTCGAGCGGATCGTGAAGGTCGTCCATGCTGGAGATGGAGCTGCAGGGGCAAGGACAGGGCCGCTGAGCGATTGCGATCCAGAAGCAGATCCAGAAACAATCCAGCCCAACAAGAACGGGGCTCGGGATCAGCCAACGAGAGCGAGAGCAATGAGCGAGAACAATGAGCGAGAGCCATGAGCGAGAAAGTCCTCGGCCGCACACACACATGCGTTGCTATCAGCCCCAATCAGCCATGGACGTTCCTGGGTGTCTGTTCAATCCCTGTGATCGACATCTCATCAGCCGATCGACACCATCGACACCATTGACACCATTGACACCATCGACACCATCGACACCATCGACACCATCGACACCATCGACACCATCGACACCATCGACACCATCGACACCATCCAAGCCGCCCGCATATCCGGCCGTCTGCGGCGGTCGCCCACGTGTTGCCCACTCGTTGGCTGTGCTGAGCGCAGAAAACGCGGTGGAAACCAAGGGTCTTGCCGCAAAAGCGCTTTTCGTTTCTTTCCACAACATCCCGGCAGATGATCCAGAGAATCATTGCTCTATCGGCCCTCGTTGGCCTGCTCTCGCTCTGGTGGCTCAACCAGAGGAAGAGCTCTGCAGGTATGTCACGCCTGCCGGCGCGGGTCAGTAGCGAACAGGCTGGAACGGCCTCTGACGGTATGGTATGTCTGCGGAGGTAGATAGCCCATCCAAGGGGGACAGGCCCCGGGATACGAGCAAGAAAGAATCCGGCACAAGCGACCCGGAAGCGCTCGACCCTCTCGATGAGTTTCTCCATCAGTATGGCCTCGATCAACAAAAGCTGCTGCTTCTCGAGAAAGGCTACAACACAATCGACGTGGTAGGGTGTCTGTTTTGTGCCAGTGCCCGCAGGTGCGCTGCCTGGGACTCCTTGAATGTGCTGTCTGGTTCCGCTGACCCTTGCTGGTGTGCCAACGACAGATCCTTGAGATGACCGACGACGAGATGGCTGACCTGGGGCTTGAGAGGCTCGTGGTCAAGAAGATCAAAATTGCCCAGAGAAAGAATGCCCCTGCGCCGGCCCTCAGCGACGCCGGCCCTCCCACAGCCGCCACGTCGCCGCCCGTTTTGCAGCTCGATGAGATCCGGGTCGAGGAGCCTGTTGAGATACCAATTGCAGAGGACTACAGTCCAGTGCAGCCCCAGCACAACTGGATGTGCCAGAACCAATATGCTGCCCACGAAGTCTTCATCAGGTACGCCCCCCTCCCCCTGTCAGATAAACGGTGTGCTTGACAAGCTCGTCGTGGGGGGATGAGATTCAGCATGCCCGTCTTCCTCCCTGCTGACTGGTCAACTTGCTCACAGCTACCGAGTCGAGAGCGACACTGTCAACGCAACGACTCTCCACGGCACCCTGGCTGTCACGCCGCAGGGCCAGACGGCCATCCATCCGTACTTGGACGCCCAGTGCCTCTGCAACGGCATGGACTGGGAGCAGGGCTTTATAAATGGTCTGTACAAGTCCAGCGTCATCATTGTTATTCTCTCCGAGGCCGGTCTGAAGCGCACCTTTAATGCGCATATCAGGCCAGATAATCAGCTGCTCGAGGTACAGTGCGCATGTCTGCGATTGTGCTGTGCTCTGGTCTGCCCCGCTGGAGTGGACTCGTGCTCCAGTAATCATGATTTCTTCAGCTAACAGTCGTCCACGGCGCAGATCCAACATGCACTCAAGTTGATGCGCGATGCAGCTGCCACCGACCATCCCATCATTGTCCAGCCCGTGCTCATGTGGTCTACCCACAAGCTCGGGGACCAGACTGTCAAGATGGACTACTTCCCTCCGATCGACAAGTTTCCCGAGTACCCCCCAAAGCACAAATCCAGCCCTCTCTTTGATGGGAAACCCATGACTGTGCGCCGGACGTTCAGAGAGCTGTTCAAGCTCCAAGCCCTCGCTGCAGCGGATACGGCGGCACTAAGGCAGTAAGTCGAGCGTGATCGCTGGGCATCAATTCCTGACGGAAGCTGACTCGCATTTTGTCAACTGCAGCCTGGCTCCAACTTTTCGCGAGCTCGCTACCAAGACCACCAAGGCCAGAGCCGGGGGCAGCGCTTATCATCAAGGCGGTCTCATTGTCTTCACTGCCGGGGAAGCAAAGAAGCTCAAAGCCCTCCTTGAGCCCGTCGACTCCACCCAGGATCACCATGCGCTCGAAGCCCTCTATGTTCAAGGCACCCGCCAGTGGCTCTTTGACAAGGTCATAGCCTGGACAGACCAAGACGACACGGACTCAGTCCTGTGGGTCAATGCCGTTGCTGGTGTCGGCAAGTCTGTTGCCGCAGCCAAGCTGGCCAGCTTCCTTCGGGCCAAGAACCAGCTGGTGTCGGCGCTATTCCTCAAGTACAACGACACCCGCAAGAGCGATCCACGCGCCGTTCTCACCACGATTGCATATGGCCTGTGCCAGTGGTACGCCCCGATTGGCCGCAAGCTGCTCGACGCCGGCCACACCAAGGACAGCCTCGACAAGATGAACATCTCCGATCTGTTCAAGGTGATCATCGAGGAGCCGCTCGGCGCCCTCGGCGACTATAAGCCCACCGGATCGGTGATGATTCTGGTGGATGCCCTCGACGAGTGCTCTCCGCGCGACCAGCTGCTCAGTCTGCTTGCCGGGCGATTCGTCGAACTGAACAAGACCCGTCCGTGGCTCAAGCTGCTGCTAACGTCCCGGCCCGAGGAGGATATCAGGGTGGCGTTCAAGAACGTGCCCACCACGACGATCGAGCCCTCGAGCGAGGATAACATTGCCGACTTGAAGGTGTACATCCACCACCGACTCCGAAATGAGCACGCGTCGCTCCCAGATCCCGACCAGGAGCAAGCCATCGAGATCATTCTCCGCGACCCGACAAAGAACAAGATGGAGAACGATCAGGGCCCAACCGAGAGCATCGGCAAAGACACCTCGAAAACGTTCGTGTGGATCAACCTGATCCTCAACACACTCGGTGTTTATGCTAAAGACGGCCCAGTGACACTCGCCACGATCAAGGACATCAACGACAGCGCCACGAATGTCGGGCAGATGTACCAGAAGACATTCGCCAAGATCCACTCGCAGTCGAGCCACCCAGCCGAGCTGGTCACGGTGATATCGGCGATCGCCACGGCCCAGTCGATCCTGACAACTGAAATGATCGCCAGAGTTTTCTTTGAAGAACTAGAGCGCGACTATGCACTCCGCATCATGCATGACTCTCTGAGAAGTCTCAACTTGGTTCTTGCACCCGGTGCCAACGGATCCACCGACGATGGCGAAGTCAAGTTCAACCACAAGTCGGTGGCGGACTATCTCCTCGGCGATGCATCGGCTGGCCATCCGTGGCATGTGTCGAGCTCGTTCCACATGGTGTTTGCCAAGGGATGTCTCGGCGTGATCCTCTCGCATGAGCCAGTGATCAACATCTGCGAGATCTTCGACTTTCACGACAAGATCCCAGACCTCGAGGACAGGGTTGCAGCCAAGATCACACCGTCGCTGCGATACAGCGTCGCCCACTGGATCACACACTTTGTGTGGTGTGTGGACGGAGTGGCCGAGTCGAGTCCGGTGTGGCAGTCGGCCGAGATGGTCGATGTGGCTGCGGTGCTCACTCGGTTCGTCAAGACACATGTGTTCTTCTGGCTCGAGTGTGGGTCGCTCACACATGTGGTCAAGCCGATCATCGAGCAACTCACGCTCCTTCAAGCCACGCTCTCGCAAATACCGAAAGAGGTTGTTGATGACACCACGAAAGAACTGGTCGAGGACACGTATCGGTTCGTTCGACAATTTGCCGACCCGATCATTGCGAGTGCACCACAGGTGTACAACTCGGGGTATGCATTCACACCAAAGGAGACGGCGATCTACAAGACATATGCCGACCGACTCGAGGACAAGATCCCGTTCCTTGTGGTGTCTGGTCCAGCACCCACCTGGGACACCTGTGAAATGACCATCACTGGCCATGAAGACGGTGTGAGTGCTGTGGCAATCTCGCCCAATGGCAAGTGGATTGTCTCTGGCTCTTGGGACGACACTATCAAGGTGTGGGACTCAACTACTGGCCAAGTGAAACACACCCTCGAAGGACATACAGACTCTGTGGAATCGGTGGCGATCTCACTTGATGGTGAACAGATTGTCTCTAGTTCCGATGACAACACCATCAAGGTGTGGGATGCCACCACGGGCCAGCTGAAGCACACACTTGAGGGACACACGGACATTGTGTATGCCGTGGCGATCTCGCCTGATGGCCAGTGGATTGCTTCAGGGTCTCAAGACAAGACCATCAAGATATGGGAACTTGCCACAAGACAGCTCAAACAGACCCTCGATGGGCACTCAGACTGTGTGACCTCCGTGGCCATCTCACCTGATGGCAAGTGGATTGCCTCTGGCTCTTGGGACAAGACCGTCAAGGTGTGGGATGCCGCCACAGGCGCGGTGAAGAACACTCTTGAAGGACACACACTCTTGGTGATGACTGTGGCGATCTCGCCCGATGGAAACTCGATCGTCTCTGGCTCCTTGGACAAGTCCATCAAGATATGGGATGCCACCACTGGCCAAGTAAGGCACACTCTCAAAGGACACACGACAAAGATCAACGCCGTGAACATCACTCCCGATGGCAAGTCGATCGTGTCTGCCTCCGGAGGCGACGATGGAGACGACACCTCCATCAAGTTTTGGGATTTATTGTCCGGTCGAGAACACCTTACCCTCGTTGGGCACACCAGAGATGTCAACTCCTTGGACGTTTCGAGGGATGGAAAGTGGATTGTGTCCGGCTCCGATGACGAGTCCATCAAGATCTGGAGTACATCTGCCAATCAGCTGAAGCAGTTAGCCAATGAACACACTGATGTGGTGAATGATGTGATTGTCTCGCCCGACAAAAGGTTTGTCATGTCTGGCTCATGCGATAACACCATCAAGATATGGGACGCCACCACGGGTCGACTGAAGCGCACTTTTGAGGGTCATGCCAGTTGGATCTACGCGGTCGCCTTTTCTCTCGACAGCAAATGGATTGTCTCTGGCTCGAACGACAAGACCATCAAGGTGTGGGACTTTGCCACGGGCGAGGTGAGGCGAACTCTCGAAGGACATACAGACTGCGTGGAATCGGTGGCTATCTCACCCGATGGCGAACAGATTGTCTCTGGCTCGGACGACAAAACGGTCAAGATCTGGGACGTCGCCACGGGCCAGCTGAAGTTCACACTTGAGGGACACACAGACTATGTATACTCTGTGGCGATCTCTCCAGATGGCAAGTGGATCGCTTCGGGCTCCGAGGACACATCTGTCAAAGTCTGGGACGCCGCCACGGGACAGCTGAAGCAAACCTTGCAAGATTCTAGTATGCCCGTCAGTCAGGTGACGATATCACCCCGCGGGGACTCGATCAAGGCGCGCAACGACGATGACGATGAGTTCGAATGGACCCTCCAGAACAATCAGTTTGTTCTGTCGGACTCGGCATCCTCTACTTCCGAATCGCCGAACGACGCTTCGTCGGATAGCGAAACCGCCGCCGACACGGCTGTGCCAGGGTCGTCCTGGGATCCGTACGAAATCCGGTCCCGGTGGCATTCTCACGACCGCCACATGGTCGCTGTGCCGAACGACTTGTTCGACTGGGACAACACTGTCACCGTATCGGACCTGCTGGTGATGGTCAACCGCCGCCCGCTCGTTATCGTCGTAAGTGGATGCATTTTGTTACCCTAGACTGGTGCATTTTCGCTTTATCCGAACCTCTTTCGGACCCAGAGTGTGTTCTGACAAACCATTTCTCTTGTTGCACACAGCCGATCTACTTGAACACCCCACAGACCCGGCTTGCCATGGCCATGTTCCTCGCCAACTCGCCCGAGGCCGACCGCCAATCCCGTGCGGCCGTCATGCTTGCACGTCCGGATGTGGCAGCGTTGGCCCAAGAGTTGTAGATCCGTCGCCAATGCCCATAATCGAATCCGTTTGTCCCTCTCTTCAAATTTCTCTCTCCCTTTCTATTTCTCCCTCCTTTTCTATTTCTCTCTCCTTTTCTATTTCTCTCCCTCTCCCCATCGTCTCCGCATGTCTATCCCTTTCGCCTCTCCCCCAGAAGCGATCCAGCACGGACATCAGTATTGCGGGCTCCATATAAAGAATCCAGACTGTAGACTATGTAGTGGTATTAACGAAAGAAAAACAATAAACAGTAGGAGTGAGAGTCAAAGGCGTCCTCTGGAGAGCGACTGAGCAGCTCGTGGTGGCTCGGGCGGTCGCAGTTCGGATGATTGGTTCTGCTTTGATGATTACCGCGATGAGTATTTGTTCGGCCAAAGGGCCGGTGCGTCGTCACTCGGTCCCAGGCAGGACAGGGACGGAGGTCAGCCGCGAAGCTGCATCCCCGATAGCCGAGACGACCAGAACGACTCCGAGTCAAAGTTGATCCAATATCTTGACCGCCAGGTGTGATCGGCCACGGACATGATCGAGTCGAGCCACAGCAGCGTATCCTCTTGTATCGATTCTTGGTAGAGCGCCCCAGATGTGGCAAGAAGGGCCAAGATGACGATGGAGCTGGAAAAAGGCGATTTGTGCCGTTGGGTTCCGGAGCAGAGTCGTTGACAGGCCATTATTCAGTCCGGACCGAGCCGGTGTCGTCCAGGCCGAACCAATGCCGGTCCGGACCAGATCAAAATGGGTTCCAGGTGGCGTTTCCAGTCGCAATGTCGATATGGGCAATTGAGTCCGGGGTTGAGGAGACCCATTCCAAGATCAGCAGCGAGATGTGTTTCGACATCGGAGGCAAAACGACACCAAAATGTCCAGAGTCGGTCGAAATCCGAGACCACGGCAGTGGCGATGGGCGGGTGGGGTGTACGAGATCACCATCCAGCCACAGATCGATCAGAATCGGACGCAGGGCAGCATTGGGGCCGGTTCGAGTTGCAAATTCCAGGCGATATGGTCAGGACGAGATGGAGCCGGAGCGAGTCAGGGCAACCAAAGCGAAGGATGAGAAGAGGAAAAGTAGAATTGAGGTCGCCGCCAAATGTCCAGCAGAGGAAGCAGCAGTGGATATAGAAAGATGAGCAGGACGTCAGGCATGTTCGAGAGATGATCAGAACAGAAAAGGGTCGCATTGGCCGAGCCGAGGCGAAATGGAATGTTCCTGCAGCACGTCACAGACGAAGTGCGGGGTGGAATCGTCCTGTTGTGCAGTACCGGCATCGAATAAACAGGCCGGTGCGCTCATCCCTGCACCATTCCGCATTCCAGCAGAGTGCGACTCCTACCAGTATAAGCAGGGCTTGTGCTCGAGAAACATGACGACGAGCAGCGACAGCAGGAACAGGGACGGCGCTTGTGGATATGGGAGCAGGAAGAGAACGAGGAACCAATGCATGCACCACATGTTCGGCCGCCGGGGAGAATGGAGCAGGGGAGCGGAGGGAGCAGGCCCGGGAAGACGGATGCGAGGACGTGGGGTCTGGAGATCGATATGCAAGGCGCAGGCTCTGCACCAGAGGAGCGGGGCTGTTGGGCGATGGGTCGCAGGTCCAGGCGCGAACAGGAAAGCTGGAGCAGCGCAAAAAAGTATGCATCCGGCGTGGCGCGGGATGGTAGTCTGTGCTGGAAGCAACCCGGTGGCCGGCTCATGCGGGGCACAGAAGGTTCGCCAAGGCGCTTTCTATTCTCTCTGGCGGTGAGCCGACCCATCTGGAGAGATCCCACGGGACCGTTGCAACGCCAATGGCAATGGCAGTGGACCCGACTCGGTTCAATGTATTTCCAAAAAGTACTGATGGAACAGCCACGGGGGCAAGGGACAAAGATGGATGATGCAAGGAGCCCGACCGGCAGACACAGGAAGGAGAACAGATGCGTGCCGGACGGAGCGATAAAAAGAGGGAGAGGGAGAGGATAGGATGAAGCTGAAAGGCAGAAAGCACAGAGAGCTCTACTCAGACGAGTGCTCGCTTCTTCTCCAGAACACTCTGGAGAATCGATGCATCACGCTGGATGCGCTCCAGCCAGGACTCGATCTGATCCGGGTTCATCGCCAGGCTGCTCAGCAGCACCAGCTCGTCCGAGTGCGACGGCACCGCTGGCGCGCTCATGTAGGTTGGCGGATCCGGCGAGGGGCTCTTGGCGGACTCCATCTTGATCTGCGACGGCGCCAAAAACATTGCTGCCGAGGAAGCTGCATCCAGCGGGTGGAGAGCGGCCGGCTCAAACGGCGGGCTGTCAAAGTGGTGAGCGGCTTCGACCGATCCAATGGAAGACGGCGAGCCAGGATGGCTTGGGCTCGACGGAGGGCTCGCCATCCGCGGCGGCGGGAATGGTGTGGCGGGGCCAGAGGCAGCAAGAGGCAGCCTGCCAGGGACAGCCATGGCAGGAGCAGCGGCGTGTCCGGTTGGGGGAGCACAGTGGGGGTAGTGCGGCAGCATGCCATTGGGGCCAGCGTACGGGCCAGGAGGGTGAGAGTATCCCACTGGCATCGCTGGGGGATACCGCGGGGCAGCGGACGGAGGCATGCCCTGCATGTGAGCAGGGCCGGCGGGCATGCCCATGAACTGGGGAGCACCAGGGAACCCAGAAACCATAGCGTACGGATGCAGGGGCTGTCTGGCCCGCGGTCGGGGCTGGCCGGCAGGCAGGCGCTGGCGCATCGAGCGAATGGGCCGATGGATCTGGTAGGCCTTGATGTAAAGTCCGCAGGCGTTGCAGAGACTGTGCTTGCGGTCGGGGGTTCGGCGCCAGAGCGGGGTCTGGTTGGTGCCGCAATTGAAGCAGACGAGATTGCGGGTGTTCTCACGAACGGGGGCCTTCTTCTTCTTGTCCGAGGCAATCTGGCTGGCATCGGTCTCGGACAGACCAGCGCTTTCCTCGGGCTTGGCGCTGTCGGCAGCAGACTCGGGGGAGGGCTGCAGGGGAGGCGACGGCGGTGCACAGATGGGTGCAGCGACTTGGGCCTGGACATTCGGCGCGGCAGGCTCAGGGCTCAAAGGCGCAATGTTGCCATCGGCGCCTGTGCAGCCGTCGATTGAGCCGGACATTGCAGCCTCGTCGCAGAACATGGTAGCGTCGGCAAAGGGACCGCCGAGGAGATCTGACCACGAGAAGCTGGGGTCGACAGCGTTGAGGAAGGCGCTGGCAAATTCAGCGTCGAAAAGGGCGGTTGAGAGAGCGGTGTTGCTTTCCATTGTAGCGGTGCTGAGATTGGATGGGTTGGGATGGAAATTGGATCGGGATGGTGACGATCGGATGGCGGCTTGTGCAGGGGATTCGGGGTTGGACAGGCTGCGGTGGCTGGTGGTGGAGAGACAGGAGCTCCAGACGGGAACGAGGTGCGGTGGCTGAAAGATGGGGTCCGGATGAAGAGTTGCGGACGAAGCGGTTTGGCCGGAGACGAGTTCGGTTTCGGTTTCGGTTTCGGTTTCGGCAGAAAGCAGAGAGCGGCGACGGCGGCTTGCAGAGCAGGACGGATGAAGCAGAGAGACTTCAGACAAATATGGCAATGGATGGCAAAAAACGAGTTCAATCCGAATGATCAATCCGCATCACGACCGACGTGTTCGCCGTTAGCAAGAAACATAAAGTAGCCCATGGTAATTTAAGGGAAAGATAATACAAATACAGAATCTGAGGGGTTAATTAGTCGCACCTAGTTCTGATTTATGGAGATAAAAGAGAAACAGAGGTGGGAAAACAAATAGAATCGGTAGGAGAGGCCGGCGAGCGATGAAAAAAAGATACAGCTCGAGAGGATGCGGCTGGGAAAGAGCTGACGGGCAGCCGGACAGAACGGGCTGGCAAGTTGAGGGGCACCGGAACGCAGCGGTGGCGGTGGACAATGGCTGGTGGAGCGAGCGATGGCGGTGATGGGCAGTCGACGATCCGAGGCAGGCCCGAGGTAGACTGATGGCAGGCGCTTTCGACTGGTGGCAGACCAGTTGCAGATGGAAGAGCAGCAGGAGAGAGACAGGACAGAGACAGGACGGGAGCGCCGCCGCTGCTGAAAAAGCAAAAGCGGACGGGGACAGAACGGGACGGGATGCGGGCGCGCTGCGCTGATTGGCCGGCGCGCGGGCGCACAGAAAAAAAGCACATGAGCTGCGCGACTGTGGGCACAGTGCGCTGCGCACGACTCGTGGCAAGGACCCCCGTGCTGCGCAGACGCATTTTGTCAGCGCGGCTGCGGCCGGGGGCCTTGGGCGCGGCTGTGTCGGCGACACGGTCTGGAAACAGCACACCAGGCTGGCCACTGCTGGCCCGGCTGCTGGCCCGGCTGCAAAAGCACAGCGAGCAGCTCGCCGTCGCAACGCTCGCCTCGGCAGCCTCGGCAGCCTTGGCCAGCGGCAGCACGGCCCGGACCAGCCCGCCGCGACGCCGTCCACCGCGATCCTGCATCGCAGAGGCTCGCTCGCCGTGTCAGGCCCGGTGTCTGTTGCCTCGGTCAGCTGGCCGCCGTGTCAGCCCAGCCCCACCCTATCTGCTCGCGCCGCATCACGTGCGCCGGGACTCGCCGGGACACAACCCGCGCCGCGCAGCCCGGCACCCGCTTCTCCGGCTCGAGCCGGCTGGAGCCAGTGCTGGCTGGCTGCATTCTGGCCAGTCACGCGGACGATCCCGTGATCGCTCCCAAAACCGGCCCCGTGGCACCCACGGCGGAGATTGGCGGCCTTGTTGTGTCGCTATCTCTCTGGCGAGATATGATGAACCGCTTTCGGTCTCGCCCATCTTTGCCCATCTTTGCCCATCTTCGCCCATATATACCGATCTTTGCCGATCTTCGCCAGTAGCTACCGCCGCCTCCTGCACTCTGCCCATCAACCACCAGACACCATGTCCCAGACCATCATCGACCTGAACCAGAAGTTGCTCGACAGGTATGGCCTTGCTGTCCAATCTCGCGCCTGCAACAGAGACGACACCCCGCTGACAGCCATCGTCCCGCACTCCCACCCCCTTCTACAGCATCGCCGGCAACGACTACGAGCTCTACACTACCCTGGTCGATGTAGGCGTCGATTGCTTTCGTCCGCTCTTGCTTGCACTCCCTGCGCTGTCTTGTCTGGGCTGGCGGTGCCATGATACCAGTCCATGTGCAACGATCTGATTATCACCTCTATCCTTCCGACAGTCCTCGATCACCTGCTTCGAGCCCGAGGCTGGAGAGCACCTGGTAACGTATCGAACCCCTGCCTGCAACCCAGTCCAGCCCTTCGTTGAATAGCTCCTCCGTATCCAGCCAGACCAGTGCATGCAAGGATCTGGTTCTGCACCGAATCCCCACAGCACTCGCATTTCCTCACATCTCTTATTGCTGCTTGCGGTTGCTCCAGGTCGCCGGCAAGGACTTCCACAAGTTCTTCTTCGATATCACTGCCCAGCCGCCCGCCTTCCACCGCACCACCATGGTCAACCCCGTCGTCACCTTCCTCGGCCCCGATGCTGCCATGATCACCTATGTTCGCATCGTCCAGAAGGTCGCCACTCCCGGCGGCGCTTTGACCATCTCGCGATCCAGCGAGACCCGTATCTGGAAGCGCGATGCCGAGAAGGTAAAGATCCCTGTCCTGTCTGCAAACGCTGCCTCTTTGTCCAGGCCGTTGATCCCTCTGGCGAAACAGCTCCGCTGACACTGCCCATTCACCGTACCCCATTGTAGAGCTGGAAGCACATCCACTTCCACCGATCCCTTGTCAACTGAGCGCTGCAGATAATTACGGCCTCGTCAAACACCAACCCTTCTGCTGAGTCGATATGGGGCATTTGACTGCCCATCCCAGTTCCCCTGACAGCCATCATTGTGCCAATAAAATTTGAATCGCTACTCTGCAATTCCTGCCGGCTTGCTTCCAATAGAGGCGACTCTCGCAGAGAAGTTCAGTGCTCTCTCTGTCGTTCTACCGCCCTCTCTCCAGGGCATCGCTCATCAGGAGTCATTCTGAAAGTGTGCTATATTGCCGCAATCCGGGATCCGGGGAGGATCAAAGATAAAGCGTGGGTCGACAACGACACACGATCGAGACCATCGGGGCAATCGGAGGGCACAAGCTGTAAAGGCTTTAAATAGTTGATTGTTGACTAGTACCAAAAAGAGAGAGAAAAGGAAGAAGCACGGGCAAAGGAGAGATAGAAAGCGATAGGAAGCATAAATGCATGCCAAGTGCATCTAGGGTTTTGTCAGGATAGTGCCGAGCTTGAGCGGCGAGAAATGGCCTCCGGTAGAGAATGCACAGGCCAAAAAAAAAAAAGTCATAAATAGCCGGCTGTAGGTGACGAACGCATTCGTGCGAGTGGAGAATATGAAAGCCGATAAGATTAGGGAGTGGGTCGAGCGCATCATGGCGTGAGGGGGGGGGAGTGCTTGCACGAAGGACCATGGCGGATGTAGACGACGACGATTCTTTTGGCAGCCGTTGCTTGCAGCTTGACGAGGAGCCAGACGGAGAAGCAGGTCTCGGGACAGCGGTCTTGGAGGACAAATAACTCTAGAGCTTGGACAGGTGATGACAGCAGAGCTTGAACAGCGGGTCCCAGCTTGCGTTTACAGCCGCGGCAGACGAGGTAGACGAGGCAGAAGGGGTTGACGAGGTGGGCCGATCGGACGAACGAACGAACGGACGAACGAAAGGACGAACGGACGGACGGGAAGCGAGCGGGCGAGCGGGCTCAGAGGTTGTCGACGATGCCGTTGATGACCGAGACCACATCCGACTCCCAAAAGCCAAGCTCATAGTCGTTGAGCCCGTACCACTCCAAAAAGTCGCCCCACTCAAAGACGTTGGTCCTCAGCTTGAGCCAAAAGTCGGCATCGGCTTGCATAAAGTAGCCGCGGGATTGGTCCAGGGTCGAGAGCCAGGTTTCGTTCAGGCACCGCCAAAAGTCGTAGTAAGCGTTGTGCGCGGTGCCCGAGTCCGGGTATGGCGACGGCTCGGCGCCGTTCGGGGCAGGGGGGACGAGCGACTCGCAGTGCATGCACAGGTGGTTCATGACTTGAGCCAGCAGCGTAAAGGCCGGATAGAACTCGAGCAGGTCCGACAGGTCGTGGACCTGCTGCAGCCACTCCTGGATTTGCTCCCTTGGAGTGAGCGGGAGGCAGGGCGACGGAGCGGGAGCCGGCGGGGTCAGAGGGACAGGCGATGCCGCCTGGGTGAGCAGCGAGATGGCGGTGGCAGCCAAGGCGGTTGTTGGGCTGGTCGCCAGCTCGTCTCTGGAGTACGACCAGGCATCCGAGTGCGACCACCGCTGCGGGGAGTCGGGGCTGTAGCGTGAGTAGCCCTCCTCGTTGCCGCTGGAGGAGCTCTGGGGCGAGTAGAGCCGACGCACGGGCTGCGAAGACAGGGCATAGTCGGTCGAGTGGGGCTTGGATTTTGCCATGCTGGAGCGGACTGGGGGCTCTCGGTAGCGCTGTCGAACGTCCATGGCTTCAGGGTACATGAGCAGGGAGGCTGGATGATTCAGAAGATGTGGATGGGGGGTTTGCACTGGCCTGCAGAGCCTTCTAAAGGGCAGGTGAGTGCGTAGCAGAGGGTCCCGGACAGAGGGACGGGTGACGGAGGAAGGATCTTAGAGGATGCTGGAGGAAGGTTCCCAGCAGGACGATGTTGTAAAAGGGGGTGTGTGGATATTACTGCTGTTGATGTGCAGTCAAAGCGTGGATGCGAGCGATGCTGGCAGGAGCAGGGCAGCTTCAGCGGCTTGCAGACAGGCTGGGCGAGACAGCCGAGTGTGGCAGGACGGAGATGATGGTCGCCGGCGATGCGGAAACACAAACAGGGCGGATGGGCTGGTGGCCTCTCCGGCTCTTGCTTGGGGGGCTTGCTTCTTGAGGGCTTGCCTGGCCTACTTGTGCTGGACGGCCGGGGAGAGAGGGGCCGACTGTTGATTGCTTGGATGCTTTGTCCTTGGGGGCAAGTGACCAGGGGGATGACTGCCGACCAAGATGCAAACGAAGGACAAACCAGACGAGGCAGAACGGCGGCCGAATCCAACACAGCAGATAGCCGAGCACCGGAGCAGAGGGAAGAAGAGGAGCGGGATGTGCTGAGGGCCGCACCGGCTGGGGAAGAAAAAAAGTTCTGCTGGGGGGGGGGTTGCGCATCATGCTCCTTGGCCAACAAGGGTCTGGCGGAACACAAAAAAAAAAGTTCCTGCTCGCAGTCAGGGCGTGGGAAACCGGGGCGGACGGGCTGCCGCACCAAAGGCTGGGGTATGCCGCATATGATACTACCTCATTCGATACCTCATTCGATGCTTCATTGGATGCTTCATTGGATGCTGCATTCGATGCTGCATGGAACACTGCATGCGATGAAGTGAGCAGTCCCACAGCCGCTGCGCGGGAACCGCTCTTGGCGGGAAGCTGGTCGCCGAGCAGTTTGCGGCTTGGAGGATCGCCCAGGCATCCCAGCACCTCCATCGCTGCATGTGCCTGGTCTTGCGCGGCAGCACACTGCTCTGCCCTCGAGATGCCAGCAATCTTCTCTCACAGGATCACCCAGCTCCATGAGGCCGCGATGGTCCTGCTGATGGTCGCCATGACCCTGCTTTCGCTCATAGCCTTCATGCGACTGTCGCAGCAGCTGCCTCGGTCGCACTGGCAAACCAACCAACGCTTGCTTCTGCGGACTCTGCCAACAACGCCGTGGGTGCCATACAATCTCTTCTCCAACCAGTGCTCCGTCATCATTCCGTCCACCTTCGAGAGCCCCGGCACCGTCGTCAACAGCAACCAGGACTGCTTCTTTACTCTCTCAATGCTTGATGCCTCGCTGCCGCCGAGCGACCCCGATGCCAACGGGCAGTATCGCGTTTCCGAGCTCCTGATTCCACTGCTCCGGATCCTCGGTGTGCTCGATGCGTCCGGCTCGCTAACTGGGGCTTACGGAGGCCGCATCGGCCTCAGCGTCGATCTTGTCGTCCGGGCCCTGATCAACGAGACGCTGCATCCGTCGCTTGACCCTGCTCGAGACGATCCCGTCATCGGCTGGATCGAGCTCCTGGGCACATCCAGCACATCAAACTCAAGCGGTCCGCTGCTGACAAACCAAACCTGGATCCTCGTTGATGTCTTGGATCGCATGCGGCGCCTGGCCGACCTCTACGAACGCAACACGGCACATCGCCAGAGCCTGCCGCGCATCTCCGAGCAACTGCTACTCCGAAACGGATAGCTGGACCCACGCCAGCACCGCCCATGGCCGCATCCCCCATCCTGGCATGAAATGCAATATCAAACCCATCTATTTGTCATTGATGCGCAAAAACAAAAAACATGTACAGGATGTGGCGCCATGACAGAGAAGCAAGAGAGAAAAAAGGTGTGGACGAACCACGGCTCGGGGGCGGGTTAAAGGGCTCGAAGGAGGAGGAGTAGTAGTAGTCGGTAGCGCAAAAGCACGGGCAAGAGTCTTGATGATCCACTGCGTGCTCCAAATACACTTCCACAGAACCAGAGGCAGCCATGATCGTGGAATCGGGCTGGTGCAGGCTTCTGTGATATGGATCTCGCAGCGGCGGTTGTGTCCTAGAGGATGGGCATGCCGAAGAGAGAGACCAGCCAAACGTGCTTCACCAGATCGATGGCGCTGGCCGGGAGGAAGGGCAGGGGCACCAGGATGCCTCCCGGATCCTGCCATCCTTCCTCTGGCAATCGGATGAATCACCGCTTCTCTAGCATGTCCTTTGCTTCGTTGATCTTGGATGCAAGGAAGGGCGAGCCTCCACGGTCGGGGTGGTTCAGCAGCATGATGCGTCGGTGGGCTTCCTTGAGCTTGTCCTTGGTGACGGTCTCTCGGACGCCCAGGATCAGGGCTGCTTCCCGTCGGGTCATCTTGGACTCAAATCCGCCTCGATAGAACTTGCCGGCGGTTCCCTTGGCAACACCGTAGGCACGCAGGGCGGCTCGGCCCGCGAGGGCAGCAATGGCGATTCCGGCTCCAACGGCGACAGCAGTGGCCATGGTGGTGGTGGTGGTGGTGGTGGTGGTTGATGGGGGAGTGAGGATGGAAGGAACGACGAAGGCTGCCTGTGCTGGATGAGGCTGCGAAATGGCCACCAAACGGCTATGAAGTGGCTGCGAGAAAGAAAAAATGAATCCGCAGTCGCCGGATCGAGTGTGGATCGAGTGTGGATCTGTGGTAGGAGCACGGCGCCACAGAACCAGCTAAACCGGGGCGGCTAGAGTCACGTGTCGAATGGCGAGCCAGCGGCTCCCGCTGATTGGCTGGGTCCACCAACCCAAATGCATGTCCCACACTTGGTTTGTGTCAAATCGACAGGTGATTACTATTGATTTTGGCAAGTGCTGCAAAGATAGTACTACAACGAGCGACGTACGGTATTGTGTCTCGGGTGGAAGGAGCGTGGACAGTTCGGCGCTCAGAAAGACCCGCCAGCGCTGAACGGCGGCAGAGGCGAGACAGTCGGCCGCAGTGCAATATCAGCACAGCTTCGGCTCCAGCTCAGGAGCGGCAGCAGATTCAAATGCAGATTCAAATGCAAGTGTGGCAGGCAGGGCAAGCTGCGAATCCATTGAGACGACAACTGATAGAATTAATGGCACGGTTTGCCGATCGTGAAACACAATGCAAAAACAACAAAACTGCAAGGGAGGGGGTGTACAGATGCAAAGTGGTGCGAATAAATACACTATTGGGGATGCATGGGGTACGGGCGGAGGGCCGTGTGTCTAGAGATCCTCGTCGTCGGCAGAGTTCTCCTCGAGGGTGGGGCCGTCCGAGGCTTCCGAGTTCTCCTCAATCTCCTCGACCTTCTCCATCTGGACGTCGCCTTTGGAATTGACCCAGATGCGGATGAAGGGCAGCTGGAGGATCACCGGCAGGACAGGCGAAACCGTCTCCTGCGCCTTGGTGACATACGGCAGGGCCTTGGCAACATAGGGCTCGGCCACGTGCTGGGCGATTTTGGTGTAGGGGACAATGGTCTCCGAAGCCTTTTCGATGTAAGGCTGGGCAATATCCTTGGCGATGAGGATGTACGGGCGCGCGGCGTCCTCAAAGTAGACGACGTAGGGCAGACCGGTTTGCTTGGCGTATTCGATGTAGGGATGGGCGAGGGCGTCGGCTCGGGTGGTGATCTGGGTGACGGTCGTCTTTGTGTATCCGAGGGTGGCGTTGAACTGGGTGTTGATGCCCTTGCGGGAAGCGTCAATCTGGTGGTTGATGCCGTCCTGAGGCACGAGGCGAGGTTGGTCAGCACGGCAGTCGAGACGAGGGACCGGGACAACAGAGCAAGGACAGTAGAGACAGCAGAGACAGCAGGGATAGGAGGACTGCAGGCGGACGGTAGCAACGGCAGGATAGGGGCGGAGCATGCGCTTACTTTGGTAGCAGTCAAGGTCTTGGTGGCGCTGCCGATGGTGGTCCAGGTGGTGTCCTTGAGGACATGCAGGGTCGAAAGCGAGCAGTTGAGCGTTCGGTCGGCAACGACCAGGACGGGTGCCGGGGTGATGGTGCGGGCAGTCTGGACGGCAGCGTCCTTGATGGCGAGGGCACGCTCGATGTAGGGGCCGGCGAGCTGAGTGGCTCCTGAGATAACGGTGGTAGCGGTGTTGATGGGCTGCGGCGGGAGTCAGCCGTATTAGCCACGAGCGATGGAGCAGGGCGATGAGGATACGCCGACAGCGTGGACGCTGCTTGAGCCCGGAGACAAGACGGCGGATGCACTTACATCAGAGTAAGCCTTCGAGGCCAGGTCGATGGGGGTGGACAGCAGGGCGATCATGGTGGCTGCGGTAGATGAGGCAGATGCGGTAGATGTGCTGAGGCAAGCTGATGCCAGAGGGAAGGCTGGGTGTTAGCGTCGTTGATACGAGCGGGGTCGAAGCGAAAGGAAGGATCGTCGGTTTAAATAGTAACGGCGTCTCGCTGGCGGCGCTCTCGGCAGACCGAGGCGTTCTCGGCGAGGTGTGGCTACTCTCTCTGCCACCGTCTCGCTGCGGCTTGGCTCGCTCTCGCCGTGTGCTCGGGCGATCTCGCTGCGATCTCGGCCGACGCTCTCGCCCCGGCACCGTCTCGCTCGTCGGCTGGGCGCTTGCATGTGAAAGATCGGCGGAGCATCGGCGTCGATACCCCGTCGCACACGCGGCCTTGTTGCGCGCACTGCCACGTGCGGTTTTCACATGCCCGCCGATGCACCGCCGACGCGCCTGGCCCAGGGGAGCCGCCTTTGCACTGCCCCGCCATCGATCCTGGTGATCGCGGGGGGGGGCAGCAAGGGGTGGGGCGGGAGAGCGAGGAAAAAAAAAAGGGTTGTCCAGGACAGCCCGAGGGTTTGCAGCGCAGCCTGGACGCGAGCGATATCGGCCCGGACGCAGCCGCAACCACGCACGGCGGGTAAATGGATGTGCATGCATGTTTGGCGAGGATGAACCAAAGTATGAGCAAGCCCCATCGCACACTCCCGGCACCAGCTCGGTCAAAGCGCATGCCCTTGGAGCTGTCAGTCGAAGCACTGGCTGATGCTGGGTACAGATGGCGTGACTGCCCATGACGGCCGAGCAATCACTCTCCCCACCGCCCGAGTTGGTTGTGCATGTGCCCGCCCGGCCTTGCTGTGCGGGGTCTGGCACATGTCCCGTTCCCGCGAAAAATCCGGTGCCTTCTCCGAGAGCCATCCGCTCATCAGGGGAAGCGGAGATGGCCGGCTGGACCGCTTCCGTTCGCCGATGCCTCGTGGTTATCGGCTAATGGCCTTGATCCGGGGGCGACTCCCGATTTCCAAGCTCCTAGATCGACATGTGCTGCCCTCGCCGAGCCAGCCATCACCCACCCGTAGACACGCCAGCTGGTCCCATAGAGCATCCATGTCCAAATGGCGCTGTATTCGGTTGATCGTGGAAACATTGACGAAGCTGCCCGCATCGCACAGGTTCCTAATACTCCTGACGAACCCGTTGTTCCGGGTCATGCGGAAATCATCTTGCGGTGCTATGCATCTCGGCTGGAGACTCGCCACCCTGCCTAACTGCCTCAAGCAGCTGTGCATCCAGTTCCGGACCGGCAGAGAGCAGCTTGGTCCCATGAGACTGGAAATTTGGGCATATCAAGGTATAGACCCGGCTTGGCATATGCCATGAAAGGCTCTCGCTCGCTGCAGTCCTCCAGCGCAGCGCCATTTTTCGCTGCAAGAATGCTGTCTGGCATGTCCAAGTGCACATCAGAAATCTCTGGGCAAAGTATCGGGTGTTTCGGATGGGCTGTGTGAGGAAACCGGTGATTCCAGTCGCAGTCGATAGAACGCTGCCGGTACTTTCTGATGCCTGGTTGCCGTTGGCGATGCTGCTTGGGCGTTGGCTCTGCCATAGGCATTACGCCGTCCGCATTCCGAGCTTCTGCAGCGACAGGTGACTCCACATGTACTGCAGCAGGTCTAAACCCCATACAATCCGACCGTCGCAGTTAATTAGTGTGGCTGAAACCGCTGGGTGACCAACTCTCCATCTCAACACCATTGCCCCAGACTCACCGAGGTCTACCGTTGTCAATATGTCCACCTTTGCAGGAATTGATATCTGGGTGCTCTGGAAGGCTGGTCGGTGCTGGGAAGACTGCTGCTCGTTAGCTACCTGTTTGACGTAAATCACATTGCACTTGAAGAAACCAGTGCGCCCACGCAGATGTGTCGAGGCGTCGCTGGCTCCACCATACCGACGACATATTTACCGGCCGGACCGGGTCTACGTTCGAGGCTGCTATTGCTACTTGCTTGCTTGTCAGCGCGGCTGCCGTTGTTGCCGTTTGGCTCCCGCATCGGCTTCTTGCGGTCGAGCGCCCCTCGGGATTCGAATTCTTGTCAAAGCGGGAGCGACTGGCTCGTCGAGCCTGCCGTAGATTCTCCAGAGACTTGAGCTCCAGCTGCTCCTTCTTGCCCGGCCCAAGACGACTCTGTAGCTCCAGTGCTAGATACCGCATCGTTTCGTCCTACCGATGCACGTCTCTGTGAGAAAGACCGGACCAATTCCTGGACGCAATGTCGACCACATCAAAAGTCGCCCTGCATGATCGCTATCCTGGATGATTGTCGCCCTGGGTGGTTGTCACCCTGATGGTTGCTGCCACCCTCACCTTGCGGATTTCCGAGAGCCGCTGCTCGCTCTGAAACAGCGTTGAAAGGATACCCAAGACCGTGTCGACGGCTTCGACCCACTCCTCGGCCACAGGCTTTGCCGACGCTGCACTGGAGCTGCTGGATCTTCGCTCTTGGCTCTCAAGCATCTGATTCAGAGGCGCTGCCAAGCCTCCGCTTGAATCAATGGCAGAGCTTCGTATCGCCAAGGCAGCTCCAAGGTTCTCAAACTTGATGCTGGGACGGTGGGTAGCGTCTATTTCTGCCTCCAGTGTGCCAAACTGGGCCTCATATTCGCCGACCTGTTGCTCCAGTGCGCTCTTCTCATCGCGGAGTATTTCGATGAGACCGCCGAGTTCCTTCTGCTCGGTCTTGAGCTCGGCCACTTGCTTGCGCAGCGCCTCAACGAGCGAGAGATCGTAGGTCTCAAGACTCAGCATCGAGTCCTGAGATGAGAGAACGCTTGTTTTCGACAGCGCTGCAGAGGCCCAGGGTAGTTCGTCAGTTTGCCAGCAGCGCATGTCCGCCAGCTCGATATGCCCGTCCAAGCCAAGTCTCTAGACGACATCATCGATTCAGCGACCGAGTGCGATCGGGCCCAACGTGGCTGCCACTCAGATACAACTGGAATCCGGTAGCTTACTTTTCGCCTCTCGCAGCGATCGTGCCCGACGCTCGCCTTTCTTTTTGATCACGCTCCTGAGTTTCTCGTTTTCGACCTGGGGAGACGAAACGATATGTTCAACTACGGCGAATGCCCGCGGCCCATTGCAATCCCATTCAAGCGAGCACTTATGGTGGGTTGGTGCTGCCACAGGTGATGCGAACTCGACCTACCTCTGCGGCGTTGTATCTCTCCATCCACTCTTTGATCTTGGTATCCATGTGTCGCTTCAGCTCGGCTCTGGACTCTACCAGTCCATTGATCTCGTCATTCAGCGACTCCACCAGCTGCAGCAGGTGGTTTTGCTGGTCACAGGATTCATTCACCTGCTGGTTCGCCAGCATCAAGGTGCTCGATAGCTGGTCGTTTGAGTTTGTGAGATCGGCAATGTGGTTCTCGAGATTTTCTGACCTCCCCGACAAACAATAGCTTTAATCTCGGGCAGTTCCACTTGTGTGCCATGTGGCATATCAATTCTTCGTCCTCCCGAGTATTCACTATCGTATTGACCCTCTCGACTCGAGACATGTGGCTGCTCCACCGTCCCTGTGCCTCCCAGGTCATGGAGAGTGAACCGATGCCGCCGTACCTGCGTCCTGCAGCACTCGACTGCTGTTTTTCAAAGCACGCTCCAGATCCAGGATTCGGGATCTGCATTCGTCGAGCTCTGCAGTCAGAGCCGCTCTGTCCTGCTCCAGCTCGTTGCACCGTGAGATCGACAGATCCAGGGCCGTCTCCAGATCCTTGACCATTCCGTTGACGCTCTGCAGGGCACCCGTGGAGGACTCGAGCTGGAGCTGAAGCTGGTGGTTCTGAGACAAGAGTGACTGCCCGATTCGCGAGGCCAGCGTCAGGTCCTGATAGAGGTCATCGTATGACTTGTGCTGCTGTTGCTGCTGCAAGCTTTGGTAAATCTGCTGGTGGAGCGACTCGCGAGACCCTGACTTGGATCGTGGTCTTTGGCAGATGACATCGTCACTCATTCGCGGGTCTGACTGGAACACACTCTGCTTTGACGGATGGAGAGCGGTACGATTGCCGCGGCGGTAACGGAAGCGAGATTCTGTTGTGTGATGAGCAGTCGCGGTGTCTTGTCCAAGAGGAAAGGAGGCACTCTGCCGCATCTGCTTGGTGCTGCATCCTTCTGGGTGCAGAGGCTGGCTATGCCTCGCATTCAGTAGAGTTGGGTGGGATGCTCGCCGCCAGACTTTCCTGCTCAATCCACCGGACCCGACCAATCGACCAATCGAACATTCGTTCACTCAAGCATCAGCGTCCATTTCGCTGTTCCACCGAACCGCCTGCCTTGCAGACATTGCCGTACATTGCCGTACATTCTCACAGACCAGCCCTGTTGTCGCCAGGTAGAGCAGTCACGGCTTGTCCAGAGTCAAAGCTCCCTACCGAGCGAGCAGGCACATGTTCAGCAGAGGAGCTCCAGACACATGGAAGGTTGTCATATATTGACATAGATATCATATGAGGCCATATCCAGTGCGCCATTGTCGCTCGCTGGCTCGGATGGCTGTGTTTCTGCTCGATATCCTGTTTGGAGCAGCCGACCATCCTTGTCAAGCACTCTGTCCGTTTCTTCATTCGCAGTCCTTTGACTCCGCAGAGCCGACATCGAATCACCGTTTGTAATCTTGCTCCGAGCCGTCGAGTCCGCATCGCTTTCGTGCATCGCACTTGCAGAGTCTCTGCCGTCCTTGCATTCTGTGGGTCCGTCGGTGGGCTCAGTCGATCAGACGGGCATTCCCAGCCAAGGTCATGCATCGACCATCCCACTGTACCTGTACATGGATCGCCGTCTGATTTGATACAGCCCTGTACGATATGCAGCAGTAGCGCCAGCTGCGTCTTGTCTCCCTGGGACGAACAGCACGTCAGTGTCGAGCCAAATCACACCCTGCTGTCACCCCAGCCGGGATGGGAAGGGTCATTATCGTGGAGATGCCATCACCGAACCTCGTATGCCTCTGCGGCCGCCTTCCATGCCGCCAAATCTGATTGCAGTGCTCCGGCAATCTGCTTTATCGGGTCTGGCTTGGTCGAATCTGCTTGCAGAGGTCGGAGACGGGTACCATGGTAAATGGTGTCTTGCTTGATACTAGGTCGGTGTTCGAGGCCGCCATGAAATCAGGCCGAGTGTACTGGCGCCTATGATGAGCTAGCAATCCACTGGTGCAGTGCAGACATGCCTGGACTATTCAACACAGCTTCTGCCTGTGCGAACGACTCCTGAGGATCCGTTTCGCAGGACCTGTCAACCATCAGCAAGGGCTCATTGTGCCGTCCGCGTCGTGGTGAATGCGGCTGAACTTGATGGCTCTGTTGGATTATCGACTCGAGCTGTTGCTTGTGGTCCGTCTGTTGTCGATGGGTCATGCGAGCTTCGAGTTGAATGACGGTCGAGTGGCATTGCAGCCCAGGTCACAGGCAGTATCGTCTGCCCCTTCTTCACTCGATGGCAAGTCCAATTGAAACAGATGCGCATTCTCTTACCTTGAGAGATTCAAGCTTGGCTTTCCATTCGGCTGCTTGAGCAATCTGGGACTGCTTCAGGTGTTCATGCAGCTCCTGGAGGCTGTCAAGGTCCTGATATAAAGACCTGATCCTGGTTTCAGCTGCTTGCCTCTCTGTCGCTGACTGCTTCAGTTGGGTGCGCAGAGACTCGGTTTCGGTTTGGAGTGCCGATGCAGACTCGGCCGCTTCGTCCAGCTGCTGCTGGAGAGATTCTGTCAACCAACAACCGACCGGGGTGTTAGCCGGGAAGCAGGCCACTGCCCATGTCCAGAGTTGCACACTCGCAAGGCGAGGAAGTTGCCCTTGCCTTTCTCCTTCTCATCAAAGCCGAGGCTTCGGATCCGGTGCTCCATCTGCTCAGTGCGTCCGTGGGCATCATCGAGATCTCTCTGCTGGCGCTCGCACTGTGACTCGAGCGCATCTCGCTCCTTTGTCGCCTGGGCCAACGATGCCCTGAGAACTTCGACTTGGACCAGAAGCTCGTCGCGCTCGCGCTCGATATCGCACTGGCTCTGAAAGACCTTCGCCACAATCTCGTGGAACTCTTGATTCTGCGTCAGCAGCGACTGGCCGATCTGGGACGCCAGCACAAGGTCGGCCTGGAGGGTCTGGATATCGTCGCTCGAGTCGAGCCCAGAATAGTGCTGGAGAAGGTCCAGAAAGGACTGCGAGCTCAGCGCAGCCGGCGTCCGGAACTGCTCAACCGAGTTGGCGATGTTCCTTGGTGCTTGGTCTCGCTGGAACATGCCGTCGTTCGATCGGCTTGAGGGCAGCTTGGAGCTGGTCGTGACCGAACTGCGTCGGCTGGCGCCTACTCGAGACAAGTCCGCATTAGCAACCCCTCGGATGGGGCTTCCGAGACGAGACCACCAGATCGGCCAGTAGTCTTATGTCCTTGTACAAGCAAAGTCGGCCCACGACAACCCTAGCTTGTCGTTGCTGCCAGCAAAGGAGATCTGGAGAGTCGCCATGAGTGGTATAGTCACCACCATACCCTATACTACTCCATGGCACTCACCGCCAGAGTTAACCCTCGAGATTGACCGTCTGCCTTGTCCAAACGACTCGCTGCGCTTCATCGCTTCGTGGAATGATGCTTGTTGCTGTGCTTGACTGTTGTCAGCCAGAGTAACGAGGCAAAAGTGATGAGCAGAGCCACAGATAGCTGCGGTTTCTGAGTCGAGAGGCGAGGTGGCCTCTGTGTCCCGGAATCAGCTTGTTGAGTGTGCTGATGCAGGCGTTGCAATTGAGTGGCTCTAGAGAGACCAGTTGTCTTTCTCCAATCAGAACACCATCGCCGAAACAATGTGTGCCACTCAGCTGAATGGTGTCGATGGACCAAAGGGCGGCGGCCAAAGAGCTCGAGTGAGCTGACCAGACAGCAGCCCGAAAAAATGATCGCTGCTCAGGTTCCTTCCGAGCGCGAAGCTGGTAGTATGCTGCCATGACTGGATCATTACTGGAACTATCAGCGCAAGTTCCGCCTTCGCGTCTTTGCTTCCGCGACTATCATGAAAAAAATGAGGGAAAACCGATCCGATCCCCTCCGGATGCGATGGTAGGCATATATATATATATATATTTTTGGTTTGACAATCGGCTCACTGAAGGAAGGGGAGAGGAGGGAGGGGAGAAAAGTACATGGGCATAAAGCGTATACTGAGCATTATACGTCAGTGGTACCTGTTGCGTTCGGCGTCCCCGATCATATTAAGAGGATCAGTACATCTCTATACGCACCCGAGCTTGTCAGTATTTTTGGTAAGGGGAGGGTAGATGTCGGCTGCGGCATGATCGATAGGCCTTCGATATGGGCTCTGCACCAGCGCCGGCGACCGCAAACCACCACGCAATACGCGGATTCCATGCACGGGCTTGTTCGCAGGCCGTGCAATTGGAAGGCTTGGCCGCACTTGGAAGGGAGGGAGGTACCCAGTCGGCGATCAGGCAGCGCCTTGTTTTGGATCGTAACTCCAGCCTGTTGAAATATCGCTTCTGCGGCCGCTAAATTGGATGGGACTTTTCCGATCCGATGGAGCGAATCTCTCCGTCCCCGTCGGATAGGGGTAGGCGGCGTGAATCGGCGATCCTGATCCGTATCTGGCAAGCAGATCGTCTCTGAAGGATGGCTCGGCGGGCGGAGCAGTATAGAACTGACCACGGTACGGAATTGGACCGTGGTGGCTAGAATGGCTTGGATGGCTTGGATGGTTTGGGTGATTTGAATAATTAGAATGGCTTGGATGATTCGGATGGAAGCCGGCCGCACTCGTAGGCTCGGGCGAGTGATCCTCGTGCCGATGGTCTGGTGAAAAGGTCGGATATGGACGGAAGGAAGTGGGTGTCGAGGTCCAGGCCGAAGCCAGCTTCCGAGAGTCCGGGTACTGGCCCGATAACGACGACGGCGATGATATGCCTGCGGGCCTGCGAGGAACTACCCGCCATCCAGAAGTCACCGCCGACTTGCCGATGGGGCTGCGACGCTCGTTCGGATTGTACAGCACCTCGATTTCCTCTCCGTCTTCTGTGGCATCGCTGTCGTGGTCGGCTTCGGATTGGGCCGGGAAGCTCTTGGGAGGGCTGGCAGGCCCCGCCTGGAGCAGAGTCTTTCCAAAGACATAGCTCCGTTTTGCCGTTTGGATCGGTGTTTCTGGCGAAGCCAGCATTGGATCTTGGTATTCGGCCTTGGGCTGAATTTGCGGGACCCAAACCGTCCTTGCCGGCTGAGGGCTTTCGATGCTGCCTGCTCCACCAGCTCCACCAGCTCCACCAGCTCCACCAGCTCCACCAGCTCCACCAGCCGCAGCTACCGGCGCTTCGGGACGCATGTAAGCATGGGTCTGGGATGGTGGAGCATTTGGTGCAACAGGCACCATCGCTGGTGCCATCATCGGCGTGAGCACCGGTGTCATCGCTGCAGCCGAGACTCCGCCGACGAACTGCACCGGTGGCCGCCAAACGATGCTTTGGATGAAGGGCTTCTGGAAGGATGTGCTGGGAAGTCGGAGCTTTGGGTTGAGCGAGTAGCTGCCACGGGCATCCCGAATCAGCTTTCCCTTCTCCGTGGTCTTCTTGAGAGCCTGCGAGGCAGATGGCCGGAATCGGGGTGGGAGCTGAGGAATGTGCTTCTCCATCCAGTCGAAGATGTCCCTCGGCTTGACGCTCGACCTGGTACCGATTACTTGGACCGCGAGAAGGATCATGTCTTCGTAGCTGCCGTATCCCTGCGCCTTGGTGGGCTTTCGGGTATACGGCCCCGTTAGTGACCTGGTCTGCAGACGGGATGCGGGCTCGCTGGCTCGGAGTGCGGGTGCGGGTGCGGGTGCGGCAGGAGGTGTTGCTGGAGTCGTGGATACATCAGCAGGGGCCGCATCTTGATCCGGATGCTCCATCTTCATCGGTGTATCCACTGGGTCAGGAGCCTGCTGTGGGTTGCTGCTGAATTGCTTGATCTCAGAGTCCTGGTCCGGCTCTGGAACTTGCTCTGGATCGTGCTCTCGCCCCGAATCAACCCCATATTCTTGTTCGTGCTCTGGCTCGTATTCTGGTTCTGTTTCCTGATCCTGGTCAAGATAGCGATCTTGCTCCGGCTGCAGCTCTCGCTCTTGCTCCTCCTCTTGCTCCGGCTCTCCCTCTTGTTCTGCCCCAAGCTCGTGCTCGTGCTCTTGCTCTTCCATCTGCTCTTCCATCTGCTCTTGCATTTGCATCTGCTCTTGCTCTTCCATCTGCATCTGCTCTTGCGCTGGCTCTGGTGCTCGTTCTGGCTCTTGCGCTGGTTGTAGTGCTGGCTCTTGCGCTGGTTCCAGCGCTGGCTCTTGCTCTAGCTCCGGCTCGCTCTTGATATAATGGTTTGCACGGATGCGCTGCAGGTGAGGAAGCAGATCCGCCATTGTCAAAGCATCCACGTCGCTCGACCAAATGTCGTCGAGCAGATGATCGTTGACGGCCAGAATGCCGCAGAGAACCGTCAGCACATCCTGTGGCAGTCGCTGGATCACCGCCAAGCGCTGTGTGGAAGGCCAGAGAGATAGAGAGCGACAGAACCGTTGCTCCGTCAGCATAGATAGAAAACACACCCTCTCGACGACGAGCCGCTCGGGAGGCCCGCAGCGCACAGGCCACACCCCGGTGGAAACTGCAATCTCGAGATCGCTGCCTTTGGTGGATGCTCGGAAGTGCACGGTTATTACGGCCGCCATCAGCATCAGCATCGTTGTGTGTGGCAGTGTGGGACGACTCACCTTTTGGTAAATCTCGCAGCAGTCCTCGCACATTGCGGATGCCAAGCAGGTGAGGATGTCGGGGTGTGGGGTGGATTCTGCAAGGACAAAAATCGATGCACGGGAGTGTTGGTTGTGGGGCACAGGCGGGCGGATGTGCAAGTGGGGATACAGACAGCCGGGTGAGGGTGCGGATTGGGCAAAGGAACGATGAGAGAGGCAGAGATGGCAGCAGTAACAGCGGCGGCAAAGGCGGATGTAAGAGTGAGCAGCGGACAAGCGCAAAGATACGGATTGGTAAAACCCAATGACAGCGTGCGGGATGACGGAGTCGGTTGCAAATGTCCCGATCGAGTGCGGTTTGTGGGTCAGCAAGGGATGTGTCAGAACGAAGAAGGGGCGATGTGTATCGAAGTTCGTCAGCAACTGATTCGAGGCCAGAAGAACAATTGGATGCATCATATGCAGTCCCGTCCTCGCTGCAACTTACCCGGCGAAGCAATGTCTCTGTGCGGTGCTGCGGTGGCCGTCTCGCAGCTGATGCAGCAACTGGGGTTGATGTTGTGCGAGAGGTCTTGGCCACCCACAGCATCCCAGCAAGCCGGGAATACAACGCCATGTGTCAGTCGCCCGGTATCATCCAGCGCGGTTCCCTCAGGTCCATTATTATCGATTCCCTCGACCAAGCTGTTCATAAGATCCGGCGGCGAGCTGACTTGCACAGCGCCGCCCCAGGATGCATCTCTGGCTGCTTCGCTTCCTGTCGAGAGCTGGAGGCCAAGAACGACCTCGCCAAGCTCGCCGCTCTGAGTTGCAGGGCCGGGGGATCAGTTGGGGGCGGAAATGTGGCCAGGCGATATTCTGGGTGGGGGCCGATTGTGCGAGTCCATCGGCAGCACAGCCCAGCGACAGCGCCGCCCGTTTGCCGTGGGGTGCAGAGATGCAGAGATGCAGAGATGCAGAGATGCAGATGCAGAGATAGTACCATCGAGTCGAGATAGGACATGAGCATGTCGTATTCTGTGCTGGCTGGAATGCCGGCGAGCTCGTGCAAGTGGTGATCCAGCATCTGGGTCTGTTCTGGATCATCGTGGAATCCATGGCGGCCTCGAGCGGCCCTCCCCATCGGCCTCTATAGCTCATGCAGACAGACTCCCGTCACCAAGCGCTTTCGCGCTCGAGCCCAGGGCCAGCGAAGCGCCAAGAACCCTGGCCAAAGCGACATTTGAAGATCTGCCCGCCAACCGGCCGCCGCCCCAGCGAGAGATCCAAACAGCGATCCCCTCGCTACAGTTCCGCATGAGTTTCTCTTGGCGGGGCGGAGCTGAGCAGGCAGCAGCGGCGGCTCGCTGGATTGCAACCGCTCGACTGGGGAATCCAAGGCGCCAGCAGCCGTGGACACACCAGATCGAGAGGCTGATGATCATGGCCGGCCTTGGTCGGCGCCTGGGCCAAGGTTCGACCACCGCGATATCGTCGAGACGATCATGGTGCCGATATATTCCACAGATCCCGCATCCCCCAGCCGAGGATGTGTGCAGAGACAGTGCCGACCCTGGAGCTCGGTCGATCCTGCGCTCTCTGCATCAGGTATAGGACAGGTATCCCACTTCCTCAATCTCGCCTGAATCGCTAGCTCGAGAGTCTTCGGATTGGGCCATCTCGCCCGCCATCGAGGGGCTTGCGAGGCCTTGGGTTGCTCCGCCCTGGACTTGCTCGGTGCACCACCACCCACCCCATTCGTACTTTGACCTCGATGTCGCCGGAAGACCGCTTTGGAAATCGTGCTGGTCGCTGAACGGATAGAGCTTGGCAGGTATGCGGGACTCGTCCGAGGTGTACAGCATGATCTCTGGGACATGGCCGAGTTCGGCTGCCGGACAAAACATAGCCCAAGGCAAGCAGGCCAGATGCCCACAGAGGAGAGCCAAAGGGATGAGCAAAGACGAGGAGATGGGCCAGGGGCGAGCAACGGACAGTCAGGGGCGAGCAACGGATAGTCAGGGGCGAGAGCAGATGCAGCGGTGCTTCCTCGGCTGCCATCGGTACTCACCCAGTGTTCTCTCACGCCAGCTCATACCCTGCAGCATGGCATTCATCCATATGGTCTTTGTCTCGTTGCTCTCGAGACAGAACGAATACCATCGAGTGTCATCGTAGATGTTTGGCGGGAACCGCACCCGGAAGCTGCACAGGTCTGCGATCGGCGATGGATCGATCACACACTGGTCTTCCAGCCGGAGAACGCAGAAGCTTGTGTGGTCCTGTGTGAGGTGTGGGTGAGCAGGACGAAGACCTGATGCGGGCACTATGATGCTGGCCCAAGCGACGACTATCAGAGAGCTCGGATGCTTGCCTTTTCTGACTTGGCCATATACAATTTGTCGTCCTTCAGCGATAGCCACACCTTCTTCCAGTCGTTGGGCTTGCCGACCACATGCGCCTTGACCATGACCACCGACCTGATGTCAGGTTTCTCCGGGATCGGCAGCTTCTTTGGGGTGTTGCTCACTCGCCGCTGTAGTCGAACATGAAGGATTGTGAGTCGCTCAAGCTGCTCCATCGTGGTTGGCTCCATCGACGGGGATAGCACCGATCCCGACCACGGCGTTTGTTCAAACCACTAAAGCATCGCAGTGCCCCAGCGATATCTTGGAGCGAGGACTGCATCTTGATGCCCGATATACCTCGTCGATTGCACACCACCGCGCAGTGCTCACCCCCAGCCAGTTCTTTTTCGACCGACATTCGTTTACGATTTTCGTGATCTCGGACTGGTGGTTCTGATCGACGCTGGTATAGCTTGAAAAGTCTGGACAGGAGATGCCTCGGGTGCGAGGCTTTGGGGTCGGTTCGTGCGATGGGCCTTCACTTGTCGCAAGCGACGGCGAGTCGCTTGCTGTTAGTTCCGATGAAATGCTGAGGGAGAGGGTAAGCTCACGGTTTCCAGCATCGACACCAACGCTATCTGAGGCGGTTCTCGATCGCTGGAGTATCCGAGTGTTGGGATCCAGTTTGACCGCTGGGGAGGCATCGGCAGACGAGGCGCTGTTGGATCGAGACCGAGTTAATCGAAATATGTCTCGCATTTGGTGGGCTATCGTCGGTGAGTCCAAGGAGGGTAATGATGAAGAAGCCTGTCCAAGGAGGGTAGTGACGAAGGGCCTGTCCAGGGATGCAAGCGGTCGTGTGCTTATATGGCGATGTGCCTGAGCGATGTGTCTGGGCGATTGCGCGGGATACTCCCGAATATGGCTCGGCGAGGGTTCTTGGTCAAAGGTGTGGACCAAGAAGAGCAAAGATATGGCCTTGGGCTGCCTTGGTTTCCAAGGACCACGAATGCAGCTCAGGGTATCTTGGTATCTCGACGGACGGGCGGCCGAGCAATGCGGAAGGTCAAAATGTGGTGCTTGAATCTGTCTGAGCCAACGCTGGTATCGCACGGGTGGGCCGGTATCAGCAGAGACGGAGACCAATAGTCGAGACTGTTGAAGCCCGAGTCGCACTGAGTAGTGCCTGGGATGTGCTGCGACCGGTGTCGATGGGTATGGTCGTTGGTGACCAGCGGGATGTGCAAATGCGGTCGATGCTGCTTGGCACTCAATCGGCAAAGCAAGATTCGTATGGGGACCTCTCGGGCAGTGAGCAAAGTGCAATTGTTCGTGGTCAAAAAATGCAAGCCGCCCCCGAGATTGATTCGGTCGCAGCGGAGCCGACGCTGCCAGGGGGCTCGGCGTTGTCGACATAATGCTGGCTCAAAGGACGATAGATTGATCGGAGAGAGCTCTGATTGAGCTCGATGCTTCAGCACACAGACAGGGATCCGGATATCGCCTATTGGATGCTGGAGTGTTGGCCCACAGAGCCAAGAGAAGATGCCGAGTGACCGAGTGACTGCCGCTGTGGTGCTGCGAGGCAAGCGACCCAGTGCATCTGCTGGGTCCGTCCTCCATGGTGCAATGCAACACCGAGCGTGCAAGGGCCGCTGGCTCGCTTTGCCTCGGGTTGTCCATGGATCTCTCGGTCCAGTTGAGTGCGGCGGCGACGGGGTCTGTATATTGCGGGCTGCATCGAGCCCAGGACCACTCCACACAAGCAGCGACAGGCACAGAGGCATGGATGCGACAATCGCAAGCAACGGTGCACTCGACAGGGCCACTGCAATGCAACTGCAGGCGATCAAGAACAGCACGGCACCACCGAGCACCACCGAGCACCGCCGAGCACTGCCGAGCACCATCACTAGTCGGCATCGGCGTCGTTCTCGCTGATCAGTCGCAGGAACACCTCCTCGAGGGTGGTCTGGCTGATGCCCCAGTCCAGGATCCGGGCCTCGGCCTTGTGGGTCTCGACGACCTTGAACAGGTTGGCGATCGCCCCGGGCTGCGGCGGGAACTCGTACGATGCATTGGTGGCAAACGAGTCGAGTCGCTTCCATCCCGGCGGCAGCACGCTCTCGATGAAGCTGGGTGATGGGAATCGGCGCATCGACAGGGCACCAGCAGAGTCAGTCGACATGCTGGCCACTGCACTCTGGTTGCGGATTGCAGCACTCCCTGCTGCCCTCTCCCCTGCTGCCCTGCTGCCCTGCCCCACGGCCCTTACCTTCGAGCATGCTCCGAGTCTTCTGCCTGGCTGTTGAAGAAGATGCGGAAACCCGACCCGTACTTTTCCTTGAGTCGGATGGGACTGGCCAGGCATCGCAGTGTGCCCTTGGCCATGATGCCGATGCGTTGGCACAGGGCCTCGGCTTCCTCCATCGAGTGTGTGGTCTGGGAACGGGCCAAACACACCACGTCGCAGTGCGATGGGATGGGGTGTGGTGAGAATCAATGCAGCGACGGACAGGTTGTCCAGAGCGTTGCCTGCTGCTCGCCCATCAGCACATGCTTGCTCCCAGTCCATGGTGCGGCCCGTGGTGCGGCCCGTGGTGCGGCCCGTGGTGCGGCCCGTGGTGCGGCCCGTGGTGCGGCTCACTCACCAGCACGATCGTCCTGCCGGCTCGAGCCTTGTTGACAATGTTCCAGATCAGGCGGCGGACCTCGGGATCGAGTCCAGTCTGTGTCGAGGAGAGCGCATGTTAGTCGATCGATGATTGTCTTGGAGCACAGGTCTGGGACGGGTAGCCTCGCATCTCGACCATCGACCATCGACCATCGACCATCGACCATCGACCATCGACCATCGACCATCGACCATCGACCATCGACCATCGACCATCGACCATCGACCATCGACCATCGACCATCGACCATCGACCATCGACCATCGACCATCGACCATCGACCATCGACCATCCGCAATACTCACCGTCGGCTCGTCCAGGAACACAACAGCCGGATTGCCAACAAGGGCGATCGCAATCGACAGCCGTCGCTTCTCGCCGCCCGACAGTCCCTTGGTCAGGCGGCCCTCAAAGGCTTCCAGCGCAACCTGGCGCAGAGACTCTTGGACAGCCTCCCGTTCGTTGGACGGAGAGACTCCCTTCAGGCGTGCATAAAAGTACAGGTGCTCGCCGACCGTGAGGTCGTCCCACAGGATGTCAAACTGTCGCAGGCAACCACATTGGGTGAGCGGCTCGTCCAGGCGGACAGTGGGCCAGCAGCGGCGCAGAGAGTGGTCCTTTGCAGACACGATTGCATCGACATCACACTGTTGAACACACCATCACTACATCACCCCATCACTCCATCACACCATCACTACATCACCCCATCACTCCATCACACCATCACTACATCACCCCATCACTCCATCACACCATCACTACATCACCCCATCACCCCATCACTCCATCACACCATCACTACATCACTCCATCACACCATCACACCACCACACCATCACACCATCACTACATCACCCCATCACTCCATCACCCCGCCCCACAGCCTCACCTGCGGACAGATGCCAATGTTGCCATAGACCTCCTTGGTCTCGGTCTTGATGTTCTTGCCAGCCAGGAGCGCAGTGCCGTGCGAGGCCTCGTACAGTCCCGTCAGGATCGAGATCAGCGTCGTCTTGCCTGCGCCGTTGGGCCCCAGCAGCCCAAAGACAATGCCGCTCTCGACGGCAAACGACACGTCCTTGACGGCGATCTTTGGGCCGAGACCGCCGCGGCCCTTGTAGACCTTGCGCATGTTCTTGAGGATGAGGGGAGAGTCGTGCGGAAACGCTTCGGTCTCGATTCGCTGCTTCTCGGCCTTGACATCGTCGTCCTCGAACTGCAGTTCCTCGGGCGAGACCGCAATCTTGACTGCGAGGTTGTATTCCGAGTTGGGGTCCTGATTCCGATGACATAGTCAGACTCCATGGCCTTCGCCTCCTTCCACTCCAATTCCACAAGTTGAATTCTTCAGCACACTTACAACTCCACCATTGAGTTTCATTCTCTGTCGCTTCTGGAAATATCGGATGGTGTCCGTCACAGGAAAATGCCAAGGTTTGTGGATGCCGAATTCGGTGGGAATGACGCTGTACAGATACCAAGAGATGATGAGATACACTACGGTGTCTCCAATGAGGAACATCATCGCCGTGAACACCTCGTCACCGGGTGCAAAGTTTCGGAATGAGTAACCCTGTTACAATCAAAATAGGATCGATTAGATTTGCGCGTTGCCCTCTGGCATGCGAACCTCGATGACGCTTTACACCCAAGCACAATGGTCGCTCACCGGTGACGTGGTCGATATGGCCGAGATGTTCATGAGATACAGTGCGCGATAGAAGGCAAACGGCGGCCATATAAACATAGCTGCTGGAGCCGCGTCCGTCGTCAGGATTCGGTTGACCACAAGCTGAATGATGACGCCGCAGAGCACCAAAATAAAGACAATGACTGGCGTTCCAGAAGCGATGAGAGAATGTAAGCACAAGTTCACATCCATCGGTGGGCCACCGCAAAGATCGTCCAATCAGTTTGCTCATCCGGATGTGGATCAGGCAGGTCAGTGACATACTCAGCGCAATTCGACTGCGGTTGAAGATGTGCGAGAATGCGAGCGACACGGCAATCTGAGCATGTCCCCACAGAAACAGCAGCAGTGGCAGAACACCCTTGCCCGTGTCGATAAAGATCTCCATCTTGGCGCCCGTCCCGACAACGAGGAACATGATGGCGGAGATTAGATAGAGCATGTACATGGTCACATAGTGGCTCAGATAGTATGCCCAGACTTTGAGGCCGTTCATCTTCATCATCACCAGGATTCGATCCTCCTTCTCCTTGACAAGGGTGATCACAAAGATCGGCAGCAGGAAGCTGATGCCGAAGGGATACAGTATGTTTCCGATGAGAGAGCCAAAGGGAATCGAGATCTTGGTGCTTCCAAACTCGGGCATGATCCGCACGCCCTGGGTGATCGAGGAGTTTCCCAGGGCCGACGGGTTGCTGAATCGCAGGAAGGCGTTCGAGAGCTGCGCCTGCTGCAACACCTGACGCAGTCCCTGCGCTGGAAAGTTGACGGCTGCCACAAGACGGCTGTCGGTGCCGATCTGCATGATGTAGCGGAAGTACAGATGGGTGTAGTCGATGACATCGAAATACAAGCCGCCATAGGGAACATTGCTGCTCAGTTGCTGAGCGCTGGCAAGGTACTGGCTCGTCGAAGACGATGTTGCCGAGATGTTAGTGAGGGATGACTTGTTTAGATTGGCCAAGAGAGCAAGTGTATCGGAAACGGCCTCGGAGATGGCGCCGTCGAGCACTGTGTGGGTGCTGCCCGTGAGGCCGGTGAAGTAGGGCACTTGCTGGATTCCCTGGAAAGGCGAGGGCGCTGTGAACGATACATTGAGCCAGTAGCGCTTGGCAATCGTGTCCAAAAGTCCGTTCGAGACATTGGCGGGCTTGTATGCGTATGGGGTACTCCCAAAGGTTGCCAGGGCAACTGTAAAGTTCGTGACGGGATTGAGCTGTGGGCTGGTTCCCAGAACACCAGACTGGATGTTGTTTGATTGGACAGTGTAGCTCCATGGCCGCATTTGGATGTTTGAGAACAGGTAGGCCATTGTTCCGCCAGTGAGAAGATTGGCGACCCATCCCTGCAGCGGCTCGGCCGTGTAGGTCCTTTCAGGAACATGAGAAACGCAGCGGGGGAATCGAGTCAGCATACCGACTCGCTCTCGATGAGCATAATGCGATGGTAGAAGCTCGCCTGGACTGGGGCGATGGCCTTGCGAGCATCAAGCAGTCCGGGTTACTCACGTATCGCGTCGGAAAACAGGGTTGGAGTAAACTCCCGTAAGCTGAGGGTCTTGTTCGTAGAGAGCTGACAGTGGGTAGTTTTCTCCGAACCATCTGACGCCTGGGAGCGATCGCAACGCAGTCGAACGGCGTTGTTAGTTTCAACAGGACCAATGTGTGCAATCCAAAGTGCAGCCACGATGGATGATATCCGACCGAGAGGACGCGGGATGGAGCTGGCATGTCCAGATTCTCAGCCGCTTGAGACTTACATGGATTTACAAAACCGAGGGTGCCGACGCCGGGATTGCCCGTCGTAGAAGTGCTGATAAGAATATACTCGTTGATGTTGATGACATCTTCGGTCGCTCCGGGCACGTTGGCTTGCGGCGTAATCGGAGCCCCACTTGCGCTTGAGATGTCCTGGAGGGGCCAGTTCCTCGACGACATGGCGTTCAGATTGGAGCAGTAGATGTATTCTAGCGCGACGTGTGGACTCATGAGTGAGGCAGCGCGGCGAATGGGGCGACACGAGTGAAAGCGATGCAGCAGATCGAAGCATAGCCGTACCATTGCTCGGTATGAGGGTGCTGATGAGGTGGTCGATCTTGGAGAGATCGGAGAGTTTTTGGATTCGAATAAGCACAACGACGCTGCATCCCGACGCATCCGCATCCCGTCGGCATGAACGGAGCGCGATGCATCTGGCGTGAGGACCGACATTCGATGGAGAGAGTTGCTCACCACTTTGGACAGAATCGCGCATATCAGGATCATCAGCACGGGCAACAGGCATATGCAGCACACGTTGGTAAAGATCTGTCTTTTTTGATACGAAAGCGCCTTGCGCGACAGTGCGCGAAAATGGTTTCCCTGACGCATATCTGTTCGTACTGAACCTGCGCAGGATGTGAGCCCGCCGGCGAACAAAAGTAGTTCATGAGCATATCAGGCGCTTGGATGGGATGCTGGCACTACTGCGTGCTATGGACAGAAGCCCTTACGATCGCCACCGGTTTGCGGAATGGGCTCCGGGGATACTCTTCCATCCATAATCTGGAGACGGAGTGGAGAGACAAGCTGCCAGGGAGGGGCGTTCTGGAAGACAAGATACAGCGCGCCCATTTGAAACGAGACACTTCAACATGCGGACGGTGGATTGGATAACGTTGATTGGTCACCTGGCTGAGTGACGTCGACAGCGCTCCCGCCAATGTGCCGCACCCGCGACGAGATAGAGCGATTCTGCTCTTTGCTTCCCCCCTCATCCCAGGCATGCCATTTTGCTTACAGCACATCCAATTAAAAACGGGACGCCCGGGGTTTTGACCATTCATCGAATATTTTGTTACCCAATACCATCGCGCGCTGGCCGTGACCATTCGCCACACATCCGACTTTCGCACCGCCGCATTGCGATGCTACGACCTCATCCATAGCCTGCGTAAGGTTGCCTCCATATTCAGTGTGTCCAAGAGCACCATTCACCGCTGGCACTCCGAGACCAGCGCAGCGGCAAGGCAAGGGCTATGCATCCAGCCCTCGGAGGCAGCGGTTTGCTCAGTACTTTGAGCAATTCGAGCACCACCGACGCCGTCCCAATCACCATCATGGAAGCGTCAAGGTGGCCTCGACGAACGAGTTCAACACCTCGCAGGTGTGCTCCAAGTGCCTGGAGCCAGTTCGGTTGGAAGGACTCGATACGCCCAGTGTTGCGAATTCCCACTTTGTCAGGAGTTGCAAGAATCCCAGCTGCCGGACAGTGTGGAATCGCGACGTCAATGCGGCGCGCAACATGATCACAGTATGCAGGTCGATTGTGGAGATCGGAGAGCGACCGGCGGTCTTCACTCGGAGGCTGCCAAAGTGATCTGTTTTATTTCTTGTGGCTTTGCTTGCCGCAAGCACAGCACATACTACCTGTTCATGGAAGTCTTCGTCGTGCCTACTCGCTCCATGCATCTCCCTCACACAGGACACCCAGGGAGATGATTAGATCCGCTTGGTTGGATGGGTGATATGATCCGACTGCAGCGTGCTTTTGTTCCAGAGAAATGGTGTGTCCCCATGTTCTTTCAACAGACTTTCCTTGCCGATCAGCCAAGCATCAATCACGGCAGACTCGCTCGCGAGCCTCTCGTCCGGGTCTCGACCATGGATGTAGTTGCAATCTCAGGGACTTGCGGGACGTTGTCCCGATATCCTGCCGATCAGATGTATTCGCCAAAGTATTCCAAGACAAGCTACATGCGAGTGGTTCACAGAAGCCAGACACTCGGCCGAAACCGGAAGACTGAATTCGCAGTTTCTGCAACAGGCCAGTACTGTCACTCTGTTCCTCTGGGCTGCCATATGCTACCGAAATTCATGATACTGCTTGCGGCGCCAATGCGGCGCTTTTGCACAAGGCCGACAAGAATGTGCTGGCTCAGCGACCCAAGGACGGCATTGGCAGCAGCAAGCGCAACGACAATGGCAACCTTGGAGCCGTCCAAAGATATTCCACTTGACGTCGGCTGCGCTACCAGGAAGTACTGTGACAGCCCGCTACGGAGAAGAATCGAGTCCAGCCCAAAGGCAATCAAGCCACCGCCGGCCAAAGATGAAGTCATCACGACCGACCAGCGCTGCACATAATGCGATGCCACTACCCCAACCAAGGCTGACGAAACGGCAATGGCCCAGACAGCGGGCGGGTCGATAGTTCCAGGGTCGACCGGTAGCAGAGCCATCGCCACGGTACACAGGGCAAAGCCGATGTATGCTCCTAACAGCGAGACGCCCAGTCCAGGAGCGACCACGACCAACAGCCCAGTGGCCAGGCCCATAGCCCACATGATGCTCAAGTACAGTGGCACAGCGTAGACTCCGTAGTAGCTGTTGTGTCCCTGAATGAGGCTGAGGATCAGGCTGGAGGTCATTGCTTGTCGCAATGGTGGTCGGCGTCTGGTCAGCATGGCTTCGAACGATGTGCTTCGAACGATGTGCTTCGATCGCAAGACACATGCATCGAATCGACGGTAGACAAACCTGCGGTGTAGAATCCAAGCCAAAACAGGGCGGGCTTGAGCATGAAGAGGCCAAAGTACGCCGACAATGTTCCCAGAATGATGATAAGCACAGCGCCGCCGATGCCAGCAGGACTGAGCCATCGGAACGCTGGGAAACAGTCGGGAGTTCAGCGACCTGAATCGCTCGGTTGCCAAGTCCCCTTGTGCCGAGGTACCAAATGCAATCCATGGGTTGCTGCAGGTGCCTATCCGCCCGTTCTAAAGCACCCTGCATTGCCATTCAGGCACAGGTTTCTTGAGATGCGCGTCCGAGGTGATGATGCCCTTACCGAAGAAGGGATTTCCGACCATCTCCGAGAGAACATCAACGATGTCTGTGCCGATGCTGGTGCCGTTCGCCGTGGACAGCGGGTCATTGATGCTGCGTTTTCCTGGGGCGTGCCCGTGCGCATCGAAGTCGGTCTCAATCCATACTGAAGGGCGATCCAGCGCGGCCATCATGCCCGAGGCTGGCCCATTCAGCGAGGCTCTTGCGCTGACGTACTGCATACCGAGCGGGCGCGGAGACGCAGCAAGCAAGCACGAAAGCACGAGGAGCCAGGGCAGAAGCATGGCAATGATCGCTTTTATTGCGTGTCAGCCCACGAAGAAGGCGTTGGAGATTCGGGCTCCAGGAGGAGAGCTCTTCGTGGTGGATATAGGAGCAGTCTCGATAGACCTTGATGTTGAGCGCCTTTTCCCGCGCTCGAACAATCTTTGGATCATGCAGAGCGGCTGTATCAGTGCGTCTGACCTTGTCGGCATGGGTCTTATGGCCCCATTCGACCAACTCGGCGCAGATATGTCCGTTTCAATGAGAGCCAAGGCGAGTGCCATTATAACCGATACATGACCCAATAGGACGGTCTGCGGTTCACCGGCGCTCGACCAGGGAAGTGGCGATCATGGAGGGGGGGGGATGCATTTGCGGGTAGTGTTGAGCATTGCCTCTGTCTCATACAGCCGCAGAATGCCTCACATTGCATGGCGAGCTTCAAACTCCCTCCTCATGCCCTCCAAAAACTCGTTGACCTTAAAGCCCGGAATGTCGCCACCTCGACTAGGTCCTGGCTCGGTCAAGATCTCGGCTGGATCATGGTTATCCGCTTCGCCTTCGCCAGCACTTGCTGCTGTAGTCGCCTGGCCGCGTTTTTCTCGCAGAAACCGTCGTCGTTCGTCCATCCGTCGCTTCAAAAGGTCGCCGAGCCTTCGACTGTCCTGGGCGACTTGACGGCGTCGCTGAATGGTTTCCTCTCGCAACTGCTTCAGAGCTTCCATTTGGCGATGTCGCTGGACTTCACTTTTTGAGAACTGGTAGAATGATACACCCAGATTCCGGACCTCGTTCGAAGCATCATAGCGCAGCGGATCTATGTGCAGAATGACGAGAAAAGTTGGTGTCAACCCGGATTGCTCGGGAGCTGTTAGACCAGTTTGCCGGCCGACCTACCGTCCGTTCGCATCAGTCGCTCGAGCTCAGCCTGCTTGCTCTCGCGGCTTTCAGTGTCGGGCATCTCGTCATCGCCATCGTCAAAGGCACCTTCTACCACCGGTCTGTTGTGAATTGCAGCGTCGGAGGAGTGAGTCGCCGCGTATGAACCAGCAGCTCGAATCGTTGCTGAGACTGAGAGATCCATCGCTCAGTGGTCATGGGCTGTAGCGTCCGTTTGCCATCAGGAGTTGTTGGACCGGCTCGTCAGCGCCAGAGCCGAAGACGTACCTCATTCCTTCCTTGCGTGCCTCGCTTCTTCGGACGACCCGATTCCGGCCGAATTCGTCGATGACCTCGATCCACGGATCCTTGATCAGCCCCTGTCGACAAGTGGCGGCCCTCGATGAGAACCAATAAAATATGGCAGCATGCGCTTGCCGCTGATGCGGTGGACGGGAGAACTTACCGATCGAACAGCCACCTCTTCCGTTGAGTCGCTGCTTTCGGAAACCTATAATAAAGTTGTGAGTATGAGCTGTTTCCGAGGGTCTACTTGACGACCCAGCGATACAGCCAGCGCATGGGCCATCGGCCGTCGCCAGGATCCAATGCAAGCTTACCGGATCGTCCCAGTTTTTTCGCACGAAATCAATCAGCATGTCTTCCGAGTCCATGACGTGGTCCAGATCGTCAGCTGCTCCGCTTCGAATGAGGTCGTAGATCTTGGATTTTACCTCGAGCGAGGCCTGGGATCGCTGGAGGAGCTGGGCCTCATTCTCGGTCAGAGCCAAGGCGGCCTTGTCCTTTTGCGATCGAGCCTCCACGCCTCGGTTTGACTTGTCTCCGGGCTTCTTTGTGGCAGGACGCTCGATCTTTTTGCGGGGGACAGAGCCGAGTGGGTCGAGTTCGAGCGACTGGGCCTTCTCCTGGTCGAACTGGGCTTGGGCCCGAAAGAGCTCGGCCTTGAGATCCACGACCGAGGATGCGCTGATGTTTTTGATTTCTTTCTTTTTCCACATCGGAAGGGCTCGCGTGGGTGAACGTGGAAGTTGAAGTTGAAGTGGATGTGGATGTGGATGTGGATGTGGATGTGGATGTGGATGTGGATGTGGATGTGGCATGCTCCCACCCACGTGACCCGCGTTCACATGTCCATTTCGCGCTGGCAGAATGAACGGTGGTGACGGGCGACGGCGAGCAATGCATCGGCATACACTTTTGTTTTTCAGATGCAGTTGACCGCAATGATTTACAAAGCGGTGCGTGGCCTGCACCGTTCCCGCTATGTGCTGATTGTTCGTGCAAAGATGCGGTACTCCAGGAAGCGCAGTTCCTTCCGGATGCTCTCGCGCAATGCGGGCTCGTAGTCAGACACAGTGAAAGTGCGCTGCAGATCCTTTTTGATGCGCTTGTAGATCGAATCAAATGAATCTTCATCCGCAGGGACACCAGCGATTGAATACAGCTCCTTCAGAATCTTGATTAAATTGTCCCGGGACAGAGTTCGATCCATGGGTATGCTTTGACGGTAAAAGCACAGATCCAACGCCGATCTGAATGTCCTGGAGGAGCCAACTGGCCCGAGTTTGATTTGGTTTGCGACTCAGTGAGCATTTGTCTGTGCCAGCAAGCGCAAACTGATAGATCGAATGGCCTACCGAGACGCTCCAGCTTTTGATGGTGCATGGCCATCAAGCGGCGAGTGCAAACGTCGAGAGTCGACTGCACTGGAGACTGGATGGAAGGGCACCAAGAGTTGATTACAAAGTGCATCCGCAGGAACCTTTGCTGTCCTCAGCAGCACACCCACATGTGGCTCCGGCATTCTCATCCCCGGCCAGCACTGAGACATCAGTCGCTCAAAGTAGGCATCGGTGTCGATGTTTGCGGAGACGCCTGGGGATGCAGCAAGGTAATGAGCATCAAAACATCACTGTTCCAATATTGAAGCTGTCGATCGGCGCTTGCGCAGCCAGAGGACATCCGCACCCCCCAGAGACGAAATTGCACCTGTGTAGTAGTATTCCCACTCTATCAGCTCGATAGTGCCGTCGGGTCTGTCGGCCTCCCAGTAGTCGATAAACTCGCCAAGAACGCGGTCTGCATCAAGCTCGCCAATCTGAACTCGTGGGTGGTCCAAGGCGTTGAACTTTGCTTTGGCATCTGTAAGGATGGTCTGCTCAGCGCTCTGCGTGCTATGAGGCTACTTGCATCATCGAGCCGCCAGATCCTCCGGTTTCCACCCATGATCAACCCCCAGCGAAGCGTGGCGGAGAGCGTGCAGATCGCTTGCCTTTGAGCTGAACAACTCCCTGGCCGTTCCAGTCCAAGAGAATCCACGCCGCGTGAACCAGTTCAAGACGCTTTGAATTCAGGCCCCCCTAAGAAGTAGCAACAGAGTCGCCCTTAGCTGTTGCCCCACGGTATGCCGACTCAACTCTCCGAGTAGGTTGCTCTGAGCCCCTCCCATGCTCTCCAACGATCCCTTCGCCGACGGGAGAGCCTTGGCTGAACGGCTGCTCCTCAAGCGCCACAATAGTGTATGATCTCGCCAACGCACCTTGAGGCCACGGATAAACTCGTTCAAGTTGATTCCCTCTTGGGGCCGGATCCAAAATCGTGATTTGGTCAGCATTTGTGTGTTCAAATATCGGTATCGTCAATCGCGTGGCGTCGCTCTCACCATCAGTTCCGCCAAAGAGCTCCACTAGCTCCTGTATTTGCTGCCGGGGGGAGGTAGTTAGGTGTGGTCCTGGGTCAGCCACAACTGAGACGATCGTGACATCACGCTCGCTCAACAAGCCTCCGAACCTGAGAGCTGCATTCGATGCCAGTGTCGTGGATGGTCTTGACAAGGACCGACAACGGAATATTGGCCTGCAGATCGGCATCCAGGCCCATATGCTCGAGCAGGATTTTGCAAAACTGGATGATAGGACGCCCGCTTTGATCAAAGAATGAGCGCAGCGCCGATGCGATCTGCCCGTCGATCGCCGAGATGGAGTCGAGCGAAAACTTTGGAGATCCGCTGGTATCCATTGCGACAATCGCCCAACAGTTGATCAAGGCAAGGACTAGAGGTGTTCGTCTAAACTGTGCTGTCTCTGTGCGGCGAGATCTCAGCGAAGCCGGCCGTGGCAAGTCCAGGAACCGGAAGCTTTGAGAGCCGTGCTTGCCTTGGCAAAGAGTGGGGGCAGGGAAGCCGCAGAGAGTGATCCAGTTGGCTTTTATCCAGGTCAATCGCAGCCAAGAGGTGGCCCGATGCGGTCCTCGCAGCAATGCGTCGATGGCGGGCACCCCTTTCCCACACGCTTAGCCGAGGCCTTCCCCACCATCTTCCAACGCTGCCGATCCCGTCTATCGCTCCACCAGACCATCCAATCTGTACCAAGAGGCTTCGTCATGCTGGCATCGGGCGCACTATCTCACAGCCAACGAGCCGACTCTGTGGCGAAGAAGTCTCTCGAAAAGAAGGCCAGCAGCACATCGGTCGTGTCTGCGAACGGCTCGCGAGCTCAGGCTCCCACAAGGTCGGTGGCGTCCAAGTCTCAGAATACGACTGCCCCAACTCGACAATCAGTTAACCCCTTGCCGCGCCCATCGAGGGCTGTCGAAAGGGGCCTCGATGCCACCAAAGCGCAAACCAGCCCACATTCGCGTGGAGCAGCGAAGCGCCCCATGCCTGCTGATGCACCGGCATCCCGCCTGAGCTCCGGTCTATCCTCGCGATCGAGTCAGTCCGACGTAAAGGTACCTTCGCGATCATCGGGCGATACGGCCACACCCAGAGGCCCAGCCCAAAGCAGAGCAAAGCCCCAGCAAGGGCAAAGCAGTGGACGATCGGCCGATTCAACCGCGCAACCAGTACTCGAAACCAATATCAAAGCCAAAGCAAAGACCAAGACTGCGACACAGATCTCGTCGCGGTTGCCAAAAAATGAAAATGGCCGCGCTGTCCATGCGGGAGGCGATGGTGAAGGAAGCTCTGTGAGGACAGGAGCTTCGCCAATGCGACTGCCGTCACGGCCACGAAACAATCTAAGCACCAGCAGAAGCGACTCCACCCTGGTCGACAAATCCATCGTAACCGCGGACTCTGAGTACAATGAGGGTATGAATCGCTGTTCTGAATCAACTTTGAATACTGACGAAGCACGAACATGCTTTCCCCGACATCGTTAATACCGCGCCCGTTGGAGCGATATGAAGCCATACTCTGTGCCGTTCTGGACATGGCGAGCCGATTGACTGATACATCTTAGCCCGCTATCAGACTCGAAGCCCAAGGAAATCACATTCAGCCTGATCTGTAAGAAGAACATTCCTAACGAGCGGGAATACACAAAAGACGAGCTGTGAGTGTCAGACGCACGAGCGATTGGCGATATTGGCGCGATCATAAACTCATTCTCGATGGCTGTGGTTGATTCCCTACAGCGCCGACCAGGTCTACCGGCTTACCCACTTGCGCTTGGACCGGTCCAACTTGACGCAAGTCAGCAATCTGGAACTCTTCAACCGACTCACTCATTGCTATCTCCAGCGTGTAGGGATCGGTCCAAGTGGTGTGGATAGCAATCCTGAGAGAGCGATTGCGGTCGTGATCGCAAGTCTGCCGGGCCTGATGCTTATCGAGTGCTGCTCTGTCCTTCTGCTGGGTGAAATGATTTCACCAGAACAACATCCGAACCATCGAAAACCTTGAAACGCTGATATGGCTCAGGTTCTTGATTCTCTCGGAAAACCAACTGGTCAGCACCGCTGGTCTGAATTGCCTCTCCCGCCTCGAATACTTGGATGTCTCTCATAACCAAATTGCTGAGATATCAGGTTAGTGGTAGCACGTAGGATCGAGCAACTAGCAGGGCCGAGCAATTAGCAGAGCCAAGCGACTGGCCGTAAGCACAGCAACACTTGTATCTCACGCCCGTTGGTTTTGTCATGATTACCGTTCAGACGATTTGCCCAAATCGATTCGATATCTGCAAGCATCTGGCAATCCTTGTGCCCTCCTTCCGTCATACAAGATCCATGTGCTTGCGATCCTGCCGAAGCTCTTGGAACTCGATGAGCAACCAGTGTCCAAGGAGGAGAGGCGGTTGGCCAGCTTGACATTGCAGCCCAGGTACCACCAATGTCCCTTTGGACTCAACAAGACCGGGCCATGGGCCGAGGTGGCTCCGCCTGTGGCGCCAGTGTCGCATGGCGGATCAATTGACATGCTTTGGTTGACGCCCAGGAGCCCGGACGCTGCACGAGAGAGCGAAGCCGACTATGAGGACGGCGACAGCGACGAGTCAGTCGATGAGCTGTTTGCTCCCTCGAATGACTCTAAACCCGACATCTCCTCGGAAGAGCATCAACAAAAGTACGACAATATGCTGAATGGCATCATTGCCGAATCCAGAAAGCGGCAGGAAAAGGTGGGTTTATTGCGCAGACGATTCTCCTTTCAGCCTCGGGAGGCAAGCAGCAGCGGCGAGATCTCATGGTATCGATTTTGTCGGCGCTTGCGTCCAGGGCACAGAGGACTACGACGCCAAAATCGCCGCTCTCAAGCAGAGAATCAAGGCTTGGGTCCTCGAGAAGCAGCACAAGCGGACCGGGCCAGCCGCCCACGAGACACTTGAGTGATGATGCCAAGCAAAGTACGCAGATGGGCTGTGCTCCCAGCACAATCGTCATCGTCGTGCACAGAGTCAGGGCAGCGACGAGAGGCCGCCGCCGGATGAAGTGAGGCGGCTCAGAGCTGAATGCTTCCAATCTCGGCCTGCGATCGACTTTGCAGACTCTCTTCGGTTTTGTCTTCAGGCCAGGTTGGGTATGCACCAACGCAAAGGGCGTAAGTGACCAAATACAGCGATCCTGACTACCAAGGTTACTGTGACAATACGTTCCAGACGCTGACGGCGCTCAGCGACAACCTACAGTCAATCACCTTGGATCTTCTCAAAGAGCCGAGTAGCTGGCGGTCCAGATCGATTGCTGCTCGCTGCACCTTCGAGATGGTTCCTGAAAATGGACAGCACCGTTCCGTATCAGCGATGTTGCGTATGTGGACGCATCGTGGCTCGCCCGGACAATACAGACAGGCCTTTCAATCTGCCCGAAGCAAGATAAAGTTGCGTTTTCAGTTCCAGCACAACCTCCGACGTGAACAACCCGGATTATACAGTCGCGGCCGCGGATCTGGTTGATGAAGGTCAGGGCGGCCCAGACCATCCGAAAGTCGTCTCGGCCCGTGCGAACGATCCCGACCGATGTGAATGGCGAGAAGTACTTGACTAGCACGGTTGTGTCATGGTTGTCATGGTTGTGTCATGGTTATGTCTTAGTCCGCATTATCGTTCCAGCGATATTCCCGGCAAGGGCGCTCCTGCAGGCGGCAGATGGCTGGGATGATGCCGTAGTGCATATGATCAACCACAAGGAGCTAGGCTCATTGCGAGCGAGTTCGCCGCAGGGCAGAGGAGCTGCCCTCACCTGAGAGAGACGAGAGCACGCTGCCGGCCCCATAGTCGCCAAAGTTCTGCTCGACCGAGTCCTTGAATGCCTGGGCGATGATGCCGCCGTGCATGTTCTCGACAATCAGCTGGTCCTTGAAGTCGATCTCAAAGAGGAGATACCGGTTCTTGATCCTCATCGCGCCGGGTCTCGTTGGTGCTGCCTTGGCTGTGCCGTCTGCGCTCGGGGTCAATCTTCCTCCGGATCTTGCTCCGGATCTTGCTGCAGATCTTGCTCCAGATCTTGCTCTTGAGGCTCGATCCTGTCGATCTGCTTTCTGGGTTGGATTTGGGCAAGCCGTGCCAGCCGCGCGGTGATTGGTCCGCACCCTCTCGCCGAGACCGATCCGGTGTCCTCGGCCGCCCTCGCTCCTCGGCTCATTGTCGCTGTCGCCCTGGAGCAGCCAGCAACAGGATCACCCATCAGTCACGTGGCGCCATTATGCTGCCAATCGCGGCGGCGCCCGGATGACGTCCCAGCAACGCCCGACACAATACCACGGCCAGCGACAGCAGTGCCCCCCGCAGAGAATGTGTGGCTGCCAGCAGCGACGGAGGCGAGCTAGTGCGCTTTTGGGGTGGGCGAAGCGCAGGGGAGGGCCCAAGGAGATTTTCCCCTCAGAAAAGAAGAGCCAGAGGGGCGGGCGCCCTTCCTCACCTTTGCCGCCCATCAAGCCGAGTCCGCAGCTCCTCTGCTCCCACGCACGCAAGTACTTCTTTCTCACGGCGCCATCTTGCCACTCGTAACGTAAGTTGGACCCTCGTCTGGCTCTCAGTCAGTCCGGCCCTCAGTCAGTCCGGCTCATTCCCGCGGTTTCAGTACTGGAGAGAGGGTTGCATATCCTTGCCCAGTCCCCCTCCTGTGCTGCTCTGTTTCGAGACGGACAGGAGGGCAGTTACGTTACCAAGCTTTGGCAGTCATACTTCGCAAACCAATGACGGTGTTGCCAAATACCCTGCTGGCTGTGAAGCGCCTGTCCAGGACTGACCACAGTCCGACCCCGGCGGCCGTTTGTTCCGCAGCAGGCCCGAGTCAGCCCATAAAAGTTCGCTGCAACACCTACTCCGTCCAAAGTAGCGCCGGAAATGGGTTGCGGAGTGTCAAGACCCGCCGCACAGGCGACCATTGGCCCTAACGCCGCTCTCAAGCAGGCCCAGATTGACAACCCGCAGCAGAATGTAAAAATACAAAAGTCGGCCAAGGCAGACCAGGAAAAGCCAACAGTCCAGCCCGTGGTCAAGGCACCCCTGCCAGTAAGCGAGGCGCCCAAGAAAGTGAGTGTGCTGCGCGCTCTGTCTCTCAATCTCGGCTTGCCGCGGCTGCGAATAGGAGGCTACTGTTGGCCTTGCATTCAGACAGCCTGACTTTTGTCACCATGTATCTAAACAACCTCTTTCTCTTCGGAACACCCCACCACAGGCTGAAGCCGAAAAGCCCGACATCAAGAAGGATGGGTCACGAGAAGTGGCAGCTGCGCATGCAGAGAAGCCAAAGCAGGCAGCTGTCGAACCCCAGAAGATCGAGCCCCAGAAGATCGAGCCCCAAAAGTCAGCCGAGAAGCTGACCGAGCAGAAACCTGGGCCGACAAGCGAGGCACACACACATGTCGCCAGCCCCGAAATCGGGCATGAAGCCCCAGCCCAGATCCCCAAAGAGGCAGAAAAGCACGCTGAGAAACCTGCCGAGAAACCTGCCGAGAAGCCTGCAGAGAAGCCTGTCAAAGAATACCCTGTCACATACGGTGCCAACGAGCACTACATGTCGCGTAGCAATCTCATCGGAAGTATCTCCAACCCCGATCTAGCACCCGAGTACACCCACCAAAAGCAGAGCACAAAGGAGCGCATGCTCGCACCCTATGCCGAGTACGAGATCGATGGAGTCCGATACGGAGCCAACGAGCATTACCACTCTCGAGGAAACCTCATCGGCACCATCTCCGATCCCGACTTTGGCCCGAGGGAGCCGGAGCCCAAAGAAGACATTGGATATTACGGTGATTATGATGAACACGCTGCTATAGATTCCCACATTCAAGACAGAGGTTACAACTCTCAGATTGATCTGATCGGCCAGCACCGAGCTCTAATGGATCAATTCTTTCCCACTCCGACTCCACCACCTGAACCCGAATTTGGGTCTCAAGAAGCCCAAGAGTCCCAAGAGTCCCAGAACGAAAAAGGCCCAGAAGACCAATCCGCCGCGGCCGCCGCCTCTACCGAGAGCAAGCCTGCTTCGGACCAGCCTCAGCCCGGCGCCACAGGTTCAAAGGGTGCCGAGCCTGAGGTTGCCGAGTCCAGGGCCGCTGAACCCAAAGCCGAGCAGCCGATCGCTCCAGAGACCAAGGTGCATTACGGTGCGAACGAACACTACATTTCGCGCAGCAACCTGATCGGCTCCGTTTCGGTCCCAGACATCGGGCCGGTGGACCAGGCCAAGAGCCACGGAAAGTACCTCTCGAAAGAGCGCCTCAAGACCGAGCACAACGAAGTCGAGGTCGAGGGCGTTCGGTACGGAGCCAACGAGCATTACCATTCCCGGGGCAACCTGGTGGGAACTGTGTCCGATCCCGACATCTTCGACCCCAACCATTCTGAGGCACCAACAAAGCCTGCAGCACAGCAGCATCACCACACAGAGCCGCACAAGGAGAGCCACAGCGAGCACAGCGAGCACAAGGAGCAGCCCGCCAGCGAAGCTGCTGCCCATACCCACCACAGCAAGGACTATCAATCCGATGATCGCCAAGTCTTCTATGGCGCCAACGAGCACTACCACTCGCGCAGCAACCTCATTGGCTCCGTATCTGTACCAGACATGTCGTACTACGAGCTCCAGTCGCACCAGCTCATAACCAAGGAGCGAGCGCCGATTGTGCACAACGAAGTCGAGGTCGAAGGTGTCCGGTACGGAGCCAACGAGCACTACCATTCGCGCGGCAACCTGGTGGGAACCATCTCCGACCCCGATCTGTTTGGCCACACTGTTAACACAAAGAGAGAGGCTCCGTCTCAGGCAAGTGAACACCACTCGAATCAGAGCCACAGTCACCCTCAAGAGCATTCCGAGCACCAGGAGGCCAGCAGGGACAACAAAGCGCACGATGATCACGGTTCCAAGCAGCAGCTTGCCAAGTCCCATCACGACTTGGAGCACCAGCAACCATCAGGCAAGGAGCCCAGCCATCAATCACGAGGCGCATCGCTGAGCCAGTTAGCCTCTCACGAAGAGCACGCCAAGTCAGAAGCGCATGCCGAGCCCAAGGCTGCGAGCAAGGCCGGCTCACTTAACAAGCTCGATTCCAAGAGCCAGCAGAGCGTCCACTCCAAAGCCGGTTCGGCCAACAACCTCGCTGGAGACAAGTCTGCTGGCGCTGAGGCCACCCCAAGCGAGACCATTCAGCCGGCACAAGCCATCAAGTCTTCCAAAGAGAGCCTGGCAGACAGCAAGCCCACCAAGTCGGTCTCATTGAACAACCTACCGACCGGTGCTGAGGCCAAGAACGAGCCAGCTATCCCAACGAGCAAGCACGCTTCTCTGCAGAACCTGTCGAGCTCGAAAGAGCAAATCGCCAAAGGCTCGACTAGCAGCGTTGCCCAGGCCAGCGATACACGCACGTCCAAGGACAAGCTGCAGAACCACAGTTCGTCCAAGGGCGGCTCTCTGAACGAGCTCGCTCGATCCGAGGCAAAACCACCATCCAAAGCCGGCTCGCTGAACCAACTGACGCAAAAGGAAGGATCGTCTCCTTCGCGGGAGCAGCTTGCCGAGTCCAAGCAGCAAGGCTCTGTCCACTCGGTCCACTCAACCCATCAGCTCGAAAAATCGCAGTCCAAGCCTGGATCGACGCAGGCATTGCAGGACGAGCAGGCCGCCTCCAACGAAGCAAGCGATGCTGCCCACAACTCCACGGTGTTTTGAGCTATGATTGATCCCAAATGCAAAAAAATATGCAGATGCGCCTTCGAGACGCTCAGGTTGGTGGCATGTCGAGAATCATCTGTACGGCCAGGATGGTTCTCCAGCCGGAGCAAAACTGATATACGCAACCGCACAACGAGCATGGCTCTGCTTTCTCGATCTGGCAAGGCGATCCCGCGGATGTGCCGTTGACTCAAAGCAGCACCCCCTCACTTTCTCTCTCGCTAGATCCGAAGCCAATACCTCGCGCTCGTTTCTGGAGTGAACCAGACTCGAGTCAGACTCGCTTGGCCTGAGCTGTCATCTGTTGACCACAAAGCACATTCCAGCATCGCTCTTGCACAATAGACACAAGCAGGATGGCTACTGCAGAGCATCTTTGCGAGTAAATTCATGAGTTCTTTCTCTTCCCTCTCTTCCCTCTCTTCCAGCAAGCTATATTGTTCTCGATGACTCGACAATAAAGAACCGATGACATCGTGTGTGGCAAGCGAATCCTACTGGGGAGCTGAGGGGCGGCATCGTCCGCTCCGTGCGAAGGACGGGCGCTGCCTCACTACCATTCGGCATAGCTACATCAATGCCTCCCGTCATGATTAGCTCAAAAACTTTCCATCAATAACGATGCCACTCTTGAGCGTCCGTTCGCTGATCCACCTGCGAATGCTGCAGAGCAGCACGTCCATGGTGTAGACTCCGAGAACTGGCGCAAAACCATACGCCGTACCAACATGAACGTCCAGTGCGCTGTACAGTAGGGCGTAGAACAGCATAAATGGAGCATCAAGCCCATAGAGCAGGGTGGCTGAGTATCCCAGAGGCTCTGCATGCCATTGAATGATTGGCAAACGATGCGTAGTCAGCCAGCTAGCCAGTCAATACACCGCATACAACCGACCCGCAGATCTAGCCATCGGCGCTAGTAATGAGCTTGACATACGCACCGTGATAAAATATTGATCCCATTGATGTGTCCGGGGTCGCTCCGACAAAGCGCTCGACAAATGATTTTTTGCAGATAAAGTACGGATGCTCCTTCAGATTCTGTCAAGAGCGCGGACGCAGGGGAGTAGTCCATCCCCCTTAAAATATGAGTGGACTTGTCGGTGGGCACTCCTCTGCATCGGTGGGCACTCCTCTGCATCGGTGGCATGCAGCGAGCAACTTCTTGTCCCCAGTGTCCGCCATCTCGTCAGACAGAAGCATGCGCCAACTCTCTGGCCTCCTCGGTATCCCACCTTGTCAAAGAAGGCACACATGAACTTGTTCATGGCATCATAGGCGCGAAGCGATGTTTCCGAAACCTCGCGCATTTTGCTGAATCCACCTCCGAATCGACCTGTGCATCGGCCCATGCTATTAGTGCTCTAGAGCATTCAGCCGGCATCATCGCCCAGATACAAGCCACAGTCGCATATGCCTCACCGCTGCGCAATCCTTGTTCTGTCAAGTGGCCCATCTCCTGCATGATCAACTTTGGATTAGTGCAACTGAATGCCACGCCATGTCTGCAAAGCAGCACAGACACCGACCGATAGTAAGATCGACCTAACCCATCACAATCTCAAGCGCATCCACGACCGTGGCAAGCGTCTGAAACAAATGAGACGCTACCTCGTACACTACGATCTTGTAGACCGAGTCGTAAGTGGTTCGGAATCCAGAGCTCAGGAAAACTTCAAACACCTGCGCTTCCGAGTCCGCCAGCCCGCGCTTGGGGACGACATCTTGGGTCTCCATTTTGAGGCTTTCGTTGAGCTCCTTGAAGTTGGTATCGGCGCCAGTCGGATGGACGGATCGCCCGTGGATATAGTAGCCGTGGCAGGGCTCGTCCATAACCAGCAGAGATATGTTTGAGAGCGAGAGCATGTCGACAAAATGGTACAACGGAGTCGGGCGCACATGGACCCAGACGATGTTGTAGAATCCAATCTGGCTCGCCAAGTTGGAGCAAAGTGATGTGCATTTGTGCATTTGTGCATTAGCGTCAGGTGTGGTTTCAGTCCTATACAGCGTCCACGGGCAGATCACCATCGCAAGATGCTCTCGAATCCTCGCCTGGGACATTTGATTGCTGCATTCGCCAGTGTGTTTCTCTCGAAGACCCAAGCGAAACCGTACCTGGATGGCGTTCACGATGAACCACACAATGGTGTTGATACCAACCAAGAGGATCTCGTTGCGATCGCCTGGAGTGAGGTCGAGCAGGTTGGTTTGGCCTGTCGAGGCGTATTGAACGCCAAAGCCCTGCATGATGACATACATGAGCAGCACAGAGACTTCGATGCGGACTCGTCGGTGGGTCTGGGCGAAAGTGGGACCGAGAGAGCTGGGTCGGTTGGTTTGCGACTGGGCGAAGCATATGCTCCAAGCATGCATATCCTCTGGCAAACCGAGCGCCATAGGGCTCCCGTGTCGGCCACACACAAGTGTACCTGGAGTCTATTCCAGACGTCAGCCATAAAAATGGATCGCCATGCGCTCACTGGTGTGGGCTTGAGTGCATCGTCGGAGCCTGGCACCTTGACTTTGCCATGCGGCTTTTCCCAGTCAATAAAGAACACGTCGCAGCGAGCCTGTGCGATGATCCTCTTGAGAATGTAGCAAGCCTGGAGCGGTCGGCCAGTGGTATTTGAGACAGGATAATCGAGTGATTCACATTGGCCAGACACATCGCCGCGATGCAAATGCACCTGGGCTTGTGGCCAAAGCACATGATGCCGAGCATGAATTGGAGATGGAGAGCCTTGTACTTACATATAATCCCAGCGTAGATAGAAATATCGAATCGTATATGGAAATGTCCGCGCTGAGATAAGGCAGAAACAGGTAGAGTGCGCTTTGCCCCTTGAAGAAAATCAGGCAATACATGGAGACGCCAAATAGGAACCAGAAGAAGGTTGCCCCACCCGCTCCAAAGATAGTGGCAAAGATCGACATCCAGCCCTGTTGTGGAGGTGAGAAGCAGTTCTGCAATCCAGAGCCAGATGACGACGATCGGCGAGCAAGCCGCGGTGAATGCAGTGGGTCTGCAATATTGGGCTGCACCCGCACGAGATTCGCTCACTCACCACGAGATCGACGTTGAGCAGAATCCGTTGATTTCGGGCAAAGTACATGCGGGTCATAACGACTCCGAATCCAAACGACAGGATACAGCAGACCGAGAATATTCCTTCCAAGAGCTGGTAGATATCATAGTAGTTCTCCGAGTAGTAGACTCCGAAAGAAAACTGAGTGAGCGGGACACATTTCAGTTTCGATTGACATAATAGACCCAGTAAATCCAAGCCGAGGAGCATGCTGTACGCCGCAACGGCTTGTTTTAGACGAGGCGATTGCACCAGCACAAACTCACTGTTGGTACGCTATATGACGATGTGTCGTTGAGCGAGAGTTTGCTGTAGGAGCGCTCAGACACGGTGACGGTGAGTACGGGTGAATATATCTGGCTCGTCGAGGCGTTGTTGGTCTTGGAAATGCTGGTGGATGTCAGTGCAAAGGTCGGAGGGTGCGGCCTGTTATTTTTGGGGTATGCATTCGCAACTTGGCCAGCGTCATGCCTCAGCTCGTTCCCAATCGAACAACAAATTTTCTTCAGACAGCAATCAGGACAAAATGTACTTGGGCCAGATATCGATGAACCTACGTCAGAGTGATCGCAGTGGCGGCGCGGACCGCAAGAAGATTCCCGTTGGACATGCCGCTCACGACATCAACCAGGAAAAAGCGCCGACCGAGCTTGCCGTTGACTTGAACCGGGACCGGATAGAGGCTTCCGGTGTCATCAGCCACAACTGGAGGAAAACAAGTCGTCTAGGACAGTCAGTGAAAAATCGGATGATCGCAAAAATCACCGCCAGTGACAGCCGCTCAATCTGGGGTGTCGATCTCGTTGCATGGCAACAATCGTTGCCTCGACTCCCCAAGCGTTGCCAAGGGACGTACATAGCTCGTAAAATATGGTCGTTGAGTTCACCGACTGAAGTACAGTGAGCATGTTGGCTTGGCATTGGTTTATATAGTTCCGGCCAACCTTCGAAAAGACGGTGGCGCTATTCATGTTACGAGTTGACAGGCAGAGCTATGGCGTGTATGCGTGTCAGTATGTCGTCTTTTGGCTCGGTAGAGAGCGAACGCCTCCCCCATCATAGGGCAGGAATCGTCATGGCATACCTGTAACTGTGTTTGCAGCGGCTCCATGCCCAGATAGGATCCATCCATGCCGTAGGCATTCAAATAGAACTGGAAGACGCTGATGCCCTGTCGGTCAAATTCAAAGTTGTGTGGGAATAAGCCATGGTGGTCACCCGAGCAGATGTTCTCCGATGGTGGCGCTATGAAGCAGAGATCCCGCCGGCTGGCTCGATAAAGGCCACCACCTTCATACCGGTGCGGAATTGACGCTCATGTCGATGTCCGGAATCACGCTATAGACATACGACGAGTCCTGCTTGCTGAGCAGTCCGTAGAAGAGCCAAGGGAAGTTTTCTGGCCTGATGATCGATCCCAAGAGCGTCGTGGATGGAATGGCGGCATTGATGGACATTCAGTAGAACGCATCAGCAGTCTGACGAGCATGCGCCGGGTCAAAAAATGCAGTCGACGGAGCGTCAGAGTCATGGCCCTACTGGTCAATGTTCTGCGGCCCAATGATCGGGCGGTTGATTGCTATCTTTTGGTAGGCCAGGCATGGCACCGAGAGCAGATTGTAGAGCTGCAAAACGCAGTAGTTGGCCAGGATTTGGCATGTCTGCAAGTCCGCCTGGGTCTGGAAGAATGGACGGTGTTTGAGGTTGTAGAGCTGCGAGGAGCATCGCAGGACTGCTCCATTCATCTCGTGCTTCACATCCAAGCTGCTCGTAGTCGTTGCATTCACTACGACTGACAGCACAGTGAGATTGCCGTATGTTACAAGCGGTGTGCATACTTACGTAGCAGATGGTGAGGATTCCCAGGAAATTGTTTTGGAGCCCGTCCGTCAGGACCGTCACCGATGTGAATGATCCATCCGACTGAGGCAACAGCTGGCAGAGCCACCCCCAGCACGGCCGGGACCCGGAGACGCCATCGGATGGGATCGGGATTGAGGCGGTAAGTCGAGAAGAGTTGGAGGCGTCAATTGGCAGGAACGTGGCAAAACTACTGCTACAAAGTCACGGCCGGCGAATTGAGCCTGCTACTGTGAGGCAATGCCAAGCAATACTCACGCCGAACGTTGTAGACAACGGCGAGAGCACAAACTGGGATTGGACGCTACTGATGGACGATGAGAGGAGACATCGGCCGTTTTGCTACCGGCGATGAAGAGCTACATTAGCAGGGGAAGCGCGCTGGAGCTGTTTCGGAGCTGCCCTGGGATCCATTGTCCGAAGAACAAGTGTCTGGTCAAGCACCCGCAAGCTGACGGTGAGGTTGGCGATGGAAGACCGACGGAACACACTTACAGGCTGAGTGGTGTATCCCAGTGCTGCCGGACACAGGCATGAGTAGGTCCGCGTAGAGGGGTCGTATGAAGCGATCATGGCTGGGTCTGGGCAGCTTATGCACTTCGAGATATCGTTCGATGGATAGGAGTTGGCTGGGCAGGCTTGGCATGTCGCCGTGGTGAGTGGAAGACCTGTAGTCGTGTTCCTGGTGACTGGCATGGTGTGGGAGGATGGTGGGATGAACGGACATGACATGAGCATCCGGGTATGAACCAACTTTGCGCCTCCACATCTCGTGACTGTGGAGGCCGGTGACGGCTGCTGGACGAACAGACGACTCACTGAGGATTTGCATGGACGGACAAGTGCAGACGACCGATCCGTCTGTGGCATTGACGACAGTCTGCGAGGCCGAGGGGCAAGCCAAACAAAACAGGCGATCAAACGAGCTCGTCTGTGGCAAAAGGCAGAGCCGAGCACACACGGCAGCCAATGCCGATCGATGTACCCATGAAAGTCGGTCAGCATTCCAAAGACGTCAATAGTGAGGGGGGGAGAGCGTCCGGATCCCAGGCAAGTCTATGGGAATGCAGTCGGTGGTGCCTTTCTCTCTGGGCGATGCATGGCGGATGGACTCGCACTGTTCCCACCTGGCTTGAGGGACACTGAGTACACTTGCTGTCTGCAGCAATGATCTGGGAAGGATAGCTGATGATGTAGCCCCTCGGGCAGTTGCATGAGCCTGATCAAAAGATTGCCGAGCAAGATGAAGGAAAAACACCCCCATTGCATGCCCCATCAGTGCCAATGCGGATCTTGGACATGCAGTCGATACTGGGCACATCCGCCACTCGAGAACACGAAAGCGAGCGAGCTCATCTGCCACAAACCATCGGACATCAGCTCCTTGCCGTTGGTACAGGAGCTGCATTGGTTGATAAGATAGTTGAACACCAGTCCGCTGGGACATGAGGGCACTGCCGGCGACACCTCGTATGGGAGGAGAGAGCAGTAGCCGACCGAGAGAAACAGAGCAACGGATGCCACTAGGAGAGCTACGCGCATGGAGTCGAGCAGGAGAGATGTGGTTGTGGAGGGATACGAAGAGTCTATTGAAACGGGACAGCCGGCCTTGATTCAGAAACCCGGTCAGAGATCCCGCCGGATTCAAGGCGGTCGGCCGCGGGAAAGAATGGGCGCCAGCCGTGCAAGAGGACAATCGAAGACAGGGGAGCACGGGAAGCCGACAGAGGCTGCCCGGGGTGGTGGGCGGGCATCAGGGACAGAATGTAGCTTGATCGCAGCGAGGACGGTGGGAGACTGGGTTCTGGAATGGCAACGAGGCCGCTGAAGCTCATGGGACCAGTTGTCCATGATCGCGCACGGTCGAATGGGCAGCCATGATAATATCGATGCTGGAGCTGCCCAGAGACGGTTGGGATGCGAGATTGTCGACCGACAGGAACAGTCAGCTCCCCCGAGCTTGATGTTCGTGATCACGGAGACTCGCAACGGCCGCCGGAATCCTGTTGCTTGAGGGGGAGCGATCTAGGGCTTGTGCAGGGACTTTTCGAGCTCGAGAAACGCCTTCATCGACGGGTCCATCTCGGTTTCTTCCGCGGCGGCGGGCAGCATGGTCTCCTCGGGATGCTTCAGCTTGTATTCCTTGAGAGCGAGGCGATAGGTCTCGAGCTCTTCCTGGTAGTCGTCCCAGACACTTGACATCCAGGCGACAGCGAGGGAGTGGAGATTGAGTGCCATCGACAGCGCCACTGTATGCGAGACCAAGTCGAGGAACCAGATGGCATCCAAGGCCGACGGCCCAGACGACCTACCAGTTCTTGCATCCGCTCATGCAGCAATTTGTAGGGATCTCTGGCTTGGCGAGATGAAAGCCTTGGGGACCAGCATCGGGCACGCCCGTCGCAGACTCGGCCGCCTGACTCGGCTGAGCCTGGGAGGCTGGGGCCGCTGAGCCGGAGGTCTGTAGATCCAAAGCAGATGGGCCAAGGAGAAAACTAGTCAAAGAGTGCAAGGGCAAAGAGCAGCAAGCAGAGCGAGACTTGGGGGAGCGATAGCAGCACTCGGGTCCAGGCCGGGATGGCAGATCGGCCGGATGGCAGATAGCGATTACGAACCTGCGGCGGCAGCCAGCGGATCAGCGACCAGTAGCCCGAGTAGTTGGGCACCCGGGAGTGCAGCAGCCGCCTGGCGACGACGGACATGGAGGGGAGATGGAGCCCGGCGACGACGGGCATTGAGGGAGATGGCGGCCGGCTCGGTTTGGCTCGGCTGGGCTCGGTTCGGCTCGGTCCAGCTCGGTCCAGCACTCCATGCGTCGGCCTCGCCCCATCGCCCCATTTCGTCGATCGAGCCCGCCCGCAGCGCTCTGCCAGCGATCGCCAGCCCAGACATGAAGCGTCCGATCGACGTTGCCGGTAGGCCGACCGCCTGCGTGCCTGCATCCTCCGTGCGGGCGATCCGCAGACCATCCGCAGACGGCGGCAGAGCCATCTCGTGCTCGACTCCATCGCCAGGATGCCCACCACTGCTCGATCTACCCAGCAACCCGCTCGATCTGCCTGCCTGCCATCCTGCTCGGGACGGCCAACAGGCATATCCGGTACACCAGAGTCGCTCGTCCTGACTGCATGTTCTCCCCCTCCCCACCGCCACCACCACGCAGACGACGGCAACGACGACGGGTCCTCGCAGAAGCAGCGCCAGGACCTGCCGATCAAGAACGAGGAACAGCATCCCGAGACCGTCTTCCAGCCCGTTTCGCTGCTGCAGCCATCGCACGACCCAGTCGACCACCTAAAGCTCTCATCCGCACCCGCACATATCCAACTGCAGCTGGCGTCCCATGCCACCCTGCCTGTCAGCTACCAGGCTTTCATCACCCAGGCAGCAGCGGCAGCCTCATCGGCATCGGCCAGCCAGGGACAGTCGCCCGACCCGAGACAGCTTGCCGGTGAGGATCCGTGGTCATCCATGGCCATCCATGGCCATCCATCCATCCGCATCGTTGTGTTTCCTGGCCAAGCAATCGAGGAATCGAACAATCGAACAATCGAGCGATCGGGCGGCAGAGGCGCAATCACCAGGGTCACCAAAGAACCCATCTGACGATCAGGCGTTTCCCTTGTCTTTCCGTTACCATTTGCCTCCTTTTCGCAGATACCATGACCGCCGCTGCTCAGCTCTATCATCATCACCAGCAGCAACAGCAGCAATCGCAGCAACACCCTGGACCGACCACCGTCCTTGTCCCAATCACCCTGTCGCCACAGCAGCACGGAGCAGCACCCGGTATCGTCGTCGGTGCAGCAGGTAATGCAATGCGGGGCATATCCAAAGGAGCATGGCTTTGCATTCAAGCGATGGCCCTGGTCCGGTCGTCGTGAAGGATTGGATGTCCATTTGGACTGGGAGGAAGACTTCCCAAGAGTTTACAATCGTGATGCTGCTGCACACTGGGGCCGTCTGGCGCCGAGCGTCGGGCTGCACTCGGGATATGGCATTCAATCGCCTTTATACAACGGAACATACATCTGACTGATGATATCCAACCTTTATCGATGATATCCAACCTTTATCGATGGTTTCCAACTTTTATCGACGATATTCAACTCGGCAACGTGCGTTGCGCCGATGGTGCGTTTTGATCGACATCGATATCGCCGCCTGGTTGCCGCCGCTGCAAACAACATGGCACGGATCTCTGTCTGCAACCATCAAACGAATGCCAACCACACCGCCATCCAAACGGGGTGGGGTGGGGTGGGGAACAACCAGGCGCTCTGTCACGGGAAGAGAAGCGAACAACGTCAGCAAAACGGGCCCTCCAGAACCGAGAGGCCCAGCGAGCCTTCCGCGAACGCAAACAAAACTACATCCGCTCGCTCGAGGCCAAGGCCGCGGACCTGGATAGCTACATCCAGGAGCGGATCCGATACCAGCGGCAGGAGCAGGACTACATCCGCCTCCAAGCCGAGCGGGAGACGTGGCTCAAGGAGCGAGAAGAGCTGATCAGCGACCGCAATCAAGCCTGGAGTCAGGTCGAGCTGCTCAAGAAGGAGCTGCAGCTGCTGCACATGGAGATCCGGCGTTTGACCGGGCTCGACCCTGTGGCACTGGTGGCGAATGCACAGCTGAACGAGCATGAGGAGCATCCTCTGTCGGACGAGGGCGGGCACGAATCCGAGGCTGCGGTCAACCAAGGCGAGATGGATTCAATCACAAACGGCGGTAAGCTCCTCCGGCGCTCCGAAACAAGTGCGGACGAAAGCAGCCTATGTGCTTGACTGAGGACTGTGGATCGACGCTCTTGGGAATGGGGAAGAAGATGGCATCGATCCACCAAGAAGAGGGCGAATGGCTCCGCGATCATCCACTGACCCAACTCTTGATCCCGACACATATGCAGTGGACTCGGCGCTTCAGTCGTATTCGTCGCTGTACCACCAGCAGCCATCAACAACATCGGCCGAGGACTCGAGTATCGTATCAGTGGCGGCGATGGAATCGGCAAACGTCGCAGTCGTCGCCTCGTAAGTGTTTGGAGAGTTCGGGAGAGGGGAAAGCTCGAGCACTTCATTTGCCTCGGTGTGGTGCCGGCCAATGTCGACGACGTGATATCGATAGCCTGGCGCTGCTTTGCTGGCATCGGCGGCTGGTTTATATCTTGTGTCGACTTGGGCGACTTGAGCCTGAATACTCACGCAATCTGCACATGTCTCCACGACGACATTGTTGGTTTCCCATCAGCATCGTTGCCGCTGCTGCCGCCAGCGCCGTTGCAGCTGCCAACCAGGCACAGCAGGGCTCCTCGAATCTGCACCACTTTCCCACCACGCATGTGTCGCACGACTCCATCTTCCCGCAGTCGCCTCTCGATGATGATGATGATGGTGATGGCGATGGTGATGGCGACGATGACGACGACGACGACGAAGCAGACGAAGCAGACGACGGCGACGACGGCGACGACGTCAATGACACCGACGACACCCATAAATCATAACTCATCCTGTGAAGAGCCTCGTTTTTCGTGAGAGAGAGAGAGAGAGAGAGAGAGAGAGGTTTGATATTAGGTGCGGGATTGGTGCTCTCGATGCTACTCGCTGCTCCGCAGCTTGCGCAAGGTCGCCACCATCTTCAATGTGTCCAAAAGCACCATTCACCACTGGCACCCCGAGGCCAGTGTGCAGGTCGATTGTGGAGACCGGAGAGCGACCGGTGGTCTTCACTCGGAGGCTGCCAAAGTGATCTGTTCTATTTCTTATGGCATAGTCAGACGCATGCCATCGCATACTGCGCTGACAAATGGGTTGTGGGCAGGTGTCCCATCTCCCCCTGAATACAGCGTACTCCGCCTTTCTCAAACCCACGATTCCCGTCCATGTGTCTTGATCGAGTGGACGAAAATGCGGACGCACCGGCGGCTCGGAGTCGGGTCCAGATCCTCTGCTCGTCATGCGACCTCCCTTCAGGTTGGGTTTCTGACCTGGCAGCTGAGGCATTGCCCTTCTGGTTGCTGGTGTTGAAGAAAACTTTGTTTTCGGCCAATGGATTCGTTTGGCAGACCAGCAAAGAGGACAGCCTGGCGGTGCAAGGCAGCCCAGTCCGACAAACAAAAAGACAGCCATGGTACAGCTGCCGAAGTTGGCTTGAACCTGTGCAGAACTGGATCGGTGCAACAGAGTGGGCCGCAGGCAGATACCGAGCCGCGCCGCTGGCAGGACAAGAGCGAGATGGACCGTGGGAAGCAGGACGAAGGACGAAGAAGAAAAGAAAAAAAAACGTTGGAAAATGGAAAAGACAGGGTCTGGCCGGTACTTGGCGGGATGGTGATGAGAGGATGGAGCGGCGGTGTTGGAGAGGATGGAGCGACAACGTTGGGGCAGACGGGACGAGGATCGCGCGATGTGACTGGACGATCCGGAAGAGCTCACCACCACCACCACCACCACCACCACCACCACCGGGCGGTCGGCCATAGTAAACGATGTGCATTTCATCACGATAGAATGCCAGGCTTTGTCTATTTTGGAGGAGGAGGAGGAGCGGATTGTCCTCTGTTTCATTTGGGAGTTCTAGTGACGGTTGGACCACGCTCGAGCGGAAAGCGCGATGGGCACTACTGTCGATGGTGGTGTGGAAGCAAAATCAAAGGAGAGAAAAGAAGCGAAGCAAAAACAAGAACGCAATAGAAATCATATACAGAACAAAATAAAACAAATGAAAAATGAAAACATAAATAGCTGGGCGCAGAGGCGGAAGATACGATGTGCGAGATATATCCAGGATCAGTGGGCGAGGGAAGCGGAGGCAGCGACAGCGAAGAGCACAGATGGTGGCGGCCACACAGGGAAGCAGCAGCATCACGACCAGAGTGAGCATGACTCGAACGGGCGTGGCTAGAGTGAGCAGTAGAAGGCGTTGCAGCCAAAATAGGTCTCCCAGTGTTGGTAAACAGCGGGGCCGACGAAGAGCTGGTACTGCAGCACGGCGAGAAACTGGCGCTCCTTATCGCTGATCTTCCGGGCATCCAGTCCTGAAAACCCGCTCCAGGCTTTGTTGCCCCAGGCCCGGTCGTCATGCAGCTTATGGGCGATGACCAGGCAGCCGATGAACATCTTGTACTCGCAGCCGAACTGCAGAATGAAACGCTGGCTTTCAATCAGCCGCTCGAGCAGGACGAGCGAGATGACAATCACGGATGCCGGAATGTGATCCGAAATCTTGGCCAGCACCGTTGCAATCAGCCGGGTGGTTTCATTGAAGGTTGGTGGCAGTGCCTGGATGGGAATCCACTGGTCGCCGACCCGCCGCTTGCCGACGACTTGATGGACGACGTTCGAGACGAAATAGGAAAATTTGAAGGAGCGCAGGAGCTCTGGGTTCAGGTCGCCCAGACTCTGGGGCCGAGACGCCTGCGACTCGGCTGGGGGCTGGATCTTTTGGTCGGGGTTCTGATTCATGAGCGAGGGAGGCAGCTGGAGCGGACTCACGACTTCTTGATCGAACTGCATATCGGGATACTGCATGGGCGAGTGTTCGGGCCCAAGTTGGGTTGGGAATCGCCCAATAGTGGGCGCCAGGGGGGCTTCCATTGCGGAGTAATCGGGATCCAGGGACGGCGTGGCGAATGGCGGGGCCTGGGTGCAGCCAGATGCGACGGAAGGGAGGCGACGCTGAGCAGTCGACGGGGTGGAGTGGAGTGGAGTGGAGTGGACGAGACGAAATTTGGGCAATCGGCAGGGTGAGTGATATATGGCGATGTGGGCCGGGAGGGTTGTGCGCGCCGGGCAGAGTTGCCAGTGGGGCATGAGTCGCCGCTGTGACCAGCATAGAGTTATGGGCCACGGTGGCACTCGTCAAGGGGGCAGGACCGCCCGAGCCCAGCGCCAACACAAGAGAAAAGAATGGGGCCAGGCACCGCAGGACCCGGAGACGAAGGCCGCGTGGGCGCAACCGGCAGCGCCGCTGGGCTCGAGAAAGACGAGCTGCCGTCCACAGACAAGAGAGCAGAGCAGGGAGCAGAGCAGGGAGCAGAGAGATCACGCATACCTTCAAAACCAAGCAGCTTCGCAGACTTTCGGTATAGACGGAAGGCTCAGCTTTTCCAGCCGAGACGGGGCTAATAGCAGTTTGAATAAAGACACCCAAGAGTAGCAGGCAGAGGGGCGATCGAATAGACCGGAGGAGTGGGCAGCTAATACATCCAGTCAAGGAGAGCGATGCGGAAGGGATTGGCTGGACGAGAGGCACGGGGGAAGGGCGAATCGGGCGTCTTGAAACCGTGTATATCCCCAAACGACCCGGGTTACTCGGTCGGCTTTGGAGGCGCAGACAGATGCTTGTTTACTCCTGGCCGGAGGTGCTGGTTTTGCGAATGTTTGCGTTCTCTCGGTCGCCGGAGCGTTTGATGTGTATGTTCGTGCGAGCGTTTGGCTGCTCGGAGGCCAAAGAAGAAACGAGGGGGAGGGAAACAGCCCGGCCAGGCGCCGACGGGGAACGAGAGTGCTCAAGGGGAGGAGGCGGAGGAAGGAGAACCAGCCGGCCAAGGGCAAGACAGCAGAGATCGGGCCAAGGTCTTGCGGATACGTGCGCGACTTGGGGGGTTTTGTATTTGATCAGGCAGCAGGACCTGCGACTGAGCTGCCCACAACGGCGAGTGATGACCGTGCGGCACCACAGCCCAGAGGAGCGGCGAGATCGGGCAATGGGGCGGCAGTCAGGAGCAGGAGACCACGTTTCTTGGCTGCTGGGCAAGCGCCGAGAGCCACGGGGCTGTCTGTGGCCAGTGCAGACAAGGCGGGCGGATGCAACAAGTACTTTTGCGTCTTGGAGGTGATTGGTGTGGCGGGGAGTGCGACAAGGCAGCGGCCCCACAGCAATGCTTGCCAGGAGCGGGCAAGGGAAACGTGGGCGACTGACGGGCACATCGAGCGGGGCGAGCGAACAGATGGGTGGGTGGATGGGTGGATGGTTGGGTGGATGGTTGCGTGAATGGTTGGGTGGTTGGATGGATGGAAGCGATGGGGAGTCCGGAGTGCATCGATGCAGACGACCCGCACGGGCGACAGGGCAGTACCGGCAGCCAGCAACTCTCCAGCAACTGTCCAGCGACTGTCCACCGGATGGACATGGCGATTGGACATTGGCAGAATGTCCCACAAACAACCAGTCCAAGCCGGATCTGACAAGATCTGACTCTGGGACAGGTCGCGCGGCCCTTGCGTTGAGCGGCCGTCGACGGCAGCAACGCGGGGGACGACAAGGGCGGCGACGGCCGAGTTCTTTTTTAGATGCTCCGGGCTCTTTGGTGCAGGAGGGCACTGCGCGTGGCCTCTGCGAAACGAGCCTTGCCCTGCCTCAGTTGCCTGCCTCAGTTGCCTGCCTCGCTTGCCCTGCTGGCTTGCCCCGTCGGCCCGGGCAGCCAAGGGCGCGCCGCCGCAAACGCACGCGGCACGGACGCCACCACGCCTGGCTCCCGGCTAACCAACAAGCGCGGCGCGGACACCACGTGGGGGGGCCTTGTGCAGTTCACTCGATCCAATGCAATGCACTCGATCCAGTCCAATGCACTCGATCCAGTCCAATGCACTCGATCCGCCCCTCGTATCACATGGCCACTGTCCATGTGGCCAGTCATTGGCTCGCGCGCCGTCGCTTTTGCGTCCCCTCAAAGTCTCCTCAGCGACTTGCTCGTCTCCAGCCAGAGCCGTTTCGCTCCCGAACGCAATGCCGACCTGGCCTCGCGCCATCGTCTCTCATGCCCGCTGCAAACTCCTCGCCGCCAACCGCCTCTGGCCCCTTCATGGGAATCCCAAAGCTCCTCCACGGTAACCCTGCTCACAGATTCCCCACTCCCCCCCCCAAACCCAGTCCCGCCCTCCGCCACCGACATCCCTCAGCAATAACACCACCGCCGATGCGTTCGTCCGGTTTTCTCGAGTCCGGCCCTCTCGAGTCCGGTCTGCTCGAGTCCGGCATGGCCACATGGTGCGGGCTCGGCTCCAATGCCAATCACTCCCCTTCCCCATGACTGCCGCGCAATCTCCTGCACGCTATTCGACCCTGACCAACGCCATGCTCTTCGTCTCTGCCCATCCGGCCATTGCATTGCCTCAGACCTTGAGGTGTTCTCGAGGCTGCTGCTGTCGCACCCCAGCCCGTTCTCCGATATCGAATGTCGTCTGCTTGCAAAATCCATCATTGCCAGCGCCGCGGCGAACAGCCCGCTGCTCTGTGTCGAAAGCCTCGGTCGTGCCCATTTATCCGATCCCACAGGCATCGCCTTCGACTCCACCGATCCACTGGGCCCATCCCAGTTCAGGACCATTTCGGTCTCGTATGCGGCCCTCAAGTTCCGCAGAATCATGTGCGTCTCGGAAACAGGCATCTTCCACACCGCCCTCTTGCCGTCGTCCCCGACCCGGCGCATCGCCGGCGATGGCGGATTCGGCCCGGTTGGCCAGCGCTCCTCGACCCTGACCATCCAGATCGAGGCCCGTCCAGGCCCAGAGACCGGTCTCTTTGTCGGGTGGCTGTTTCTGATCCTGGAGGACTCCACGATCGTGGCCCGTCCGCTCTGCATCACCGTCGTCACCCTCGTCGACCACTTCCCGTTCGACGTCTACTCCAAGCCCTTCATTCCGGGCTTCCTCCTCGACATCAATGCCCTCCCCGCCATGAAGCGGGTGGGCTTTCCTCCACCCGGACCTCTGCCAGATCTCTATCGGTCCCAGATTACGCCACCACAAGCGCTGGGCCCTGTCATCCAGAGCTCGCTTCGGCGCTGCGACTACGATCCGAGTCTCTCCAACTACTCCTTGTTCTTCAACAATCTCATCCGCCTTGTCATGCTTGAACTGGAGGTGCGCAAGGTCGATATCCAGTCCTTCAACCTATATGCGGTCCCGTAAGTAGCCTGTCGTCTGTCTCCTGTCGCCTGTCGCCTGTCTCCTGTCCGCTGTCGACTCCCACCTGCTCCAACCAGCTGCCGTCTGGGCGCCACCGGCCCACGGCATCCGGACAGCACTTGTCATCAGCGTCATGACGCCACCAGTGCACCGGCTCTCGCACTCGGCCTGGTGGGGGCAGGCACTCCTCATTCCCACGCCCAGGGCCATCTTCCCAGACTCATGCTCTGCCTCCGTCGCCGGACTAGAATATCCAAATTCAAAGACAGCGACAACTTGTATGAGATTGTTGTCCAGGGCCTGAACGAGCGGTCCTGGTACATCGCCATCGGTGACATTGCGCGCATTCGTCGAGTGCCCTTCGATGGCGTGGAGTTTGAGGCATATGGTAGGGATCATTGCATTGCATTGCATTGCATTGCATTGAATTGCATTGCATTGCATTGAATTGCATTGCAGCTGTCCTCACCCGTCTAGACTGTGGATCATGGCCATCGTCCTGCCCCACACTGTCACCCGCTTGTTCTGATGTGCTGTGGTGGTCCACTCTGGCGCTAATCGGTGCTTCCCGTCTTGTTTCTATCTGCTGCGCCTCTGTCCATCGATATCCAGTTTACTCCCTCCACCGGAGAACGAACCGGGTGTTTGTACAGCTCCCGTTCCAGCCAGAGCCTACCGCAGCATTCAACGTCGTATTTGACTTTGGCAGGTGAGTTGATCTGATCCAATCCGATCCGATCCGAACCCAACTGGTCTGAGCCGAACTCAACGGAACTGAGCTGAGCATGTCCATCCAGGCTGCCTGTTTGGGGGTTGAGTTTGGTCATAGTTCTTGGTGTCGACAAAGTAGATCCGGCTTCCGAACACCCCCTCGCTGCTGTGGCCACACATGCTGACTGCCAAAGAATATCTAGCCAGTACATGCAGAGCATGATCGCCAGCATCAATCGGATCTCGAACTGGGTTCTCGAGTGCAAACTGCGCGACGACGAGCGCGGCGACACATATCTGACGGAAATAGCTCGCTCGCTGCTCTTTCCTGGTCTCGAGGACGGACAAGAGTCTGTCACCGATCCGTGGCAGATCCAGCTCGAGCTCTTCGATGAGATGCTCAACTGGGAACAGCAGGTTCGTGCCAGTGGGCGAGCGTGTTCGCTTTTATAGCATATGTGCTTGTATGTTGGTACAAATCAACGCCAGTGTGTCAGGATGCAATCGCTCCTGCATCCGTGTCTCCCCGTGGCAAGATCTTATCGTTCGGGACCCATTCGACTTCTCACCGCTGGGCCTTGCCGTGTCTTCCTCGGGCCGCTGCTTTGAGCAGAAGGCTGTCCAGCTGATTGTCGACCGAAGCTACGGAAATGTTCCATTCGTGATATGGGGCCCGCCTGGTAGGAGGCGCTGTCTGGTGGAGGGAATGGGCACGGAAATTGCTTGGAGTCACATCAGCATGGCTGTCCAGTGCCGGTGCGTGCGGACATACTTGGGTCCCGCATGTGTGTGGTGCTCATCAGTCGGGCCTCGTTGATGCTCACCAATCGCAGGAACCGGCAAAACCAAGACCCTGATCGAAACCATCCTGCAAATCCTCAACCGCCACCCCGATTCCCACCTGCTCGTCTGTGCACCCAGTCATTCTGCTTGCGACACAATCACCCACCGACTGATACCCCGCCTCGGCCCCGACAAGCTCTTCCGGTTCCTGTCCTCCCAGCGACTCTTCAACGAGGTGCCGCAGCCCATCCTTCCTTACTGCCACTCAACCAGCAACTACTTTGACATTCCCCCGATCGCCAAGTTCATGAGCTTCCAAGTTGTCGTGGCCACGTGCCAAGATGCATTCATGCTCCTCCAAGCGGGGCTGTCGAACCGCGATCTCGCACAGTCCTATGTCAGCTACCACTCGAACCTCCATCTGCTTTGGCCGCACCTGCACCCGGTTCCCGACCCCTTCATGAAGCCACACTGGTCCCATCTGCTGATCGACGAGGCCGGCCAGGCATCCGAGGCAGAGACCATGATTCCCCTTTCATGCGTCACGTTCTTCCCTCCGAACGGTACGTGCATGCCCCTTGATTCGTCTGCGCCATCGGCCGAGAGCCAGTGGCTCAATGGGGGCACAAATCCAGATAGTATTGTGATCCAGCGCATGGTCGCGCGCCCATCGCACATCTGCAACAGCACATTGGCCCTTTCGCGCCCGGCTCATATCGATTCATATCGACTCATTCGACATTGTGTCCATGTCTGGTGCCTCTCTAGCAACGCACGCACGGTCCTTCTCGCCGTGCCAGGTAGTCCTGTGCGGCGACCACATGCAGGTTCGTCTTCGAGCCCCTCCCCATCGCAGTCGATCTGTGCCGACTGATGGAGTGCCTCCGTCTCCCCTCCTCCAGTGATAAACAGCGGCTTCGTGCTGCCTGCTTCGATCAGATACACCACTATGATGCTCCATCATGCGTTCCAGACTTGCAGTGCTGATCAGTGCCTGTGTTTGTGCTGACCTCTTCTCGAACCCCAGCTCGGCCCCATGGTACGTTCAAAGGATGCCCGCGATGGCAGGTTCCACATATCGTGGCTGGAGCGGTGTATGGCCTCGGAGCTGTACCGAAACCACCTCTTCCGCGAGCAAAACCCAGGCTCTCCGCTCGAACGGTCCCCAAAGTCGGCAGAGAAGAAGAAGCGGGGCATGTATTTTGTCCCGCCGTTCGTGAACCTGGTCAAGAACTACCGGTCCCATCCATGTGAGTTGCATGCGTTTTGGTCGCTTGACTTTGGCACGCCTTGGGTCACAAAGTAGCTGGGAATGGAGGAATGGGTGAAGAGCGAGAAGGCCGAGCTGTTGTGTCTCGCTCTCATCTCAGCAGGCCGTCACATGCTGGTAGCCCCCCTCCTAGTATTGGGTTTCGGCTCGTTTCATGCGCGCATGCATTCGGGCCTGACTGTGATCCGCGCTTCCGTCGATCGCGGACACCATGAGCCTGGATCCTCTTTGTCTGTTCTGCTAACAAAAATCCCTCCTACGCACTGGCTCCCATCACCGGCGGGCCGACAGCCATCCTGATGATGCCGAGCCACATGTTCTACAATAACACTCTGGAAGCCTGTGCTTCCGAGTCCGTCACCACTTCGCTGCAGTACCTGTCGTTCCTTCCCAACCCCAAGTTCCCGATCCAGTTCATCGGCGTCGACGGCCTCGACTGCTGCAACGGCGAAAACGCCTCGTGGTGGAACGGCAACGAGATCAGCAAAGTGGTCGAGGTCATCGAATCGATCCTGCAAGAGTCAAACCAACGCAGCCTCGTGGACTTTGAGAGCCTTACTCTGGCTGACTTTGGAGTCATCAGCCCGTTTCGCGAACAGGTGTATCGCATCCGTGAGGTCCTGCGAAGCCGTGGCTTGGGTGCGATTGATGTTGGTGAGTCAGCGACTCCAAGTGGGGATTGCGGCCGGATGTCTCTAGGTTGACCCGTTGATATTCGTGTTTGATTCACGCGCAACCCGGGTTTCGTCGATCTTCCATGCTGCTTACTCCCAGGCCGTATCGAGGATTACCAAGGCATGGAGCGAAAGGTCATCATCCTGAGCACCGTCCGCAGCCGCAAGCGCTTCCTTCAAGAGGATATCGACATGGACCTGGGTGTCGTCCACTTTCCCAAGAGATTGAACGTGGCCATCACGCGCTCGATGAGTCTCCTGGTTGTCATTGGCAACCCAAACCTACTTGCGGTCGGTATCGGCTGTTTCTGGCTGCGTCTCGCTGTCCCCGCTGTCCCCGCTGTCCCCGCTGTCCCCGCTGTCCCCGCTGTCCCCGCTGTCCCCGCTGTCCCTCCCTCGACGGGCTGGATCGACGCCAACGACTTACCATCTCTCCAACTGTGACCAATACTCGCACGACCAGGTTGATCGAAACTGGCGCAGACTCATCGAGTTTTACCTGCGCAACAAGGTGTACACGGGCTCTGCGCCGCCTATCCAGTCCAAACTGGCGGCCGAAGCAGAAGCCGAGGTCGAGGCCGAGAGTGGCGGTGGCGACAGTGGTGACGGTGACGGTGACCAGCTCGCCTCCGTCACCTCGCAGATGGGCACGCTGGAGCTCTCCCACAACCTGCACCAGAAACTGCAGAACCTCCCTGGTGGTCGTGTCTTGGGCGGTGGACTCCAAAACGACGACGATATCATGTGGATGACGCAGGAGGGCACGCAGGAGATTCTCGAGAGCATCCTGCACCAAGATATCCCGCTCGAATAGACATCCCGAAGCTGCCGCGCTCCCAGAGCTGAGGAGAAGGGAGGGTCAAACGGGATATGCTACAGCCGGGAACGAAGGGACCGGAACATGACTTTCGACTGGGGCTCCTGGCCTGTTTGCATCGCCGATCGACATCGCCTGGGCTTGGCGGATGGCTTCGAGTTCCTGTTCGCCACTGCTCACTGGGAGTTGTATCTCGGAGTGCACTCAATCGAAACCCCCACGAGTAGCGCTCCGCTGGCACACCGCGATCACTGCCCGAGTAGATGGTGCCACGCAGCATGGGCTTGTATATTTAGGATTTAACCAGAAGAAACAATCAAACAAAGAAAGAAACTAAAAGCCACAGCAAAAAAAAAAAACAAACTAAAATCAAAACTAAAACTAAAACTAAAACCAAACCAGTGTCTTCAGCATCAGGGCGTGTTGTTTCTTGTTTGGGACGCCGCAACAGATCTTTGTCGTGGTTCAGACTGGTGCTGGCGATGCCGGCTCCTTGGTTCCCGGCGACGCTTTGGACCCCAGCTTGAATCGATTGGCCATGCGCATCGTCTGCTTGGCATTCTGCGCATACATGCGCTCGATTCGGTCATATTCTTGCTGGACTTCGTCGAGAAGCTTCTTGCTCTGGGGAAGGTGCTTGATCAGCTTGTTATTGCCCAAGACGGTTGCTGGGTGGTTGAATGAATGAATGAATGAATGAGTGAGTGAGTGAGTGAGTGAGTAAGCCGGGTGGCTCAGTGTCATGTCGAGTTGGACGCTCGCGGCTCAGTTGCTTCCACAATGGTGCACGGCAGCGCTATGAATCAATGCGATCCACTCCCATGAAACAAACCGCGCCGCCCACTCCGCAGATATTCAGTGCATGCTGGCGGCCCTGCTTACCAAGGTTGGTTTCGATGAGCATCAGCCGCTCGTCGACACTGGACATCATCTCCCGCATTTCCTTGAACTCGTCTCGGCCCTGTCGGTCGCGCTTGTAGCCTCGAGTCCGCGGAAGCGTTGGTGGATAGTAGATGGAGGGCTGGGCCTTGTCCCGCCGGGCCTCGTATACAACTGTGCCCCGGTCGTTGAGCTTGCGCGACACCTCCCGCTGTTCCTCCGTAGTCAGCATCTTTACATGTCTGTGCTTGCGCTGCAGCTCGTACGTGATGGTGCTGACCGAGGAGCGCGACCGCGGAAGATCAGTCCAGTCGGTGTTCACCGGCCCGCTGGATCGCCCGGTGGTTCCCGAGGTGATGCTCCGGCCGCCAGCCGAGCCTCTGGGTTCGCTCGGCGGCGCGGGCTTCAGTGGCTCGTCAAACGCCTCTGCCGACGCCGCTACCTTTCGGCCCTTGACCCAGGCGGGTGTCTTGAGCGGGGCGGTCATGGCATGGATCGGCGGTGGATGGAACTTTTCAGTTTCGCTCGACAAAAGGTACCGCGGAAGTACCTCCCGCAGGCGTTTCTTGGAGGCAAAGGTTGGCCGGGCGTAGGTGGCCTCAACCACCCGCCAGTACGAGATGGGATTGGCGAGGGCGTGCCGGAGTGCCCTCGTCGCAGCCTGGATGCCTGTAGGCAACGGGACAGTGTCCTCCTCGGACTCTGTCTCGGAATACGGCTCGCTTTCGACATCGGAGGGCTCGGAGGAATACTCGCTCGGCGGCACAACGTCGCCGTGCGGAACCGTGTCCGTGCCCATGCCCGTACCCGTGCCCGAGAGGTCGGCAGGTTTGGTCGAGTCTCTGGGATCGGGTCCCAGAGACCCGGTGATGTGGACTCCCGTGAGGAAAGTAGAGTCCTTCGCCTCCGGGTTGTAATGCAGACCGTCCGCGGCAGCAGATTCGGGCCGAGGCAACTCGCTGGGCTCTGCGGGCTGATCGAAAGAGTCAAACGATCCTGGCTCCGCCCCATCTTGGTCTGGATCCTGGTCGCTGTCGAGTCTTTGCCGGTCCAGGACCTGTTGGATTTCTTTCAGCTCCATGATGCGGCCGGCCTTGATCATGCCGCGGATGTCATCCTCGGTGTACTTGTATTCGCGCCGGAGTCGGCCGTGGGTCGTGAGCTTCAGCTCCTCCACTCGGTGCTTGAGGGGCTCGTCGAGTCCGCGGGCATGGAATATGGCGCCGGCCTTGCCCTTGAGGATCTTTCCAGTGAACTTGCTCCGCTTGTGATACTTGAGTCTGAAGCCGCCGCTGTGCTGAGGGGCCAGCGAGTAGATTGTGTTCTCGAGGACCGACGGAGGCGCCTGGAACACCGGATCGCAGATCGATATCCCGTATGTTTCCGGTAGGAGAACAAATGGATTGAAGTCAATGTATCCGATGACTGTGCGGCACGGGAGGGCCCCATAGTCCAGCGAGTTCAACATAGAAGGCGTTAGCAGACCATCAGTTCAGTTGGTGGCAAAGAGTCGATGCCAAGCCGTCGCGGGGAAGTATGGATACATGGGGCCGGCACCATTACTTCCAGTGATGTGACCGGCATCGCACAGTCCACATGTGGTGCGCAAAGCAGTGCCATTCGACAGTGTCCTTACGCTCGTCCGTGTTGTCTAGATGACCGTGCTCCTTATCGTGCTGCAATGCAATCGATCCGCCAGACTTTTTCATGACGGGGTTGCCTTCGATGTACACCCTCCGCAGATGGGGCAGCCAGATGATGCCCATGAGTCCATCGGGCTCCGAGATGCGATTGTGAGTGATGTGAAGCTCTTCGAGATTCAAGAACCCTTGGTACTTTTCAAGGGCATTGTTGGAGCCGTTGGGTATATCGTCGGAGGCCGGAGCCAGAAAGGCAAAGGAAGCGAATCGGTTGTGGGAAAGATTGAGGATTCTGAGTCTGTTGTGGCAGGTTCATCAAGCGCAGAGCAGTAAGAATTCAGGGTCTGGTCAGCCGGCAGAGCTACGCCACAAGTGTGAGCCCGAGCAGCATGGATGCCACTTGGCACGAGGGGCCGTTGCCAGAGCGACGCAACTGCCATTCCCTCTCTCTGATTTGAAGGATACGCCGCGGGAAGTGCAGCACGATGGCGCACCTAGGAAGCTTCCCGAGGGTATGGATGGTGTCCGGATTCGAAAGCCGGTTCTTTTCGAGCACGAGCACTTCCAGGGCCGGAAATCCCCCTCTCGAGGTCGCAATGTCGAGCCGATCCATGAGCAAAGCCATTTTGGACTCGTCGATGGCGTGTTCTGGGATGTGCAACTCGGGGGCCCCGACATGGCCCATCGGATCTGCGCTCTGGTCGATGTTGGCTGCAGAGGCAGATAGCCGAGCCTCTGGGAGATGAGATGCGCTATCAACGCAGTGCTCTTGGGATGGCGTCGCATCGGCACCGAGCGGAGCCGTGGCCTCGGCCTGTACCTTGCGCGATTGAGAGAGCCGAGGATCCTTGCTTGACAGGTGCACCCCGTCCGGACCTTGGGGCTGATCTTGGAGAGTCTCTTTGGTTCTTGGGGCACCGGCGGCTCCATTCGACACATCGGAGATCCGGCTTTGTGAGTCGTTATCAAGGCTCACGGTATAACTCGTCCTCTGCTCTCCATCGCCGGCTTGGTGGGGGCCATTGCTGGCTTGCTGAGTCGTGCCGCTGAATTTTGGCTGGTCGCCCGCTTCCTGAAGATCGCCAGACTTGAATGTATCAACCACATGTCTTTGCTCTGGAATCGGTGCGAGCGGCGACAGCTCGGGCTGAATAGCTTTGGACGCATGATTGAGTGCCAGATAAGCATCCATTGCCGCGACCTGCGCGGGCAAGAGAAGCTCAATGACTCGGTCCTTCCAGTTTTCGAGCTTGGCGCACTCCGGAGGCAGGCTTCGGAGCTTGTTTCCGGTCAAGTCCAGGTGCTTGAGCGAGGGGAATGTTGCCAGGACGATGATGCTTGCTTGGGTGACCTTGTTGAATGAGAGATCGAGGCGCTGGTGTTCAAGAAGTGGTGTGTGGGAAATGGACAGACAGATAAATGGGTCTTGAAGTAGAATCGTCCATGGCGATTGAGTAGAACCGACACTGTCGATGACAGAGACAGCCAGATGATGGCCGTTACTTGCGGTGCACAGCCAAAACATACCTCCAGCAGCGGAAACTTGCCGCCGGACTCAAGATCCAGGTCGCTGACGTTGTTGCAGGGGACAATCAGTTCCTTGAGTGAGGGCAGGCCTCCGAGTCTGCTGACTGGCAGCTTGTTCTCGCCCGCCTTAAGCGTATGCAGGTTGCGGAAGAGGGACAAGTCGTCCTCGATCACATAGGACAGATCCATGGCGCAGACGTCCAGCGAATAGACTTCCTCCGGATCGTCGGCCGGGGCTTTGTTGAGCTGCAAGTGCCCCATGAGAATCGGGTGGGTCAAACAGCAATCAAGGTTCCCAGTGCCTCCCCCCATGCAGCGGTTGGGATGAAATCGAGTGGCTCATATGCCCGTCGTCGTGATCGATGGCCCAGAGATGATCCGCATAGTCTCTAATAACCTGCCGTGGAGGCCGCGAGTCCGCATCCGATACCAACCATGAAGAAGCCATCCAGCAGATTGGGAATCTCCAGGTACTTTCCGTTCGACTTGAGCGATGCAGACGCCCCAGGCTTGCTGTCGGATGCGGCTTGCGCACGAGCCAGCCGACGTCTCTGCTTCTCGTTGATGAGATCCAACTCTCCGATGATGTACTCTTTGGTTTTGACGACGCTGTGCTGCTCCTTCTTTCGCAGCATGTCTCGCTCGCGTTTGAGCCGTTCATAGCGCACATCGAACTGGGGCTTTGCGGGATTCTTTGTGCTGGCTCGCTTGGCCTTGGAGTGGCCATCCGTGCTGATGCCGGTCTCGTTAGAATCGACCTCGGTGCGAGCCGGTCGGTCGTCCGACAAGGCCTTCTGCTGCTGGCCCTGGCTGTGGTGCGAGCCAATGCTTCGGGCCGAAACTGGTCGGCTCGGGCGATTCTCCTTGGGTGGTGTCGATGGCGGCACCGGAGTCCGAAGCATCGCGTCTGGAACAGTTGCCTCGATCAGCAGCGCCCGAGCCGAGAGTGGCGGCTCGTAGTCGGCCTGCGAGTCGATCGGCATCGAAAGGGCATCTGGTCGCTCTGACTGGGACGGTGCGTTGCCGCTATCGCCGTGCGGGGATGGGTCGAGCTCGACGGGCATGAGCAGATTCGAGGCAAGCGGGCCCTCGATTTGGTTGGCGGCGCTGTCGGCCACAGCTGCGGGATCGAGCGTTCCGTCACCGGCAACGGCATCGTCCTGCGACTCCATAGCTTAGCCAGGCCGGACGGACGGGATACGGATGTCGGTGTGGTGCAGTTGTGCTGGCTTGAGTGTGGGACCGTGCGATGCGGATGGATATTGGCTGCGCTGGTTGTGTCGACTGCCCGTCCAGAGCGAGATTCTGCAGTCGCAGCGAGGTTGTGCTATTGTGCCGACAAGGCCGCCGAATCGCCGTATGTGAAAGCGACCATCGCTCGGCCAGCATCGGCATCGGCATCGACATTTGCATCGACGGCCAAAGCCGGGATATATCAGACGCTGCTTGATTGGCATGGATCATCGGCGACGTCTGCCGCTCAGAGCGGGGACATTCCGGGCGAGCGTCTCCGGGTCTACTCTGGCCCCCGAATGCTCGCATGTCCAACGGCCGCATTCGCAACGGCCGTCGACAGCATCGCGGATAAGCACTCGGTCTGCGACTTGGTCTGCACGGGGTTGCGTCTTGGCCGTGCGAGCGGCAAACTCGCTGCTGAGTGCGCACCAAAGGCGCTGCGGCCCTGCCCGCCTGTCGTCGAAAACCGTCTCTGCGATCATCTCAACCGGGCGCTGCACCATCCGGCTGCCGTCTCCGTCTCGTCAACACAACCATCCCCGGCCTGGCCCTGCACCCCCCACGTCCAGAGTCTCTTGCTTCTCCGGCTCGCCTTCTGCCATGGACTCCCGTATCCGCGCCGATGACTGCCGATCGGCAGGCGACCAGCTGCGATCCACAACATCGCCCAACGACCACGCCGGCTGCCCACCACTCCAAACCACCGACAGCGGGCTCCAGCTTGATTCGCCCAAGGAGAAACTCCAGAGCCAGCGCTCTTCCCAGGACACTCGGCTGCAGCGATACAGGCAAGCCCCACCGACTTTTGCGTGCGGCTCCGGGTTTGGCTGCTGCCCTTGGGCATGATGATGCGATTTCGATCTCGGCCTGGGCCGGCTGCCATGGTGCCTGTCCGCGCTGCTGGATGATTGCTGGCCGACTCTCCGGACTGAGACGGAGCACCAGAGGTTCTCTCAGGCCCGATTCGCCAGCACACTAACCTCCATCGCAACTGCCGCTCCCTCAGCATCACCGGCGTGCCCAACGAGATCCTTCTGCGAATCCTGTCGCATCTGCCCCGATCCGACCTGTACTCGTGCCTCTTTGTCGACCGAAGATGGAGCACGGCGGCGTGCCCGATATTCTGGAGGAAGATCCGCATCACCTCGGCCCGCCAGCTGGGTCTGTTTCTGTCGAGTCTCGAGAAAAAGTCCCTCGGCCTGGAGCGGCTTGGCGACTACGTCAAAGTCCTGATTCTGCCGACCTGCGGACAGTGGGTGACCGAAATCAAGGGCGTCGAGCGGCTTCTCCCCTCTCTCAAAACGTGAGTTCTCAGTCTTGTTGTTCTGGCTCGACGATCTCGCCAGCCAGAGCAGCCAAAGCGGCCCTTGCATGACCGCTGGGCCGTCTTTCCTTTCCTCGCCCCGTTTCCGAGCGATGGATTTTTCCCCACTCGAGAACTGCTTCCGCACATCCGCTTCAGAGCGTTGCCTCCAGCCGAAGACCGGCTTGCTTGGGCGTTCAAAGCACACTGCCTTGGCGCAGGAATCTCGTTGATTTTCATTCGCATTTATTTGCTCCCAATTGCTCGTTGCTATTTGGTTGTCCGCGTTTGCTCGTTCGCATTTGGCTGTTCGCAATTGCTCGTTCGCATTTGTTCTTCACTTCCCCGGGTCGTGTCATTTCCTTGCCTTGGCGGGCTTCCCGCTCCTGTCGCCATGGTGCCATTCAACTGATTTCCTCACCCGCCGCTCCTCTGCAGACTCCAACTCGAGCACCCAGAGCACAAGGACGAGCCCCATGGCCCACACCATACTCTGTCGATGGCGATCCTGGAGTGCATCAAGCCCGTCGTCCCCCGGATCGAGTATATGCATATCGACGACGTCAATCCCGAGTGCTGGCCGGAGCTGTGCTCGATCTTCCGCGATCTGGGCAAATCTCTTCGCTTCATCAGTCTCGAAGTCTCGGCCGAGGTCGAGCAGCTCGATGCCGAGACATTCTCGCACCTTCACATGCACATGAAACGGAACCCCATCATGAGCCTCAACACACTCGAATTCCTGCGCCTGGACAGCGTCGCCCTTGGGCTCGACCGATACGAGTCGCCACACATCTCGATCTACCCAAATCTGCGCGCGATCACGCTGGATTACTGTCACGATGTCACGATGGCGACGTTCATGGATCTGTGGACCTATGGCTGCAACCTACAGTTCATGGCCCTCGCCGGCGTCATCAACGACATGCCTCCGAGACATACTTTGCAGGAGCTGGAGTCTCGACCACTTCTGAAGACCCTGCGCCTCGTCGACTGCGACGTGTCCGATGAAATTGTAAGTCGGTGCATCTGGCGTGCGTTTTGGTGTATAGACGGTGATGCGCGGCGGCGTACGCTTTGATCAAGCGCGAAGCATTTCATCGCCTCGGCTCTGCCCTCCCCCACTTGTTATTGCCCATATGCAAGCGGCAAGAGTAGAGCCGGTGTGCATCTCGTTGCACCGACAGACCGTGCGTTCGTGCTAACAAACCTCAATCCATTTCCCACTCGGAACTCAATCGATATCGCTGAAAACCCTATGGCGCGTCTCGTGCGCTCCGGGGCGATCATTGTGGCTCCTTTGTCCGCCCCCGTCCCGGCCTCTCTGCTTCTGTCCCGGCCTCTCTGCTTTTGTCCCGGCCTCTCTGCCTCTGTTTGTGCTCGCCGTCCAGCTTTATGCGGTTGCCACGAAGGCTCCCAACTTGGAAGTACTGCGAGTTGTCTTCGAGGACGATACGTGCGAAGACATCGTCAAGACAACGAAAGCACTCACCGACATGTCCCTCGTGGGCTTTACCACCCGCAAGCCGGGCAAACTTCGAACGCTCGCGCTGTCGCTCTGCCCAAGCATCACCGCCCAGATGCTCGCTCGCGTTCTTGAAGCCAATCCCATCGTCCAATTTGACATCCACAAACACCCCGAGTGCACTCTTGGAGAGGCCACCACCGATGTGTTTGAGGGGCTGATCAACATCACCAATCAGCGCCGGGCCAGACTCGGTGTCAAGTCGCTGAATCTCTACGGGCAGACCAAGCTACAGATCGACCGCGCCCTTGTCAAGATCCAGGGCGCTGCTCTGTTCCAAAGCCTACAAAGTCTCTGCCTGAATAGCGTCCCGCTTGATGCCAACAGCCTTTTCGAGATTGCAATGGCTTGCCCGCAGCTGAAGCGATTTAGTATCACCGGCACCAAAGTCGACCCCGACCCCGCGCAGATGGCCAACGAGCTCATTTCGTCATCGGCTCGGATCGACAATCAAAACGCCGAGTCGATCATCAAGGAGGCCGGATCGCTGATCAACCGGATCTGCAACAACCGCGACGAAATCATCAACCTCTTCCGGAAGCTGCGGAGCCACGGACACACCCAGATCCAGCGAGTGTACACCTTTGTCAACATGGCGTGCACACGCGAGATCCTCGATCGGGAGCTGAGGGATGCGGTCCAGAAGGTCCTCACCATGATTGCCGAGCAGCCGCCAGTGCCCAACCCTCCGGAGGGAATGAATGGCATGATGATCCCTCCTGAGCTGCAGCCGCTCTTCGAAGGAGTGCAGTTGCCTGAATTCTTCCAGTTCCCCGGCAACGCCGCACCACAGCCGCATAATGCAGCCCAGCCGCCCAATCCGGATCCGGCACCTAACGCAGACCCGACGGCGCCCGATGGCACCCCGGCACCTGACGAAGTCCTCGCACTCATCCCAGTCCAGCTGCCCAACGGGGACCAGCCAGTCAATATGATTCAGCTGCCCGAGGGACTGCAGCTGCCCGAGGGACTCCAGCTGCCCCAGGGACTCCAGCTGCCCAATGGAGCTCAGCTGTTCAACGCAAATCAGTTCCCCGATGGGGCACCGGCTCTTGATGACTTCCAGTTCGTCAACGGATGGCCGATACTGGATGGGATGCAGATGCTCGAAGTACCGCCCAACCTGCCCCAGGCCATGCGCCGCTTGCTCACCGTCCGCGAGGTGATCGAAGAGGCGTTCCAGTACACCACAGCGTTTTCGTGGAGCCAGTTCTCCAAGGTCAAGGCCATCCGGCTTCCCGAGCTCGAGGACATTGAGTTTCTGGACGACCGTTGGTTCCTGGACGAGACCCTCGATATCAACAGCCTCTGGGAGAACGCGGTCCGAGCCGGGGCCCCGCCAACGCACTCGGCCCTCATTCCCAGCCGATTCTGGTTCCACTAGATTGTGTATGGAGAGAGAGGAAAGAGGATAGCGAAGGCAAGATCGCAAGCAAAGGGAGGACAGTGGTTCCTTTGGTCTTTGTTTCGCCACAGCTTTCTTGTCGGCTGTCGAGGCGGGGGCGATGGTGGTGGTCGGGTTGAAAGCACAGCGCGAATAGACCAAAGCGAAGAGCACATATGCATCTCCACCGCCTCGCCCCCCGTTTGTTGCTGGCACCATGACAGAATATAATGCGCCATGCGCTCTCCAGTGGCCTGCCAGATGTCAGCTCCCCACCCCTCCAGGATTGCTGGACGATCCATCTCAAAAATGCAGGGCTCTCCGACTGAAACTCAGGAGGCCATTTCTCTAGGATGTAGTTTTGCTGCCTTTGTGGACGGAGAAATGTACTTGGGGAGCCACAAGAGCTCGGCAACAACCACAGCGCGATGTGGCAAAGGCACGCAAAGGCACGCAAAGGCACGCAAAGGCACGCAACGGCACGCAACGGCACGCAACGCCTGACACGACGAAAGGACGAGAAGGATATGGAAGCAATCGAATGGCTAATGGCACGGTTGGCGTGGGTCTCCCCAGACTCAGGGCAATGCAACGAGCGATGCCCACACCCCCAACTGACTATCGCGCAGCCTCGTAGCCAGAGTACCCCTGAGGGTTGGCATCGCGGATCAGCTTCAAGAAGACTTCCTCGAGCTGGGAGCGCAAATCAGCGCAGGCAAAGTTAGCGATGGCAGCAAGAGCATTTGCATCGAGACAGCATGCCATCCTCTTGCTGAGGGCGAGGGACCAAGGCGTTGCAAAAAATCCAAAAGGCCCTCCCACAATCGACCCGCCCCGACACTACCACTCTCCCCACTACCACAGCCACCACAGTCAACTGCGAGCACGGCGCGACTTACCGTGGTCTGGCTGATGCCCCATCCCTTGATGACCTTTGTTTCCACGTTGGCCTCGATCCACTTGACAAAATCGGGAATGGCTGGAGTCGAGGCGATCGGGAACTGGTAGATCAGGGCACCGGCCGAGTCGTCCTCGAGGATGGCGTCGGCGATGCGACTCTGGACCTGTTCCTTGACCGTGGCGACGTTGTTCGAGTCGACCATGATTGAGATACGGTCTGCAAAATCGCGCGAGAGGGGAACGGCGAATCGCCAATGTGTGGGGCTACCGTCAACGACAGCCTGAAGAGGAATCCCTCGACAGCAGGCCAGACTATTCGGTCCGAGGAGTCAACTTACATCCGGCGCCATACTTGTTCTTGAGGGCGATCGAGTTTCCGAGAGCCCGCAGTCTACCGTGGGCCATGATGGCAATGCGGTCTCCGAGCTGGACGCATGGGTTGACGGCGGCGTCCGAACCAAACCGATTAGCGCGCACAGTCACATGGGTGTTTGCGAGTCCGCAGTCTCGATACCACTGCATCAGTTGCTGCCATGGCTTACCACATCGGCTTCCTCCATACTGTGGGTGGTCAGGATGATGACTCTGTTCTCCTTGAACTTTTCGATGAAGCCCCAAACATGGCGGCGGTTGACAGGATCCATACCGGCTGCAGCGATGTAAATCCAGCACACCGAAACCATAGTCAGTCGGCCAGCCAGTCATCCGGCAGAATAGCCAACCGTGCACGGATTATCGTTTATGAACGCCGATGCTCGCTGATTATGACGCTGAGCGCAAGGGATGACCCATTGACACTCGCCCGCGCTCTGGCGGTGCATCTGGCACCCACTCTCCCCAGTTTCTGGGAACGGAGACACTTACTGGTCGGCTCGTCCATGAGAATAATCTTGGGATCACCGATGGTCGAAATAACGAGGGACAGTCGTCGCTTCATGCTGCAAGACCGCGATCACAGAGACACGTGAGCGCATGCGCTCTTATCGACGAGTGGCTGCTTTGAGGAAAGGCAATCAGCTTACCCTCCGGAGTAGGTGCCGGCACGAACGTTTCGCACCGTCCAGAGCTTGACGGCTTTGAGGCGCTCCTCCATCAGGGCTGCAATCTCGGAGTGCGGAATGCCCTTCAAGCCAGCGTACAGCTCCAAGTGCTCGTGGGCGGTCAGGTCATCAAAGAGGATGTCGTGCTGGAGCAGTGAGGGAGGGGGTAAGGCGGCGATGTCAGTGTTGATGCTTTCGTAGTTATGGATATGCAGTGTTCAAGCTGTGGTAAACATCGTGAGAGAGATGAGGCAGAGCGGTGCCGTCGTCGGTGCTGATGATGTACCTGTGGGCAAATGCCCATGATCTGTCGGATTTGGTTCATCTCGTGTCGGCACGAGAAGCCGTACATCAAAGCATCGCCCGAAGAAGCCGGGGTGAGTCCAGAAAGGATGTTCCTGGTTCAAGCGAGTCCGCCGAAAGCAGTACGCATCAGTAACGGATGCGGTGAGCGCCATTTCTGGCGGTTGGTCGAAAGCATCGGCGTGGGGAGGGGATATGTTACAGAGGAGGCACGGCCACCACGACTTACATCGTTGTCGACTTTCCGGCGCCATTCTGCCCCAGAAGCGCGGTGCTACAGCATGGATCGGGTGCACAGGTCATATTAGCGGTGCAGCCCACTTGATTTGGCAGAGCGCGGACAGAATGCGGGGACTGCGTACAGCTTGCCCTCCTCAAAGGTCATGCTTGTGTTCTTGACGGCAACCTTGTCGAGCTTGGACTTTGAGAAAGCGTTGTTTCGATACACTTTGCGAAGGCCCACGATCTTGACGGCTGGGAAGTAGTCTGGATCGGCGTGGCGATGTGATCAGATGGTGTGAGCGAGGAATCAGCAATAGAGTAAGCTATCGAGTTCGTCGGAAGTGCCAAAAGAGAGAGGGGGCGAGACGTGTAGCAGCGTGTGGATGCGGGAGTCATCTGCGCCTCCGATCTAGTTATAATGTTTTGCGCAGACCAGGATCCTCACCATTAGATATGCCGCGCTCACGCTCCCGGCGGACATCGTCGTCTTCATCGGCATCGATGGGAATCATGTCCCGGTAGGCCTCCACTGACTTGAGCCAGTCGAGCTCGTTCTTGGACTTCTTGGAGGACGAGAAGCCCCAGTACTTGGGGGTCAAGAAGAACCACGGCGGATGGCAGGCGCCAAACTCGTTGGGGATGACATTGTCAAAGTACCACAGCAACAGGCCATAGAAGGCGCAGTTCATGATCAAAAAGTACCACGCCTGAACGGGGTAAGGCAGGTCTGTTGGCGCTGTGCCCTGGGGAACGAGCTCGGATGGGAAGTAGTTGTAGAGCTGGCTCCAAGGAAATCCTACGTGTGACGAGTGGCGGAATGGTCACAGCGTGAGACAAATGAATGCATCGGCTAGTCGTGAGGGTACTGGGCATCGAGACACCAGGCATCGAAAGTCGAATAGAATGTCACTCAACCTGGGCCAGGGATAAAGTTCTGTGTGTAAGGGTCCTTTGTGCCCGTGGTCAGGGTGGTAATGTCCAAGAACATGTGTCCAAAGTTGAAGAACGGGATGAACATCAAGACTGTCGCCCGCAGAGAGCAGCCAGTGGCAGAAACGATGGTCAGTTATGCGCTCCCCTGTTTATCCATTCACAGACGCATCCGCAGGGCAGTGCAGGACAGGGCAGGGTAGTGCGCGTGCTCGAGGGAAACCTACCGAGCCATCCAGCCTGCGCTGTCGTCGGGGCCCACCAGATGTAGCCAAGCTGACCCGAAGAGAACACAAAGCTCTCAAAGATCAAGCCAATGACAAAGATGAAGATGCCGAGCAGGACCGCCACGTTCGACCGGCGGACGAGCGTTGTCAGGAAAAACGCCATCATGATCATGCCCTCGCCAAAGAGGAAGAATGTCACAAACAGAACCTGTGGAGCGTGAAAGCGAAGTGTCGAATCGCACAACGGATCGGCATCAGCACCAGCGCAATGTCTCGAGCGAGACAAACAGGGACGCTCCCATATCATTGCTGGTGATGACTTGCAGACTGGGCACGCAACTTACACCAAAGTCTGTTTGGGTAAAGGCCTTGAACTGAAGGGCAATTCCCATCAACGATACGACGATCGAGTTGATGATGACAAGTGCCGTGTTTGAGATGAACTGGCTGAGCCAATAGACAGTGGGCTGGCCAACGGAAGAACCAACAAGGCGATACCACGATGGAATGTTAGTGGGAGGCAGAGGTGGCGCTGGGGACGCCATGGACGACAGCGGCCCAGGCAGAAACATACCCTGAGACCCATCATTTCCATGCCGTGGCGAAGCTTCTGCTCCTTCTCGGTCACGACTTGGTTGAGCACAGTGATGAAGATGATCATTTCCGAGCAGAAGAAAAAGACGGGCCCGAGCTGCTGGACGATGGTGTCCGAGACGACTTTCGGGGGGCTGACGGGCCAGTCTTTGAGGCTGACATCCATGGTGGCAGGGGTTGCACCGGACGGGTCGTTGAGGACAGAGACTGAAGCAGTGTCAGAGCAGTCAGTCAGAGCAGTCAGTTGGAGCATCCTGTTGGAGGGTGCTCGCTGGCACAGCAGCAGAGCTAGGGACGCTGGGCAGTCGATGATGTTGAAATCCAAGGCGTCTACCTCTGGACAGATGAGCCGGGATCGCCGCATTGGCTTGATTCGACGAGCGACCGTGCACGACCACAGAGATTCGCTCAGTCACTCACCCAGCGTCTCGTCGATGCCCCGCATGACAGAAAGCAGATCCCGCCCAAAAATATCGGAGCCGTTGGCGGTAACTGTGCCGTTGAACCAAATCTGGTAGCGGACGTTGATGCTGGGCGCAGCACCGATCTGGTCAAAGGTAATCGCTGCGAGCATAACGTCGGGCGGGGGGTGAGTTGGGAGCGGCAATTGGTGACCAGCAATGTGGCGATAACCAGACTCGGAGGCCGTGCGGCAACCAGCGGATCCTCTCGACTGAATCACATACCCCAGCGGGTCGAGTTGCGATACGCATAGGTATAGTTGTAGATGAAGTCGGAGCTTGGAACGCCAACGATACCGAGCTGGCGCGAAGGCGGCGAGCTCAGATCTAGGAGCAACGACACGAATGGATGGATACGCGGCAGGTCATGGAGTTGAAGCAGGCCATGGAGGTGAAGCAGGCCATGGAGTTGAAGCAGGCCATGGAGGCGTAAGCGAGGATTACGGTGGTGCATTTTTGGCGTTTTGGGCGATAATGGCGTGTCGAAAGCAGGCCCGCACGGAAGGCAAATAGATGCGGCAGACGGTTAGTTGCTTGGAACGAGATACAGCGACGGAGCTGACAGCACGACAAGCCCGAGCTGGCACGAAGGATTCTCGATGACCCCCAGTTGTCGATACGTGGATGCGAGGCCGGAAGTCGACAGCGAGACGTACCAAGCGAGACGGTCTCCATGGGGATGGTAAATCCGGTGCGGTTGGCATTGAGGTTTGCAAAGGTGCGCATGTAGGTCGTGTAGGGCTCGGCTACGGGGGTGTACATGAAGGTGATGCATGGGTCGTTCAGCTTGGCTCCCTGGCAGAGCTGCACGCCGGGGAGGGTCGAGGGCAGGGGGCTCTGGTTGCCTCGGAGCTGGCGCTGGTAGTCGGCCTGCTGGAGACCAAAGAGCAGCAGCTGGAACAAGATGGGGGCAAAGAGGATCTGGGCCAGGGTCGAGCGCCAGTAGCGAATCTGGAGGATGGTGTTCTTCTTGAGCATGATGATGAGCTGCCTCCAAAAGTCCTTGAAGAAGCCACGGCGGCGGGTGGCCGGTTTCGCCGAATCGGGCGACATGGCGGCGGAAGACTGGGCGTCGAGGGACAGGACGAGAGCAAGTCGGCGATGCAGCAGCCGGAGGTGAGAGCAGGATCCGCTCGCAGGATGTGCTCGCAGAGAGAGAAGACCAGCGAAGGGAGGAGACTGGCGGCGACCGCGAGCGAGCCAGAGAGGAGAGCCAGAGGAAGGGCCAGAGGACAGATCGAGAACAAGGCTGCAACGGCCCAAGCCGGGCCGGCACAGCAAGGGCTCTTGGCATTCTTGCCTGGATTGGTTGTTGCTGTTGTTGTTGCTGTTGTTGTTGCTGGCTGTTGTTGCTGTTGGTGTTCCTTTCCCATGGCGCTCGTGCAGTACTTTGGTGTTGCCAAGGTCTGATTGGAACTTGGTCGACGTGCTCATGGCCCACAGGGATCAGGGCAGCCGCCGATCGAGGATGAGCACGCAGATGTCGACCACTCGCAGCAGATATTGACCACTCGCAGCAGATATTGACCACTCGCAGCAGATATCGACCACTCGCAGCAGATGTTGACCACTTGCAGATGTTGACCACCCCCCCACCTCCTGCTCTGCTCTCAAATCATCCGCATCCCCCTCCCGAATCATCCGCATCTCCTCATATTCCAGCTCCAACTTGACCTCCAACTCCAACTGCATCGCACGGCACTGCATCGCCAAGCGATATCCATCCATCCATCCATCCATCCAACACCCTTGCAACGTGGCCCTGTCTGTTGCCGCTGGCACCACCCTGCGCCCTTCCCTTTTCTGCATCTTGTGCCACCCCCGACGCTCCTTGTCGCGGCAAAACGGATCGCCCCTTGCTCGCGCTGCCAAGAAACATGCTGTCCTCTGGGCCGGGGTTTGTCCCTCGGTCCCGACCCACGGCCCTTGGCCCAGTAACACCCGCGGCCATTTCCTCCCCGGCGTCTCGCAGGTCTTGCAGGCATCTTGCCACCTCCGTCGTCTGTCCAGGCCCGCTCACGCATCTCCCGTTCCATCATGGCTCCGCGAAAGGGCAGCCATCTGAGAGCCCTGGCTCGCAAGGCCGTGGCCTACCAGAAGCGCCAGTGGTTCACCAACATCTGCTGCATTTGCCTGCTCCCGGCCCTCATGGTCTCCATCGCCGCCATTCTGGCGCATGTGGTATGGCTCTCGTCTTTGCCCGACGTCGCTGGGTGCTGGCTGCTCTGCTCCTACTCCCGGCCCTGTTGCCCTTGCTCCTGCCGAGCGGCTCGGTCAGCCATCTTCCCGTTCGTCTGCAGCTCACCACCGGTTCGGCCGTGCCTCTGCTGCGTGTTGTGTTGTTCTTTCGTTTCAATGTGCCCAGATTCAAGGCTTGATTTCAACCCTGATTCCATCCTATGGTAAGTCAGGCCGCGACCTTGCCTGCAACGCACCGTCGATCGTCGCGCCCGGCTTGGGATTAGGTCCGTGCCCGACAGCATTCGCTTCCTTCGGATTTGTCCCTGACCTGTTGGTTGTGCCGGCCCTTTGCGATCTCATTCGCTGCGACAGAGTACATGTACTGCTCCAACCTCGACGGCATGTCGCCCCAGAACTGGCCGCTCCTCAACATCACTCCAGGCATGGGCAGCCCAATCACCCCCAAGAGCCAGGTCCCAGGCGCCACCCAGGACGTCAACAACATCAACCAGTACATCTTGATCGACACCTCTGGCGGCTCGTCTGCTGGCCCTGGTGCCGGTAGTCTCGGCTACATCCATCCATGTGGGTATTGGACTCGTCTCTGGGAGCACGCAGTCCCGGCATGGCCAGGAGCGGCCACCCATTGCCCAGCATGGACCCAGCGTCGACCCAGCGTCGACCCAGCGTCGACCCAGCATCGACCGAGCATCGACCCAGCATCGACCCGCTCTTTCCTTCCTTTCACCTGACCTTCTGTCATCTCTCATTCCATTGTCTGCTCGGCATAGGCGTCTACTGGCTGGGCGAAGACTACCCCTATTCCAGTCTCTACGAGCGCAATCCCAACTACACAGGAACTTCGCTGAGCCCTCTGTTCCGCCGCGACTCGACCTATCTCGCCGAGCCTTTGCATGGATGGCTGTCCTATATCCTCCAGCCCAATCCCAACATCACCTTCTCGTTCCCAAACTACCAGCTCCGTCAGTGGAGTCTGCTGGCAAAGTCCAGCCAGGTCTCGGACAGCCAGGTGGGCTCGCGCCCAAGCCAGCCCCTGATCACCAACCTGACCAACCTCCTGATGACGACTCCAGCCGCTCCCTTCAAGCCCGCCAATGTCTCGAACGGCCTGCTCGACACGATCCCCGGCCGTTACTGGTTCAATTTTTCTCTGACTAATGCTGCCAATCCGCTCGGCGGCATCCAGCCCGTTCCGTACTTTGACGCCGTCAACGGAAGCTCCCACACCGTCCTGGACAATGCCATTTCCGATTCCGTTGCCAACACCTTGGCCCAGCTCGCCACCATCGACAAATCGGCCCTGACCAACAACTCTGGCACTGCCACGAGCGGCAGTGAGTCGAGCGCAGAGTACCTGCAGCTCGCCCAAACCTACAGCAACAACGTCCCCTTTGGCGGTCTCTACTTCAACCTGGTCGATCACGTCCGCAAATACTACAGCTACATCATGCAGATCGGCACCGACAGCCGCCTCGTCACTGCCGTCAACTTCCCCGCAGCCGGATGGCGCCAGATCCTGCAGCAGGCGCAGCTCTCGAATGCCTTCCTGCGATTCAGCAACCCGACCAACCTCGGTGCCTCCTCGATCACCCAGGGCCTGCGTGTCATGCCTGAGTTTGGAACCACTGCACTCTCGATTCCATTCGGCTCGCTGCTTGGTCGAGTGCTGTATCCCTTCGGCATCAGCTTCCTGCTGCCGATCTTTGTGATCACACTTGTCAAGGAGAAGGAGGATCGAATCCTGGTGATGATGAAGATGAACGGCCTCAAGGTCTGGGCATACTACGTTAGCCACTACATCACCATGTTTGTTCTCTATGTACTCTCTGCAATCATGTTTGTGGCGGTTGGAACGGGCACCAAGATGGATGTGTTTGTCAATACCGGCAAGGGCGTCCTGCCTGTCCTGCTGCTGGTCTGGGGAAACGCCCAGATCGCGCTGGCCTTTTTCTTCTCGCAGATCTTCAGCAAGAGCCGAGTCGCGCTAAGTAAGCATCCTTTGAGGGGCAGGACGGGGCTGGGCTGATGCGTCCGTGTGTACGAGGACCCGAGGGCTATTGACAACTTGTAGCACTTCGTAACCATGGCGCCTGCACTCATGCCAATCAACCGGTCTGCTCACATGTGGCAACAACACCACCCGCATCACACTGACGCCCATCCGCCAAATGGCCTTCAATCCACCTCCAACTATGAACCATGAACCAATGCAGTCGTGGTTTTCTTGCTGGTCCTCTGCGGAGTCATCATCTCCCTTGTCCTGGACAGACTGATTGGAACGGACCCAGCCCCGCTCATCCTCTTCATCTGGCCGCCCTTTGCCTTTTATCGGGGCCTGTCTGATATCAACCGCGCTTCGTACAGTACAACCAGTCCCGTAAGTGCAACGCCATCTCTCATTCGTCCTGTTGATCTTTCCTCTCCGAGTCTGGACTCATGCTTCGTTTCATTTCTCCTTCCTCCCTAGGCCTATTCGTTTTCGATGATCGTCCCTGGAAATGAAGTCTTCAACGCGATCATGTTCCTGCTCGGCGACTCGGTCGTTTACTTGTTCCTGTCGTGGTATCTGTACAACGTGATCCCAACTGAGTTTGGCATCCACAAGCCGTGGCACTTTATTTTCACCAGCCCGTTCAAGCATCTGCGTCGACAGCAGCGCATCAAAAACAACGGCGGAGTGGTAGGCAGACCTTTCGAAGAGGGAACCCAGCCAGAGGCTGTGCCAACCCGTCCCGCTGTTGTCGCGGCATCATTACTGCTGCGGGAGACACATCACCGGAGGTGATGGACACTCGCGCGACAGTTTTGAAGTGTCCCTACCGATGACAAGTGCTGATGGCTGGTTTGTGATGTCTCTTGATAGGACCCCAAGTCTGAGCAGGAGCTCGCAGTCAAGATTGCGGTCTCGCCCGAGGAACTGCAGTTCGAGGACGACGATGTCAAGGCCGAGAAGCAGCGAATCGAGACCGAAGCGTTTCCGCACGACTCTCCCCTCATCCTCAAGAACATGCGCAAGGTCTACAAGGGCCGCGGCGGTCTCGGCCCAAAGATCGCCGTCAAGGACGTGTCGTTTGCCGTCGAGAGCGGCATTGTCTTTGGGCTGCTGGGGCCCAACGGCGCAGGCAAGACGACGCTGATCTCGATCCTGACGGGACTGTACGAGGCCTCGCACGGCACTGCGCTCCTGGCTGGCAAGAACATCAAGACCGAGACCAAGGAGGTCTATGGCAACATTGGCATCTGTCCGCAGGTGAGGCTGTGGGGCGGGGTGATGGAGTGATGGAGTGATGGAGTGATGGAGTGATGGAGTGATGTAGTGATGTAGTGATGGTGTGGTGGTGTGATGGTGTGTTCAACAGTGTGATGTCGATGCAATCGTATCTGCAAAGGACCACCCTCTGCGCCGCTGCTGGCCCACTGTCCGCCTGGACAAGCCGCTCACCCAATGTGGTTGCCTGCGACAGTTTGACATCCTGTGGGACGACCTCACGGTCGGCGAGCACCTGTACTTTTATGCACGCCTGAAGGGAGTCTCTCCGTCCAACGAACGGGAGGCTGTCCAAGAGTCTCTGCGCCAGGTTGCGCTGGAAGCCTTTGAGGGCCGCCTGACCAAGGGACTGTCGGGCGGCGAGAAGCGACGGCTGTCGATTGCGATCGCCCTTGTTGGCAATCCGGCTGTTGTGTTCCTGGACGAGCCGACGGTGAGTATTGCGGATGGTCGATGGTCGATGGTCGATGGTCGATGGTCGATGGTCGATGGTCGATGGTCGATGGTCGATGGTCGATGGTCGATGGTCGATGGTCGATGGTCGATGGTCGGGTCGATGGTCGATGGTCGATGGTCGATGGTCGATGGTCGATGGTCGATGGTCGATGGTCGAGATGCGAGGCTACCCGTCCCAGACCTGTGCTCCAAGACAATCATCGATCGACTAACATGCGCTCTCCTCGACACAGACTGGACTCGATCCCGAGGTCCGCCGCCTGATCTGGAACATTGTCAACAAGGCTCGAGCCGGCAGGACGATCGTGCTGGTGAGTGAGCCGCACCACGGGCCGCACCACGGGCCGCACCACGGGCCGCACCACGGGCTGCACCATGGACTGGGAGCAAGCATGTGCTGATGGGCGAGCAGCAGGCAACGCTCTGGACAACCTGTCCGTCGCTGCATTGATTCTCACCACACCCCATCCCATCGCACTGCGACGTGGTGTGTTTGGCCCGTTCCCAGACCACACACTCGATGGAGGAAGCCGAGGCCCTGTGCCAACGCATCGGCATCATGGCCAAGGGCACACTGCGATGCCTGGCCAGTCCCATCCGACTCAAGGAAAAGTACGGGTCGGGTTTCCGCATCTTCTTCAACAGCCAGGCAGAAGACTCGGAGCATGCTCGAAGGTAAGGGCCGTGGGGCAGGGCAGCAGGGCAGCAGGGGAGAGGGCAGCAGGGAGTGCTGCAATCCGCAACCAGAGTGCAGTGGCCAGCATGTCGACTGACTCTGCTGGTGCCCTGTCGATGCGCCGATTCCCACCACCCAGCTTCATCGAGAGCGTGCTGCCGCCGGGATGGAAGCGACTCGACTCGTTTGCCACCAATGCATCGTACGAGTTCCCGCCGCAGCCCGGGGCGATCGCCAACCTGTTCAAGGTCGTCGAGACCCACAAGGCCGAGGCCCGGATCCTGGACTGGGGCATCAGCCAGACCACCCTCGAGGAGGTGTTCCTGCGACTGATCAGCGAGAACGACGCCGATGCCGACTAGCGATGGTGCTCGGCAGTGCTCGGCGGTGCTCGGTGGTGCTCGGTGGTGCCGTGCTGTTCTTGATCGCCTGCAGTTGCATTGCAGTGGCCCTGTCGAGTGCACCGTTGCTTGCGATTGTCGCATCCATGCCTCTGTGCCTGTCGCTGCTTGTGTGGAGTGGTCCTGGGCTCGATGCAGCCCGCAATATACAGACCCCGTCGCCGCCGCACTCAACTGGACCGAGAGATCCATGGACAACCCGAGGCAAAGCGAGCCAGCGGCCCTTGCACGCTCGGTGTTGCATTGCACCATGGAGGGCGGACCCAGCAGATGCACTGGGTCGCTTGCCTCGCAGCACCACAGCGGCAGTCACTCGGTCACTCGGCATCTTCTCTTGGCTCTGTGGGCCAACACTCCAGCATCCGAACGTACTCCAAGGAACGCATGACCTCACGCCCAAGTATCTCACTCAAGTGATATTGATCAGTGAGTTCATCGAGGAAATACAGGTTCTTCACCACTCCACTAGCTGGTGTGTTCGTATACATATACACGGAGCCGAAACTGCAAGATTGGTCTCCGATAATAAGTGTTTCCGTTGTCGAAACAAAGAACGTTTGGTTTCAGCCACCAAAGTCACCGATGCTCGGAATCGCGGATGCTCAGCCGCTCTTCCGAGTTTCACTCATATCCATGACCTTGATCTCGCAGCTTTTGAGTCTCAGCTCCATCTTCAAGATCACGCGTTCCAGGTCCCGGCAGTCATCAGGCGTCAGCGCCACGACAGCAGACGATGTGAGCGACTCGGTGCCCGGCGCGTTTGTCGGTGTGCGGCCGGTATGATCCAGTCGTTGGCTCTGCCCCTCGGCGGATGACGCCGGATTGTGGCCTGCATTGTCGGTTTGCTTGTTGGCGACACCCTCAAGTCGATCGGTCCCGGTTCCCCCCTCGGTCCCCTCGCTTGTAAACAACTTGGCTTGTGGCCGGGCCATGATCAGCAGAGACTCAATCAGCAAGATGGCAGTTTGATAGCCCGAAAGCGCCAGACGATACTGCGGCAGGCTTTGCGACTCTAGCTCCAAGGTTGCGCTTTGCTTGGCCTGAGCGAGGAGCGACCGGGTGTCAAAGTGCATGCAGACACAGCAGCGTTGTGAGAGCATCCCATGACGACCAAAAGTCCAAGCAGCCCGATGCCGGCACGTTGCAGCAAACACGTTCAGTTTCATGCCAAGGAATAAGACGGAGAGCGCCAGTTAGCCTCACGACAAGCACGATCGCTGCGACGGACATACACGACTGATTGGCATATAAACGGCATTGCACGCTACTCACAACTTCCAGAGCGTGCTCGTAAATGATCTTCTCGACCCCACGGCTGATCATCTCGATGTTGACGTCAATGCTCTCCATCGACACTTCGCGCACGACCTCTGCTCGATCAAGGCACTGATTGAACATGGCTCGGAGCCACTCCACCGCTTCGCTGAGATGGCCGAGCTGGACCCACTTGGCGGACTCTTGGCTTGTTTGAGTCACTCCGATCGGGACATTGACGGTTGTGCTCGACTGTGTCGTCTCTTGCTGACGACGCTGTTCGGACTCGAAAATGAGCCGAGTGAATTCGATGGAGGTCTGGTAGAGTTCCAACGCAAGCAAGTACAGCGAAAGCGCCTCGTGTGCTCGTACTTGATGCTCGATTGCCACCTTGGACATGCCCAGTACCGGCTGTTCGGAGGTCTGCGCCATCGCTGCCACGCCGCTGGCGCCACGGGTTGAAGCGTGGGACTGCAGGAGCTGGCGTAGCGATTCAAACATCTCATTGGCATACGAATGCACCGCATAGGCGCGCCACGAACTGACGAACAGCGCCGAGAACAGAAGCGAATAGTGGTGCTCCAGCTTCTTGATGTGTGTGTCTACCAGGAGCGACGAGACTGGCGTACTTTTGTTGGAGAGGGGCTGATAGATGGGGCCAATGTTGGCTTCTTGAGGGAAGCCCGCGAAGGAACCAGCTCTCGAGTACGACGTGGACACGGAGGTAATCGAAGTTGGGATGATGTTTCCAATGGCAGGGCCGCCCGAAACCGCAGCGGTGCTTGTCTGAGTCTTGGGCATTGATGCAAACTCTGCGACGACTGAGAGACAGATGAACCAAGCGCGATCAGCACAAGTGGGTCTCTACGACGCCGATGCCACATGAAGCTATCTATCGCTGAGCTACGGATGATCGTAGGAGGGGGTTGTAGCATCTTGCCGAAACTACTGCATTCCTATGTCGTCTCTTTGACTGCCCCGCTCCATCCCCCCAGCCATCGCCAGCACGGCTGACGTACCTCTTTCCAGTGACCTGTGCCGCAGCAGACCGCCTTCGGGGTGGACTGGCGGCGCCACATGCTCGGGAACAACTGCCGCCGGCTCAGGTTGGTCGTTCTTGTCGGCGGTATCGATCCAGTTGACCTGAATTTCCTGGTCATTGTCGATAACGACATAGTCATCCAGAGACGCCGAGAGCGAGTCCAGCTCTGGCTTGTCCGGCGTCGAGGACCTATCACTGGGGTAAGCCGTGCTCGGTGAGGCAAGCGGCGACTTGACCGACTTGGTATGTGACGGCTTCTTCGCCCCAATGATCACCATGCGGTTCCCAGTCGAGAGCTTGGTTGCTGCAGATGCAACACCGACGGCATCGGACAGAGTCGCAGGAGGAGCTGCGCCAGATGGCAAGTTTGGCCCACCGGATTTTGGCGGAAACAGCCGTGTGGGCGTGGTGGGATGACTGTGCCGGTTCGCAGTGCTGTCCGATTGGGACGTCTCAAACTCGTCCTCGCTGATTTCAAACGAGCCTAGGGACGAGATCGAGAACTGGGCGTCTTCGTCCGAGGTCACCTGGGGCTGTCCTAACCTGGCTCTCAGCTCGCCAGCGGACGATGGCGGGGTATTCCGGCGACTGGGTGTCGGAGTAGAGGGGGTTGAGGTGTTGATGTGCGGGAGCGACACGGGCTGCTTGGACAGCCATCCATCACTGCGAGGTGTTGGTGTCGTTGGCATAGTCGGTGTCATCGTGCCCGAGCGGGCTCGTTCGGATGGCGGGGTGCGCAGGGGATCCGACCGAGCTTCAGGGGGAGTGCTCGACAGGGTCGGCCGAGACTCGGGTGAGAAGCGCCGTTGTTCCGGAGGCGTAGGGCGGGGCTCGGGGGAGACGTATCCTGGGAACGGCGGCTCTGCGAATCTCTGTCCAGCCTTGGCGGCATCGTGCGCATACCCAAAGTGGTGGGACGAGAACGGCAGCTGGTCCTCGAAAGGTGCTGGCGACGGGATGGGTCGAAAGCCCATGATGGGTCCGGCGGGACTACCCGGAGCTGCGGTCGCGGCCTGGGGCTGGAATACAGCCGGCCGTTGCGAGACACCACGAGCATCATCGGCCAAGTCCGGCTGCGAGGCTATCCTGGACTTGGGACCTCCAGTGAAGGTGCCGTTGCTTTCCAAGATGGGTCCGAGGTTACTGGAGCCGTCGCCCGAGATACGCGGGTCATGCATTCGGTCAAACGAGGCGACCTTTGGGACAGGCGAGTGCGACGATACTGGCTGAGCAAACGAAGGCCCAGGAGGATAGCCTGTGCCAGTCGAGGACCGGTGCGGGTCGCTGGACGGACTGTCGATCGCCTGGGCTGGCCCGGTTTTGGGTGGGAGCATCTGATACGGCTGGATGGTGGTGCCTGAAATTGGGCCAATTATGCCACCGGGGGTATAGGCATCGGGGAGCGGGCCGCCGCTATGGAATGGCTGGCGCTTGGGGGTCTGGGGCGCGAGATTGGGATTGGGATACGGATGAGTGCCGTCGCTGGAGGAGTCGGACGCGGAGCGGTCGGTGCGGAACATGGACGAGTGCGCTTGGTCGACGAACGACTGGTAGACGCTCGTGCTTTCCTCGACCTTGAAGGCAATGACGGCCGGGTGGATGAAAAACTCTTCAAAGCTGATCCGCTCGACCGGGTTCCGTTTGAGCAGCCGCCTCACGAGGTCCTTGAGATCTTCAGCGACGTGAATCGGGGCAGAGCCCGAGATGCGCAAGGCGGGATCGTTCGGACCGACTCGGTTCGGGCTCGACGCTGCTGAGGACAGCGCAGAGACTGATGCTCTCTTGGTAACACTGGGCGGTGTGCCTCGGCCAGACTGGATCCAGCCCTCCTCTCCCGGAAATTTGATGGTGCCCTCTCCACGATCGATCTTGTTGAGGAGCTCGACATGATTCTGGGCTTTGAAAGGCGGTCGGCCGGCGATCATCTCGTAGAGGACGGCGCCGAGCGACCACAGGTCTGCTTTGGCATCATAGCGGTCGCCACGCAGGATCTCGGGCGCCATGTACAGAGGCGACCCGCACAGCGTCGATGCCAGCGACTGCTGGAGCAGCGGGCGGGCGAATCCAAAGTCGGCGAGTTTGAGGGTCGGCAGCGGGGGAACAGAGATGACGGTGGCCGGGTTCAGTGGGCTGGGAAGCTCGATGTTGGTTGCTTGTGCGGCAGCCGGGGTGAGCAGCAGATTCTACGGCCGAGTGGAGACCATGTTTGTGTTAGTAGCACGAGCATAGCAGAGCAGCGCCGAAGGAAGGGTAACAGCGGCCGACTGGCATCGACACCAGAGGTATTATGGATTCCGAGGGTCAGACGTCGTTGGCGACATGACGGCCAGATCTCGGGACAGACACAACTGAGCAGTTACCTGGGGCTTCAGGTCGCGATGGATAAGGCTCTGGGATCGCAAAAACTCCAGGGCTGAGGCTGCATCGAGTGGTTGGGCATGGATCAGACGATTTGGTGAGCATTCATGCAGGGGAGTCAATGCGCCTCCCATCATAGAGCCGAGCGCACACAGCAGAATGTGATGGTGAGAAAGATACCCGCGAGGCTTACCAAGCTGTAGCAGGAAATGACGGACGGCGACCTCACAGAGCCCACCCGCGGGGCTGAGCATATAGTTGTACTTGACGAGCGACTCGAGAACCTGGGGGCGGGAGGGGTCGGCGACCAGGCCCTTCTTCTTGATGTAGGTCGAGAGGTCGCCCATGGAGCAATACTCCATCAGCAGATGGATGTGCTTTGCCGTTTTCTTCAGATAAAGTGGTATGCCGGCATCGGTCCAGAAAGACAGAGAGACGAGGAAAATGAATCGGAATGGTTACCATGGCGCACTGGATATGCTCAAATCTGCCGTCCCGAGATGCAACCTCGGACGATGGGCATGGGCATGGGTATCCGCAGCACCGGCATTGGGGTTGTCTGCCATCGGACGAGATTCGTGCGGGATACGGAGGAGCACCGGCAAGGCTTGTATGGATGGCTGCGTCTCCAAGCCAGTCGCTGCAAGCCATGAGAGGCACAGCTGCATGCGCATTCGACGGCCACCCATCGATCCATCGAGCCATCCGTCCGCCAGGCGAAGAGGGAGCCCAAGCCGACGTATCCAGGGATCGAAAGTCACCCCGCTCCTCGCTCTCTCGACCGACTTACGACAACATCCAGGAGCGACACAATGTTTGGGTGGCATATGCCCTTGAGGATCTTGATTTCGGTCTCGAGGTTCTCGGCAAGCTTGCGGTTGAGCTTCTCCCTCAGCACGGCCTTGATGGCGACGATGTGGCTCGTTTTGGAGACGTGGTGGGCCAGATAAACGGTGGCAAAGGAGCCCCGTCCGATTTCATGTTCAATTTGGAAGTCGGCAACGATATGGGGCTGCTGATTCTGCATCTTTTAGATGCAGGTGGGGGCGAGGGATGCGCTTGGGATAATCGACGTGCGGGAGCGGGCGAGCAGCAGAGTTGGCTTGTTGGGGACTTGCTGTGGCGAGAGGAAATGGGTGTTTGGGACTCTGCGGATGGAGTAGGGATCAAGCCGTGAAGCCAGGGGCTCGAAGGGGCGAGGGGACTGGGAATAGCAGCGCTGTCGATTGGCCGATGCGGCGGGAGCCAGCCAGAATCCAACGGGCTGCGGATGTCGGATTTCGAAGCCGAGGCGGACAGGGGACTGCTGCACCCAAGGGATGTACGATTGGCCGGAGTGGCGGAGGATGCAAGGATCGGCCTCGAAGGGAGACGATGCGATATGCGGAGCGACGGGCAATGCAATGTAATGCAATGTAATGCAATGCAATGCGATGTGCGATGTGATGTGAGATGTGATGTGAGATGGAGGCAAAGCGCCCGGAGCAGGAATCGGACTTGTGGCGAGAATGGCGCAAGAGCCCAGGGCCAATGGGAAGCGCGCGTGTGTGTGTGCGGGACAGACGCGGACGCTGATTGGACAGCGGGCCAGTCACGCGGTTGTGTCTGGAAAGAGTCTGCTTGGGTGACGAGAACGAATTGGCTGCGAGCATATGGTTGCGAGAAAATGGGATCAAGCAAATGGCTGCTGGCGCACGATGGCTCTCGGGGGCATTGCATGGAGTGTATTCGATTCCAGATCCAAAAAGGGGCGCTGCCGGCGAACATAGATGGATGGATGGGTGCATGGGTGCGTGGTGTGTGTCGAGTGCGGTGAATGAAAGATGTTGCATGGCGGATGCGAGCACAACAATCTATATCTCTATATAAAGTACATACATGAAAGGCAAAGAAGAACAATCAAGCATAGGGGGGAGGCTGCTGGTGGCTGGCGCGGGCGAGATGCAGCCGGCGCGAGCGAGCGAAAGGGTCCAGAGAGCCGTGGTGATAAATACGCAGTGATGCAGGAGAGGAGGGCCGGTGGATCCCACAGCAACGAGCAGTTACTTGCAATAGAACTGGTTCGACTTGAAATAGCGCTCCCAGCAGTCGTAGCGGGCCTGGTTGACAGAGAGATCGTAATGCAGCACCTTGAGGAACTGGCGCTCGCGCAGGCTCAGCTTGGTGGCCTGGATGCCGCTGAGCGAGGTCCAGGACTTGTTGGTCCAGGCGTAGTCGTCCTGCAGCTTGTTGGCAATGATGAGTGCAACCACAAACATCAGATACTCGGAGCCCTTGGAGAGCTGGAAGACCTTGGCATGTGCGACGCGCTCCAGCAGTATGATCGAGGCCAGCACGATCGAGACGGTCATGGTGTGGGAGACCTTCTGGAGGAGGGTGTGGATCAGGCGGTGGGCCATCTGGAAGCTCTCGGGATCGAACTGGGTGACGGGTTGGTGCGGTTCCGAGTACAGAACCTGGAAGAGGACGTTGGTGATGAAGTACGAGAACTTTGGCGAGCTGAGCAGATCGTGGTTGACGACGTTGAACTTGAACTCGTCTTCGACCTCGCTGCGGGGTGTCCACGCCATGGGCGGGGTCAGCAACTCCTGGCCGATGGAGCGAGTGGCCGAGTCGGGCAGGGAATGCGGGCTGGCGGAGAGGGCGAGCTCGTGGGGGCCGAGCATAGTCTGTGGGCTGGGGCCAAAGAACCGGGCGTCGGTGTAGGAGCTGGCGCACGCCTGACGTGCAAGCCTGGGGATGGCGAGTGCCTGGGTCATGGCGAGAGATGCGTTTGGGTGAGCTTGGAACATTAGTGCTGTTGGAAGCGGGGCATTGACGAACAGGAACGGGGAAGATGTGGGATGGCCGAGCTCGGCACGCACAGGAAGGGTGCTAAGACGGACAGGATGGGCGACCGACGGAGTGAGATGGCAGGCCGACGGCAGGGCTCGAGAGGACGCTTGCACCAGGACTGCGGAGGAGATCCGCCGCTTTTATCTGGTGGGGCCGAAAACGGACCGGAAAAGGACGCTGGACGGGGCATGGCACGGCAGGACCACGCGCGTCCCGGGCATGTGGAGCCAAAACACAAGGCGGCCCGCAGTGTTTGTGGAGCCCGGCCGGCGCCGTCGGTGGTCGGCGTGGTGGCTGAAGACCGCTGTGGGAACGGGCGTGCGCTCAGCACTCGGCAGGCGCAACAGGGGCGTGGCCGGAACTGGCTGCGAGCAAGGAGCTGATGGGGCAGAGGGAGCAAGGCGCAAGAAGGAGGACGGGGCGAACGAAAGCAAGAGGGGCCCAGAAGGAAAGGAAAAACGGGAGCGGCCGCATACAACGACAGTGCGTCGAGGGGGCTCAAAGAAAATCAGCCGTGAGGCAACAAGCACGAGCAACGAGGAGAGCCGTGAGAGAGTTGGTGTTGACGAGCACTGGCTGGTGTGTTGACGAGCAGGGTTGGTGTGTTGACGAGCAGGGTTGGCGTGTTGATGTCTTGGCGGCGGTGGATCGGCGCAGAAGCGGCGAGAGTTGGCGGACCGGATCGGATCGAAAGTTTTGCAGCATATGTCCTGCAACAGGAGCTGCGACTCGGCGCGATGCAACTCGACGAGACAGGATGCAGCAGGAGATACGATGCACGACGATGCACGACGATGCACGACGATGAACGCCGCCGCGTGCGATGCCAGGCGACGATTGGGCCGATTCCCACGCCAGTCTGGCAACCGGAACAGCCATCGATGTACTGCGTCGATCTGCGGCGGTGGCCGCGCCCAGCCTGGCTGCCACGCCTGTCTGGCCGCCTCCAGCACGAGCCCAGGCAGCAAGGAGCCGAGGACAAGAGGCAACCGAGCGCATCCACACAGCTGCCCGGCCTTGCGGATTTGTTATTCTGTCTGGCGGCGACCAACAAGGCCTGGGCTGCAACGTGCTGACGAGGGGCTTGTTTGTCCAGAGGCACCATGGGTGCACAGGTTGCTTGCGGGCCAAGGCCGGCCGCGTGAGCACAGCCGGGTCGCACGCGGCAACGCAAAGTACTTCTGACCCACTCCAGCGCTGCTGCGGGCGCCGCGCCCAATCGCGTGGTGGGCTGTGGGGTCGCTTGCCGGCTGTTCGGCGTTCCCGCATTTTTTCTGTTGCTGGCAGGCCACATGTTTCGCCAATTCTCCGCCCTGGCGCACCTTGTCTTTTGCCTCAGCCCGCGGGTCTCGGGCATGCCGTTCTGTCCGCTCTCTGTCAGCACACCTTGTGCGGTACTCATAAATGAAACTGCCTGCGCTGATGCACTGACATCCTATGGCTGGAAATTACAAACCTCCTCAAAGATTTCAGCTCAGGCGGCTCCAGAAACTCGGCGAGGCTTGCGACTGCTCCCAGGCTGTTGGCGAAGCGAATTGTATTCATTCACACAACACATCGTCGGATGGGGATATCCAAAACATGAAATGGTGTCGCAACACTGTTCTTGCATCCAACGATGGAGTTGGAGTGGTACCAGTGAATGCGAGTGGTGCTGAAGTACACGAGAAGGCGCCGTCGATAAGGAGATTGACATTAAAGAGAGGGACATTGGACACGGTCGCTTCATCATGGACACTTGGATCATCAAGGGCAAAACTTGGAGGATCAAGGCCACAGGTCGAGTTTCTCGAGGTCTTCGATACATCCCTGGTGACCTTGCTCGGCTGCCTTCCGGATCCAAAATACGGCAGCATCAAAGTCCTGGGTGACGCCGCGACCTAGCATGTAACAGATGCCAAGCGAGGACTGTCCTCGCTGGTTGCCTTGCTCGGCCGACTTGCGGAACCACTCGGCTGCCTTGGTGTCGTCCTTGGTTACTCCTGCGCCCCCGATATAGTGTTCGCCGATTATCCATTGCCCATATGAGTTTCCTTGATTGGCAGACTGGTATAAAATCGGGAATGACTTTGAGAAGCTTTCCGCAACTATCTCGCGAGCGAACTCGAGCGATCCCAGCCAGAACTGGCTGTCGCTGTGACTATCGTTTGCGAGTTGCTCGAAGATTCTTTCTGCTTGCTCCCTGTCCTCGAAAGTTCCGAATCCAAAAAATTGACAAACGGCCAAGAGGTGCATGCATAACCAATCATGCTCCGATCCCAGTTGGCACAGATCATGGAACTTGCAAGGGGCTGGTGCTGAGGTGCTGATTCTGCTCCATAACGATGCCAGACATTCATGTTCCCCGAGTTCAAATTTGTCCGATCTGTTATCACGGATGATCTTGACACCTTTCTGCTCGTCTCGCACGGTACCCCGACCAAGGTAGTGCATCCAGCCAAGCATGTGGGTGGCGATGGGCTTGATGACTGGGTTGGTAGAGTGGGTGCTGACTTGCTGCCAGTGGTTGAAGGCGTCGACATCGCTCTGTTCGACACCATGACCGATGAACGAGAACCAGCCACGGAGGAACACCATGTGGAGTCGACCATCGTCACTGCCTTGGTTTGCAGCCTTGGAATACCACTCGAAGGCTACATTGAAGTCCTGCTGGACACCCTTGCCATCTTCGTAGCAGAGACCGAGCCCGATCTGAGCCTGTGGATGGCCCTGGTCCGCAAGATGGCGATACATTCCGACAGCTTTGGTATGGTCTCGCTTAACTCCTTGGCCATAGTAGTAGCACTCAGCCAGATGACACTCCGCCATTAGATGACCGGCGTGAGCGGCTTGCTCGAGCAGGAAGAATATGCGTTGGCATGTCGCCCACCACTCCCGATCGGGCACTCGATCGAGTTCAACTTGAATGATTCTTGCCAGGAGATACGAGGCGGTAGCATTTCCCTGGTCGGCTTGATCTTCAAGCCAGGATCGGCCAGTTTTGACTGGATCCTCGCAGTGCAGCGAGAGGGCGATCTCGTCGCTCGGTGTGAGGCCAATCCGCAACTGTCCGTCTGGATTGAGGAGCTCCATGCTCTGACACCAGCGGTGGAAGCGAGCCAGCTTGGAGCTCAGGAGGTATTGGGCTCGTTTGCACACTCGGAGGAGGGTCTTGATTGTGTTCAAATCAAGGGCGAGCTGGAAGCTGTCGTTGCAGCAGATGATGGTGGAGATGTCTGGGTTGTGCTCGAGCGAGAGTTTGGCGATATCGGGCATCGACGAGGCTGTTCTGGCTTCAGCTTGGCTATGGTGAGTGGCAGGTGATGCTGTGGTTGATGCTGGCTCGTTGATGCTGGCCATGTTGACAGAGACAGGAGGCAAGTGGGCGATGGCGATGGACATGAGAGAGAGGCAATTTGTGGCGAAGCAAACCAAACCCTGGCCAGCAATACCCTGGCCATTGAATGCACACACAAGCCTGGCTCGATCCGTTGGTTTGCTGGCTGGACCCATTGTTGCCCTTGTACTGCCACATACACTGCCACACGTCAAGTATGGAACCAATCATGGAATCGAATCCCACAACTCACACTCGTGCTCACAACCATGTCCATCCTAGTTACCTCATATTTTCTCATTCCTTTGCATCTCGCAGCGCACCAGAACCAACGCCAGCCCGATAGCCTCAACACCCAAGAAGTTGCCGCAAAGGTGTTTGCACATGTGGCTGATGCTGGAGGCTTGGCCTGATTCCACTGCGTGAGAAGCAGGGAGGAGATGTGGTCGAACAATCACAGGGCCGCCCAATCCCAGAAACCCCAATCATTGGATTGTCAGAGAGAGAATGGGACGAGTCAGAAACGCTGCTGATCGGTCGATTGTCGAGAGCATTGTCGAGAGCATTGCCGAGAGCATTGCCGAGAGCACTGTCCTGTCCGATCAGGGACTTGTGGATCAGCAAGCACGACCCATAAACCATCCCCTCGACCTCCTCTCGAAGTGCCGCATCCCCGCGAGCCCACCTTGCGAGTCTCACCCCAGGTTGCTGCATTCACCACCGAGTCATGGACGTATTCAACGAGAAAAGCCAAGACCAAAGCCAATTCGGCGATGAAGCAGTCGGTGGCTCTGAAGCTTCCCCAAACGCTCGCAGCAGGTCCAACTTGGCATCGATCCCCCAGACAGTCAAAGTGCAGATACCTAGACATGCGGCCTTCCGAACAGACGAGTGCAATGACCAGGATGAGCCAGACGATGCTCCCCAGCTGTCTTGGACACGGAACCGAACAAGATCTCCCGCTCCGAGAGACGACGTTCATCAGAGTGCTGCAGAAAATCGATTCCAGGTCCGGGTCACCGTGGAAGTAAGCGGCCCTGGCTCGGGTGCAGCGCAGCCGCTTTCACAATCCACTTCTCCTCTGGCAAGCCCAAGATCCGCCAGGCGTTCAACCAAGCTGACACTCCGAGCAGACGAAAGCGTCCAGGCTGATCACTGCATGCGATTGGAGCCGTCGCTGACTGTCCCCAATGTCGAAGATTCCCACGTCAGCTCGAATGACTGCTCCCACTCTGAAGCCCAGGCAGACGACTCCCACTCGAACGAGTCGGACACTGGCGTAGACTCGCCCATCCACACGAGCGCCCTGCCGGCCCTCTCCCCGGTCGAATTGGATCCGGCCGTGAGCGAAACAAGCGCCGAAGCCATTGTTAATTCGAACGACTCGGACTCTCAACCCAGCCCTGCACAGACGTCGCCTCTGCCAATAAATCAATCCGAAACTGAACCAACTGAAGCAGCTGAAGCAGCTGAAGCAACTGAAGCAACTGAACCAACTGAACCAACTGAACCAGGCGAACCGGGTGCGGCAGATGCTCCACCGGTTCAAACTGGTGCCCCAGCCGGACTTGTGCAGCAGTATAGCATCACTGCCGTGGTCACGCCGATCCCAGCCCTTGCTCCAGCTGTTCTTCCGTCCCAGCAATGCTCTATCACTGCAGCGATCCCATCGATCCAAGGCCATCTCTACCTGCCTCTCACTCTGCCCCAGATATCATTTCCTCCCATGCTGCATGGGGGCTTTGCTAATGGAATCATTGTTGGATGCATCCCACTCAACCAAATCGCAACTGCGACAGCGCCTTCTCCACACAAGCCTGTTCCGCCACAGACAGCAGACACTGAAGAATTACCGCCCCAGACCAGCCCACTCCTGCAGACCCCGACTTACAATCTTCCCCAAGTTACCCAGCCAGCACCGATGGCTGGGAGTCCAGCGAGCCCTGGACCCATTCCGTAAGTCATGTCTGGTGAGGCTCGGTGTGCGTTTGTCGATATCAGCCAAATCTCATCCATTTTCCATCTGACCCGTGTCTCCTACACCTTGCTCCGACCACCACACCGACAGCTCTGACCAAGGGCATCCAAAGAAAGCATCACCCGACTCTCTTCCCTCGGCTACGGCATCCGATTGTCAACAGAGTATCCCCGGCGACGACACCTCAGACGAAGCCCCCGCAAGGAGCACCACGAGAAAGAAATCAGCCCGGTCTGCAGTCGCCACAACCAAGCCCGACCTTGGGGTGTGCATACACGCCAAGCCCATGTAAGATGTTCTTCGTGGGACCCTCCATTACAGATCAAATCCGAGGGCATGATGTAGCACGGTGGCTCTGTGGCATTCGCAACACTCTCATGCATCCTGATCTCTGTTCACTCAACCCCCAGATGCCCCGGTGCACCGACCAGAGCCAGTTTGTGTGTGTCATGTGGTGCAAGACTGATGGCTGCTGGTCATGACCACCAAGCCAACTTGAAGGTGTTGTCCAATGCCATCAACAGCGCGGGGGTGCGCTCATTCGATGATGCCGACGATCCTGGCTCATCCAATGCGGCACTCGCCCTCTTCAAGATCGCAGCAGAGCTCGGGAGTGTCGATGCTCGCTTCAACGTTGCATGCTGCTATTTCAACGGCCGTGGCGCGACGGTCAGGCCGGAAAGCGGCATCAAGTGGGCCACAGTTGCCGCTCGGCTGGATCAACTCGATGCCCTGTACGTTCTGGGAATGTGCTATTACCTCGGCCATGGCACCGGGAATGATCTTGGCAAGGAGGAGCGCGAAGCTGTCCAACTCGAGCGCGATCATGCGAATGCGGTGGCATATTTGAAGAGAGCAGCAAGAAGACGTCATCCTGCGGCACAAAATCTTCTGGGTCACTGTTACCGCTTGGGACACGGCGTCAAACAAGACACCAAGAAGGCATTCAAGTGCTTTCAGAAGGCGGCAGCGCAAGGTAACATGGATGCCGAATTCAATCTCGCCAGTAGCTATTACCACGGCGTCGGCACCAGCAAGTCCCTGGACGACGCAGAATTGTGGTGCCAGAGGGCAGCGAGGCATGGGCACAAGGATGCGGAGGAGAGCCTCATGGCACTTACGGGCAGAGAACACCACTGAGCCACTGCCCGAGTGTGCCAGAGTAAATTGTGATAACGGCGCTCGGAGAGGGAGTCAGTCTTGTCTTGGATGTGAATGGATATCGATGCTGGTTGATGCTGATTGATGGTGAATACAATGCGCTTGGTGGACCTGAATGGTGGCGACCTTGATTGAACCGGCCAGGAATGGTGCAAGTTGAAGCTCGGTGTTTCACGGTGATCCAGTCCGGATAGGTTGGGGCGAACTGGACAATGTGTGTTGTTCGTGGTGGTGATGTTGGCTGAGGGATTGGTGGCATATTTGATGGTGACCGAGCATGATATCATGCCTCTGTTTCGCACCCACAAAACATCCCAGAGTCTGGCTACCCTGAATCAAGACGAGCCATGTCCTAGTCCCGCCTCAAGCCATGTGTGCATATCACTCTGGTATCGCATCGACAGTTTCGAATTCTTCCTGCGGGACGGATGCCCCACTGTGCTGTCCATCACATCAAGTGAATGTCATTCCTCGGCTGTGGTCTTGCATGCACCTCCATGTCGCTTGAGGATACCGTCGGACTCGCTCTAAATCTCCGCTTGGTTCAGGGCCGTGGAAGCAACTCTTTGGGATGCTGGAAGCTGCTGAGGCGGTGACCTTTGGTGTGGATTGCTAGAAACCCTTGAAGAAGGTCAGTTCGCAGTAAAACATTGGGAGAACGGTCGCCTTGTGGCCGTGGCTGTCAACCATCCCGTCAACTGATGGTTCTTTGAGCTTCTGACCGAGCAGCCATTCGATGTCGGGCACAGCAAGGGGTGTGGGGCTCAGCACCATCGGGCACCTCGATTTTGTATTACAGGCCAGTCTCAGGCCATCGTTCCATAGCCCTCGTTCTCCCAGAAGGCTTTCACAGAAGTCCCCTGAGGAGCATTGTCGTCCAGACCTCGTCGCTGCCTCTGCTCTGTCCGGCCAGCATGTGGCCAGCCATGGTGGGCCGATCTCCCTGGTCGACCGCCTCGCTCCTGTCCGTCTCCCCGAGAGCCTCTCGCTGGCTCCTCGCTCGCCGCTCGTTCCTCGGCTCTCTGCCTCGTCCCTCTCGCTTCCTCTCGTGTCCTCTCTCTCCTCGCTCTTTGCCTCCCGATCAATCTCGAAGTTCGCTGGACTTGTCTTCCGATCTCACGAAATCATGAACGGCGAAGATCCCTCTCGCTTCGGGCCCGATGCCCCGCGGCACCAGTTCAGCAACCCGCACTCCCAGCACCACAACCCTCAGCATCAGCTTCCACAAATGCCCTCACACCCGGGTGTTCCCTATTACAATCATCCTCCAGGACCTCACCCAGCTAATCCCGATCTGCTGTCGCCTCAATCCGCTCGTCCTGCCTATGGACCGCCAAGCCATGGATTCTCTCCGTCCCCCTTCTATCCACACCCGCTAGCCTACAACTACCCCACCTTCAGTCACGGTCATCCTCAGCATTCGTCCCATTATCGTGGTCCTGAGATCTACTCTTCTCATACACCGGTTGTTGACACTCAAGCCCCTACACCGCACACTTGCTCCTCCTCGCAAGCTCAACATCACCATCGGCCACTCCAAGATACCGAGCCACCATCATGTTCTCACCCACCAGAATTGTATACAGAGCAACCTCCTGAGGCCTTCTCTCAGTCCGACTCTGACTCCCTCTCTGCTCCTGTCAGCGTCACTTCGCCCGCTCCTGACCAGCCAGTGTCTCAACATTTACCGCTCCTGACCAGTCAGTCTCTCAAGCGTCGTCCACTTCCGACCAGCCTGTATCTCGGATGCCGACTCCTCCGCCTCCTCCAGAAGTTCCCCTGGTTGGTACAGGAAAGTGGGTCTTTTGCCGCTGCCACAAGTGCGAGGCTCTGCCAGATGGCGGAAAGTGGGTTCCTGGTCACCGGCGAAACCGGCATCTAAGTCAGCATGGATGCCAACCTGGGAACGATCCCCGACGGAGCTGGTCAAGGATGCCCAGGGACAACGGCGTCGATGGCAAATTTGAGCTTCGAAAGGCAGCACCCCGGGATGGCCTTCCTGTGATGCCACCAAGCCAAAGCTCTGCCCCGAGACAGAGTGCCGCAACCACATCGGGCCCGAGTCGTTCGAGGCGCTCGAATCACTCAAATCGCTGGGCCACCAGCTTCCCACAGCCCCTCAGATTCGTCCCTTACATACCGAGACAATCTGATCAGCCGCCTGATCCCGTTTCCCACTCTGGGCTGTTGCCCCGAGAGATTCCTCGACCCGCAATCAGTGTCACTTCCACAGGTAAGTTGTCTGATTCGAGTTGTCTGATTCGAGTTGTCGCTCCATCATTCAAGCTGGATTATCTCAACCCGGTATCGTTTGCCACTCTACTTAGGACCGAATCCGTCAAGATCTGCGCAAACTGGCCATATCGAGCACTCCTATACCAATTCTTGGAGCCCTCCCCTTTGGCAACGTGGTCCAAGCACCATTTATGATATTGATGGGCAGATGGATCCCCAGCCAGCGTCGGAAGGTAGCGTTTAGCGTCCCATGGTGCCTTAGATACAATATATCGAGTCTTATCGGTGCCTCGCACGCCTCTCGTCGATCTGGCTGCTCATGTTCCGTGTGTATATGTCTCCACTTTGCACGAAAGATGGAATGTCACAAATCGGTTATGACGAAGCAGACCCCGAGGAACTCGACTGCTCTTCGGAATCGTATCTCCCCAATTTCAACAACGAGCTCGATGCTGTTCTGGAGATCATGGCACCGGCATTTCAGAATGAAGGAATGATGCTGGAAGAGCAAGAGCAAGAGGAGGAAGGGGCGGAGGAAGACATGGATTATGGATTACACACCAGCCGTGCTACCGGACCAGGACAACAATCTGCCGACCCAAACAGGCGCTTCAATCCAATCCCGGACTTTAATTCTCATTGCAAATTCCTCCTCGACGGCGGCAGCTCGCTTCAGCAAGAGCTTGCTCGGGCCTCTGCCTATATCAAGTCTGATCTGTGGCAAATGCGAGAGCTGCCCCGTCACGATGAGTTCGTGAGAATATGTGGCCGGCTGAATATTTCACACGAGGAACTCTCCACAGCATTTGCAACCACCGCGCCATCGCCACCTCCGGTACCCTCGGCTCATGGCAGTGGAAGCCAAGTGCAAGGTACAATAATTTCCAACCAACATTCCGTGAGCTTCCCGCCAGGCCATGGGAACTCAGCAGAAGGCCCTTCGACTTCACAGCCCACAACGGATCCGCCCATCACCCTTCGGCGGACCACGGAAGGTAACCAATCTTCACCCCACCCCCGATAGACGTGTCCCTGATGTGTTCTAAGCTCTCCGGTAAATGCTGTTCTCTAGGACTGCCAAGCATCGCCATCGACATCGTTGGTCTTTTGTCGTCCTATCATCTCTCATACGAAGTAACCTCGGGGATTCTGAAAGTCCTCGAAGGGCACCTTGGCCCCATGCCCACCGCCAAGGTTCTGAATCGCTATATCAAAGCCCAGAGCAACGTCAATCTGGCTCGTTATCACAACTGCATCCACTGCAGCATTCTCTTTCCAGACGACGAGAATATCGACAAGTGTCCCCAGTGCAACGCGGAAAGGTTCGTTGAAGTCAAGTCCACTACCGACCAAGGAGTCAAAACCGTCCGGAAGCCCGTGAGCGAATACTTGTATCTCCCCATCATTCCTCGGCTCGAAGCCCAGTTCCAAGTGAAGAAGAGGATCGATGAGTTGATGTACAGAGCTCGTCGAGCCACCGACTCAGGTTGGAACCAATGTCTAAACGATGCCACTGTTGCTGCTTCCGCTCCTGTGCGTTCCACTGATGAACCGCATTGTTCTCCACAGATTCTATGAGTGATGTCTTTGATGGGGAGTTGTACAAGCACCTCAAATCGCACGGATACTTTGCCCAGGAAACGGACATTGCGCTCGCCCTGACCCTCGATGGGTTCCGCGTCTTCAAGTGAGTGCGATCAGCCGCAGACCTGCCCGTGATGACAGACGGAATGTCCTGGTGACCTGCGATGATTTACTTCATTCCACTTTGTGTGCAGGAACGGACGCCAATGTTGGGTGTTTGTCTTGATCAACTTGAATCTGAGTCCCGAGATCAGAACGAAGCGAGAAAACATGATTCTCGTGGGGATCACACCTGGAGCCAAATCGCCCAAGGACTTTGATCCATATCTTGCTCCCCTATTCGAGGAGCTCCAGAAACTCGCCAAAGGTACCAAGATCCGAAGCAATGCCGCATCATGGAGCAAGCAGCGCTAACTCGCATTACATCCAGGTGTCGAAGCGAGGATGACGCTCCAGAATGGGACGCTCACGACGTTTACACTGCGGGCGCATTTGATATGCTGCACCGGGGATATGCCGGCCATCAACAAGCTCTTGAAGATGAAAGGTCACACTGCAATCTTTGGATGTCGATTCTGCTTTGTCGAAGGCGTCAAGCTTGGAGGGGTTTGCTATTTCAAGCTGGATGGCAACAAACAGCGACTTGTGTCAGACTATTTGTTCACTTGGCTCCAATCGCCCAGCTCGATTGACGATGGTAGGTGAACAACAGCATCCCCTGACGCTTCCTGTTCCTGTAATCTGCTCACTCGGAGTGACATTCAATCTCGGTTTCAGGCATCAAAGGCAGACCGCTTCTGACCTTCCTCGAAACCATTCCGGCGCCAATGAGCTTCCCCATCGACCCGATGCATGCCATATCGAATGTCGCCACCTTGATGTATGGGATATGGAGCGGAACGATCAAAATTCCTGCTGGATATCCGTTCGATGATAGGGAGAAAGACACATTCGCCAAAGCTCTTGGAGCTATGATGGAAACCATATACATTCCTTCATCCGATGGGGCCACCCCCAAGAACATCTACAAAGAGCACGGTGGTCTCATCACTGAAGCATGGCAAGACTGGATCGTGATGTACTCGCTTCCACTTCTCAAGTGCGCCGGACTCCCAGACGAGCATCTGTAAGTCGATCACTTGATCTTCATTGTCCGTGTTACTCTGAGTGCTCATACAAACACGATTTCTTGCTCTCTCACACTCCACAGCAAGGGCTGGAGTTACTTTGTTGAAGCCATCCGACTGCTCCTGCAGCTCAAGATCACCAAGATGCAAAGGCTGCTGATTGCTGTATACCTGTTCAAATTCTACGCCTATTATGCCCGGTGAGTTGCCATGGTGTACTGAATCTGAGGTGTCAGTCACGCGGTACTCATTCATCCGTTCTTTCAAACCGTTAGCTCCCTCGCTCGTCTGACGGGAGCCGAAGAGGACAACCACGAGGGTATCAAACTGATGAGGATGTGCATTCACCAGCTATTGCACATTCCAAAGTGTCTGGAGCTGTTGGGATCGCTGCGTCAGCTCTGGCAATACCCCCTGGAGCGAATGGGTGGACAAATGATGCGGGCGATCATGTCCAGGTTGAGACCAATCGAAAACATGATGCAACGCGAGCTCATAAGTGAAGGACTCAAAACACTCAGCTCATACGGATCAACAAGTCCAAGCCATTTTGGACCAGATTCTCAGGAAGAAGTGCGCGGGCCTGAATCCAACATTCCTGCATCCGAACACGGAGCGGATGTGAAGCTCGAAGGTAGACTGGGCACATTTGACTTGGATGACAACTTGACCAATCAACTCCAAGCAGCCTATGCGCGAAGACAACATGCCAAAAATCCAACATTGGCGGGATTGCAATATGCATTGGAACTTGTGAGGCAGGAGTGGTCGAGTGCACGTCCGTTTGTCGAAGCGTGGTCGTCGGTTGTCCGATGTGATATGATCCTTGGATCCAGCTCGTCCCCTCGAGGAACGAGCCAGCGCCGTAGAAACGATGTGGTCAAGGTAAATGTGAAATGCAACTGTGTGCAGAAGCTGCTGATCTTTGTACTAACAACCCGTTCCAAAACAACAGGCCACCTCAGGTCAAGTGTCATGGAATACTCTTGCCCTTTCACAAGCGTATCGACCCCTACGGCACTACCAAGTCGATCGATTCATCCGACACAGTTTCAGGGGCGAAACCTTGCTCTGGGCGTGTGTGACTGTGCCCGAAATCGACAGTGCCCTGGGATCTTTTGAGTCAGGGTATAAAAGGTGTCCAATGACAAGGTCGTTTCGGTTCAAGAAGGCGGTTTCCGACCGAAGGATGATCGTGGGGATCGATGAGATAATCGGGCCAGTCGGCTTCTTCAAGCATGGAGAAGGTGGGATATTGTTTGCTTGAGCGGATGATTTTGCTCACGATCAACTCGATGCTAACAACCATCTGCTGCTGCCTGCAAATGCCCACAGAGCTCTATATTATGGACGACGGCGACATGTCGAATTACATTCAGAATGAGTCGGACCTCTCTGGGCTGACCCTCCTCGCTGGAGATGCGAGCCAACAGCGCTCGTAAACACACGCAAATTGAAGAGTCATTCAATACATGCCAATTCATGTGTATATGTGCGGATTCTGCGTGCAGGGCATGTGCTTTATCGTCGAGAACAGTGATTGTTCTGGTATCTGATCAGGGTGGATTTTGTTTCAATAGCGCACTTTATTTGCGTGCGCCTGCCCTCAACATCACTGATACTCGGCAAAGTGTCGTTCTGGAAGGCGGCTATACGCCTCCTCCCCTGATGTCCCCCCACGATGTGTTTTGGACCACTTTGAACAGCGCCGTGAGGCAGTGCATCTGGGTTCGGTTGAGTGTCTTGGCTTGTTTGGCTTCGAGCAGATCGAGGGACAGGGCATACTCCATCGTCGGTCGGACAAAGGTCTTGTAGACCCGCACCAGCGATCTGGCGGTCATGTTGCCGAGGGTGTACCCTTGCTTTGCGATCCGTTGGGCCACTACTTGGGCTGTCGCCGTCATCCTCTGGATCTGTCGGTCCATCTGGAGGCCGTTGACGTCAAAGGTGGCTCCGAGGTACTTGAACTCCTTTGCCATGGGCAGCGGCTGGCCGTAGAGTCGGAGGCCGGTTGCTCGTTCAGGATTGCCCTCGGAGAAGATCACTTCGCATTTGGGCGGCGAGAACTTGTATCTGTTGTCGATACTGTGCTGTTCGCAGATGTCCAGCAGTCTCTGTGCTTGCCTGGGCCTGCAGATCAATGCGCCGTCGTCGGCAAACCACAGCGAGTTGATCTGGATGTTGATGCCGCGGGTGGTCGTCAGGGTCGTTCCTCCCTCTCTCCTCAGGAGTTTCGGGAGGTCGTCAATGAAGGCGCTGAAGAGCAGAGGGCTCAGGACCGAGCCTTGGATCAGTCCCTTCTGCAGTTGGACTGGGTTCGGCAGTGTGCATCATCCATGTGTTGTGGTTCGTCCATCAAGGCAATGGTGTCGTCGACAATCACTCACTCACTCACTACCACTACCCATATCAGTTGAGTCGGGTTGAATACATCAGACAATCTCTACACCCCATCCGTGCCTGTGTCTCGATTGCCAATTCCATCTCTGTCCTCGCATCGGATCTGTGGGTCCCGATGATGAGATTGAGTGGCAGTTGTTGGATGGATGACTGCGCTGTAAGTCTCGGTGGGTGAGTTGCTGCCAAACCAACTGATATCCAACGCTGGCAGTAATGAATGGGTGCTTGATGTGTGGGAATGTGGATGGCAAGCAGCGATTGGCTGGCACTCGAACCATGGATCCAACCATGTTCCTGGTTTGATGACTGTGCCACTCCGTTCCATTCCACCCATCTCGTCTCATCTCATCTCATCATCATCTGGACATCTTCATTGAACTTTCATCACAATCCACACATCATGCATCATGGCTGCCAGTGTCCATCCCTCAACTGACACGGTTCGACCGGCCATCGACGAGCACAATCCAGACATCTTCACAATCATCTGCTGCAACGACAGCTTCCAGCTCGCCCTTGATTTGAACACAATCAAGACCCTTCTCCGAGTGTGCAAACGAGCCCAATACCTCCTGAGCTCCAAGCTGGCTCGCTTCCACCGCTGGTGTCAGAGCATGGAGCTCCTCAATCCAGACGGACAGTTGCGGATTGGCCTCACACCGAGCGACGAGATCGCCCTCTCGCTGCACTGCGAGGATCCAGTCAAAACTGGCCGATCCTGGCTTGAAGATCAAGCCGACCAGGGAAATGCTACCGCCTCGTATCTCCTGGCAAGAATCATTCAAGTTGAACTCGATCGAGTGCCCGATCGGGAGTGGTGGGCGACATGCCAACGCATATTCTTCCTGCTCGAGCAAGCCGCTCACGCCGATCATCTAATGGCGGAGTGTCATCTGGCTGAGTGCTACTACTATGGCCAAGGAGTTAAGCGAGACCATACCAAAGCTGTCGGAATGTATCGCCATCTTGCGGACCAGGGCCATCCACAGGCTCAGATCGGGCTCGGTCTCTGCTACGAAGATGGCAAGGGTGTCCAGCAGGACTTCAATGTAGCCTTCGAGTGGTATTCCAAGGCTGCAAACCAAGGCAGTGACGATGGTCGACTCCACATGGTGTTCCTCCGTGGCTGGTTCTCGTTCATCGGTCATGGTGTCGAACAGAGCGATGTCGACGCCTTCAACCACTGGCAGCAAGTCAGCACCCACTCTACCAACCCAGTCATCAAGCCCATCGCCACCCACATGCTTGGCTGGATGCACTACCTTGGTCGGGGTACCGTGCGAGACGAACAGAAGGGTGTCAAGATCATCCGAGAGAACCAATCGAATGGGTTCAGGCTCGGGGAAGGTGTCCTGATTGGTTACGTAGCCTCATCCAACTCACCCGCATCCCGCAAGTTCTTCAATCTATGCCTGCTGGGATCGGACCGTGAATGGCTTTGCAGACATCTCATGGCTCTGTGTCTGACTTGTGGATTCGGCACTTTGAAGGACCAGGAGAAGGCAGCGGGTATCTTTGAGCAGCTCGCCAACGAAGGCCACAGCGACAGCCAGTACAGGATCGGAAGTTTCTACTATGACCAGGGTGTATCGAAGAGCTGCGAGAAGGGATTCGAGTGGTACAGCAAGTCGGCTGACCAAGGTCATTCATATGGGCAGTATATGGTTGGTTACTGCTACTTCTATGGAAACGGAGTCACCCAGGACTACGCCTAGGCAGCCGAGTGGTATCGCGAGTCTGCCGAACAGGGAAATCGATACGGACAATATTATCTCGGTGGCTGCTACAAGAATGGGCATGGTGTCCCCGAAGACGTTGAGACCGCCGCCTTTTGGTATCGCAGGTCCGCCGACCAGGGTCACCAATACTCCATCAACCAACTCAAGAACCTTGGCAAGTGACCCTGATCCCGAGTTCCTCACAAACTCCACACCCAACATAGTCATACATCCATCCCTCATGCTGATCGACCGATTGAAACGTCGAATCACCCGACACCGACAAGCTCAATACTCAAACTCGATACTTGTCCCGATGCCATTGATGGCGGGGTGAAATGAACACTCTCCCGACCACCCGTCACATGGTGCCCGAGAAAGCAACTCTCAACCAACCAACAAGCAACCGGCCTTCCGTGGCACCAAGATTGCGGTCTTCTCCATGCGCAATTGATTCCCTCTGGAAGCTTTCAATGGATGTGTTCGCCCACCGGGTGGTCGATCTCGTGGATATCCAATTGGTCCTGGCGCATCAGCGAACAATCAACATGCACACCTCCACTGCCTGGTATCGCAAAGTCCTGAGTTCCGACTGTTTACGAGTACATCCAGCTATATTCGGAATGAACTTGAGCCACATGCTTTGAACCAAACCATAACTTGGTACTTTCGGTTGTGCTACTCTCCCTATCAGTTCCTGCCAATAGCCCACCAGTGTTCACATCCAATCCACACCATCCAAACCGTTAATAACACCAGCGTATCCAATCCACAATGACTCCCCAAAATGGACGCACTTAGAGTAGGAGTAAAGGTATAGCAGCCTTCTGCTACTGCTGATTCCCCACCGCCATGAAACAGCCTCGATTATTCTCAGGAGGTGGTGAGAAATTACGATGAAAATTTTTCCTGCACGACCATCCATATAGCTACCATGGAAAACACAAAAACAAAGAGGGCGGTCCATACGATACATCCCAAATCGCAGCACAAGCAGCAATTCCACTTGACCCAAGTTCTCCAACCGTTATAGTATAGTCTCTCCCCGTTCAGTACTATGAGGCACTCATTGGGTATCCCGTCCATCTCCTGGATTAACATCCTTGAATTCCAGCCCAAAACCAACTGCTTCAAGCCGGGCGCCTTGGACTTGAGACGTCTGACTCTCGAAATCGAAGGAGGGAGGCTGAGGGTCACCAGCTTGGGATATAGCGGCATGTCGCTCACCGACCTGAGGGACGTGCACGCACTCAGATCCAGAACCTTGAGAGTGCTTTGGCTGACTCGAAGCTCGGCCAGGCTCACAAACGACGCTGGCAGTTTGAGTACCTCAAGGCGCGGCAGCCGTGGCAGCTGGCTGAGGACATTGAGTGCCTTGCTCGACTCGACCACGAGGGATGTGAGTGAGGGCAGTTCCTCGGGAATTCCTTCGAGGCTCTCGACGTTGACAGGTATCGCCAGGTTTGACAGCCTCGGCATTCTCGGCATTCCCTTGAGCGACGTCAGTCTGTCGCAGCGGGCCATATCAAGTCGTGTGAGGCAAGGCAGCTCCTGTGGCATGCCCTCCAAACGGTTGACGGGCGCTTGGCAGTCGAGCATCTCCATGTCGGGCCGCCTCAAACAGCTGGCGATCCAATACCGGGCTGTCTGGGAACACCGGAAGGACCAGGATGACAAGATGGTCTCGCTGGTGCTTCGATTCACCCGAATCCTGCTCCGTCTGATGGACGAATCAATTGCGCCGGGGCAGCGTAAAGCTGCTGCCCCTGAAGAAATCATCGGTTGACAGCGAACGGTAATGCATGAGTTTATGAACTAGTGGGGATGTCGCCCGGAGGTCGAAGGAGAGCCCGAGGTCAACATAAAGTTCGGGTCAGTGACGATGTTCGATTCAACTCCTTGTCGAGCATCTCAGAGTGTCGCGAAAATCGATTCGATCCAAGTGTCAGCCGAGGTATCAAAGAAAGCATAATGTATTTGATTTGAAAGTGACATACGGACTCGAATAAACTACTGTGTCCAAGTACAACTGGCTTGAACCGAAATTGGTACATATGATCTGGCATTTCAGCACAAAAATTCACTCGTCAAGACAAATTGAAAATTGTTATAATACGAGACGATAATAATTGGTAAATAATGTCGACACTTTAATAATGATAAATTTCAGGGTGGAATTTCGAGTCAAGTTGACAGAGGCTGGGTCGTGGTCGCATTCAGTATATGACTGACAGCCGGGAAAGCCTCAGCGAAGTTGTCGCAGTAGCGTAAGATTTGGGCTTGTTGGGACACTATTCCGATTATCCAGTAGGAGGGAAACATCAAAACAAGGAGCAGTGCATAGAAGCCGTATTTCCACAGAGCTTTGGTGATTATCGAATTTTGGATCAAGGTGAGAAGGGTCACAAGGTTGGACCGCAGCTTCACACCAGGACCTCGGAGGTGCTCCTCCAAGGCCGATACTGATCCCGGATCAAGGAGGGCATTTTCTTCCTCTTGTCGATCTTGTTCAAGCGGAATAAGGTGTACAGAGAGAGTCTCGGCGACGCCACCTCACTCCTGGACAATCGTATTAACTATATGGGTTCTTGCTTCGGTAAATACTCGAGTTGGTAGTCGATTTACAAGGATGATATCGCGAACGGATGACTGAGGCCGTGGCGCCTTGAGAATGTTTCTTATCAGATTGACAGCCTTCACGTCCGCAGCATTGAGTCGTCCGCTATCGCCACGTATGACACCGATCAAAATGGCCGGCAGCCCTTTTGGTACGATAAATGACAGCCGAACCATCCCCCAGACTGAACTGAGGATACCACTGACTCCAGGAGTATCGATATACAAGACATCGCCTTCTTGGTGAGTATAGATAGCTTTGGTGACACTACGGCCATCTTGAGCGACACCGGAGTCGAAGATGTGTCGACCAATGATGGTGTTGAGGATAGTTGACTTTCCAACACCTGAATTTCCAAAGGTAATGACCGCCTTTTTTGCCGGTGGCATTGGAATTGTTTTTGAACTTGGCTCTAAGAGGAGCGAGACCCGATATGGAAGCCAGGGTAAATTCCAGAAAAAATATGAGGACTTGACCCTTTCCTGTGTCCTAATGAGGCGGTCATAACCAGGTTGCTCAGCCATAGCAATCTCGTGAAAATGACTTTGGAGTCCCACAGACAGAGGAGAAGGGAGCTGGTGCCTTTTGAAGCTGGCCTGGCGTGGGCAGCCCTTTTATCAACGAGACGAAAGCAAAGAGCGAGTCCAAGCGAGAATGCTCGTTGATCAGCCGAGGCAGCGAGAACGATTGCGAGGGTGGCGTCGAAACGAGGCCGAGCAGAACTTGCAGCACGCGTTGTGCGGGAGGATGGGGGGGGGAGGGCATCGAGAAAATTTGCCAAATGGGTATCCGCCTCCTGGGTCAGGCGTACGCCACCAGGGGCCGGGACCCGGCAACTCGCCCTTCATTCTCTTTGGGGGGGGGGAGGTCGTCTGGATGTCCAAATTCAGGTGTCGCTCAGCCGGGTTTGCCAGATGGAGGTCCGTTTGACCTGGATACCCAGCCGATACCCACGCCTGAGCCACCACACTCTTTCGGCAACTTTGCTGGTCATGCCTGAACAGCAAGGTCCTCATGGCTTTTGCTTGTCCCGACCAACCCACGCACATCATCGTGGCCAGCAGAACGAGATCTTCCAAAACAAGAATATGCAGCTATATTACAGCGACTCCCACATCCGAGCGAGGTCCCGGATGTCGTTGAGCCAGTGCTGGTAGGGCTCGTGCTTGAGCACCAAGTTGTAGTCCAGCGCCGAGCAAAACTCCCGCTCCAGCCGGGAGAGTTGCCCGATGCTGAGCCCGGTGATGCGGGCCCAGACTTTCTTGGGGATGGTGCGGTCATCGTACATCTTTTGCGACACCATCAGGGCCACCAGGAACAGCCGGGACTCGGCGCCGGGCTCGGGCCGCTGGTCTTGGAGGACGGTCAGATGGATGTAGTGGATGGCGATCAGGACGATGGTGAGAGGTATTGAGTGCGCCAGGGCTCCCAAGACGCTGTGGATGAACTGGAAAGTGCTGTTGAATTGGAGCTGGTGCGGGGTCGATGGTGCCGGAGCGGCATGGGCATGCGATTGTCGGGGCTCTGCCTGCAGGGCCTCGGGCAATCGTTGGCACGTATGGAATAGGATGGCGGTGATGTACTTTGCAAACTTGCTCGACGATAGCGCCGCAGCGCTCCGGGACGAATGCGAGGCGAGGGAGCTTGCAGACCGCTGGGACGTGTAGCCGATCGTTGCGGAGCCGGAAGTCGCCGACTCGAAGCAGTATGCTGACGAGCGAGCCAGCGGATGACTCGACAGACTGGCCGGCGGATAGGCCGACAGGGGATGGCACGACGACGTTGGCGTCAGTGCCAGGGATGGAGTTACTCTATGCGACGGCTGTTTCGGCTCGATGACGGGGCGCTTGTGGGGATAGGGCAGGACGGGGCAGACCGATGGATAGCCCGCGGGCCAGGCAGGGCTCTGTTGATCCTGGGCACTGGCATGCAGCGACTTGCAGAGCGGCAGTGGGGCCGCCAGAGAAGGAACAGCATGGTCGTAACCAACACAGCCGATGCACCCGATGCAGCCGCCGGATGGCGACAGGGGAGTGCCTGGGAGCCGAGGCTGCGGAACGGAGATTGCAGACGACATGGTTCTGGTGAATGCGAGAGCTTGCAGCGATGCAGATCGGTCTTGGTGGTGAAGTCGGGTTCGCTCGACGAGACAGGATGACAGAGAAGACGATGCGACAGACGCAGGAGAGGATCGCCGATGGGGGAAGCCACCCGTATATATCTCCTGGGCGGCAGCAAACAGATGCAGGCACATTCGGCGGCCGGAGGGGTGGCCGCACTGGTGGCCGCATGGGTGGCCAAAGGGCCGGTACTTGCGCTTGGAGCGGCAGACGCGCCAGGGCGGCAGGCTCGGCGGATGGCCGTCGCGGCGCCGTGTGGGCTGAAGCGCTTGGAGAAGGTTGGCTGCATGCTGATTGCTCGAACTGAACCGCTGTCGACTCGAACAGTTGCACTTGCCGCTTGCTCTGGCATCGCTCGGCACCCGCAGTGATCTGCTTGACAAAGCAGCCCGGCTTTGCTGGCCCGGTCTCAGCCCCAAAGCAGAGCCGCTGGCGTGATATCAGCTGCCGCCTCAGTCGGGCCAACTCTGGTCCTCAACGGCCTCCTCGATTCACTCTTGCTCACGCCACGGCGCTGTTTGTCGCTCAAATGGCTCATCACCACGCATCCAACATGCATCCGACATGCATCTGGCGTGCATCTGGCGTGCATCTGGGAAGTGCACGTCGACAGCCCCCGCCCCAGCGTGGGTGTCCTGGGGCCCTTTCCCACTGTCCCGACTCCTTCTGGCTCCGCGAATCCCTCAGGGCTGGTTGCTCCCCCCTTTGCTCCTCCATCAGGGACCTTTTCTTTTCCTCTTCCGACCTTTCCTCTTCCATGTTTGTCTGTTTCGGTCTGGGTGCTCGGCCAAACCAAACACTGGTCAGTGCCCGGCACTCTCCGTCTCCCCCAAAATACCTCCTATCCCGCTCGCAGGTCGGCGATCTTCCCTCCAATTCGTTCATCCATCCGTCCGTGCACTTGGAGCCCAGCCGCCCTCCGCAACCCACCGGCCAGCAACCTCAGCCATGATCCCGCCATGGCGGCTGGCCCGAGCCGCGCTGCGCCATGGACGCGCCTGAATCCGCCGCAGGGCGGCCAGCTTCTGCGGCGCGGCGCAACTGTTGCTGTGTGCGCAGCGACGCACTGCCACAGATATGTGGCTGTCCCTGTTGTCGGAACCGATCCTGCCAGAGCAAAGTACCCATGCTTTCAGCAATCGATCATGCATACGGTTGCAGGACGAGCCGGGTGCTCTGATTCCACCACCAGGATGTTCACTTGACGCACTCGAAGCTGTGTTGTCCATCGTGGAAGCAGGTCGAGCACTTGCGCCGGTTTCTCGAGATGACACTCGCTGTGAGTGGCTTCGTCCTGCCAGATGCACCCGCATCCACCTCTGCACTGAATCGCCGTCTCTCGATACCAGGATTCTGGCTCTCTCACGTCGTTTGTCCTTCAGACGCAGAGTCGTCCAAGCGACTTGATGATGTCGAGTTGCGATGCAGTCCCTCGCAGAGCAGTATCCCAAATGCCCGCCGATCGTCTGCAACAGAGCAGCCAGGATCTATACTGCGAACGACAGCTTGCGCACCGCTCCTCCGAGAGGCTTCCTATCCGCAAATGAACAACAGAGGGATCCCAGAGGGCTATTGATCTGCCTGGCTTGAAAGTCGGGGTGCCACCCATCCACTCCTGGAGACTGCGCCTCTTGGTCATGAAGCCAGGGTGCTGGCGATGAATGGGGCTCACGGCCGCGCCGATAGTGTCGATGGTGCCGATGGCAACGATTGCGATACTTGCGATGCTTGCGGTGCAGATCAGATGCAGCACCGCAGCGGCACCGCAGCGGCACGATGGCCGAGGGTGCGGTGGGTCGCTGCAGGTGGGATGTGCGTTCGGCATCCAGGACACCAGGGTGCACCCTGATTCACCCCGATTGTCTTGGCCCTTTGTCTGCGGGGTCGGCTTGTCGCCGTCTTCCTCATCGCCCGACTGCATCTCATCTCGATATGCCCTCCTTCGGCGCCGATCCTCCTGCTTGCCCCGCCTCGACCTCCAATCCCGCCCCTGGCCGATCCATGCCAAAGTCCAGTCGTCCGATAGCGCCTCGGCCTGCTGCTGCCCCGCTCTCCGACCTGTCGCTGCGGCCCGATGCCCAAGCGGATGCTATGGCGCAACATCATCCGTTGCTCTCCGAGGGCCTCTTCCTCCCCGTGCCGCCAGACATCCAGACCCAAGGCCAAAGCCAGCGAAGCCGTCCCTCTTCTTCACTCTCGCCGGGCTTGCTGGCCTCGTCGCCCGTCCTGGCCGCTCATTCTTTGGGCCATCTCTTTGCTGGCCATAACCTCTCGGTCGCAGCCTCGGCAGTTTCACTCCCAATCTCGTCCGGGCTATCGGCGTCGTCCTCGGCCGTCGATGCGTCCGTTGCAACCTCTGCAGCGATGGATTCGTTCGCAGCTTATCCCTTAAGCACCGCCATGTCGCTCGACTTTGAAGATGCCTTGCCCGCCGATACCCCCGCGAATCCGTCGGCGAGCTTCCAGACCCTGGTCCAAAACCCGTCGCTGGCTCCTTCCGAGTCGTTCGATCCTGTGAGTCCCACCGCATCACTTTCGACTGCATTTGGATATCTGCTCTCTTCCCCGAGCCTTCCGCTCCTTATTGCTCTTCCCTGGGCCCCACCAGCCTCATCGCATCGAGGTCAACAATGTCCTTGCGACCTGGTGCTCTGAGTATATGCTCGATCCTTGACTAATCCTCACGGATCTGCATCGCTTTGTTTCGATCCACTTCTGCATCTCTCGGCTGTGCCTGCCCCTGTCAGTTTTCCGAGCTTCTCCATGACCTCGACCCAAGGACATTCGTCTCGTTCAGCTCAAATTCCCCGCAGTCCATCGGCCACTCGCTCAACGGCTCAATGTCTGGCAGCTTCCTTCATCGAGCGTCCATCTCAAACTCTGCCATTCTGTCGACGGTGCCGTCCCAAACCTTCTCGCCGCTCGCCACATCCGTGCTCCTCAGCCAGCAATCACTCTCGGTCGCTCCCACGGCCGAATCGGATATACCCATGTTGCCCGGCGCCTCAGCCTTCCCGCAGACAGCGGCGTTTCCATACCCGTTTGACAACATCCCGCAGAGCTTTATGCCGTACCCGCAGACGGACTCGAGTTGCTGCTCAAGCATAGCCCCCAGCGATCCCTCGTCCGTCCGGTCGTCGCTCGCCGGCAATATGCCCTGGAGAAGTTCCATGGCCCATCCACAAGTATCGCCCGCAAGCATTCTCCAGAGCCTGCTGATCCACCAGCAAATGCTCCTCCAATCGACGCAGATCCTCAGCCAACTGTACTCGACCCTCCCCATGGCCCTTCCAGTATCTCCACCAGCACCCGGCTCCTCTTCCACAAACGGCCCCGGATCCGAGCCGCCAGCGTCGCTCCCGAGCGCGAATCCAGCCCTGGATCCAATAGTTGCCTCCAGTCTCCTTGCGAGCAGTCTCAATCTGGTCAACAGCCTGACGGCCTTGAGCGGCGTGAATGGGGCTGGTGGCCTGGACGCCGCAACGGGCTCTACCCATGTCGTCGGCGACCTGACTGGAACCGGCAATCCGACCATGTCCGCAGCTGCCCTGTCCGGCCTCGGCCCTTTGGCAGGACTCGGTGGATTTGCAGGCCCTCACGATGCCACAGAGCTCGGTGCTCTGGGAAGCTTGGACAACCCCTTAAGCTTGGACAACCCCTTAAGCAGCGCACCCAATGCTTTCAGCACTTTCGGTTCTCCCAACGTCTTTGACATATTTGGTACACTGGGCACAGCTGCCACCACCACGGCCGTGCTAACCCCAACCATCGCAACCAACATCGCCAGCTTCGGCAACATGGGTACTCTTGGCAGTCCAAGTAGTCCCGTGGGATCAATCGGCCCCGCGGGTCCAAGCAGTACCGACTATGCTGGAGACTTTGTCTCGCGCGACAGTCTCAGCTTTTTGCCGACGATGAGCCCCATATCTCCAACGGCAGCTACTGCCTTTCCTGCAGGCCTCGCCGGTCCGGCTTCGGGGTCGTCTGTCCCGCCAGTCTTGGTCACCTCTGCGACCTCGCCCGTGCCGATTGCCAGCGGAGGCACCGCCGCCCCGCCCCTCCGTCTCTCCTCGACACCACCCAAGCTGTCATCCATGTCAAAGTCGCAGTCGTCCCGGGCTCCAACCCGCCGCAAGGTCAGCCTCGACGGAATGGTCGACATCACCGAGGCACCAAGTCCGCGCTCGTCCAAGCTCAACCCTTCGGCCCTGGGCAAGTCAGGCGCACCCAATCCGAAAGAGGTCTTCCAGCATGCCGCTGCACGGGCGTCGACTCGTAAGCGGGTCGTCGAGCACGCCGTCTCCTGCAAGCGGTGCAACCGACCCATCGGCATGCTGTACTTTCGCGGCACTCCAGCCAGCCTCGAGAGCCCCTATGTCGTCGACGCCAAGTGCAGCGACTGCGACACCCGATCGGGCTCACCGGTTGCCGAGATGCCCTTCGACTTTGGCATCGTGCACACCGGAGTCCGCGGTCGCTCGGATTCCTTCGGCGACCCTCCACGTTCTCCCGAACGAGACTCGATCGCTTCGTTCCGTCCATCGTCCTTTGGCGATGGCTTGCCAAACGCATTCATGTCGGGCCTCGGTACCTCTCCGTCTCCGTCGACGAGCTCGTCGTCGCGAAAGCGTGGCCGGGCCAATCCCGAAATCCGCTGCCAAGTCTGCAAGCGAGTCAGCGTCATCGGCGGGGTGCGCCGTCCATTCCGCTCGACCGCGGCCGAAGCCACCAGCGATGCAATCCGGATCGAGGACGGCAGCACCTCCGATCGCGACGAAGGCGGGATCTGGGAAGAGGCCGGATTCGGCGTCGAGGTCGTATGCGAACGCTGCCACGGGCGATACGCCTTCTGCTCCGAGTGTGGTGGCGGTGGCAAGTTCCGCACGGGTAAATGGCGGCCCAAGGAGTTGTTTGATAACGGTCGACGCACTTGTTCGCTGCCCCACGTCCGTATCGGCGACGCCACCATTCAGTACAGGGTCGTTGAGCTGACCCACAAGAACTACCCGCTGTCGCCGGACTCGCCCATTCTTGGTGGCATCAAGGACGTCTTTTTCGACTGCATGATCTCGCTCTACGCAATTCCTTCGATCATGGACGAGGCGGGCGACTATCGAGCCATTCAGGAACGGGTCGAGCACCTCTGGAAGTACACGGTGCACGACATCCTCACCGGCAGCGCCGACCACCCCTTCCTGCCAACGTCGCATAACCGCCTCTATCTGACCATCTCCTGGATCGACAAGCGTCATCGCAACAAGGGCAAGGCGAAAGCCCAGGCGAAGGATGCGCCGATCCCGTGGCTGCAGCGACTTGCGCTCGAGGGCATGGTCTCGTCGACGACGTCCACATCGCCATCGCCCGAGTGCGAGGCCAGCTCAGAGTCCATCACCGACTCAACCTCGTTTGACTTGGACGGCGAGAACGAGGACCGCTGCTTTGTGGGCTTCAGTATCGGCGAATGGGACGTCCGCGGCCACGCCCTCTTTATTATCCAAATGTCGCCCCGAAGCGTGTTCCTGCCGCCGATGGAATCCTACGCCGAGCTGGTCCTGCGTGTTCTCGAGCGCATCCAAGCCGACGCCCGGCGTGAGGGCATGTCCACTGGTCTCGAGCACGTCTGGTGCTGGACGCACCATAGCGGCACTCCGGAGGCCCTGTCCCGGCTCGGCACCGTCCCGGAACGCATGAAGTTTGTCCCCCAGGCCAACTACACCGCGGGCTGGTCGGTCGAGTCCGTGGCGGAGATCTTCACTCGCCAATGGAGCGTACTGCTCACGCCCGGGACCGAGATCTGGGCCAACAGCGTGCGTGATTTCATGAAGGAGCTCCAGAGAAGCCGGAAGGTTTCCAAGCGAACGACGCCGACCAGCTCACCATCGCCGATCTAAGAAGCTGTCGCCGCTTATTTTCGCGGATGTTGTCGTTGTCTGTCGCGCAAAGCCATGGATACAGTCATAATCCACCACGGCCGACCGGATCAGAATTGCGGGCTGGTGCAGTTGGTATATCGCAGAGCGGAGTGCGTTCAACTTTTGTCTGTGGTTCGAGTTCCACTGCTGCGATACAGAAGCGTCTGTCGTAAGGATCGTCCTCAGCATCTTCAATAGTCAAACCGAGGGTGCTTGGCATCCGGCTCATTCACCTGTACATTAGCGAATCATCCGATGGAAATCGCGGCACAATATAGATCGTTCACCAAATGAAACGAGACGCCCTGCGTTTGCTGTCGTTGCTTTTAGACTGGGAATACACATGTCCATCACTCACATCGGTCACCTACACCTGCCCCCCCCCCGACTGAAGCAGGGGAAAGAGACATGCGCGCCGTCTCCATCCATCTGGGACCCTCGGATATGTTTAGAAGAAATCTATTAACAAAGGACGCTGTCTTTCGTATACCGCGCAATCACAATGGAATCATGGATGTGATCCGCTTCTCCTTTGACAGAAGTGTAGTTGTATGTGTCCAGTGCAATCATAGTGATTTGGCATCGTGCCCAAAGCGCACATGGCGCACTGGCCCGAGCTTGGAACCGGAAGGCGGAACAGCAAACTGGAGCGCAAGGCACGACAGGAGACAATACTTTCGCGGTGCCGACGGGGGGGGATGGCTGATTCAGTTGGCGCAATCGACCGCTGTCTGCGTCGAGTTAGATGCCGCGAGGTTGCCGCAGACCGGTCCAGGGACGATTTGCTCGCCGTCGACCTTTGCCGGGGCCTTCACAGTTGCCAGAGGCACCAGCAGGGGACCGCCCGCAGATTGGTCGCTGCCACCGACCAGTTTGCCATCGCCATCGCCATCGCCATCGCCTCCGCAGCTATCGCCATCGTTGTCGTCATCATCTTCATCATCATCCTCATCTTCATCATCATCACAGTCATCCTCAATTTCGCCTCCGGCCGAGCTCGTAAACTTGATGCGACTAAAGTGCCGAGAAAACTTGTCTCCAATCCGAAGGGATCGCTTCGAGCTCAGCTCGCTGGTCCCCACATCCCGATCATCGCCACGCTGCATTTTTGAATGACCCACGTTTTTCGTGGTGTTGGAATCGCCGGGCATCTGCGCTTGAGCGGCCGAGCCGTCGTCCTCGCCGTTCTCGTCCGTGTCGTTGTCGCTTGCATCGTCGTGGACGGGATGATAGGCATCGTCGTCGTAAGGGTGCTCGAGCGTCCATTCGTCCGGTCGATCGTCAAAATCGAGGTTGCAGAGCCCGTCCGAGAAGGAAAACAGCGACTGGGGGCCAAAGTACCCAGAAGTGGCATAGGACTGGCAGCCTCCGAGGGTGTTGTCAAGTTCATCCTTGGCGAGTTCAGAGTACGATCGCTCCACAAACTTGTCCCAGCCCCTGGGTCACCGATGGAAGAATCAACATGCCCCAGTCAGCTGCGGACAATGACTGGCCAGTCTCCCTAATCTGCTGTGTCTCTGCAATGCATGGCTCCGGACGACAGCATGCACATCCCGTGCGCCTGACATCGCGTGCCAATCTCAGAATCGGGCAATCCACTTACTCCAGCTGGATCTTGTTGCCTGTGTGGTCGATGATCCAAATCTCGTCCATCTCGCGGAAAGCAGGATCCAACCGGCGCACATAGTTGTCGTATTTGGAGATATCGAACAGCATGTCGAAGAACAAAGCAGGGTTCTTGGATCGCTTCAGGTCGGAAAGTGTGAAGAAGTTATCGTTCTTGGGTTTGATGAGGTCGATCCTGGAATATGCCGAGCGGTGTGAAAACAGTCAGAATGCGTTGGGAGTGGGAAGAGGATGATGGCTGGCAGCTGGAAAAGGTGACCTACATGCTGCAGATAAAATCTGTAAACTTCCAGGGATCGCTCATCTTGCAACTGATCATGCGCTCGTACTGCTCGTCCCAGAAATGCTTGAGCTCGTAAAAGCTGATAACGCCGTCCGAGTCGGTGTCGAGACACCGGAACCAGTACTCGATCGACTGTGTGCGCTGCTTGTCCTCGCAAGCCAGGATAAACTGCACAAACTCTTTGTAGGTCATAACCTGCGATCGCAGAGCGAGATAGCTCAAGCCAACCGCCGGAAGGCAGTTTTGGCTGTCCTGCGTCGATGCTGATGCCGATGCTGAGCCCGGTGCTGATGCTGATCGGACGCCGCATTCGTTTGGGATGATGCCGCTCGCGATCGGAACCTGCCCGAATGGCTCGACAGATGGAGCATCGCCGCTCGGATGATCAGCCTCCCTCCAGCCCTCCTTGTCGTCGGCCGAAGAAAGCGAGCTCGCCGATGGCGAAAGGGATACCGAACACGAGTCGCCGCGTTGGAGAATGCTGCTATAGACCGAGTCGCACGAGCCGCTCAGTCGGTGCTTGGCCGAGAGCGACGGATGCTCGCCAGCCTCGGGGCTCTCCATGAACCAAGAGCCCTGTGGGCGTAGTCTCCTGGTATCAAGCACCCGTTTCAGAACAGAGGCAGTCATCGAGTAGCTGTCGTACTTGACCAGGTTGCTCAAATCAATCAGCATGTTGTGGTCCGTATCCAGTTCCCAGAACTTGCAGTATATCACATAAAAGTGTTTGTAGGAGAAGACATCGCGAGTCTGCCATCGGACGAGGCACGGCGCCGGACATTGCCGGACATTCTTGTGTTAGTCGTGCAGCTCATGTTGTCTGGAGTGCTGGAGACATGGCCGTGTGCTGTCGCTTGCAAATGCAGAGCGCGATGCTTGACTTACCGTATTGACGTCCTCTTCTCTCTCAAGCGATCGGAGAAGGTCGGTAAATCCGATTTTTCGGAACTCAGGGAGCGTCATCTTTTCGTTCCAGTAGTTTGGCTTTTCGTAAAAGATCCTAGCAATTACAGTTTCGACTGGCCGTTCCGAGCAGCAATGGACACCATTGTGAGTCACAAAGATCAAGGTCAGAAGCAAAAATGCTGGTCGAAGCACAGCCAGTGCTATGAATGGTCATCAAATGGAAGGAAGCCATGGCTTTCATTGTCCCTGTTTGAATGCAACTCGAGGGATCCGTGTACCCACTGTAGCGTGTTTGGAATATGGACATGGTTGACAGAAATGCCAGTGCAAAGTGGTTACAGATCACATCTGATTGGACCAAAACGGCGAAATGTGTGTCAGAGTCCTCGGTCTCTTGGCAAGCAACACGGCAGTGAGCGACATCAACCCTAGGTGTGCTTTGGGATTCTGGATCCAGTCTCACGACAGGGCTGCAACCGGAGCCTACCCTTGATTACAACTTCAAAATCCGACGGCATCAGATGGGTTTGTCCCGGTTGGGTCATGATGGCAAAGACGAGGGCACACTCATCCACAAACTTTGTCGAGAGCTCGGTCCAGATTCTGTGGGACCGTGGAGTCATGAGAACCGACGAGCGTGAGCCCGATCAAGAGCAGTCTCCAAGAGCGACCTCGGTGCGCCTCGGCAGCCCAAAGGCGAGCTTTGATTTTGGGTGCTGCACGCGTCGCTCTGCCAGGTACATCTCGATCTCGATTGTTGGAGCGGGTTCGATTACGACTGCAGCGCCGAGAGGCATAGGAAATGGCACCATCTACGCAGCCTGGGATTGCTGGCATTCACCCACCTCTCAAACTGAGTAAACGACACGGTAGACTCCTCGAGCGGCATCGGGCAGCTCGCTGGGTCCGACATCAGTGTCTTCTTGAACAGCGCTGTGTTGACAAACTTGGGCAGCACACAAGCCTCTGTGACTGCAAAGAATTCGAGCAGAGACAAGCCCGTGCCGCTGGGGCTGCTCTCTGTAACCTGGAATATGACACGCATCGTTTTCTGCGCACAGAGAGGCAGGCGGGCAGGTATCGAGCCCAGGGAGTGAGCCAGCACTGAGTGAGGATTCGGATGGAGAACATAGCCGGACCTTGACGCGCTTTGCTGGCTTGTTTCTGGAGGTGCTCGGAAGTGCACTCACCATCAGTTCCTCCTGCTCCCGGGCAAAGACGGCGGGATCCTTGGGCTTTCCAAAGGGGAAGTAGAACCGAGGAATGTCTTTCATGGCCTCCGACTGTGTGGGCGATGCCAAGTGGAGTATGCACCATGAAGCTGTCAGCGACTGTTTGCTGGACTGGATTGGACGCGATCATCACCGGGTTTAGCACCAAGTTCCTCATCCTCCTCCTCTCAATATCAAGGATATCTACCGTGTTGATGCGACTTTCCGAGGGCAGCTGCCCGTGCTCGGTCAGATCAACACCAGAGTCTTGCTGGTTGACGGCATCGAGTTTTGACGGAAGGATTCGGTTGACACGGCGGCCTGGATTGCGGTACGGTACCGTCGCGGCGATTGCAAGCAGCAAGCGATGGCGTGAGAATCCAACAGGTGGGACTCGCCGATGTTTGCGCGAGCGGGCTGGAGACCGGCAGGACGCGACGGATGCGACTGAGCCCTCATTTCCGGCAACGATCAACAAGTACAGCTGCACGATACGCACCGTGTGGAGGCATGTGCTCGTGCTTCTCGGAGATCGAGTCGATGTACGTTGATCCAGACACAGAGACGGGAATGAGATGCTCGGACTTGGGCGGCGATGACGAGGCTTCAGAGTGCCGCACCGTGTTGGTGATGCCGCATGGCTGGCATGGCTCGATAGGGAGAGCGCCGTCGCCTATCGAGAGGCCGACGACCGGGTGTTGGCTGGCGGATTGCTTGCCGGACAGCGCCGAGCAGTCCAGCCGCTCCAACGAGCCAGGAGCTTCGGAGAGATATTGGACAAAGAGGCCATCCAAGGCACGGTACTTGATCACTTCGACCTCGTGCTCCAAGGAGCCGCTTCTGGAACGAGCGAATTCACCCATGGCGAGAAGGACCGGGACAGCGTTGATCAGGCAGGATGGTGGGAGGCGGGCGGCTGGGGCGAAGAAGGCGATGTGGGGCTCCGCGGCCTTGTACGGACAAGCGGCGGATGGTGGATGCGGAATGAAGTCGCGAAAGAACCAGTTTCAGACGGAGGACGGGTTTATGTGGTGGGTATGATTGACGCTGAGCGGGCGGATCGGCGCTCCTGAGGGGACTATTGTGTGGCCCGTGCGAGGAGCCGATGTCATCCGAATCAAGCGCCGGGCGATCCAGCGGCCGCACTGAGGGACCAACAAGACTTGCAGCAAACTGATTTTGAAACGGGACACCTTCACGCACGGATGCCCTGCGTGGGATGCGTGGGCTGCGTGAATCGAGCGACTTTGATCGGTACCCAAACCAGCGATATTGCTCTTTGCCCTGCGTCTTCCTCTCTCATCCCAGGCGTCTTCTCCAGCCCCGGGCTGGAACCGCCAGATACCCAGGCAGACCCTGGCCCATGCGGACACCTGCAGCGCTCTCCCGGCGGAGCTTCTGGACAGGCCGCAGTGGATATGGCCCGCTGTCCGGAATACAAGCGGCGGCGCCGACGGGACGAATCGGCGGTCTCCTGAGCCCCGCGGACGAACAAGGGTGCCTTGTCCGGGAGGCGTGCCAGGGGGGATGACGAAATGCCTCGCTGGGGTGGGGAGGTGCTTGAGTTCCCCGACACTTTTGCAGCGGATGTATTAGATTCAATAAACCCAACGATCTCATGGCGGGGGCGTGGATGCAGACGACGAAGGCACATGGCGAGACGGTGGTATTTCGGCGAGTCGACCCACAAAGGCTCGGCTGCGTCCGCCCCGCCCGCTGATGTCGACCATCAAACGTCACCCTGCCATCCACAATCACCACCAAGCCCGGAGATCTTCACGACGGCTTCACGGCAAGCCCCAAGGACGACCTTCATCGCACTCCTCTGGTGCAGCCCGGTCATATGCCGGCCCACTGAAGCCGCACGGCCATTGTTCATGAGAAGCGGCTCGACTCAACGCAGTCTACACCGAGTCTATGGCCGAGTTGATTGAAGCGCTACGGAGCAAGCTCCTACTCTACTTTGAGGATAAGGAAGTACGTTGCAGCCATGCTCGATCGCTGATGCTTCGCCCGACGGGAGCTCGCCCAACCAAAACCCAGTGGTACTGACATCAGGCCGACCCTTTGGCGCAGACCGAGCAAGCATGGAGCGCCTACATCCGAAATAGCGCCAGGCGATTCCAGATCAACTTCAACATCTGCGCACTCTATCTGGTTGGAATATCCATCAATTCCATCACGGGCGGATATATAAATGTCTCTGGTGCGTGCCCGCGCTGCAATGCATAACACCCTTCTCCATAATTCTTACCCGACAACCATAATCATGCCACCACCAAGACCTACCCGGAGTCGCCGTCACCGGCCTTATGTTCCTCCTTATGGTCCTGATGCTGTCTTTCAAGCACCTGCGGTCGTGCATGATGTATGCGCAAGATTTGATGGTCGCGGCCACGGTGTCGACGTGGGTGTGCTTGGTCCTCGGTGGAATTCAAGCTTGCGGCTCGGATTGGATACTATGGGAAACGGCCGACAATTCTGCGGTCGTCTTTGCCCTCACGGCCCTGGTCAAACTGCCAAAGTCGGTCATTCTCGCCCAGTGTCTCATTTTCATTGTTTTGAGTGGCATAATCTGGTCAGTCACCGAGGGTGAGCAGTATCAAGGCGTCGTTGGGTTCGAGATCACCTTTGGATACATCAAGATCATGGCTACGGGGCTCTTTGCCTCGGTCGTGGATGTAAGATCATATGCACGCGCGCATCACGTCCGGCCGCTCGGTGCTTGTGTTGGATTGGCTCTCGTCCGGTGGCCGTACTCATCGCATTTCCTTCGATCCCATCATCGACCGCCACCCACTCGGGCAGGACGCCATCAGTCGCGAGATGTTTGCTCTGGCCTGCACCCTCAACCGATCGCCGGACCATGTGGACCTCCACCTGCTTGGCGATGTTCGTCGCTACTTTTCAGAAGTCCGGATGGACACGGGCGAATTCATCTTCTCGTTCTATCGTCCCTTTGCTGCAATCTACAAGGAGCCCAGTCGCAAGAAATGCAGTCTCCGCACTTGGTGGCATGACTGGATCGACCTGCGCTTCACCAACAAGGATTTGGAAGCAGAGTATCGAATGTACGTCCGCGATTGACCGACCGATGATCTGTTGCGGCTGAGGCTATGTCCGCCAATTTCGCAGCACAATTCCGGATCTTGTCAGTCAAAGCGCCCCGACAACCGCCATGCTCAGCTCCGTGTTTGAGATGGAGCGGTCAATAGCACCAAGTGCTCGGACCCATGGAACGATGGCTCTAACGCTGGCATTCCGACCGTAGAGCACGGAACCCGAAAGCCATTCAACAGCACCTCATCACCACAGTCATCAATGTCGCCAGTGCTGTTGTACCGCTGTGCCTCAGCATCCTTGACCAGGCCTTCAATGCCGATGCAACGACCATGTGGACGGCACCGATGCAGCTCGTATATTTCCCCGTGGTTTTGACCATACCAACTCTGCTGCTCGTTCTGAGGTCTGTCCGGTCGTCCGCAATGGCGGTCCAGATGATAATCCTCTTTACATCTGTGGCCAACATTGTGGGCTGGACCCTCAGCCACTTTGCCTATATCCTGACGGACAATGCAGATGGACCAGTGTCGATCCCGTTCCACAAGAGTCTTGCGGCTGTTGCGGTCTCGATCATCTCGGCATCGGCGCAGTCCGGGCTATTGTCAATGTTCTATATCCCAATCCTGTTACTTCTCACGGTCCTGAATGCGGGATCTATACTGTTGCTGAGCGATGATCAGTTCACCTACGAGATCACGAGCATTCCAGAGGTGTGCATGGCAGCGTACTTTATGTGCATCAATAGCGAATATGAGTCGCGAAGGTGGTTTCTGATCAAGAAGCTCGAGAAGCATGACAATCCAAAGACATCTCCGACTGCATCGCGCCCATCACCCGTGCAAATCGAACGATCGGCCGTGAACACAGGCGATCCCAACAAATCCATGTGCTGACAGGCAGGCACACAGACCTCACAACATGAGAGGAAGCACAGCGCTCTCGGTTTCGATTGGGACCGTTTTCGGATAAGAATACACACATGCATCATCATAATGGTATCCACTGTGGAATCAAGAAAGAGCCATCCACCCACCGACTCGTTCGCTCCGACAGTCGTGATACCAAGAGCCCACATGTTGTTCGAAGGTGTCCAAATGGTCGACAGCATGCACTAACCACTTGCATCGCGACGTCGATGGCTTGAGGAACGCAGCATTGAGGTATCGGTCGATTGGTGCTCACGGGGATTGACTAGGTGCATTCAAGGGCGCAGCTCCCAAAGCCCACAGCGAAGCCTCATTTGTCATCCAAGACGGAAAGCAATCACACGGCTGAGATCGTGCGGCCGACGGATCATCTAGCCTCATTGCTTCAATGACAGCGGATGCCGTTGTGCCTCTGTAGCAGTACGGATGCACGGAACAGCGGGACTCAACCTCGCCGACCCAGCCAAACAGGGTGCGGGGACATGCGAGTCCAGTCACAGCAACGAAATAACCGATACAGCAGAGTTGCCTGAGAGCGGTGTATTTTGATGATAACATGCCGGGAAGAGGAGATAGTGCTTTCGGCCGTTGTCAGTAGCGTCCTTGCTGCACGAGTAGTCTAGTAGATTGCAGATATTCAATGTCGAGTACTCAAACCTTGCTCGCATCGGTCGAAAGACGGCGTTCCCCGTGATACGGCTGGGAGTGCAAGGTGTCCCCGGTCTCGGAGGGTCGCATGCTTGGCGATTTGTGGATCGTGCCTTGGCGGGTTATCTCTGGCGTAACGACGTCGATGGAGACCCGGCCCTTCATCACATCCGTCAAGAACTTGTTGGTGACGCAGAAAAAGTAAATGTCCATGATCCAGGCCCAGTTCATCCATACACTGCCGATGGCGACTTGGTCGGGGCGGACGAACAAGAAGACGTTGCTGGACACGTAACTTGCGATCGCAACGAACAGGAGACAGTTCACCAGGCGTTTGCGTTTGGCATAGGGAACGAGCCGATGCTTCATGCTGCCGATGTTGATCATCCGGATCATGACAATATGCATGGTGGCCATATTGACGACAAGGAGAATGTTGGCGTAGTTGTAGACGGTGCTGACCATGTTTGGATTCAATGGATAGAAGAGAGATGCGATTTGGATTACGTCCGAGGAGCAATAAGCCAGCGGGATCACCCCAAAGAGGTATGCCGCCGTCTTGAGCCTGTTGTCGACCACAAGAGCCTGGAGGCGAGCCAGAGTGGCCCACCCGGCGCAAGCGCTTCCGACGCTGTCGCCGAGGTAGAGGGCCACAGACCAGATGTTGTAGCAGAGCGCGTCGCTCGCACAGTAGTCGTTGGCGCTGATGATGGTTGCCAGGATGCACAGCGAGGCACCAAAGACTGCAAGAACGACGAGGAGCGGGATGTTCAGCTTGTGTTCGCCTGGGTTGTGTCTTTCGGTGGCTTTGCGGATGGCTGCGGGCAAGTCGCACTGGGTCAAGGCCATGCCGGAGGTGATGACGGTAAAATACGACAAGAAGGCGACGACCAAGTCGGAAATCTCCGACTGAGAGGACAGGCTCAGCACCGCCGTGCAATTGGAGGCATTCAGCGCCATGTTTGCGAATGGCTTTCTTGACAGGGCTGGGTGGCGGCGCGGTCGTGAAGCGGGCTCGGAATTTGCGACGATGGAACAAGCACCGGTCGATGGTGGCCTTCAAAGCGCCCTCACGACCGCGAAGCGCTCTCGCCATCCTTGGTGATGGAGAACAATGGAGGAACGTCAACGTTCGCTGTGAGGGCCACGCATGATCCAGATGCGGTTGGCGGAGATGGTGACGTTGCCACGGATCGCCGTCGACTGGAGCCCGGTCATCCCGAGAGGCATGCCGGATTCGCCGTGTGGCCAAGGCCCAGCCGACAGATGTGCAGTTGTGATTGAGATCACGGATCGCATTTGAATCCCCAGAGCCTGCCATGCATCGTGATTAGGGCGATGGCGTTTCTCTGGCCCTGACCCCGCTGATGCCTTCGCCTCTTGGCAACGACAGACGCTCGCATTGGCAAACACAGGCAAGCACAGGGGATATATCCATCGGCTGGGTCCTGTCGACATTGGTTTCCATGGAGACGCGGGCTGAGTCCCTTGGAGATCCAGACTGGCAGGGGGGGCCTTGTTGCCACAGCCAGCGCAGTCCCGAAGCGGCAGGCCGTCTTGGCGCATGTCACGTGCGGGCGATGCACTCTGTGTTGCCACACAAGTGGCAGCTTGCAACAACGCACACAGTGGGGGGCGCGACTCGCTCCGTTGTCACAATGGCGGACCGACCCAACGGCCCCGATCGCGGTTGACTCCAGTATCAGCGAATGATGCCGATGCCGATGCTGATATGGTGCTGATCTGATGCTGATATGATGCTGGTGGAAGTGCCAACGCTGACAGCGTCGCAAGTGCAGCCCTGGATTCCACTTGCCCCCCCATTGTCTCTGTGCCTGCCCGACCCGGCGCGCCCAATCGCTCCTCCGCGTCCCACACACACACACTCGCTCGTCGTGCACGCCTTCCAAAGCCGGGGCTCGCCGCGGCAGCCCGATGTACCCGACCCTGTTTCGTCTTCGCCCCAAGCCGCCGCCGCTTTTTCGCCCCGTCGTCTCCTCCAGGATCCAAACCCCTCCTCCCGGGCACCAAAGTACTGACTGTGTTGCCAGCCTGTCTCGCTCTGCCCTGCCTCTGCTCGGCCTCTGCAGCATCCTTGATCCCGCTGTCCGCCGTGACGGCTCGGTGGTAATCCTCTGACAGCGCCCTTCTCCTTCCCCCTTGGCGTCCTCGAGCAGGATGTCCATCCAGCAGTTTGGGAGAAAGTTCCCAATCCTGCTCAAGACACCCTCTCCTCGCGGCCAGGTCGAGCTGCTGGAAACCATCGGAAAGGGCAACTACGGATATGTCTACAAGGGCAAGCTCACCCAGACCAACGAAATCACCGCCGTCAAGGTCGTGCTGCTGAAGGAGGATGAGCTCAAGGAGACGCTCCTGGAGATGGAGATCCTCAAGGCGTGCTCGCATCCCAACATCACTCGCTTCATGGGCTGCTTCCTCAAGGGCCTGGATCTCTGGGTAAGCGCCAGTCTCCAAAAGGCCCCGGTTGCCTCTGTCGGCGATCGCCGTGTCCCTGTCGCCGCCCGGTTTCCAGGTGCTCTCGTCGCTACCCCGGCTGCAGTGCCTTTGTCGCTTGCGCACAACCAAGCCTCCTTGGCTGCCGGCTCGGCTTGAGCTCTCCATGCTCAAAGCGCTGCTTGCCTCCTCCACCGGCCAGATCTGCATGGAGTTCTGTGACGGCGGTGCCCTCGACTCTGTCTACCGCAACATCAAGAAGCCCCTTACCGAGGACCAGATCGGATCGATTATGTACGAGTCCGTCATGGTGAGTCCCTCTCGTATCCGTTTCGTCTCGCTGGGCTCGAATCTCAGCACTGGAGAATGCCAGTTGGTGTGCCGCTCGGCTGGCCTGCGTATCACTCGACACAAATTAGTCGTTGAGGATTCCCGCCAATGTCGCCAGCTCTCGGCAGCGACTCGCCCTTGAACAGGTTCCGGGAGCGGGCAGCTGCCGAATGCATCTGCACCGCCCTGCTGCTGAGTTTCTTTCTGCTTTCATTTGCCAGGGTCTCCACTACCTCCACACCGAAGTGGCACTCATCCATCGTGACATCAAGGCCGGCAACCTCTTGCTTACCGAGCGCGGCGAGCTCAAACTGGGTATGTTGCCGAGTCGCTGCCTTGACCCGGCACTGGCATCGCTTGTTTGGTTCCTTCTTCTGCCGCCGGCGTAGATCCAGTATCAGCGTCGACCCTGCTGACCCGGGCGCAGCTCGTAGTGTGTCCAGCGTTCTAACATTGGCCTCCATTCTCCACACCCGTTCATGAAACAGCCGATTTCGGTGTCTCGGCCAAGCTCAACGGCGTCGGTGGAAAGGCCCAGACTTTCATTGGTACCCCGTATGTACACGCATCCGCCGCCAGTCGTCTGCCCACGGTGGCCGGACCTGTCCTCGTTTCAATCCGAGCTTTTGCGCACGCCCCCCCCCTTTCCTACCCTTCCAAGTGTCTGTTACGCGGCCACTGGCTTGATTCCTCACTCCTCATTGCCCACCCGCCAAAATCCGCCACCGCCTCACACGCCCGATGCCTGGCTGTATGCGTGCTCATGCTCGTGTATTTTGCGTAACCGAACAACCCTCGTTCGTATCCAGATACTGGATGGCCCCAGAGGTCATCATGACCGAGCCCGATGGACCCCATGGCGGCAATGTTTGGTATGACTGCAAAGCCGACATTTGGTCAATCGGCATCACCGCCATCGAGATTGCCGACAAGAACCCTCCCCTGTCCGATATCCACCCCATGCGTGCCCTCCACATGATCCCGAACTCGGAGCTTGGCCTTGCCAAGCCAAAGAACTGGTCAAAATCCTTTGTGGATTTTATCGCCACCTGTCTCGTCAAGAACCCGAACAAGCGTGTTTCGGCCGAGCAGCTTCTGCAGCACCCCTTCCTTCAGCGTGCGGCCACTCTCCCGCGCCAAAAGATCATGGCAGAGCTCGTCCATAAAGCCAAGGTTGCCAAGGAGCGCAAGAAGGCCGGTTACCAGGTTGAAGATGACGACGAGGAGGAAGAGACCAAGGACGACCCCACCAAGGTGGCGATAGAGACCATGAAGCAAGCCACGCAGATTGCCCAGCAGTTCGTTGCGGTGAGTAGAGCCGGTGCCCACGACAGAAAGTGTATCTGTCTAGTATTGCCATGGCATCAGAATCAGAATCAGAATCAGAATCAGAATCAGAATCAGAATCAGAATCAGAATCAGGATCGAGATCACCGCGGGGCCTTTCTTCCAGCCGCCATTTGCGCCATCTAATCGCTCTGTCTGATTGCCCTCGTTTGATTTGATCCCAACGCAGACTCCGTCCAACGTTAGCGGCGACTCGTCCAACAGCGGTGCTGCTATCCCTGTCATTCCCGGTGCGGCTCTACCGCCTGTGGCGAGCGAAACCTTCCCTGTCTTCACCGACCACTCCGACCCCGCCAGCCGTGTCATCAACCCCGCTCTTATCGGTGGCGGTCTCTTAAAGTTCGATGTCCACACCGCCGACATTATCGAGCAGCGCTATCTGCTCCTCGGTACCGATCGCGGCCTGTACTTTGTCGACACGTCGCTCGAGCGCCAGGAGGTGGTCCCGCTGATTCGCAACATCCGCTTCAAGCAGATCGAGGTCCTCGAGGACTTTGGCGTAATCCTCGCTCTCTCGGGCAAGCACGACCACATCCGCCAGTACAAGCTCAAGTCGATCCTCAACCTGATCAAGTACATCCAGGGCGACAAGTCCGGCATTTCGGGATCCAAATCGGCTCAGAACTTCAAAGACCCCGAGGATGATATGTACCGCGACCTCCACAAGGAAGCCGTCGAGGACGAGGCCTCTATTGTTGCCCGATGGATCAACGACTACATCAAGATTGTCGGCACGAAGGACTCCAAGTCCTTCATCATCCAGCGCACCGAAGCCTCGTGCTACATGGGCGTGCTCTTCCGCCAGGACATTATCCTGTTCGAGTGGGCCAAGGAGCCGTATCTCAAGTTCATGAAGCTCAAGGCCTTCTGGCTGCCCGAGACCCCAAAGTTCATGCAGCTGCTGCACGATGGCTTGGTCGTGCGCGACATTTACCTGGGCTACTCGAACGAAGCCAACCTCGTCAACGTCGACGACTCGCGCGTCCGTGAGATTGATGTGCACCGCGACTTTTTAACCCGCTCCTCGAGCAAGGCCCGCTGGCAGACCTTTGTGCAGATCCCCTTCTCTGAATCCAAGCGTGCTCAGCTGGCCCAGTCGGCCAGGGTCGGCACCGTCAACCGCAAGCTCGTCGCCATCAGCGGTGGCACCCTCGGCCGCAAGGGCTTCGAGATGGATCGTTTCTTCCTCGGCACCTTCTCGCGCCTGACAAAGGTCGTGGACATTCTCGGCAAGCCCATGCAAGGCTCCGGCGTTGGCGGCTGGAGGGACGGCGTCAACTGGGCCGAGCCCCCTAACCAGCTTATTCTTCGCCCGGTCGACTATGTGTACTCTACCGGCCAAAACACCGTCGAGGTGGCCGACTGGAAGAGCGCCAAGATTGTCCAGACCCTTCACGTTGAGGACCAGTCTACCAGCCTCCGCGTCCTTACGTCGCGCAACCAGCAGTTGTTCATCATTGCCGAGCGCAAGAAGAAGGGCGTGTGTCAGATCTACCATCTCAAGGAAAAGCCCAAGGAACCCGAGCCAATCCCGGCCGGCGCAGAGCCCAGAGTCAGCGAAGACGGCGCCGAGCGTGCCCCCGAGAGACGCCACAGCCTTCATCGCTCTGCCTTGCCTAATCTCGGTGCATTAAACCTCAACGGTGCACTTGCGCCGGGCGGCCAACCCCAGGGCCAACCCCAGGGCCAGCCTCAGCAATACTATCAGCAGCCGCAGCAACAGTATCAGCAGCAACCGCAGCAACAGCAGTACTATCAGCAACAACAGCAACAGCAGCAGCAGCAATACTACCAGCAACAGCAACAGCAGCAGCAGTACTATCAGCAGCAGCAATACCAGCAGCAGCAGCAACAACAACAACAGCAGAACCCACCCTCCGCTCCGACTTCCGAGTCTGCTCAGGGTCCGCTTCAGCAGCCTGTGCCTCCGCCCAGACAGGTTGGCTTGATTCAGAGTCGCTCTGGCTCGCTCCCGGGTACCCCGACGGGTCTCTCTCCCGCTGCACAGTCGCCTCGTCCTCAGGGATACGCAAGCCCTCCTGATCCACGCTTCCAGCAGCAGCAAGGAGTCGGACACCCCCAGATGAGTCCGCAAGGCTCTCAGGGTCATCTGGCGCAATACACCAACGATCCGCGATACGCACAGCAGGCTGGATACGCTGGTCCGCCTGGCCAGTACGATCCTCGCTACGGCCCGCCCCCGAACCAGCAACAGCAGCCCTACGATCCTCGATACTCTGGCCACCCACAGCAAGGCGGCTACAATGCTCCGCGCTACTACAACCAGCATGGCGCCCCAGCCGGCCCAGGGTCGGCTCCGGGTTCGGCTCCTGGCTCGGCCCCTGGCTCGCCAAGAATGAACCCACACAACGGCGCCCCTGTCGATGCCAACGGCCGGCCCTATTACGCCGATCCAAGGGCCCAGGGCCAGTACCAGCCGCAGCGACCCGGAAGCGACACCCAGTACCGCTAAGTACCGAGGCTATGCTGCACAATCAGCCGCCACCGCCTCGTCCAGCGTGTGATGGCATCCCAACGCCGACCCCCCAAGTACGACACCCCCTCCCCTTTCATTATTACCAATGTTACGCCGATTATTATTGCGTTTTCGGCCGCGACCGAACCTGGCCGATTGCAACTCTGATGAGAATGGCCACAGGCGCCAGCTCCAGTCGTTGGCGGCTCGCAAAGCTGCATTTTGGCCTGGCATGTTCATGGCGCCTGGTTGGTGTGTTGCGGTGCTTGATTCCTGTGACGGGCTTTCAGCGAAACTCTTGATGTGATGCTCCGAGTTTGTGGTTGACGCTTCTCATCTTTCTCCACCGCTCGGCAGCCTCGCTTCTCATCCTCCTGCATTGCTTCGGTCAGGCCCAACTCTTGATCCTCAACCTTGTCCTCCTCGATTCAAGTCTCTCCCCTGTCGCTCCTGGCAGCGGTCCTTCCTTCTGTGAGACCATGTCTCAGACTTCATGATTGTGCCCACCTCCTTTTTATTTCTTTGCTGCCTGTCTGTTTGTATCTTGTATCTCGCATACTCGTATCCATCCGCAGCTGCCTTCTGCCTGCAGCGTCCACAAAACGAAACGACACAGCCTGTTTTGAGGGCATTGGCCACCTTTATTGCTGGGCCCTGAATACACGCATGCTCACGTTCGACATCGTCCCGTTCGACAACGACCATTCGCAGAAGGACATGCTGGATGCAGAAGAAGGACTGACTTGCAGCGAGGCCGCCGGCGGTTGCCGCTGTCGGTTGCCACTGTCGGTTGCCGATTGTTGGCTGCTGGGCGACTCTTTCTCCAAGCGGCAGCCCACCAACATCCGTTTGCTGCACCGCTCCTGCTCCCAGCGCACATCGGCTCCCGCCATGCCGCCCGAGCCAACGAAACCATGCAACAGTCGGGGGGGGGGAGAGTGAGAGAGTGAGAGGCAGCCGCCTCCAGGCAGCATTCTCGAACAACAGAGACCGGGACTGTGTCCAGGACACTCAGGGCCCTCTGCGCCAGCCCCCGCCTGCTCACGGCCGACCCTCCCCCTTTCTTCCGCCCCTCGTCCACCGAGCTGTCCCCTGTATCTGTTCGGGTCTGCCCTCAGCCCCGTCGTCGTCGGTCGCTCCCCTCCAAGCCCAACGACATGGCCAAGAAAACCCGTCGAGCCTCTGAAAGATCCGCCCACCCAAGCGCCGGCAGGATCTCCCACAAATCGACAAAGGCCGCTACCCGCACGGCCAGACGTCCTGCTGCCACCTCCAGCGTCGCTACTGCTGCTGCTGCTGCCGCGGCCGCTTCGGATCAGCAGCCGAGCACCTTCTATGAGAGCAGCCCGGCCAACCACTACCGAACGCCTCAACAAACCAAGATCCTCGAGAAGGTCTTTGCTCGCACCAAGGGTATCTGTCCGCACGGCGATACTCTGGAGCAGCTCGCCTCGATCTTGGAGGTAGCCATCGGGGCTGCGGTGCAACACGGGCATCGTCACCATGCAGTCCACATGCCTCTTCCCTGTCTGCGTTCGCCTCCCTGAGTCTCGATCCCGACGCAGATCGGCTGCCCCCCCCCCAGAGGAAGACCATCCGGACTCGCCCCCTTTCCTTTATTTTTTTGCTCTGGCTGTGCGGATAGCGGGAAGAGTCAGCATCTGGCTGATCGGTGGCCTGGGCTCACCACATTTTCCCACTCTTCTCTCTCTCTCTCGCTCTCTCTGCTCTCTTTTGGTGCCCTCGTCTGCTTCCCACAGCTAAGACCCGCGGATATCAAAGCCTGGTTCAAACAGGCCGAGAAGGACTCTGGCAAGCATAGCAAACCAAGGCTCCCTCGAAAACCCTCGACTCGATCGGCAATGAACCAAAGGCAGAGCCCGCATACGCCCCTCGTCCCGCCGGACCCAACCGATGCTACTACGCTCGATCCCGCATCCCCGCTTTCGACCATTTCGGAGACTTCTGCAGGCGGATATACAGACGAACCGATCGCGCGTGCATCGTCGGCTCTCGACTCGGGCACGCGGCTGCCTCCGTCGCTGACTCCGTCTCCCACCAGCAAACGCCCGTCATCGTCCAGAAAGCCGGGTGCCGGCCGCGCCGATACCGCCTACAGTCCCGAGCCGGCTCCCAAGAAGCGCCGTGTATCGTCGCCGTTGCCGTTGCCGTTGCCGTTGCCGCTGACTTTGGAGCCCTCGAGCATTCAAAACGACTCGTCGGAGCATCAGGCAGCGACCGCCCCTCGCCGCTCGTCTCGTCTGCGGCAGCCTTCTCAACCAGCGCATCCGCTACCATCCGGACAGAAGGATGCTGCTGCTCTTTCGTCCCGATCTACCCGAAGCAGTGCTGCGAAGCAGAGCTTGGTGGCCGCCGCCGCTGCTGCTGCTGCATCTCCAAGAAGAACCAGCAGCCGATCGCTGACCCCAACCCTGGCAGCCGAAGCACGCCTGTCGACACTCCAAAATCTTACTCACGCCAGTGCCCTCTTGAGCAGTTACTACGAGCTGTTCCGCGGCATGAGGTCTGGCCCAACCGAGCGACGGTGGACACACCACGATATCTCCGTCGATGCCGGGAGCAGATCGCAAGCCCCCATGTCGTCAGAGAGCAGGATTTCGACGGACGTGTCCGAGTCGACCCCAGCCGACGCATCGACGACCGAGATTGGCCTCCAGCCGGGATCGCAGAGCCTCTCCGATGCTGGATCCCAGCCGCAATGTGAAGGCTTTGCAGGGCCGCCAGAGCACACCAAAAACATATTCTCGTTCGGCATGAGCCACCAGCCCCTCAAGGCTTCGGAATCGGTCGTAGCCCCGAAACAGCGCGGCAGCAGCATCGATCTGTCACAACACGGAGCGAGCGACCAAGACGACGATCTATTGGAGACTCTGTTTGCCTCGATCCGGAGTCGGATGCGCGCGAAGGATGAGAAGCTGCACGCACAAGAGAGTGCGTGCTCGGAGCTCGCCGACGAGTTGGCCAAGCTTCGGTCCGAGCTGACCCAATGCCGGAGACAGCTGTACCAAGCCTCGGACAGCAACCATGCGCTGCAGATCGTTGTTTCCGAGAAGGATAAGACCATCAGCCAGCTTGTCGAAGAGAATCATATGCTCAAGTCCCAGACGGCTGCGCTTCCTGAGCAGCCGGTCCAGAACGCCCCGAGCGGAAACACCAGTGCCGAGACCATCGCGGCCTATGCACACGATACTCGGCCTTCCAAGATCCTGGTGGATCGAAATGCTGCTCCTGACAAGCCACACGGAAGCATCCACCGCCCATTCTTCGAAAAGAGCCGAGAGCACATTCCAGAGACCAGCTGGGGCGAGCTTCGTGACTCGACTGAGTTCCCGCGGTCTCTCAGTGCATCGTCGGTAGGATCGCCCCTGCACAATGCTTTGCCGCCCTCACGATCAGAATGGCGATCGAGATACTCGGAAGAGTCGCCCATCGAAGAGCTCAGGGGATACGGGTATCCATTCAAGCGCGGCGAGCTGCCTGCAGGTATACCGTCGGCTCAATACGCTGGGGCATCCGTCCCGAGAATGCACGGCCACGGCCACGGCCACAGTATATCTGAGAGTAGCTTCCAAGACACCGATCGCCGTGGCCAGGCACCTGCTACCCGTCTGCCCCCAAGAACTCAGTAGTTCGCGCTCACTTTGCGGCTGCAGCAAGACATCTCAATCCAACCATCGCCCAGGAGGCTCTCCGACAGAGCCTTGAGCGCACGCTGCCGCCGCTGGCCCAGCAAATTTTTGTTCAAAACCAAGCGCTCTCGATGCGCGCCCCACTCACAACCTCCTTTGAAGCTGCCCCAGTCTCACATCGCGCATATTACTCAACGACACAACCACACGTGCATACTCTTGACCTTCATCTCGCCGCCCGAGAAGCAAGAGTCTTTCAGTGGCCACCATGTGCACAGACATGGCGGCCACTTGAGCCGGACGGTGCTGATCTTCTGCAGCAGAACTGCGATTGTCTGGCAAAGCCACGGATGCAGTCCATTCCTGCAACCAACACACAAAACCGAATCAAAAATAAAGATAGCCAGATAATATATTCACGGAGCTGGTTGCATTGGCTCATGGGCGCAGTGAAGCTCTTCTTCGATCGTGCCATCGGGCAGCTGCACCTCCGGTTCACTGCTTCGTGCCTCTGGCGGCCGCACCGAGGCTCTCTCAAGGTTACCGCGACGGCATCCCGGCTGGCGGTGACGCCGCTGAACCAGCTCCCTCGGAGCCGCTGCTCGTGGGCCTCTTTCGGCTCGCCGATGCCTTTGCAGAGTGAGAGCTTGGGCGGGGATGGAGAGGAGTATCAATGGCGATGCTCGCACAGATGTCGACGAATGTGGGCGGGCGCGTCCGCTTCTCGCAGAGTAGTTTGGTGAGCTGGTGCGGGGATGTTGGAGCGACGATCTTCTTCCCCAGCAGGACGCCGTTCGACCGGTACTTTGCAAACCTGGCGTTTCGCGTCCGAAATTCAAAAATCTCTCTTTCTGAGACGAGCCGGCTTCGAGGATCCAGCAGGTTTGGCTCGGATCTGAGTAGCCCGGGAGGGTCCGGCGGGGGTGGATTGGGCCCACGGATCTTGCTCGGATTTCGAGAGACAAAGTACTCGGCGGGCTTGGTGATCGACAGCCCGAAGCGGTCGTTGATGGACTCGATGTTAAGCTTTATGGTACTTGCGCTCCTTGCCGACGGCTGCCGCCTGAGCCCTGGTGGGTAATACGACGAAGGACCTGGGTCGTCGTCTTCGGCTACCATGGCATCGTTGAGATGTAAGGACCGAAAGACCTTCAAGAAGGTCTCGCTCCTCGCGTCGCTGTATGTCTCTCGGGCGTCGTCATCCCGAGCCAGTTTGGATGTGAAGTGGCCGAGCTCGCGGTACGGCTTTGGCAGCGACATGACCCGGGTTGCGCCGTCCATGCCGGTGAGTTTGCGATTCGTGATGTTGCTCAGCGACTTTGATCGATACAGGTTTGACCTACGCTGCTCTTGGGCGCTCACGTTGAGACTCTGCTGCATCTGCCGGGCCTTCCACTCCTGGTGCTTGCGATTGATTTCCTCCTCCTTCTCGCGCTTCTTGAGGAGATACTCTCGGCGCACCTTTGTCGAGTTGGTCTCGGCAAACAGGTTGGCGGCCTCGGCAACGCACTGGAGATACTGGGTCAGTTTGGTCACATCGGTCGGTGGAAAGATGCGCCAGTAGTCGCCCAGGTTCTGGTCTTCGTAGTCGCTTAGCCGATCCAGCAAATGCGACGGGTACATCCGGTAATACGACTCGAGGAGCTCCTTGGCGGCATCCGAAAGAGTGCTGCTGTCGGAATGGGAGCGTATCGATCCGGATGCGCTGCTGGGAGAAGAGGAGCGGGATCCGGGGGAGGATACCCTCGTTTCTGCACGAGCAACACAATCATTGAGCTCGTCAGTGGCAATCGATGGTCGTCACTTTTGAACCACGACAGGCGAACGATGCGCTCTGTCGACATCACTGCTTTGTTGTTTGTGCGAAACCCTCCAGACAGCAGAGTCACTTACGTGTGCCTTCTGGGGTATCGACGAGACCAGTCTCTGTGTCCTCTTCTGCCACCGATGGCTTGGTCCTTGCCAGCTCCTCCAGCGACATGGCCGCCTGGCTTTCGGTCAAACCCGCTGATACCGCTGTCGCTGACCCTTGCAGACCGGCAGACCGAGTCTTCTCTCCCGGGACAGCCGATACGGTGGCCCCCAGCAGCCGCTCCTTTTGCCGCTCCTTCTGCTCCCGGTGGAACTTGCGCTCGACCTCTGCATTAAGATTCAGTAGCTTGAAGGCCCCAAGGATGACGCCCTCCTTGATCTCGGCATCCAGGGGGCTGTCGCAGGTGAAGCTGGGCGAGTGGTTCACCTCAAGCAGCCAGGCCTTGAGCTGCCGATCCAGCAGGATATCGAACCCAAGGATCTCAAAGCACTGGCTTCCCATATCCGAGGCGCTCGCCTGGAAACTGTCCCTGGTCTTTTTCGGAAAGCAGGCACGGAGAGATCGGCTCAGCTGCGGCTGGACCGTCAGGATGGTCTTGATGACAACGTCGCCGATGCGTTTCCAGAGCAGATCGACGGGGACGCCTCGGCTCTGGGCGATCCGCTCCAGAACAGCCCGGGCGCTGCGTTTGCTGCCCTTGTCCCGGTCCTCGGTCCTCTGGAACTTGTCCGAGTGTTTGTTGATGGCGTAGTTGGTGAGATGCATGCAGACATCGGCCAGGTTGTCCTGTCGTGGCGGGACGTACTTTTCGGTCGCAAACCTGGCCAGGCCATCCTTGAACATGAACACCCGCAGCGGATCGGCCGAGGTGACGAGGGCATAGACCCGCAAGTCAAACTTGAAGCCGTCCATAAGATAGGGTCGGTTGAGATAGGCCTGCACGATGATGTTGTTGTGTCCTTGAACAACGTGCTGGCTGCCCATGACGCTGGAGATCTCCTTGGGGCTGTTGAACAGGAAGATCCCCTTGCCCTGGCAGCCGTGGTCGGGCTTGGCGATCCAGACACCCTTTCGGCGACGGGCCTTGTGAGCCAGCTTGAAATCGGCCCACTCGAGCGGCAGGATGAATGTCTTTGGGAAAAAGTTGTACTTTTTCGGAAAGATCCTCGACATGCGATTGAGATTGCGGGCCAGGTGGTCCTTTCGACAGATCTCGTGCATGCCGGGAAAGTGATTGATCTTTTGGTATGGCTCCCTGGCGAGACAGTGCCGTTGAGGTTCAGATTCCGTTTGGGTTCCATTCACACTCCGAGTACTCACAGCGGCCCTGGGTCTGGGTCCGGTTCTGGTTCCGGCTTCGGTTCCCACAGCAGCACGCTCGACTCGACGCTGGATCGTGCACTTCCCCTCCAACTTTTGCTCTCTCCAGGCTTACATGCTCAGAACCCGCTCGACCGAGACGCCGGTGTCGATCCAGCAGACGCTCCAGCGGTCCGCCTCGGGTGTGTCATCGACGATTCGGAACCCAAACTTGAGCGCACAGTTCCGCACAATGTCGTACTTGCAAAAGATCGTGCTGATGGTCAATGAAGGGCTGATTTGCTTTTTGGGACGCCGCTTCTTCTGGGCACCCGCAAGCAGGGGCGTTGAGCCAGCTTGGTCGTCGCTGCTCAGGGCAGGGTTCGTGGGCGACTGTCGCTGGCCGCCAAAGGACACACAGTCGATCGCGTCGACAGAGAACGATGATATGTGCTTGTGGTGGTGGTGGTGGTGGGCGACAGATCCTTCGGCAAGCGCCGACACAGAGTTTGATATATACGGTGTCTGGGCCCGCAGCGAGGGCTTGTCAGAGCGATCCTTGCAATGCTGAGGCCCTTGACGAGGCTCGTCGCCGTCGTCCGTGCGATCCTGGCGCTCGCCGACAGAATCTGGGCCAAGAAACGGACGTTGCAGCCATAAACCGGAAAACAAGACCGTCAGTAGACGTCAGCGCCTTGCTCTCAAGGCCGGAAACCGATGCTGAGCCAGTGTCTGTAGGCCCAGCCACGCACCGGGAAGTGAATCGACAAACAATCGCGACAGGGATGGGGACTACCTTTCGTATCCATGCCTTTGAAGCAGATGGTTCGCGGCCGTGGTGAGGCTCTCAAATATCCAGAGGGCGATGATTCCGTATTTGCAAATAGACGGCTTCGATGGTGAATGCACTTCCGGTGGCGAGAGGGGAGTCGATACAAGCGCGAAAGTCTGGCCGTCGTTCGGATGGGCGGATGAATAGAGAACCGATGAATGGATGGAGAACTGCTACCGGGCTGCTGTCGACGAGCAGGCGAACTGAATCGCAAGAATTTCGCAACAAGAACAAAGCCGGAGTCCTTGCTCTCGCCGTTACCACAACGCAGTCGACTTCTTTCCCAGAACAATCCTGGCCTGCTGTCACTACGACTCTCCCTCAGCGCCTGCCTTGGTCGGGCCACTCAATCCCCCCCCCTCTCGCTGCATCATCTCTCCCCTCCAATCATCGTCCAAACGCTTTCCATTTTGGCCGGCTGATGCGTCCGTGATCGAGTGAAGTCGCTGATCAATGTCCCCCGGTCGGGCTAGCGGGCTTCAACGCGGCGGAAACACTTTTGACGAATCAATGAATGTGTCCAGGCGAGCCCCCGGTAGTTTCACGCGGGACAGATATGGGACAGGCAGGATGCAAACTCAGCACCCTGTGCTCTTGTCTTGTCTTGCCCGGTCTTCCCCTTGCCTTGCCACAGCCCTCACCCGGTTCCTGACCCAGGAGATCGCTCCCAGAATGCTACTGCAACACGGAAATAAAGCAGGGCTATCCCATTTGATATTTTCTTCCTCTGGGTGACGGTTGCTGAACATACACAGGGGAGGCACGAAGCAGGATACAGCTTAGTCACGCTTGCCCCTTGCCAGCCGACTGAGATGAGATGGGGGGGGCCAATAAATTAGAATGGTTTGGAATATCAAATATACACAAAAATAGCAGGCGGACGCAGAGTATCTGGCACGCGAGTCGAGATAGCGCTGGTAAGTAAGCAGAAGGAGGAAGGGGGCGAGGGAATCAACGACATAATTCGGACAGGAGAGAGAGCTGGGTAAACTGGTAATCAAGGGGTGGGGACGACAGACGTTAGATGAGGGAGCGAAAAGAAGGAAGGGAAGAATCAGGCCCTCTGGAGAAAGCCGTGGATATCGGCGGCATGTGCTTCACCGACGGCTCCGTTTGGAGCTGGTTGAGTTGGATCGGCTCAGGAAATTGAACGGATTTCGGCTGGTGGGGCCGGCCGAGACGGGCACTTGGGTTGTTGGGCTGCTAAGGGGCTTGGATCTGTCGACATCGAGCGAGCCCCGGTAAATGGTATCGATCTTGGGCGGCAGCGGCTGGGTGGTGACGACCGAGAGGAACGGCGGCGGCTTGGTCGTGGTGTATCGTCGCTGGGGCGGTGTCGGTGTCTGGAGCGGAGTGTATTTGTAGGTCGAGGTTGCAGGCTGCGAGCGGGCGGGCTCCATTCGGACTGGATCCAGCTTGACGACCTCGGCCTTGGGGAGCTCGGTACGAGGAGACTCGGCTGTGGCCGAATCAAGCCTGCCGGCGCTGGACTTGACAGACTCCATCCGGACGACGCTGGTGTTGATGGGGGCGAGCTTCTTGACAGCGAGACTGCGTCTGCGAGTCGGGGGCGATGTGCCTTCTCGAGCGCTGTGCTCCCGGGGGAGATCGCTTGAGGACTGGGGGGCATCAGCGGCCTTGGGCGCCTTCCACTTGAGATGGCTCACCTGCTCCAGGCCAATGCATCTGAGACTGATGCAAGAAGAGGGGCAATCCAGAGGAAGAGAGCCCAAGGTCAGAATCCGGCGTGGGTGAAGAGGCGGATGTCGCATCGAGCAGCAAAGTGTGTGCAAGGGCCAGTGCCGAGAGTAGCAGCTGCAGGGCGGGGACACCTACGGGAAATCTCCAGAGTCGCCCAGGGCCAGGTTGATGCCGCGTGCCCATCCATCGCCAAAGGTTTCCCTGTAATGACGACAAGAGAACAGATGTGAGCGGACGAGTTGGCCGGGAACTAGACACCGCTCGGCATGTAGCAAACTGTCATAGCGGGTGCAGAGCCGCTTTGCTTACTCGAGGGCGATGGTGTCGCCGATATCGATCAGAAGTTCATGAGCAGCCCGCGGAGTATGCTCGCGCTTGGCCGTGAAGCGCTTCAGACCGGCGTACGCCTCCCGATTGAACTGGTCACAGGTGCTGGTGTCGTCGGTCTCGCACGAGCTGCGGGTGGCAGTCGATGTCGGAGATTTCAGGAGATACATGAGGTCTTCGAGCAGCTCCAGCTCCTTCAGATGATTCGTGGCCTCGGAGGACAGCGAGGTGTGTTGTTTGTCGGTGCTGGGGCGGCTAATGGTGCTGGGAGAGCCAACGATGACCTGCGAAGCGGAGACGCTGGGCGAGGTTTTGACATTGGGAATCTTCATAAACTTCTGGAACTGCAGCGACACGGTTCTCTTCTTGCTATCGGTGTTGGGGATGCGCAGTCCGACGATGCTGCGGGGACCGAGCACTCTCAGAGGGAATGTGCCGATGGTGCGCATGTTGCTGTTGCAAGTACCGATGGCCCAACCATCGCCAAAGACGTGTCTGCATGGTAGTTGGGATGTCCGGGGAGGGTCAGTTGGCAGATTCGCCACAGGAGAGGAGCGTGCGAGCGTGCGCGCCATCGACAAGGGGCTACCGCTTACCGAATGGTGACGAACGAATGCGCGATCAAAATGAGTTCGTCCGAGCGTTCCGCCACATGATGCCGAGCAACCTCCCACTGCATATCCAGCTGCTGCTCAATGGGATACGCTTTGAGGATGATCTGCGAGAGGTCAGGCTGGTTCTCGGAGGACGAAAAGACCTTGGACAGCTCCGATTCGGCCGTGGGGGCAAACGAGTGGTCGGACATGAGCGGAATCTGGGTGTCGCCGTGATAGAGAGCGGCGACCAGGCGGTAGCTCAGAGACGGGTGAGTGCGGCTCGAAGGAACGAGTGTCCGGGGCACAAACAGCACGAACGGGAAGTCGGTGTTGCCGCTGGGGAGCAGCGAGCCGGGATAGACCTCGGCGGTCATGAGGGGGATGTCCATTGTGTAGAACGTCTGGAGGTGGTATCCGCGGGTCGGGAGCTGCCGGCGGCGGCGGCGGCGGGGGCGATGATGGGAAGCGTCAATGTGATGCCAACAGGACGCAGGTGCCTGCGACATGAGCCAACTGCAATGATGGCAGCCGGGGGGGCGTGCTTGCGCACCTGGGGTGGCAACCCGAGCGCCCCATGTGCCGAGAGAAGGCGCCAGACAGGGCAATGCCCAGCCCCCCCTCCATTCCGAGCAGGGCATATGGGGACGAAAAATGAACAGATTCGCAATGCCGCATGGCAGGCGCATCCCGCCAACGCTCGGTGTCCTGGTCAAAGCGATGCTTACCTGGAACGAATCGGGCGGAATAACGGCTCCGGACTTGACGCCTTCCTGGTAGTCGATGCCGACAGACAACACAATGTTGGCATGGTGGAAGAGCACAGGGGTGTTGGAGGTGTTTGAGAGCTGCACGGATCCGGATATGATTTGCTTGGACATGTCCAGATAGGCGGCCTCGGTATCTTTGGCTGTCTCGGTGCCAAGGTGGTATGTGATCTGGTTGATGTGGACCGAGATGGCCAGCGAGGGCCGCAGACGCAAGGACTCGAGGAGACTAGAGGGCGCAACGGCTTGCATGGTGGGCAGTCGAGGGTTGGTTGGTGGGAGACAGAAATGGCTGACAGTCGGGGAGGCGGCTTGCTTGCAGATGAGGGCGTGCACTGTCGGGGGCCGGCGATGAGGGCTTTGGCAGGGAAGATGCGAGAATGTTGGGCTTGAGGGACAGGCAGGCGAGGGCCGGAAGAGGCGGACTGGAATTGGACGGCTGTGCTCTGGTGCTGAGGCGAAGCAGATTGAATTCACCCAGGCGCAAACTCGGGACAAGACGGCCAGAAGAACGACGCGACGAGACAAAAAGAGGTCAGAAGTGGATGCAGGGCTGGGACGGGCAGCGGGGCCGAGGAGGCAGAGACGGGCAGCGTCCGGAACAGGCGGCGGCAGATCAGGAGCGGCTTAAGAGCAGCCGCGGAGGAAACGGCAAAGACGATCTGCAACGGCCGAGCGGGAGCACAGACGGGAGCACAACGCGCCACAGCACGCCCGAGCCCGGATTTGTGGCCAAGGGTGGTCCAGGGCCGCCAAGGAGCAGTGGGCAGTGCTACGGGCGGCCGGGCCGTGGGACCGAGAAAGCCGGCAAACAAGGCAGGCGACGGGCAAGAGCAGAAAGACACGGGGACGACCGGCTGCGCAGAGCGAAATAACGGGAGGGGGACCGATGGGGGGGGGAGCCGATGGGGGGCTGCGAGCGCAACGGCCGTTGGAAGAACGACGTTGCTCGGTGGGATCAGATGAGGGGAGCGATTGGAGGGAATGCAATGGGGGAGCAAAATGGCAATGGAGACAGGATCGCCGGGTGGTGCGGCGACCAGCGCGGATGGCATCATGGGAACAGCCGCGGGCAATTGCTCGGACAGGACATGGGGTCGCAGCAACACACGGACGACCCGCAGGACCCTCGTTCGGATGGGCCGAGGGCGGTGCCGCCAAGACGGAAATGGCACACGTGGGGACCACAGTCGCAGCATTGGAGAGCAGCGACGAGCATTGCTCTGATGATTGATACTCTGGGGAGTATCAACACCAGTAGTATCAACGCCAGTAGTATCAACACCAGCAGTATCAACGCCAGTAGTATCAACACCAGCAGTATCAACGCCAACAGCAGCATCAACACCAGCAGTAGCATCAACACCCGCTGTTTGTACATGCCCGTGACCCCGCTACGCGTCGCTCACGAGACCGCCGCGCCTTGTTCCCGCGCGGGTCAGCCGACCCGGCCCGTCGGCGCACAGGGCCATATGAGCAATGCGGCGCCTGGCACAGCGAGACACATGTCTACGGGGGCGCCGTGTGGGGCTGGGGCGGTCGCACGGGCTTGTCCGGAAACGTGTTGGTGCCACACAGTGCACGACGCGCCGGCTGCGCTCCCGGGCTGCGCACATGCATTCCGCTGTGGGCACGCGCCGCGCGCCAACTCCGCTCGCAAGCTCCGAAGGTTCCGTGCTGTCGGGTGCGGGTGTCGGCATCCCCCCCCTGAGCCCCCGGCTTCTGGCACCGTCTGTTCCTGTGGACAGCACACCGCGCCTGGAACAAGACGGAACATGGCTTCGGTGCCAGTTGATTGTTGCCACAGGCAGTCGACGGGGTGCATTCAAGACTGTGTTGCCCAAACCAACACCGGTGCATCGGCACAATCAGAGTCGCTACAGCAAATCATATGCCGATGCACCGCAAATGTACGGGCCCTGTGTCTCTGCAGCGTCTCCGCGCCGATCTTCGTGTCGACCGAGATCGTTCATGGCAGCGTCGACGAGGTATCCCAGCGCCTGCCGTGGCGATGTCATGGCCCCGGCTCCGGCAGCGAGGTCCCCTCGAGTTGTCCGAATCGCCTCGGCAATCGTCTCCAGACTGGGCGATATGGCTATCGTCTCGAGGCTCAGTGATCCGGGAGTTCGATGTCGATCAATCTCTCCGCCCAGCTCATATCCCTGCTTTTGCAACATAGCCCTCGGCTCAGGCAGCACCGGCGCGCTTGGGAATGCCCCGATTCCACATACTTCGTCGTTCGAAAAGCTGCTCCCATCGACCGCTCCGATCTTTTGGTCCGAGATCATTATTTTGCTGTGTATGCCGTGCAGCCGCGTTTGCATGATGGCCATCTGCCGGTTGAGGCGAGTGTTGTGGTGCTCGAGCGACTGCCGGTCTTGGGTCAGCCGCCTGACTTCGCCCTCGAGAGCGGCGATGGTTTGTCGCAGCGATCCTGCAGCGGCCTCGGCCTTCTGCATCTCGGTGTCGGCAGCATTCTGCAGCTGCTCTGTTTGAACTTGGATTTTCTTCGCGAGGCCGGCGTGATCTTCGACGGCAACCTTGAGCTTTTCCTCAAGGTCCCGGATGGTGTCCTTGTACTTTTGGGTCTCTTCTTGCAGCTCGGCGAGGGCATCGTCTCGTTTGCCAACAATCGCACGCAGCTCCGCCAGCGTCTCCTCGCTCTTGCTTCTGCTGTGCTCCAGAGCAATTGCATTCTCCGAGAGCTGCTGGTACCTGAGCTCCGCTTCCTTTCTGTCGCGGCGCTCCTTGCTCAGATCTTCCCGCACATGCGAAAGCTCCGCAGCCAGCCGTTCCGAGTACGCCCGCGTCTGATCGAGCAAGTCCTGCATCCTGGTCTTGGTCTCGTTCAGAGCGTCGACGATTTCCTTGAGATACTGAATCTCGACTCTGGCGTCGCGCAGCTCTGCACTTGTTGTCGCCAGAGACTTGCCATCATCCAGTCCTTTGCTTCGCAGGAGATCGAGTTCCTTGCGCGTGCTGGCATTTTCCGAGACGAGCAGAGTCTTTTCCTTGGCGTGCTTCTCTGTAGCCTTTTGCATGCGCTCGTAGAGCTCCATGAAGCTCTTCTCGATCTCACGCTTCTCGGCCTCAGTCTTACCGAGTTTCTCGCTCAGGATGCCCTCGGCTCTTCTCAGCTCCTCATACTCGGCCTGCTTTTGCTGCAGCTGGTTTTTCATGACATCGATGCTGCTTTGGAGGCTCGCATTCTGCCGCTCATGCTGCTCTTTGAGAGCGTCGACTTCCCTCTCGTGCTTCAGCGCCAGCGCTTGGTGCTTGCTCTCGAGCTTCTTGAAGGCCCCCAAGGTCAGATCTTTCTCCTCGCGACTGATTTTCAGGAGCCCCTCAAACTCCTCCTTCTTGGATTGCTCCGACTCAAGATCGGACAAAAGCCCCTGGTTGCGCACAAACAGCTCATGCACTTTGGCCATAATCGCATAGAGCTTGCTGTCGCTGTTCTTTCCCAGGCGTATCGCTTCGAAAGCCAGGCCGGGATCCCGCGAGGGGAGCTCGAGTTCCTCGATGTTGGGCATCAGGGGCGGCATGTCGAATAGCTTGGCGATTTCGCTGAGCACGACCACGAGATTCTGGTAATCTTTGTGCCGTGCGATTCCCGTGTGCTCGCTCGTGCGAACACCTGCCTCTACCACTCTCGATATCTGCTCGATCTTGGCCATTTCGCCGTACAGCTGAGAGTACTTCCGATCGAGTTCGTTGTACAGCTCCATGCGGTGCTGAAGAGCAAACGAGTCCTTCTCGGTAGCTGCCAGGCGGGCCCGCAGCTGCGTACACTCTTCCCGAGAGACTTGGTAGTTGCCGTCGAGTGCCCGATACTGAATCTGAAGCCCGTCAAGGGTGCTGGTGACCTCTTCGAGGCTCGCCGTGAGCCCGCGATTCTCATGTTCGACCTGGCGGATGCGCTTGCGGCAGGCCGAGTTGAGCTTCTGCAGCTTGCTACACTCCACCTCCATCTCCTCGAACTTGGCTTTGAGCGCACTGTGCTCTTGCTCGAGGCGCTCCTTGGACGACTGCGTCTCCTTTTCCAGCCGCTCCACTAGCTGCAGCCGGTGCTCGGCCTCCTTGGCTTCGCGTTCCCGGCGCTCTCGGAGCTCGGCACTTTCCCGGGCCAGCTTTTCACGAAGGTCGCCTGCCTCGTCGGCCATTCGCCGGATAGCCAAAGTGTGCTCGGACACAAGCTTGCTCTGGACAGCCTTGAGCTCATTGTCATGCTTTGTGGTTGCTTCCTCTAGCTCTCGCTGGAGCCGCGAGCGGGTTTCAGCGATCTCGGCCTGCAGACCGACCTTTGTATCGCTGTACTCCTTCTCGATGGCGCCCTTGATCCGCTCGATCTCGATGATCTGAGCCTCGAGTCGCTCGGCGCGGAGAAGGGTGCGGTGCAGCTCGTCCTCGTAGTGCTCAATTGCTTCGCGCTGGGTGCGATCGGTTGCCTGCAGCGTCTCCAGGTCGGCTTTGGACCGCTCCCACTTCTCCTTGAGATCCGCATTCTGACGAGCCAGTTGATCGCGAACCTTGACAGCCTGGTCGAGGACTTGGCTTTGCCGATGGAGATGCTCTTTGGCAGCAGAGTGTTCCCTTGTGAGCGTAGCGAAGCGCTCCGCTCCGTCGCGATACTTCTCACGCAGCTCCTCGAGCTGCCGGCTGGCATCCCTGTGGGTCTTGTCCAGGCTCTGCAGCTGCTCTTGCTCGCGCGCCCGATCTGTTCGAAGCTGCGCCAGGTCATCGCGGAGTCGATTGACTTTATCGTCTGCCACTCGCTGGCGATCCTCGTGGTCTCTGCGGAGCTTGTCGATCTCGGCCTGCAGCTTCCCACAGCGGTCATGCTGCTCACGGAGCTTTCGAGACAGATCTGCAATCTCGGTCTCCTTCCGAGTCAGGGTCTGATGGCGCTCCTGCAGCACCTTCTCAAAGTCCGACATCATCGTCCGGTACTCTTGCCGAGATGCCTCGCCGGCTGAGAGCGCCCGTCCAAGCTCGGCAGAGATTTGTTGCTTTTCGTAATCCAGTTTGGACAGCGAGCTGTCCCTTTCCCGAATGATCTCGTCCTTGAGCTTGAGAACACCCTCCTTCTCGCGGAGGAGATGCTGTGTCTCCCGAAGAGCTCGCTGCGCCTCATGCAGCTGCCTGGTTAGGCCGTCATTGACCTGGGAGAGCTTGCCTTTCAGGGTCTCGATCTCGCTCGATGACTGTTTCTCCAAGGCACTCTTTTCCTTCTCGAGGATGCTGCACTGTAGTTCAAGCTTGGACAACTCGCCCTCGAGCTTGATGATGGATTTTTGCATCCGATTCTCGATCTCGTCCTTTTGACGCTGGTGCTCAAACTCCATCTTGGCGCGCTCGCTGCGCTCCGTGGTCATCTCAACCGCGTGCCTGACTTTCTCGGCCTCGGTCTGGGAGGCAAATTCCTTGTTCATTGTGTCGATCTTGGCCAACAACTCTGCCTCTCGCATTTGGGCTCGGAGGTCGCTGGCTTCTATCTGTGTGCTGAGCTCACTAAGCTGCTGAGCTCGGGCGTCGAGAGCGTGCTTGAGCTCGTTGATTTGGCCCTCCTGAAGGCGCCGTGCTGCATTTGCAGAGTCCAGCGATGTTTCGAGTT